CCGTGGGACAGACTCGCCTCCAGATGGATCATTTGCTTAAGTTGACCGTAAAATTGTGTCTGCTCCAGTGCCGCCATAGTGGCGCTGGAGGGAGCCTAGCCCATTCCAGCTGTTTGGCACAGTGGGTGGAGAGGGCATGCAGGATGCCAAGTTAGGACTCCCTAGAGGGTAGGCATGGTTCAAATGCCTCCCTTTCAGTCTGTGGCATAAATATTGCCTCTGAGAAGAGCAACTGAAGAGGAGTCCCTGCTGCTTTGACATCATTGCCGTTTGGAGAATTCCTTCATTCATATAGTGTACGTTGTTCTGTGGTGGGAGGCAAGAACTCTGGACAGAGGCCAAGGTCTACCAGCTGGTCTCCACTTGCAGTTCCGGCCCCATTTTGTCTGCAGTCTGCTCAGGGCTTCTCCTAGAAACAGCTTCTGCAAGTTGGATGGAAGAATAAATGCTTGTTTAGAGCACCAAGGTGGTCTAGCCCCAGTTAACATGGTAGTTGCTTTGTGCCAATTTGCTTTGCAAAACCAACCAACCAGGATAAATAGTTCTTAAAGCCAGGCTTTATGTGGCATTCCATTCTGTTTATTTTTGAACTGTATGCGCCTTTAAAACTTGTTTGGTTTTGCAATGGCTATTGGTGATAAAGTAAATTGATTAACTGCATAGTCCAAGGGATGATTTACTACTGAACAGGGATGCCAGCAGGATTTTCTGGGGCCGGTATACTGTGTGGGGATTCAGCCCTCTGCTGCACATGCAAAAGAAGACACATATGTGAACATAATTTGCATATAGTGTATATCATATGCAGATTTGTACCCTTTTTTGCAGGTAGGTCTGAAACATATCAGGGATCACACACAGAAATAAGAGGTCTGAGGGACAAAATATCAATAGGGGAAGCTTTCCCTATAACTGTAATTCCATACCAGTAAAAGTTTGCTCTGTTTAATATCCCTCTGCAACATAGCTGGTAAAGACATGAGAGAACTGCTCTCCTCCACAGCCAGCCCCAAACCATGCAAATAAATCAAGTTTCATGAGTTGTAAACTAGTTATCTCACTGTAGGTCTTCGTCTTCTGATTTTAGGATAGCAAAACTGCATTCAGCGCAAGCTCAACCTAGTATTGCGGATGGAGGGAGTCAAAAGCGATTTATGATTTAGGCAATTCTGTTCAGATGCTCATGACTGGTTAGCAAGATTTAAGTAGGGGGGAAAGCAAGCAGAGTATTAATTTGTTGTGGTTATTTATTAATAACTACACCAATTTTTTTTTCTTTTTTTGAGCAAACAGGATTTGAAATCCCTACTCAGCCATGAAGTTAATTTGGTGCCCATGAACCAGACACTGTCTCTTAGAATAACCCACCTCACGGGAGAAACATGTACCACCGTCAAGTGAGCTAGCTCAGGACTGAGTTAATACAACTGAAGTGGTCCTCTCTGCCTGCACCTAGGGAGTACATCATCCCCCTTGGTCCCAACTAGAGCTGGAGATGCAGCCTGTTATATAAACATGTGAAAATTGTGAGCTATCTGTGTCCTTTAGCTATTTCAGCAGCTAAATGTCTGCTTTGTTTACTATTGTTGTGGATATACTACAGAGAGGTCCAAGACCAGAGGGGGAAAGAGCCAAAGCCAAATGATGGGTGTTTCTTGACCTGACGTTGGACCAGTTTATTGAATCCCCCAAGGCAAAGGAAAGTAGTTATTATTTAAAGTTGATCCTTAGATGGCATCAAGAACACAGCTTTACTTCTCTTGTGCCTCCAACAAAACATATTTAGGTGGTGTATTTCACTCAGTCTATGTAGGAGAAGGTACCATTGATAGGTTGTATTGAATAAATTTCCCTTCAAATTAGCCCTAATTGGTGCTGATGGTATAGATTTGAACTACAGTGGTGCCCCGCAAGACGAATGCCTCGCAAGAGGGAAAACCCGCTAGACGAAAGGGTTTTCCGTTTTGGAGGTGCTTCGCAAAACGAATTTCCTATGTGCTTGCTTCGCAAGACGAAAATGTCTTGCGAGTTCCTGCGGGGTTTTTTTCCTTTCCCCCCCCTTTTTCCCAAGCCGCTAAACCGCTTATCAGCTGATGGCTAAGCCGCTTATCAGCTGATCTTTAAGCCGCTTAACAGCTGATGCTACGTGGCTTATCAGCTGATCTTTAAGCCGCTTAACAGCTGATGCTAAGCCGCTTATCAGCTGATCGTTAAGCCGCTTATCAACTGATCTTTAAGCCGGCTAAGCCGCTAATACTGTAGCGCTAAGCCGCTAAACCTCTAATGGGCTTGCTTCGCAAGACGAAAAAACCCGCAAGACGAAGAGACTCGCGGAACGGATTCTTTTCGTCTTGCGAGGCACCACTGTATTCCTACTCAGTTTGCTGCATTGTAAGATCATATTTTATCAGCTCCCTTCCCCATTTTCTTTTATATGTTGGTTGTAATTCTCTTTTCAGTGCAGACAGAATTAGATATATTTTGTATTTTTTATTTCTGGTTGACTTGTAACAAATGGAGTTTTCAAATGGAGTTTCAAGGCATGGTGTTCTATGTTTTATTAATAATAGTTTGATTATGTGTCTTAGTTGAAAAAACCATAAACTAAACTGAGGACATTTTTTTTTATTCACTGGAGTTAGTGCTTGATCATAAGAGATAATGTTGTGGGATAACCAGGCTCATATAACCAACAACACTTATGTCTAATTAATGCATGAAGGGGTTAATACCATAAACTATCCTACCAAACTTAGCTATGTCCACTTCCTCTCACCTTGGGAGGAACTATGTAATCAAGCCTTTGTTCTCTCCCAGGCTACTTGAGAAGCTCAGTGAGTGAAGAGGTTTGAACTGGTTGCTCCAGTTCAGACTGCATGGCTCTCACAAGCCACTCTTATGTTCCTATATCAGTAATTTTGGAACTTTCACCACTTTGCAACTAAGCCAAGTTTTATTGCCTGTGCAACTTTCTGAAGCACACAAATCTGACCTTTGAAGAGTTTGTAAGTAAACCATTCTCAACTTATCAAACGTGGTCTTTTTCTATGCTAGGGGAAGAGGGAAACTTTGGAAGGAACTTCGGTTTTAAAGGTCTAACTACCGTACCTATATTTCCATGCTTTACTCTGCTATGTGTTTTGTGATTTTAAATCTCTGCTGAGGTTCTCTCAATTAAGAATGAAGTTAAAGGAGATATTCCAAGAGCTTTATCTTCTTCACTGCTTGCCAGACGCCACCAAACAGAGGATCTGGAATGAAAGTTCTGGATAATAATTTCCTGCCCAGAAGGCTACATCCAGCACCACTCAAAGTTTAAAGTAGAGGTGGGGCAAATAAGATGAAAACTAAGTTTCCTCCATGATTAGGCAGCATGATGCTATAGCATGCCATGAGTACTTGCACATGGACAGCTGAATAACAAAAACAAAACCCATAATATAAAAAACTTTGAAAATATAGAGGATAAAAAGGCAGAAATTGTCAGAGGCGTATAGATTAGCTAATGTTTCATGAGGTGTGTGTGGAACTCACAGGCTACAGTAGGAGGTGAAAACCTTTATTCAAATTGGCCTCAGATTAACTTGGCCATCTTAGCCAGGGAAAGTATACTCATGCTAGATTTAAACAAGCTTGGAACTAGCTCAAACAATCTGGAAATGACAAACAAACTGAAGTGCTTGGAAATCTCTTTTTTCATAAAAGAAATGCTGTAAAATAAACCAGATAGTCTTGTAAAACAACACCAATACAGGCCCAGAAAGAATTACCTTAGATATTTTGGGTTGTAGACAACTTATTTCTACTCAGAGTAGACCAGTAGAAATTAATGGACCTAAGCTAGTGAGATCCACTCATTTCAATTGGTCTACTCCAAAACTACTTCAATTGGCCTTTGAATAACATTGGATACAAACCCCATGGTAGATAGGCATATACATAGTTAGATAGAGTTCCTGTGTAAAGCAGTATAAGGCTAGAAACCTTGATCAACAGCTTATGGAGAAATAAATCGAAAAAGTGGTAAAAGGGAACAATGTGAGAAGTCTTACATCTAGTAGCGCTACACAGATTGTTGTGGTTTCATCTTTTTTTTGGTTTTGTTTGTCTTTGTAATGATTTGGTCCTTTAATTAAATGTTGACATATTGGCTGTATATATATTTAGGGATCCCCCTGATGACCTATGAACTGAGCAATGTTCTTGATTTTCTTCCTTGGAGGCTTTTAAGCAGAGGTTGGATGGCAATCTGTCACGTATGATCTAGTTGAGATCCCTGTAATGCAGGGGGTTGGACTTAATGACCCCCAGGGTCCCTTCCCAGATACAATTTTAATATTCTGACTCTAGAAACAAACTGTTGCCTATTGTGTCAGAAGGAGACCTCCATCACACCCCCCTAGTAATGTTACAATGCGTTACAAGGTATTTACCCTCTTTACGTGAGGCAAGTGAATGAATGATTAAATGGATGTGGTGCTTTAGTAAATAATAATATCTGCAGTATTGGGCAGGGGGCGAAAGGCAACTCAACCAGCATTGGCGTCACTGATATATGTCTGTCTCAAACGCATTGTATGTGTTTGGTGAAACTGGGCACCATATGGGAGAGATAAATATGACGAGCCCTGCCTAAAGGTGCCTCTGTAGGTATGCTTAGATGGCGATGGCATCTAAACAAGATGTGTCCAAAGTGTTGGGCTCTGACTGACGTTCTGTTGTACAGAATATGAGTCGGGTTGACTCAAAGAGACTTAAAAAACCACTTAAGATTAACTTAAAAGAGACAGAAGGGAAAATGTGTTTTAGACTAACTGAATATCCATCAGGACTAACTTTAACTTTAATTCTTATTGGGTATGAAAAGTAGCTTCAATAGCTGCTTTGCTATGTATTTCAATTTAATTTTAAATATGTCCACAGCAGGCCACTAAATCTGGCCATGATGCTAACTAACCCTGAAGTGATGTGCAGTTCTGGGAGCGAAAGGTTGCAGTGTATTATCTTGTGGGCTGGAGGCTTGGTGTAAAGAAAAGTGCATACTTTGTCAAGGGCAAGATGTGGAATCCTTGACGCTTCAATGTCTGTCTGCTAGGCTGGTTGTCTGCCAAAACCCCACCAAACAGGGGGAACCCATATTCGTGCAACTTCACAGCTGTTGCCCTGGTCACAGCTGCCACACAGCCTTGTCCTCGGTACTGAGGGAGAGTGTAGCCGTGCGCCAAACTTCCCATTGGATCACTAAGGCACCAGGAAACCAGCTGGCCTTCTTTGTCCAGGAGGCAAGCACTAGGGAAGTTGTGGATCAGGCTGTCCAGATAGCGTAGGCTCCAATCATTGCGCCCAACACTCCAGTTTTCATTGAGCAGAGCTGAATGAGAGGAGTTTAGGCTGCCGAAGTGGAAGTGGCCACTTCTGTACCTGAAATACAAAGAGAGGCAGTGATGGCGGTTGAGCAGACTGAAAGCATCCCTTAGTATTTTGTCACAATCAACCAGAACAAAGGAACAGGAAATTGCAAGAGAAACTTAGGAAGTGACTCTGTGACTTTCTTCTCCTGTTTTGTGGGCGGGACTAACCCAGGACATAGCAATCAGATGTGGAACTTTGTATTGGGTTACAATCACTGCTTACTGATTATGAGGAGGAATGTTTGAGAATTCTGATGAAAATAGAAGCATAAATTGCTTGTGTTCACCTAGTCAGCCCTTTTCCAGAACAGAATACAGCCCAATGAATGCTGGATATTTGCTGATGTTATTTTCAGTCCACAAATAATATGTAATGATATTGTTAAGAGTTGCAGGGGAGAGCTGAGGCCCTCCTTACCCCTGGACCCAGGAAGTGTAAAAATATAAGTCAGGCTAGCTTCCTGTGCTGACGTGATCACCTGGCCATTAAGAGAAGAAAGGATTAAGAGACTTGGTGTGAGATGGTAAATGGTTAGGGCCCCCCTCTCTCAACTAAATTTCAAAGGATGGTTGTATTTAAGGAAAGTGCAAGTTAAATAAGTTTGCCTTTAAATGGGAATGAAATTTAATTTCTCCCCCTCTCCAGTCAACAGACTCCCATCAGTTAGATACCCCAGGGTGAGAGTGCACTCACTAACCGGCTCTGACAGTAGGCAGATGGGTCAGGATGCAGGAATGTCCGGTAGAAGTATGGCTTAAGATTGACACTTCTGGACTCTGCAATCTCTCTGGCAACTTCATACAAGCCATCTTGGAGACCTGCACACAATGAAAATGAGATGTCAACCTGGGGGTGAGGAATTATATTTTCTAATGCTCTGTGTCTGCACCTCTCTCGCTATCGTATGATTATAGTGTTGTGTGCCAGCTCAATCTTTGAGCGGTGCGAGATTCCAGGGGTTCCAGGCGATTCCCCAGGGTTGGTGTTTCCTTTGGAATGAGGTACAGCAGAGACTGTGGTGTCTCTGTGGCATGTGGTTTATTTACACATATACACAACCTGAGCAGTATTAACACCCCAAGAGGGACTTGCTTCCCCCATGGTCACAGCTCTCAACTCAGCTTTTGCCCACCCATTTTCTAACTACCCACCCATTTTCCATCTCACACAGAGCCACTTCCTTAGTACCTCTCAATGTCTCATCACCTTACCAGGATACTAGCTTTGCTATTCCAGGAATGGAATAGGTAGAGCATGAGGAGCTTTACCTTGAAGCTGAAAGGCCTTTCCCCAGTCAATGGCTTCTGCATTTTCCAACAGTGTTCGCCAGGCGTCTACATCCCAGTAGAAAGCAGTATGAAAGTTGGAGTAGCAATCCTGCTTGTCTTTCACCACCTGCAGAACGTGGCACAGTCATTTGGCTATTGACAGGACGCAGGTAGCGGGGGTTGGTTGGGTCTTATTAACGATGGAGAGCAGGAGCAAGAGAAAGGCAAAGGAGGCAGGAACAGGTCCAGCACCACCATGGAGTGCGTCTCCAATGGCTTTCCAGCCTCAGAAGCTACAGTCTCTTGTGCTTTTTCTCACAGGTTCAGGTGACGGGTTATGGGAGAATTCTCACCTCCTTACGTGGGCGGGTAAGGACAACTTTAAACTCCGGCCAAGAGTCCACCACCACTTCGTGCTGAGCTGGATTTCTACGGTTGATGTGCATCACAGCTCCGTTGGCCTGCCAAGGAAAGGAGGGGAGTTAGCTAGAGCAAAAATCCATGTTGCTCCATGAGAAAATGGTAGGAAATGCCATTTGTTAAATTGATGGAGAAAGGAGACGGCAGTAGAGGAGCGAGAATTACCGGAAGAGCCTGGGGCAGGTGCCGTTGCAGCACAGTCTCAAGCAGCTTCAACTTGGAGGGGCAGGTCAGGATCTGCATGGCTGGCCAAAGAGGGGCTGGGGGCTACGTCAGGTTCCAGGAAAGATAACGTGGGGGGGAAGGAAGCACTTGAAGGGGACGAAACGCAGAAAGAAATGCATCAGACCCTTACACTCAGTGCTACCGGACAATCCACAACCAGAATGACTTGCCATTTCTCATGAAATCTCTAGTACTCAAATTACTTCACTAATTATGTCTGTAGATCAGGGATATATGGAGTTGATTCCTATTCTGGCTGAGGAGATCGACAGTGGCTGCCCCTCATTCAGACAGTCCCCAACTCCACTTTGCAGCTAGTCAAACCATTTCCTTATTTTTCTAGCACTGAGGCAGAGCTGAATTGGTAGGCAAGAAGATTTGAGTCCCACTTATTTAGGGGGATTAGATTGTCCCCTTCCGAGGTCCACAATGACAGCTGCAGTGCTTACCTGAAGGGACACGTCTGCCTTTCAGAAGAAGGTAGCAGCCTATTGCTGGGCCAATGGCATGATATGGAATGCCATCCTTGCTCAGACAATTTATCCACTTAAGTATTTTTTTAAAAAAAAATCCTGAAGCAATAAGCCATTAACTGGCTGGTGTCTTGGCCTTTTTCCCAGTGTCTCAACAGAGAAGGAAGTTTGGCTGCAAAATGCTTTTGCTTGACTCAGATGGCCACAAGTCCAGAGAACATGAGAGATTCGGCATATACTATGACTTATGTCCAGGCTTCCATGCGCCCTTGGCAAGGAGCTGTATCATCAACTCTGAAGCCGCCCTGCTGGGCGCTCCAGCCCTCCAAGCCAGAGTTGAGGGGCGTGATATTGACGCCCCCCTGGGAGCGGGGGCCAAACTAACCATTCCCTAGGTACGCCCCTGCTTACACTTGGCCAAGTCTTCTCAACCCTGCACAGATCTACTTTGTTTCAAGTTAGAGCAGGACAGCTAGGTACTCATTCACCAGGGTCCCTTTCTCATTTCACTGCAATGTGGTAATGGGATGAGCTCTGACAACATGCAAAAGTCAGGATGCCCAACATCCCCAGTGAGGTAAAAGCTCCCTTTCAATCTGTTTCAGTAAGACTCCAAGAAAATGCACTCCAAGTTATACACCAGGGGTATATATATAGCTTCTGTCTTGGTGCCAAATTTTGATAAGTCGATCCAGAGTACACAGTGAGCTGGTTCATACATAACTTTAAACCACAGTTAAAACTCAACTATGATTTAATGTTCACCTAAAGATGGAAGAGAGGGACGTGGGTGGCACTGTGGGTTAAACCACAGAGCCTAGGACTTGCTGATCAGAAGGTCAGCGGTTTGAATCCCTGTGATGGGGTGAGCTCCCGTTGCTCAGTCCCTGCTCCTGCCAACCTAGAAGTTCAAAGCATGTCAAAGTGCAAGTAGATAAATAGGAACTGCTCTGGCAGGAAGGTAAACGGCATTTTCGTGCGCTGCTCTGGTTCGCCAGAAGCGGCTTAGTCATGCTGGCCACAATGAGCACCACAACCCCAGAGTTGGTCACGACTGGACCTAATGGTCAGGGGTTCCTTTACCTTTTAAGGATGGAAGCAGACCTGAGTAACAAATAGTTCTTCCTTTTTATAGATGAGAAAGCCTTCCATAGTAGAAGGTGATTAAGTTGACCTGGTATGGGAAGAGGTGTTGGGGGCATAGCTGAGGAAGCAAAGGTTAACTCTTCCCTCTGCAGATGCAATTTCCAAAATTGCCCCTCTTTTGTTACAACTAGATTTGGAAACAAAGCATACTACTGGCTCCAATGTAATTGTTGTGGGATGATCTTCCTGGAAATTGCAGGGAGATGAAACGTTAACTCTTCCGCTGGTGTGCTCTCCACAAAGAGCACCTCTGGTATTATGTTTTTTAAAAACACCTTTTTCAAGTGTAATTGTTTTTTAAAAACGGAAAATGCCTTTTTCAAGTGTAATTGCTGGTGGGACTGCGGGTGGGTAGGGTTTAGAGTGAGTGTGTGGCTGCAGGTCAAATGTGAGCGGTTGTCAATGACAGTTTATCAGGTTTGCAAATATGCTCATGGTCCCAAAAAAGATTGGCCACCATTGCCAACCCGTGACTTTTGGGAGAACTCAAAAACATGCACAATATATTGTGATATTTTGGTTGGCCTAAAGGTATTTATTTATGTATTCTTTATTAAATTTCTATACCCTGCTCTTCATCCATAGATCTCAGGGCAGCTCACAACATAAAAATACAATATAAAAACACAAAATACATAATAAAATCAAGAGCAAACAAACAAAACAAAACACACAAACCAATACCCACCCCCCCCAAAAAATATTGGAAATGCTAATATTTCACTATTATATCATTAGACCATTGCTTGGCTGGTTGACCATTCTAGATATACGGCTTAAGGTACCTTAAGTGATATTTTTTAGAAAACCTATATGTATAAGAGAGGAACAGGAAACTCCAGGATTGGGGGAGTGATGGGTTTGTTTCTCTTTCATTCAGAGAGCTACTGAAGTCAAAGAGAGGAGATACTTTGGGACTCTCTCCTCCTCCCTTTACTAAGTTGAAGAATGTAAGCAGATGTGACACAATTCAGATAATCTCTGGGAGCCCATATATTTCAGCAAATTCTGCGTTTGGACATTATTCGTGGCAGTATGGCCATATACAGGGTACCCTGCCACATGGCTTTTCATGGACAGTGCCCTCGTCACTATAGCTGAGTAGCCCCTTCGGCGGTGGGATGGAAGGGTGTAGCCATGTATTTGTGCACCAAGAGGATCTGTGATGCCCCAGCTGATAGGATGACCATTGCTGTCCAGGATGCAGATATTGGGGAAGCACTTCACCATGTTGTCCAGAAACCGTCGGCTTTGTTCATTGCCCCCATAGGGCCATGTTTCATTTAGGATGTCAACATGGGAGCTTTTCAAGGTGGAAATTGTGAAGCTGGGATCTAGCCTGGAAGAAAAGACAGGCAAGAACAATATAGACAGAGATGTTGGGAGAACCCAGGAACCACCTTTTTGGCTCAGATCAAAGGTTCATCTAGTCCAATACATGGTAACACTGGCCAGCAACCTGAGTAAGTTGCAAGCAGGAAACCAGTTTGCTTTTGCACACATGGGCTGCTTTATGGTGTCAACATAGCCATTAATAGACAAAACATCTTTAGGAAACTTGTAGTGCCACCTTTGGTGCTTTGCTGTGCCAGCCAGGAGAAGGCAGACTTGGAAAGAGTGAATGCAAGGTTTGACCATAGTATTTTGGCTATGGAGATTCTCCAACTGGAAGCACCACAGGTTAACCAGTGCCTCAAGCAGAAAGGAAGAAAGGGGGGAGCAAGGTGGACACTTACTGGCGCTGAGGCATTTTATCTGGGTTAGGGTTCAGGTAGGTGAAGTGGGGAGTTGCAGTCAGATGAATTTTCTTGGTGGCAGCAGCATCTTTAGAGACGTCATAGATCCCATTCTGGTTCCCTGTAAAATAGTAAAATATTCAACAATGAAGAGAAAGATATTGTGTGTGTGTTTTGAGGATAGGGCAAGAAGTTGTTCAGTGCATCAGGACCACAGTAGGGGGCAAAATGTTAAAGCCCCCTACCTGTCAGATGTGCAGGTGGATGCTCATGAGTAGCCAGGCAAGACTCCGACCTTTCTTTTTCAGGTTTTATTGGTGCAAACTATTTACAGTGCACAACTCCAAAGTTCATGTCCGTCTTAGTCACTTGCAGATTCCTGGAGCGCCCCCTTCCGGTTTCTCCACCAGCATAGGAACTTAGACACCCCAAATCTCCGCCTCTCCTCCTTACGTTTCACCCCTCTGCGCAAGCAGGGTGATGGAAACGGCGTGTTTGCCTCCCGGCCGGCCGGGCTAGGTGAGGCGCTTGGGCTCCCCGTAGCATCTTTGAGCCTTCCCTTCCCCCTGCTTCCCTGGAGGTGTGGCTTTCTCCACTGCCAGACGAGGAGCTGCTTCTTAGAAGCGCCGGAGGCTCCCTGTATCCCCCTGCCTCCCTCCCCCTTTCCGATGTCAGTCCCCTGACACTACCCATCTTCCAATTTGACACCTGATATTGACATTTTAAAAGCCCTTCATAGAATTATTATTATTATTATTATTATTATTATTATTCAACTTATACACCACCCTGTAAACGGAGGTCTCAGGGCAGTTCACAACAAGACCACAACATATAAAATCAAACCAAAAGCAGTAACCCAGTAACCCCCCCCCCCAAAAAAAAAGACACATTCTAAAAGGGTGTTGGATGTCAATAAGATCAACTAAAGCCCTGGTTAAAAAGGAACGTTTTTGCCTTGTGCCTAAAGTGATGGTGCCAGGCGAACTTCCCTGGGGAGAGAATTCCATAGACAGGGAGCCACTACAAAGAAGGCCCATTCTCGTGTTGCCATGTGATGCCATTGCTGATTTGTGTGAATGTCACTCATGCCTAGTTTGGGCCTAAGGTGTAGTTACACCCTCTCTGCCTCTGCAGTCCTGAACTGCAGTCCTGAATACTGACCATTTCCCCATCCCACAGTCTGTATGTGGGATAGATATGATGAAAAGGGATTGGAATAGCCATAATGAGCACATGATAATTGTGGATTGGGTTGGCTTCAGTCTAATCCAGGGTATAGCCCTAGAAATCAAATAAAAATATATTCAAATGTTACCACACTGCTTAGCTACGTTTTATTTGCCATTTAAAAATTCACAGCCAAGGTCCGAAAAGACAGTTAGAAGGGACCACATAGGTAATCTAGTCCAACTGCCTGCAATGCAGGGATCTTTTGCCCAACATGGAGCTTTGAATTTGTAACCCTGAGATTAAGAGTTTCATGCTCTACCGACTGAGCTATCCCAAGTGTATTATCTTATTTTTTCTATGCTTGACTATTGCAGTTCTCTTCTTTCTATTTTGCCTGTTGTCCTGTTCACCCAGACTTCTATTCTTAATTCAGCTGCCTGTGTGGTTTCCTCCCATGTTTTGGTTTACCTAAATTTCCTTTTGGTTACACTCCAGTGACTTTCTTTTCGTTAAAGGATCTCTTTGAAGTGATCACATAAAGTATTTTCACTCTTTAGCTCTTTCTCTTTTCTTCCTTTGCCTTCCTCTCATTTCCACTCACTGATATTCTTCACTTCCTGGCTAAAACTCCACGTACTCCTTGATTTCACAGTTCCAGCTTTTCTCTCTCTTGCTCCACATTTCCTCCGGAAACCATTATGGCCTCCCAATAGTCACATTGATCTTTCCTTGCAAATGTTGAAGTAGCAGGTGAAAATGCCTCCCTCTTCCCAAATCTTTAACCACTACTTTCTCTATCCTCTTCACGTTCCTTTTGAGTCCCTCCCTCCTTCTCAATGGGCTTCCGCTTTTTGACTTCATTTCTCAACAGCACTTAAGTGTGTGAGACACTTTATCAGGGGCATCACATCTCGTTTTGCCATCTGATGTGAAACCGGAAGTGTCACTTTGCCACTGCCACCACCGTGCACTGGCAAAGAAGAGGCACAGGTATTGGTACTGAATTTGGGTGAGAGCATGCTGGTGGGGGTGAGATCTCACTCCACAAGATTTCGTGCAGTTTTGACAACATCTCACTGGAAATCAGCACTGGGGCAAGCGAGGGTACCACCTTCGGGCATCCACTGCCTCACTCCGCCTGATGGCTGTGCTGGTCCGGCATTTTATATTCAGTGGAGGCTGGTCTTTCAGGGTGAATGGGGCCTGCTTCATCAAGCGCTATCTGCCCACAGCCAGCTCCTCCCACCTGCTTTTTATTTTCATCCAATCTGTGGGGGGGGGGCACTTCTATCAGCTTCCTCCTCCTCAGTCTCAGTTTTGCCTCTTGTAGAAGGCAAATGCTGCCTATTATGGGTTCTGGATCCACCTATGTTGGTCTCCCTGCCTTCTGCCCTACCAGTTCCAATGAGAACCAGCCACCACAGTTTACATTAATTACAGTAATGTCATTTAAAAGGGGGGGGGACTCTGTCATCTCATAACTTTTCCCTTAGAAAGAACTGCCTTTTACCATAGAGACGAAAGGTTTGCTTCCAGTTGACAGCATCTGTGTCCAGCAACAGTCTCCGGTACACATCAAGATCCCAGTAAAAGGCTGCATATATGTTTTTATACAAATCTGTATTGTGTGTATCGGCCTAAAAGAGAGAGAGATGAAACTCATTAGGATAGGCTCCCTGCCATCTCCTTCTCTAACCAGTTCTTCTCAGGTTACCAACTTTATTCTGGTAAAATTCCTGCGCTTTTAACTGCCTCCTGACACTTTATCAGATAAAGCTTTTCCTGATGTTGAGATGAAATGATGAGTGAACTTTCACCTGTGGGTCATTCCACGTCATGTCAATGCAGTCATGTCACCCACTGTCTTGGACTTTGATGAAACTTGGTGTACACCCTTCCCTTATGGTTGAAAGAAACCCCCTTAAATTTTCCCCCTCTATCTCAAACGGTTTTGATTTTATAGCACTTCAAACTTTCATGAAATCTGCATTGTCTGTCCCTCTTGAGACCCCGGGACATATACACTTAATTTTTTTTCTCCATAACCAATGATCAGATCTCTATGAAATCTTACACAGAGCTCAATAAGAGGATGATGATTTCAGGAAAAAACACACCAGCACTCAAAAGATTTTATCAATGCCAATATATCTATCTGTCTATCTATGTATTCTATGTATTTTTTTTGCTGGAAAAACCAGGTTAAGAAAACCTGGTGTGGCCATGATGGAACTCAAAGTTTGTGATGTTGAAAATTATTGCAAAGACATGCTCTTTCTCAACAAAGAATGAAATTAATGGGTTTTTTATTCCTTGTAATGAAAATTCAGATTTTACGTTTTTTGGACATCGTGGGAGGTGGAAATGGCTACTGGGTACAACGTTCCTACAATCCATAGCTGTAATAGAAAAAAATAATGAAAGAAAGGTGTTCATTGTAAAAATTAACATGATATTGGTTATTATAAGTTTCCCCCCAGAAGTAAAGTGCATACTTGTTTTAATTTGGGGATATTTGAATATGAAATTATGAAAATTGGCTATCGGGAAGTAATCCCATTGAATTTTCACAATGGATTTGCACAGATCAAACACACTTGATCAAAACCACTTAAACACTAGAAAAACTGATCTGATCATTGGTTATGGAGAAAAAATAAAATGTACATGTGCCGAGGGTCTCAAGAGGGTCAGACAGCGCAGATTTCACAAAACTTTGAAGTGCTATAAAATTAAAACTGTTTGAGATAGAGGGGGAAAATTTAATGGGGTTTCTTTCAACCGTAAGGGAAGGGTGTACATCAAGTTTCATCAAAATCCAGGACAGTGGGTGATGAAACCCTTGTTTTTTTGCGTTGATTTGATGTGGAATGACCCCTGCTCTAATGCCAAATGTGCCCTCCTAAACAAAAGCCAACATCCCCTTTGGTTTGAGCCTGGCTTAGAGGAAGTCCCAGCACAGAACACGTAGCATTTCCTGCTGACATCCCACAAAGCCCCTCCCACAAAATCCCCAAAGGCCACTACCTCTGTCCGTGGACGAGTCAGGACCGCTTTGCAATCTGGCCAAGAATCCACAATCACCTCATGGTCCACTGGGTTCCCACGGTTTATATTCATGACTGCACCATAGACCTGTCAAAAGTCATTGGATATCAGAGTTGGTACTGCAGTTGAAGGAGGCAGCCTGGGAGAAATGTGTGGGGTCTGGGAGAGAAAAAGTGGTGTGGTGTGTCAGGCTTGTATCTGCTGCATGCCTTGAGTGGGGTGTCCTGATCTGAGTGAGCACAAGGGACAGGAGAATCTGTTAATTTCCCTTGATGTTACAGATGAAAGAGGCAGCCTAAGACAAACATTTGAGGAGAGAATCGGTGGTATGGCCCCTAATTCAGATTTTGATCTGCTGCATGAATCCCCACTGTTAGTGACTAGCCCTTGAATGGTATTACCTTGACTGAGGACTTCCTGTTTACCAGTTGATTAACAAAATCTAGGAGCCCACAAGGCCATGTCACATATTACACATATTTCTCACGAATCATAGCTCTCTGCTGAGCATATCAACATGATACATACATTTTCATGCACCTGCTTGTTGAACGTAAAAACTTAAGGCATGCACCTAAAAATGTAACATATAATGATGTTCTCAGATTCGAAATGTGGAGTTTTGGAAAGATCAAGAGATGTTGACAGGAACCTGCCCCCATTCCTAGCTCTTAAACCAGATTACAAAGCTCAAGATTACCACAACTGTTTGAGGGAGGTTTCTCTTCAGCAGCGTCTCCAGCAACTGCAACTTGGACGCACAGGATAGGATCAACATAGCTTGGGAGGTGAAAGCCGATGGGCTGGTACCAGCAGAAACAATGCCTGTGATGAGCACCTGGGAGAGAGATCAGTTCTTTGCTGCTCACCAGAATCCCCAAACTGAGAAGTCTTTTGTCATTGAAGTGGCTTGGGCAACCCAGTCAGATGGGCAGGGTACAAATAATAAAATTATTTTTATTATTACTTATTTAACCCCTATGTCTACACCCCAGTGTCAGATGGCAAACCCCCCCCTGAGCTTCTAACTGTAACTGTAACCCTCGCCTTCCTTCCAGCTCAATTCTGATAAACAAAAACCTTCTCTTGTGAACTACAGGCAAGAAGCTCTTTATTACCGCTCACCTGCTGTCCAAAACAGCAATACAGACCTTTTCAATTGGAATCCTCTTTCCAGCTTGGTAACTTTAGGGACTGCTATGATTAGGAGGGGGAATTTATACTAGAGTGAGTGAACCATTAACATAATCGTTCCTTGCGATTGTAGCCACAGGCCTTGTGGGATTGGATCCCACGGATGCAGAAGAATTGGCTGTGTTCCTGGATAAGAACGAGGTGGGTTTGCTTCAAAAGATTGGGAGAGAAGTGCTAGCTGCTGCTTCTTTCACCAGGATGAGTTGAAGGAAATAATGGAGGATTTGGAAAGCAAGCAAAGTCCCAGCTAAAGAAGAATGGCAACTTAAACTACAGTAGACCCTTCAGTTACATAGCGCTCTGAATATGTAATCTTCGGGTTGCGAAAGCGGCAAACTCGGAAGTGTATTCTTCCAGTTTTTGCCGCATGCGCAGAAGCACTCTGCACGCTGGGTGTATATGCTCTATTGTGCTTTCTGCGTCCGCAGAAGCGGCGCCTCTGGTTACGGATTCTTTGGGGTCTGCACGGACCACCGAAACAAATTAAATTCGTAACCAGAGGGTCCACTGTAAACAGTTAATGATCACCTGAGCAATATATGATTTTCTGACAGTCCCTGTCATGCTGTTCAAATGATCCGTAAAACGGATCTTGACTATTAGCGTGCTTGTGCGTTGGCATGAAGGTTGGACTCCGAAGAGGGTTCAGTCATTGGTTTAATCATTCTGTAACAAGTCTAACAGAACTACAGAGATTATTTAAATAGGTCTGTTGTCAATTATAATTAGTGAACCATTGGGAAGGGTTTTGGTAGGGACTGGGATTGAAGTAAGCTGGTTTTCCCTCCATGGCGGCAAAACCTCCAACAACTTGCTTCTCTGATAAAGATACATTTCTCTTCCATCAGCTAGAATTGGCAGCTAGAATTGTTTCCATAACGTATTGGAAAGCAAATCTGATACTGACACTCTAAGAATATGTCAAATTTTAAATAAATCAACTTCGGGCTAGCCAGGAAAAAAAACTGTACTTGTACCAGGTTTGAAGAATATTGGGGCTACACCCAACAATTGCGAAATGACCAGCAAATTGCAATGTTGGGCTGTCTTTTTGTCTTGGAGAAATAATTCGTTCTTATGTCTGTAGGATGTATCTAAGATATTTTGTGAGGAAGTATCTTTGAATGAATTGGATGGACTTGTACTTACATATCAACATAGAATGAATTATCTTAGATATTTTGTTTGGTAAATGTATATAAATAATCTGGTTGGCCATGATGAGAACAGGATGCTGGACTTGATTGACCCGATCCAGCAGGCTCTTACGTTCTAGTTTCCATGTGAAGCATAATTAAACTAGATATCTTTATTGATCTTCCAATTTCTGGAGGGATAAATTTTAAAATGTGGTAAAGGTGAATAATGAGAGAATTCTTATATTTATTAGGATAGGTCTACAGAGAGTAAACTAAATGGAAACAACAATTGGAGAGAAAAACAATGTATCCAACCCACGAGGATTTCTCTGACTTTTTTCTCTTTTTTTGCAATTTTTGAATGCAATTTGTTTTATCACTAATAGAGAATGGGAAAAAATGCAGTATAATTTTTCATAAAAGCACCAGTTCTCACTCTTGTTCTTTTCTTTGTAAGTTGCTTTGGGTTGCCCTGCGTACGAGAAAGTGACTAACAAATTCAGTAAGTAATAATAATAATTTTCAATTTAATGAAACATAAAAATAATAAAAGACACCTGTATGTAAGTGTTGTTCGGTGAAACACTCACTACATTTATCTGTAGAAATGAACTCCTGCTCCAGGCTGTACCCCTAAGTCCAAGATTTTTAAATGAACCAGAATTTGACCCACAACCTGCACTTAGGTTTGAAACACAACTTCCAAACCCTGGCACAGGATCGTAAAATCCTCTCACCTTCTACTGCAACCAATAGACACTTTTTTGAAGCCTAGTAGCATAGAGTAAATTTTCAATAGGTTGCAGCTAATGTGTGTGTGTGGGGGGGGTTAACGCTTCCCAGTTGTGACTCCTGAACTCATCCTTCTCTTAATGCAATTGATTTTGAAAGAAGCCAAGAGAAGCTTCCTTATCTCTGAAAGCTGTTACTCAGGTCTGCTTCCAGTCTTAGGAACCATAACTATGGTTTAAAGTTATGTGTACTCTACATTAATTTATCAGTATTTGCCACTGATGAAGAACCGGACAAAACATATTTGGCAATTTTTGTTTAGGCATAGCAGTTTGCAAAGCTATGCATTCTTCTGTTTTCCAATCAACTTTGTATTTTATTATTCTGCTCAAAAGTTGTATGCTATGCACAACAATATATTGAGCAAAATTTGCAATGGGTAAACTACAGTTCCCAGGATTCTTGGTATGTGTGAATATACTTTAAATGTAGGTGTGTGTACACAGCCTGAAATTAGGGATTTACCGTATTTAACACAGGTGCAAGAAGGTGTAACAGCTCAGTGCTCGCGATAGACCAAAAACATGGTCTTTTATGAGCTACTGATGCTCCACCATGCTTTCAGCTACTCTGTTGTGGTCTTCCTGTTGATAAAAGCAGATTAGGAATGAGAAACCAAAGCTGAACACCCACCTACTGTGTGTCTCTTCTCCAGCTTGGTCTGTCTAAGGGGGGCTTTGCTTTGGGGAGCAAGGGATGGTGGTGTTATATATATGTTATACTGAATGGTTCACTCCACAAAATTGTTTCTTGGGTTGCAGCCGCAGGCCCAGTGGGATGTAATTCAGATGATACAGAATAATCGGCTGATTCTCCGAATGAAAGATCCCTAGTAATGTTACAATGCTTTACAAGGTATTTACCCTCTTTACGTGAGGCAAGTGAACGAATGATTAAATGGATGTGGTGCTTTAGTAAATAATAATATCTGCAGTATTGGGCAGGGGGCGACAGGCAACTCAACCAGCCTCTGTGTCACTGATATATGTCTGTCTCAAATGCATTGTATGTGTTTGGTGAAACTGGGCACCTGTGGGACAGATAAATATGACGAGCCCTGCCTAAAGGTGCCTCTGTAGGTATGCTTAGATGGCGATAGCATCTAAACAAGATATATTTGTGTCCAAAGTGTTGGTCTCTGACTGACATTCTGTGGTACAGAATATGAGTCGGATTGTCTCAAAGAGACTAAAAAGAGACTTAATTTTAAAAGATTAACTTAAAAAGATTGACTTAAAAGAGAGAGAAGGGAAAATGTGTTTTAGACTAACTGAATATCCATCAGGACTAACTTTAACCTTAATTCTTATTGATATGAAAAGTAGCCGCAATAGCTGCTTTGCTATGTATTTCAATTTAATTTTAAATATGTCCAGAGCAGGCTACTAAATCTGGCCATGATGTTAACTAACCCTGAAGTGCACAGTTCTGGGAGCGAAAGGTTGCAGTGTGCTATCTTGTGGGCTGGAGGCTTGGTGTAAAGAAAAGTGCATACTTTGTCAAGGGCAAGATGTGGAATCCTTGACGCTTCAATGTCTGTTTGCTAGGCTGGTTGTCTGCCAAAACCCCACCAAACAGGGGGAACCCATATTCGTGCAACTTCACAGCTGTTGCCCTTGCCACAGCTGCCACACAGCCTTGTCCTCGGTACTGAGGGAGGGTGTAGCCATGCGTCAAACAACCCATTGGATCACTAAGGCACCAGGAAACCAGCTGGCCTTCTTTGTCCAGGAGGCAAGCACTAGGGAAGTTGTGGATCAGGCTGTCCAGATAGCGTAGGCTCCAATCATTGCATCCAACACTCCAATTTTCATTGAGCAGAGCTGAATGAGAGGAGTTTAGGCTGCCGAAGTGGAAGGGACCACTTCTGTACCTGAAATACAAAGAGAGGCAGTGATTTTCATGAGACAAAGGTTCTTGAGAGCAGAAGAAGCAGTAAGGCCTACAAGGCCTACACAATCATTCAAGCCTAAGCCTGCTAACAGCAAACTGCTAAGTGACTGTGACTCGTGACTCATCTTGGGTGAAGACTCATTCTCTCTGTAAAAGTAGCCAGCATCTCTATGGGCCTCAGTCAGAGAGCTGTATGGATTGTGTATGGAGTAGTCTGTGAACAGTGCTGTTGTTGTTGCCATGTAAAGCTGAGGCAGACACAGTGGCTCCAGGACCTCTGTGAAGAGTCAGATAGCTGCTATGAGCACTCTGTGTATGCTCTTTAACTATGCTGTTTCTGAACAAGTTTATTTTCTTCAGTAAAGTTTTATTCTGTTTATAAAGAAGACTCTGCTATGATTAATTTACCGCTGCGCGACAGTGATGGCGGTTGAGCAGACTGAAAGCTTAAAAAGTATTTCATCACCATCAACTGGAACAAATGAACAGGAAGTTGCAAGAGAAAGCTCAGGAAGTGACTCTGTGACTTTCTCCTCCTGTTTTGTGGTCAGAACTAAGCCAGGACATAGCAATCAGATGTGGAACTTTGTGTTGGGTTACAATTCACTGCTTACTGATTATGAGGAGGAATGTTTGAGAATTCCGATGAAAATAGAAGCAGAAATTGCTGGTGTTCAGCTAGTCAGCCCTTTTCCAGAACAGAAAACAGTCCAATGAATACTGAATATTTGCTGTTGTTATTTTCCATCCACAAATAATATGCACTCACTAACCGGCTCTGACAGTAGGCAGATGGGTCAGGATGCAGGACTGTCTGGTAGAAGTATGGCTTAAGATTGACACGTCTGGACTCTGCAATCTCTCTGGCAGCTTCATATAAGCCATCTTGGAGCCCTGCACACAATGAAAATGAGATGTCAACCTGGGGGTGAGGAATTATATTTGCTAATGCTCTGTGTCTGCACCTCTCTTGGTATTGCCCAGGGTTGGTGTTTCCTTTGGAATGAGGTACAGCAGAGACTGTGGTGTCTCTGTGGCATGTGGTTTATTTACACATATACTGTATTTTTCGCCCTATAGGACGCACTTTTTCCCCTCCAAAAATGAAGGGGAAATCTGGGTGCGTCCTATGGGGCGAATGCAGGCTTTCGCTGAAGCTTGGAGAGCGAGAGGGGTCGGTGCGCACTGACCCCTTTCCCTCTCCAGGCTTCAGGAACGCATCCGCAGCCTAGGCAGCCCTGCGGGAGTTCCCGCAGGGCTCCCCACGCTGCGGATAGCAGCTTGCCACCCGGCGCGAGGAGCGCCCTGAAGCAGAGCGCCCCGCACACCGGACAGACATCGGCCAGCCCCACAAACTCGGGGGACAGCAAGGAGGCGCAGCGCCGCCATCCTGCTGTTCCTCGACCTGGTTCGGTTTCCCCGACCTGGTTTTGGGGGGGAAATAAAGGGAATTTTTTCCCCCTTTATTCCCCCCCCCCCAAAAAAACTAGGTGTGTCCTATGAGACAAAAATACGGTACACAACCTGAGCAGTATTTACACCCCAAGAGGGACTTGCTTCCCCCATGGTCACAGCTCTCAACTCAGCCTTTGCCCACCCATTTTATAACTACCCACCCATTTATCATCTCACACAGAGCCACTTCCTTGGTACCTCTCAATGTCTCATCACCTTACCAGGATACTAGCTTTGCTATTCCAGGAATGGAATAGGTAGAGCATGAGGAGCTTTACCTTGAAGCTGAAAGGCCTTTCCCCAGTCAATGGCTTCTGCATTTTCCAACAGTGTTCGCCAGGCGTCTACATCCCAGTAGAAAGCAGTATGAAAGTTGGAGTAGCAATCCTGCTTGTCTTTCACCACCTGCAGAACGTGGCACAGTCATTTCGTTATTAACAGGACGCAGGTAGCGGGGGTTGGTTGGATCTTATTAACGATGGAGAGCAGGAGCAAGAGAAAGGCAAAGGAGGCAGGAACAGGCCCAGCACCACCATGGAGTGCGTCTCCAATGGCTTTCCAGCCTCAGAAGCTACCGTCTCTTGTGCTTTTTCTCACAGGTTCAGGTGACGGGTTATGGGAGAATTCTCACCTCCTTACGTGGGCGGGTAAGGACAACTTTAAACTCCGGCCAAGAGTCCACCACCACTTCGTGCTGAGCTGGATTTCTACGGTTGATGTGCATCACAGCTCCGTTGGCCTGCCAAGGAAAGGGGGGCAGTTAGCTAGAGCAAAAATCCATGTTGCCATTTGTTAAATTGATGGGGAAAGGGGACGGCAGTAGAGGAGCGAGAATTACCGGAAGAGCCTGGGGCAGGTGCCGTTGCAGCACAGTCTCAAGCAGCTTCAACTTGGAGGGGCAGGTCAGGATCTGCATGGCTGGCCAAAGAGGGGCTGGGGGCTACGTCAGGTTCCAGGAAAGATAACGTGGGGGGGAAGGAAGCACTTGAAGGGGACGAAAGGCAGAAAGAAATGCATCAGACCCTTACACTCAGTGCTACCGGACAATCCACAACCAGAATGACTTGCCATTTCTCATGAAATCTCTAGTACTCAAATTACTTCACTAATTATGTCTGTAGATCAGGGATATATGGAGTTGATTCCTATTCTGGCTGAGGAGATCGACAGTGGCTGCCCCTCATTCAGACAGTCCCCAACTCCACTTTGCAGTTAGTCAAATCATTTCCTTATTTTTCTAGCGTTGAGGCAGAGCTGAATTGGTAGGCAAGAAGATTTGAGTCCCACTTATTTAGGGGGATTAGATTGTCCCCTTCCGAGGTCCACAATGACAGCTGCAGTGCTTACCTGAAGGGACACGTCTGCCTTTCAGAAGAAGGTAGCAGCCTATTGCTGGGCCACTGGCATGATATGGAATGCCATCCTTGCTCAGACAATTTATCCACTTAAGTATTTTTTTAAAAAAAATTCCTGAAGCAATAAGCCATTAACTGGCTGGTGCCTTGGCCTTTTTCCCAGTGTCTCAACAGAGAAGGAAGTTTGGCTGCAAAATGCTTTTGCTTGACTCAGATGGTCACAAGTCCAGAGAACATGAGAGATTCGGCATATACTGTGACTTATGTCCAGGCTTCCATGCGCCCTTGGCAAGGAGCTGTATCATCAACTCTGAAGCCGCCCTGCTGGGCGCTCCAGCCCTCCAAGCCAGAGTCGAGGGGCGTGACGCCCCCCTGGGAGCGGGGGCCAACCTAACCAATCCCTAGGTACGCCCCTGCTTACACTTGGCCAAGTCTTCTCAACCCTGCACAGATCTACTTTGTTTCAAGTTCAGAGCAGGACAGCTAGGTACTCATTCACCAGGGTCCCTTTCTCATTTCACTGCAATGTGGTAATGGGATGAGCTCTGACAACATGCAAAAGTCAGGATGCCCAACCTCCTCTGTGGGGTAGAAGCTCCCTTTCAATCTGTTTCAGTAAGAATCCAAGAAAATGCACTCCAAGTTATACACCAGGGGTATATATATAGCTTCTGTCTTGGTGCCAAATTTTGATAAGTCGATCCAGAGTACACAGTGAGCTGGTTCATACATAACTTTAAACCACAGTTAAAACTCAACTATGATTTAATGTTCACCTAAGGATGGAAGCAGACCTGAGTAACAACCAGTCCTTCCCTTTTAGAGATGAGAAAGCCTTCCGTAGTAGACGGTGATTAAGCTGACCTGGCATGGGAAGAGGTGATGGAGGGCATAGCTGAGGAAGAAAGGGTTAACTCTTCCCTCTCCAGGTGTGATTTCCAAAATTGCAAAAAAAACCTGCTCCTTTTCCCTTATGGGGTACCCAAGAACCCACATAGAGTCCTTTTGTTGGTTCTCTATCGGTAGGAGAAAATAACAGAGACCAGAAAATATTGAGAAGTAAAGCAGCTAGTAAGCCTGATCTTAACTGTTGCAACAGGGTGCTCCCCAACACGCAGGAGAGAGGAGGAGGAACCCAAGCCATGTGCGCAAGCCCTTATATAGACATTTTAAATGGCCCGCCCTGGAGTCCAGGACCAATCCCAGAAACATCATGCATACATCACGGAAGGGGTGTAGCCCAAGACCACCCCCCAGGTACATCATATCTACAACAGAAATCTGCGTGTGTTGTTTATCTCCTGTCTGGCAAGTTACCTGATTGCATTATCCTGGTTTTGGCCACTCTTTTGTTATTATAACTACTTAATTCCTGAATCTAGGTCACAGGCTCACACCCTGTTCATATCTTGAATGTGCCCTTAAGACAGGATTTGTGAGGACAGGATTTGTGAGGAAAGAGACAATGGGGAGGGTTCCCACTTTGACCTTGCAGAGAAATTTTTTTTATATATATGTCCTTAAAATTCTTATAACTCCCCTCTTCTGTTACAACTAGATTTGGAAACAAAGCATACTACTGGCTCCAATGTAATTGTTGTGGGATGATCTTCCTGGAAATTGCAGGAAGATGAAAAGTTAACTCTTCCGCTGCTTTGCTCTCCACAAAGAGCGCCCCTGGTATTATGTTTTTTAAAAACGGAAAATGCCTTTTTCAAGTGTAATTGCTGGTGGGACTGCAGGTGGGTAGGGTTTAGAGTGAGTGTGTGGCTGCAGGTCAAATGTGAGCGGTTGTCAATGACAGTTTATCAGGTTTGCAAATATGCCCATGGTCCCAAAAAAGATTGGCCACCATTGCCAACCCGTGACTTTTGGGAGAACTCAAAAACATGCGCAATATAATGTGATATTTTGGTTGGCCTAATGCGGGCATATCCAAAGTCTGCTTTGGGGTCTAATCCGGCCCCCCGGTCGGTTTAATCTGGCCCCTGTGGCAGTTTATTTCCTGGGGTAAAATCCTCAAAAAAGCTCAGCAACTTCCACCCTTAAAAAAGCTCAGCAACTTCAATTCTAAAAAAAAGGTCAACTTTGCATATATATTTTTATTGTCTTAAGAAAATTATACAGACAGCAAAACGAAGAAGCCTAAATTAACATTGCCTCTTACCAATAAGAAATAATAATAACTATTACAATAATAAAAATACTAAAAATTCATTTACTTCCCCTTTTAAATTTCTATTCTGGTTACCATATATTACTATTCTATAAGAATCTATTATATCCTTTGCTGTCCCATATATTATTTTACTTCCGGAATTCAACCTAACCCTCCCCTCCTCCCCTCTTCTTCCCGTCATAAGATTTCCTCCCCCCCCGGTTGCTTTAATAAGATAGAATAACATGAAAACTGTAAAATTATAATTACTTCTTTTGTCCCTACACGCTTAACAATTGCCTATTAAAAGTTCTGCTTTAACACCATATTTCTTCATGTATTCCCCTATGCAATCCATTCTGTATAACGTTTTTGTTTGGAGCAGCCCCTGAGTGATGCAGTCATTTTTGCCATCTCTGCAAACTCACAAATCTTAATTTGTCATTCTGTCAGTTGTGGTACTTTTTCTGTTTTCCTATATTTTGCCGTAAGTATTCTTGCGGCTGCAGTTATATACAAAAATATGTTCCTTTTGTCCTTGGGGATGTTGTTTGTTAATAGACTCAATAAGTATGACTGCTTTTTTTGAAATAGAGCTCCTGAGAATCTCCTCATTTATCTCATTCCAAAATTGTCTTACCACCTTGCATCCCCACCATCAACAACTTTGGTTGGTCCTTATGGCTCCTCACTTAATCAAATCTGGCCCTCTTTGAAAATTTTGGACACCGCTGACCTAATGGTATTTATTTATGTATTATTTATTAAATTTGTATACCCCACCCTTCATCCATAGATCTCAGGGTGGCTCACAACATAAAAATACAACATAAAAACACAAAATACATAATAAAAGCAAGAACAAACAAAACACAAACACACAAACCAATACCCCCCCCCCAAAAGTATTGGAAAAGCTAATATTTCACTATTATATCATTAGACCATTGCTTGGCTGGTTGACCATTCTTGATATATGGCTTAAGGTACCTTATGTGAAATATTTTTAAAAACCAATATGTATAAGAGAGGGACAGGAAACTCCGGGATTGGGGGAGTGATGGGTTTGTTTCTCTTTCATTCAGAGAGCTACTGAAGTCAAAGAGAGGAGATACTTTGGGACTCTCTCCTCCTCCCTTTACTAAACTGAAGAATGTATGCAGAGATGACACAATTCAGATAATCTCTGGAAGCCCATATATTCCAGCAACCTCTGCATTTGGACATTATTCATGGCAGTATGGCCATATACAGGGCACCCTGCCACATGGCTTTTCATGGACAGTGCCCTCAATACTATAGCTAAGTAGCCCCTTTGGCGGTGGGATGGAAGGGTGTAGCCATGTATTTGTGCACCAATAGGATCTGTGATGCCCCAGCTGATAGGATGACCATTGCTGTCCAGGATGCAGATATTGGGGAAGCACTTCACCATGTTGTCCAGGTACCGTCGGCTTTGTTCATTGCCCCCATGGTGCCATGTTTCATTTAGGATGTCAACATGGGAGCTTTTCAAGGTGGAAATTGTGAAGCTGGGATCTAGCCTGGAAGAAAAGACAGGCAAGAACAATATAGACAGAGATGTTGGAAGAACCCAGGAACCACCTTTTTGGCTCAGATCATCTAGTCCAACACATGTTAACACTGGCCAGCAACCTGAGTAAGTCGCAAGCAGGAAACCATTTTGCTTTTGCACACATGGGCTGCTTTATGGTGTCAACATAGCCATTAATAGACAAAACATTTTTAGGAAACTTTGCTGTGCCAGCCAGGAGAAGGCAGACTTGGAAAGAGTGAATGCAAGGTTTGACCATAGTATTTTGGCTATGGAGATTCTCCAACTGGAAGCACCACAGGTTAACCAGTTCCTCAAGCAGAAAGGAAGAAAGGGGGGGAGCAAGGTGGACACTTACTGGCGCTGAGGCATTTTATCTGGGTTAGGGTTCAGGTAGGTGAAGTGGGGAGTTGCAGTCAGATGAATTTTCTTGGTGGCAGCAGCATCTTTAGAGACATCATAGATCCCATTCTGGTACCCTGTAAAATAGTAAAATATTCAACAGCAAAGAGAAGGATATATGTGTATGGTTTTTTTTTAAATGATATTTATTAAAGTTTCAGAAACAAAAGATTACATAGATAAAAAGAAAAGAAACAAGAGAAAAAAGAAAAAAGAAAAAAATACAAAATACAGGAAAAAAAATAAAAAACACTTAAAAACAAATCAATCTTTCCGTGCCTTACATTTCATTTCCTTGCTTCCCTGACCTCCTCTCACCTCCCTTTTTTGTATTCCAGTTCAATTGGTTAATTCAGCAATTCCTTTCCCTCTTTGTTTTTGTCTTAATCCTTTAACATAATATATTATAGCTTTAGATTCTCACCTATTAACAATCCATTTTTACATACACCTTTATAACATTGCTGCTAAAACAACTTAACTTCATTCTGACATCATTCTAACATTCATTAATTTTGCAGTATTTCTGTAAATAGTCTTTAAATTTCTTCCAATCTTCTTCCACCGACTCTTCTCCCTGGTCTCGGATTCTGCCAGTCATTTCCGCCAATTCCATATAGTCCATCACCTTCATCTGCCATTCTTCCAGGGTGGGTAAATCTTGTGTCTTCCAATATTTTGCAATAAGTATTCTTGCTGCTGTTGTTGCATACATAAAGAAAGTTCTGTCCTTCTTTGGCACCAATTGGCCGACTATGCCCAGGAGGAAGGCCTCTGGTTTCTTCAAGAAGGTATATTTAAATACCTTTTTCATTTCATTATAAATCATCTCCCAGAAAGCCTTAATCCTCGGGCACGTCCACCAAAGGTGATAGAATGTACCTTCAGTTTCTCTACATTTCCAGCATTTATTATCGGGCAAATGATAGATTTTTGCAAGCTTGACTGGTGTCATGTACCACCTGTAAATCATTTTCATAATATTTTCTCTTAAGGCATTACATGCCGTAAACTTCATACCTGTGGTCCATAATTGTTCCCAGTCAGCCATCATTACGTTATGTCCAACATCTTGTGCCCATTTAATCATAGCAGATTTCACCGTTTCATCCTGAGTATTCCATTTCAACAGCAAGTTATATATCTTTGACAAAATCTTAGTTTTGGGTTCTAACAGTTCTGTTTCTAATTTTGATTTTTCCACCTGGAAGCCAATTTTCTTGTCCGAATTATATGCCTCCATTATCTGATAATAATGAAGCCAATCTCGCACTTTGTTTTTTTAGTTTCTCAAAACTCTGCAGTTTCAATCTATCTCCCTCTGGTTCCAGAATTTCCCAATATTTCGGCCATTTGGCCTCCATATTGAGCTTTTTCTGTGCTTTCGCTTCCATCGGTGACAGCCACCTTGGGGTTTTATTTTCCAATAGATCCTTATATCTTATCCAGACATTAAACAATGCTTTCCTGACAATATGATTTTTAAATGCTTTATGTGCTTTGACCTTATCATACCACAAATATGCATGCCATCCAAATACATTATTAAAACCTTCTAAGTCCAAAATGTCTGTGTTTTCAAGAAGCAGCCATTCTTTCAGCCAGCAAAAAGCTGCTGATTCATAATAAAGTTTAAGGTCTGGCAGGGCAAATCCACCTCTTTCCTTTGCATCCGTTAGTATTTTAAATTTTATTCTGGGCTTCTTGCCCTGCCAGACAAATCTAGAGATATCTCTCTGCCACTTCTTGAAGCAATCCATTTTGTCCAAAATTTGCAATGTTTGAAACAAAAACAACATTCTAGGCAATACATTCATTTTTATCGCAGCAATACGGCCTAGCAGTGAAAGCTTCAAATTTGACCAAATTTCTAAATCTTTTTCACTTCAGCCCAACATTTTTCATAATTGTCTTTAAATAGATTCCCATTTTTAGCTGTCATGTTAATCCCCAGGTATTTCACTTTCTTAACCACTGTTAAACCTGTCTCATTCTGAAACCTCTCTCTCTCAATCGCTGTTAAATTTTTCTCTAAGACCTTTGTTTTTAACTTATTCAGTTTAAATCCTGCAACCTGACCAAATTCTTGAATCAGTTCCAAAACCCTTTTAGTACTAGATTCTGGCTCCTGTAGTGTCAATACTAAGTCATCTGCAAATGCTCTCAATTTGTACTGTTTAGCTCCGACTTCTATACCTTTAACCAATTGGTCCCTTCTAATCATATTCAGCAGGACCTCCAGGACCGATATAAAAAGCAATGGGGAGATTGGGCAACCTTGTCGTGTCCCTTTTTCTATCTTGAATTCCTCCGTCATGCTTTTTGAGGATAGGGCAAGAAGTTGTTCAGTGCATCAGGACCACAGTAGGGGGCAAAATGTTAAAGCCCCCTACCCATCTTCCAATTTGACACCTGATATCGACATTTTAAAAGCATTCATATTATTATTATTACTATTATTACTATTATTATTGGGGCAAGCGAGGGTACCACCTTCGGGCATCCACTGCCTCACTCCACCTGATGGCCGTGCTGGTCCTGCAATTTATATTCAGTGGAGGCTGGTCTTTCAGGGTGAATGGGGCCTGCTTCATCAAGCGCTATCTGCCCACAGTCAGCTCTTCCCACCTGCTTTTTACTTTCATCCAATCTGCAGGGGGGGGGGCACGTCTATCAATTTCCTCCTCAGTCTCAGTTTTGCCTCTTGTAGAAGGCAAATGCTGCCTATTATGGGTTCTGGATCCACCTATGTTGGTCTCCCTGCCTTCTGCCCTACCAGTTCCAGTGAGAACCAGCCACCACAGTTTACATTAATGACAGTAATGTCATTTAAAAGGGGGGGGGGACTCTGTCATCTCATAACTTTTCCCTTAGAAAGAACTGCCTTTTACCATAGAGACGAAAGGTTTGCTTCCAGTTGACAGCATCTGTGTCCAGCAACAGTCTCCGGTACACATCAAGATCCCAGTAAAAGGCTGCATATATGTTTTTATACAAATCTGTATTGTCTGTATCGGCCTAAAAGAGAGAGAGATGGAACTCATTAGGATAGGCTCCCTGCCATCTCCTTCTCTAACCAGTTCTTCTCAGGTTGCCAAATTTATTCTGTTAAAATTCCTGTGCCAAATTTATTCTGTTAAAATTCCTGACACTTTAACAGGTAAAGCTTTTCCTGATGTTGAGATGAAATGATGGGTGAAGTTTGACCTGCTCTAATGCCAAATGTGCCCTCCTAACAGGGTTGTCTTTAGCAGATGCCAGGGTTCAAATATCCTCCCCATGCCCCCAAATTACCACGGGTAGTGGGGGGAGGAGAGTGCGCACTGCCAGCCTTGGGGGGGGGGGTTAACTCTCCCACAAGCTGCAGCAGGAGAGCAATCCCCACAGAGGCTGCGCACCCGCCAGCCATATAGTTGGCGGGGCACAGCTTCCATCCCAAGCCTCTGCGGGCACAGCTGGCAGGCGTGCAGGGAAAGGGGAGACCGCCAGCAAAACCACGCAGCTCCCCCACTTGCTGGGGCGGCCCTGAGAGGCCGGCGCCCTGGTGCAATGCACCACAAAGGTGAAAGGCAGCTCTACCTCCTAAACAAGAGCCAACATCCCCTTTCATTTTGAGCCTGGCTCAGAGTCCCAGCACAGAACACGCAGCATTTCCTGCTGACATCCCACAAAGCACCCCCCACAAAATCCCCAAAGGCTACTACCTCCGTCCGTGGACGAGTCAGGACCGCTTTGCAATCCGGCCAAGAATCCACAATCACCTCATGGCCCACTGGGTTCCCACGGTTTATATTCACGACTGCACCATAGACCTGTCAAAAGTCATAGGATGTCAGAGTTGGTGCTGCAGTTGAAGGAGGCAGCCTATGAGAAATGTGTGGGGTCTGGTGTGTCAGGCTTGTTTCTGCTGCATGCCTTGAGTGGGGTGTCCTGATCTGAGCAAGCACAAGGGACAGGAGAATCTGTTGATTTCCCTTGGTGTTCCAGCTGAAAGAAGCAGCCTGAGACAAACATTTGAGGAGAGAATCGGTGGTGTGGCCCCTAATTCAGATTTTGATCTGCTGCATGAATCCCCACTGTTAGTGACTAGCCCTTGAATGGTATTACCTTGACTGAGGACTTCCTGTTAACCAGCTGATTAACAAAATCTAGGAGCCCACAAGGCCGTGTCACATATTACACATATTTCTCACGAATCCTAGCTCTCTGCTGAGCATATCAACATGATACACACATTTTCAAGCACCTTCGTGTTGAACGTAAACTCTTAAGGCATGCACCTAAAAATGTAACATATAATGGTGTTCTCAGATTCAAAATGTGGAGTTTTAGAAAGATCAAGAGATGTTGACAGGAACCTGCCCCCATTCCTAGCTCTTAAACCAGATTACAAAACTCAAGATTACCGCAACTGTCTGAGGGAGGTTTCTCTTCAGCAGCGTCTCCAGCAACTGCAACTTGGATGCACAGGATAGGATCAACATAGCTTGGGAGGTGAAAGCCGATGGGCTGGTACCAACAGAAACAATGCCTGTGATGAGCACCTGGGAGAGAGATCAGTTCTTTGCTGCTCACCAGAATCCCCAAACTGAGAAGTCTTTTGTCACTGAAGTGGCTGGGGCAACCCAGTCAGATGGGCAGGGTGCAAATAATAAAATTATGTTTATTATTACTTATTTAACCCCTATGTCTACACCCCAGTGTCAGATGGCACAGCTCCCCCTGGGCTTCTAACTGTAACAGGAAAGCCCTCGCCTTCCTTCCAGCTCAATTCTGATAAACAAAAACCTTCTCTTGTGAACTACAGACAAGAAGCTCTCTTATACTGCTCACCTGCTGTCCAAAACAGCAACACGGACCTTTGCAGTTGGAGTCCTCTTTCCAGCTTGGTAACTTTGGGGATTCCTTTGATTAGGAGGGGTAATTTACATAAATTTATACTAGAGTGAGTGAACCGTTAACAGAACTGTTCCTTGGATTGTAGCCACAGGCCTTGTGGGATTGGATCCCACTGATGCAGAAGAATTGGCTGTGTTAATGGATAAGAAGGAGGTGGGTTTGCTTCAAAAGATTGGGAGAGAAGTGCTAGCTGCAGCTTCTTTCACCAGGATGAGTTGAAGGAAATAATGAAGGATTTGGAAAGCAAGCAAAGTCCTAGCTAAAGAAGAATGGCAACTTAAACTACGGTAGACCCTTCGGTTACATACCGCTCTGAATATGTAATCTTCGGGTTGCGAAAGCGGCAAACTCGGAAGTGTATTCTTCCAGTTTTTGCCGCATGCGCAGAAGCACTCTGCACGCTGGGTGTATATGCTCTATCGTGCTTTCTGCGTCCGCAGAAGCGGTGCCTCTGGTTACGGATTCTTTGGGGTCTGCACGGACCACCGAAACAAATTAAATTCGTAACCAGAGCGTCCACTGTAAACAGTTAATGATCACCTGAGCAATATATGATTTACTGACAGTCCCTGTCATGCTGTTCAAATGATCCGTAAAACGGATCTTGACTATTAGCGTGCTTGTGCGTTGGCATGAAGGTTGGACTCCGAAGAGGGTTCAGTCATTGGTTTAATCATTCTGTAACAAGTCTAACAGAACTACAGAGATTATTTAAATAGTTCTGCTGTCAATTACAATTAGTGAACCATTGGGGAGGGTATTGGTAGGGGTTGGGATTGAAGTAAGCTGGTTTTCCCTCCATGGCTACAAAACTTCCAACAACTTGCTTCTCTGATAAAGATACAGTGGTGCCCCGCAAGACGAATGCCTCGCAAGATGGAAAACCCGCTAGACGAAAGGGTTTTCCGTTTTTGAGTTGCTTCGCAGGACGAATTTCCCTATGGGCTTGCTTCGCAAGACGAAAATGTCTTGCGAGTCTTGAGATTGTTTCGCTTCCCCCTTTTCTAAGCCGCTAAGCCGCCAATAGCCTTTTAGCAGCTAATCCGCTAGCCGCTAAGCCTTTAATAGCCGCTAAACCGCTAATAGCGCTAATCCGCTAATCCGCTAATAGGGTTGCTTCGCAAGACGAAAAAACCGCTAGATGAAGACACTCGCGGAACGGATTAATTTCGTCTTGCGAGGCACCACTGTACATTTTTCTTCTATCAGCTAGAATTGGCAGCTAGAATTGTTTCCATAAAGTATTGGAAAGCAAATCTGATACTGACACTCTAAGAATATGTCAAATTTTAAATAAATCAACTTCGGGCTAGCCAGGAAAAAAAACTGTACTTGTACCAGGTTTGAAGAATATTGGGGCTACACCCAACAATTGCGAAATGACCAGCAAATTGCAATGTTGGGCTGCCTTTTTGTCTTGGAGAAATAATTAATTCTTATGTCTGTAGGATGTATCTAAGATATTTTGTGAGGAAATATCTTTGGATAAATTGGAGGGACTTGTACTTACATATTGACATAGAATGAATTATCTTAGATATTTTGTTTGGTAAATGTATATAAATAATCTGGTTGGCCATGATGAGAACAGGATGCTGGACTTGATTGACCCGATCCAGCAGGCTCTTATGTTCTAGATTCTATGTGAAGCATAATTAAACTAGATATCTTTATTGATCTTCCAATTTCTGGAGGGATAAATTTTAAAATGTGGTAAAGGTGAATAATGAGAGAATTCTTATATTTATTAGGATAGGTCTACAGAGAGTAAACTAAATGGAAACAACAATTGGAGAGAAAAACAATGTATCCAACCCATGAGGATTTCTCTGATTTTTTTTGCAATTTTTGAATGCAATTTGTTTTATCACTAATGGAGAATGGGGAAAAAATGCAGTATAATTTTTCATTAAAGCACCAGTTCTCACTCTTGTTCTTTTCTTTGTAAGTTGCTTTGGGTTGCCCTGTGTAAGATAAAGTGACTAACAAATTCAGTAAATAACATTAATAATTTCCAATTTAAGGAAACATAAAAATAATAAAAGACTCCTGTATGTAAGTGTTGTTCGGTGAAACAGTCACTACATTTATCTGTAGAAATGAACTCCTGCTCCAGGCTGTCCCCCTAGGTCCAAGATTTTTAAATGAACCAGAATTTGACCCAGAACCCACACTCACGTTTGAAACACAAATTCCAAACCCTGGCACAGGATCTTAAAATCCTCACACCTTCTACTGCAACCAAAAGACACTTTTTTGAAGCCTAGAAGCATGGAGGAAATTTTCAATAGGGTGCAGCTAATGTGTGTGTGTTAACGCTTCCCAGTTGTGACTCCTGAACTCATCCTTCTCATAATGCAATTGATTTTGAAAGAAGCCAAGAGAAGCTTCCTTATCTCTGAAAGCTGTTACTCAGGTCTGCTTCCAGTCTTACGAACCATAACTATGGTTTAAAGTTATGTGTGAACCAGTTCACTGTGTACTCTACACTGATTTATCAGTATTTGCCACAGATGAAGAACCAGACAAAACATATTTGGCAATTTAAACTGTTGTTTATGCACAGCAGTTTGCAAAGCTATGCATTCTTCTGTTTTCCAATCAACTTTGTATTTTATTATTCTGCTCAAAAGTTATATGCTATGCACAACAATATATTGAGCAAAATTTGCAATGGGTAAACTACAGTTCCCAGGATTCTTGGTATGTGTGAATATGCTTTAAATGTTGGTGTGTCTACACAGCCTGAAATTAGGGATTTATTTTCAACACAGGTGCAAGAAGGCACAGCTCCTGAGCTTATAGGAATAACAGCTCAGTGCTCTAGTTATACAAGAAAAATATGGTCTTATACGAGCTACTGATGCTCCACCATGCTTTCAGCTACTCAGTTGTGTCTTCTTGTTGATAAAAGCAGATTAGGAATGAGAAACCAAAGCTGAACACCCACCCACTGTGTGTGTCTTGTCCAGCTTGGTGTGTCTAAGGGGTGCTTTGCTTCGGGGAGCAAGGGATGGTGGTGTTATGTATATGTTATACTGAATGGTTCACTCCACAAAATTGTTTCTTGGGTTGCAGCCGCAGGCCCAGTGGGATGTAATCCAGATGATACAGAGTAATCGGCTGATTCTCCGAATGAAAGATCCCTAGTAATGTTACAATGCTTTACAAGGTATTTACCCTCTTTACGTGAGGCAAGTGAATGAATGATTAAATGTACAGTATGTGGTGCTTTAGTAAATAATAATACCTGCAGCATTGGGCAGGGGGCGACAGGCAACTCAAGCAGCATTTGCATCACTGATATATGTCTGTCTCAAATGCATTGTATGTGTTTGGTGAAACTGGGCACCTCTGTGGGACAGATAAATATGACGAGCCCTGCCTAAAGGTGCCTCTGTAGGTATACTTAGATCGTGAAGGCATCCAAACAAGATATATTTGTGTCCAAAGTGCTGGGCTCTGCCTAACATGCTGTGGTACAGAATATTAGTCGGATTGACTCAAAGAGACTTAAAAAAACACTTAAGATTGACTTAAAAGAGACAGAAGGGGAAATGTGTTTTAGACTAACTGAATATACATCAGGACTAACTTTAACTTAATTTGTATTGGGTATGAAAAGTAGCCGCAATAGCTGCTTTGCTATGTATTTCAATTTAATTTTAAATATGTCCAGAGCAGGCTACTAAATCTGGCCATGATGTTAACTAACCCTGAAGTGCACAGTTCTGGGAGCAAAGGTTGCAGTGTATTATCTTGTGGGCTGGAGGCTTGGTGTAAAGAAAAGTGCATACTTTGTCAAGGGCAAGATGTGGAATCCTTGACGCTTCAATGTCTGTTTGCTAGGCTGGTTGTCTGCCAAAACCCCACCATACAGGGGGAACCCATATTCGTGCAACTTCACAGCTGTTGCCCTTGTCACAGCTGCCACACAGCCTTGTCCTCGGTACTGAGGGAGGGTGTAGCCATGCGCCAAACTTCCCATTGGATCACTAAGGCACCAGGAAACCAGCTGGTCTTCTTTGTCCAGGAGGCAAGCACTAGGGAAGTTGTGGATCAGGCTGTCCAGATAGCGTAGGCTCCAATCATTGCGCCCAACACTCCAATTTTCATTGAGCAGAGCTGAATGAGAGGAGTTTAGGCTGCCGAAGTGGAAGTGGCCACTTCTGTACCTGAAATACAAAGAGAGGCAGTGATTTTCATGAGACAAAGGTTCTTGAGAGCAGAAGAAGCAGTAAGGCCTACAAGGCCTACACAATCATTCAAGCCTAAGCCTGCTAACAGCAAACTGCTAAGTGACTGTGACTCGTGACTCATCTTGGGTGAAGACTCATTCTCTCTGTAAAAGTAGCCAGCATCTCTATGGGCCTCAGTCAGAGAGCTGTATGGATTGTGTATGGAGTAGTCTGTGAACAGTGCTGTTGTTGTTGCCATGTAAAGCTGAGGCAGACACAGTGGCTCCAGGACCTCTGTGAAGAGTCAGATAGCTGCTATGAGCACTCTGTGTATGCTCTTTAACTATGCTGTTTCTGAACAAGTTTATTTTCTTCAGTAAAGTTTTGTTCTGTTTATAAAGAAGACTCAGCTACGATTAATTTACCGCTGCGCGACAGTGATGGCGGTTGAGCAGACTGAAAGCTTAAAAAGTATTTCATCACCATCAACTGGAACAAATGAACAGGAAGTTGCAAGAGAAAGCTCAGGAAGTGACTCTGTGACTTTCTCCTCCTGTTTTGTGGTCAGAACTAAGCCAGGACATAGCAATCAGATGTGGAACTTTGTGTTGGGTTACAATTCACTGCTTACTGATTATGAGGAGGAATGTTTGAGAATTCCGATGAAAATAGAAGCAGAAATTGCTGGTGTTCAGCTAGTCAGCCCTTTTCCAGAACAGAAAACAGTCCAATGAATACTGAATATTTGCTGTTGTTATTTTCCGTCCACAAATAATATACACTCACTAACCGGCTCTGACAGTAGGCAGATGGGTCAGGATGCAGGAATGTCTGATAGAAGTATGGCTTAAGATTGACACTTCTGGACTCTGCAATCTCTCTGACAGCTTCATATAAGCCATCTTGGAGCCCTGCACACAATGAAAACGAGATGTCAACCTGGGGGTGAGGAATTATATTTTCTAATGCTCTGTGTCTGCACCTCTCTTGCTATCGTATGATTATAGTGTTGTGTGCCACCCAGTCTTTGAGCAGTGCGAAATTCCAGGATTCTAGGCGCATACCCAAGGTTGGTGTTTCCTTTGGAATGAGGTACAGCAGAGACTGTGGTGTCTCTGTGGCATGTGGTTTATTTACACATATATACAACCTGAGCAGTATTCACACCCAAGAGGGACTCACTTCTCCCATGCTCACAGCCTTCTATTTAAACAGAAATCAAACATTGCTCTCTTTCTCTCTTCCCAGCTTGCTAATGTGCTTCTAGCTCACATCACTCCAATCCTCTGCTCTTAACTCAGCCTTTGCCCTTCAAACTACCCACCCATTTTCCATCCCACACAGAGGCACTTCCTTAGTACCTCTCAGTGTCTCATCACCTTACCAGGAAGCTAGTTTTGCTATTCCAGGAATGGAATAGGTAGAGCATGAGGAGCTTTACCTTGAAGCTGAAAGGCCTTTCCCCAGTCAATGGCTTCTGCATTTTCCAACAGTGTTCGCCAGGCGTCTACATCCCAGTAGAAAGCAGTATGAAAGTTGGAGTAGCAATCCTGCTTGTCTTTCACCACTTGCAGAACGTGGCACAGTCATTTGGCTATTGACAGGACGCAGGTAGCGGGGGTTGGTTGGATCTTATTAACGATGGAGAGCAGGAGCAAGAGAAAGGCAAAGGAGGCAGGAACAGGTCCAGCACCACCATGGAGTGCGTCTCCAATGGCTTTCCAGCCTCAGAAGCTACCGTCTCTTGTGCTTTTTCTCACAGGTTCAGGTGACGGGTTATGGGAGAATTCTCACCTCCTTACGTGGGCGGGTAAGGACAACTTTAAACTCCGGCCAAGAGTCCACCACCACTTCGTGCTGAGCTGGATTTCTACGGTTGATGTGCATCACAGCTCCGTTGGCCTGCCAAGGAAAGGAGGGCAGTTAGCTAGAGCAAAAATCCATGTTGCTCCATGAGAAAATGGTAGGAAATGCCATTTGTTAAATTGATGGAGAAAGGGGACGGCAGTAGAGGAGCGAGAATTACCGGAAGAGCCTGGGGCAGGTGCCGTTGCAGCACAGTCTCAAGCAGCTTCAACTTGGAGGGGCAGGTCAGGATCTGCATGGCTGGCCAAAGAGGGGCTGGGGGCTACGTCAGGTTCCAGGAAAGATAACGTGGGGGGGAAGGAAGCACTTGAAGGGGACGAAACGCAGAAAGAAATGCATCAGACCCTTACACTCAGTGCTACCGGACAATCCACAACCAGAATGACTTGCCATTTCTCATGAAATCTCTAGTACTCAAATTACTTCACTAATTATGTCTGTAGATCAGGGATATATGGAGTTGATTCCTATTCTGGCTGAGGAGATCGACAGTGGCTGCCCCTCATTCAGACAGTCCCCAACTCCACTTTGCAGCTAGTCAAACCATTTCCTTATTTTTCTAGCACTGAGGCAGAGCTGAATTGGTAGGCAAGAAGATTTGAGTCCCACTTATTTAGGGGGATTACATTGTCCCCTTCCGAGGTCCACAATGACAGCTGCAGTGCTTACCTGAGGGGACACGTCTGCCTTTGAGAAGAAGGTAGCAGCCTATTGCTGGGCCACTGGCATGATATGGAATGCCATCCTTGTTCAGACAATTTATCCATTTAAGCATTTTTTTAAAAAATTCCTGAAGCAATAAGCCATTAACAGGCTGGTGCCTTGGCCTTTTTCCCAGTGTCTCAACAGAGAAGGAAGTTTGGCTGCAAAATGCTTTTGCTTGACTCAGATGGCCACAAGTCCAGAGAACATGAGAGATTCGGCATATACTATGACTTATGTCCAGGCTTCCATGCGCCCTTGGCAAGGAGCTGTATCACCAACTCTGAAGCTGCCCTGCTGGGCGCTCCACCCCTCCAAGCCAGAGTTGAGGGGCGTGATATTGACGCCCCCTGGGAGCGGGGGCCAACCTAACCAATCCCTAGGTATGCCCCTGCTTACACTAGGCCAAGTCTTCTCAACCCTGCACAGATCTACTTTGTTTCAAGTTCAGAGCAGGACAGCTAGGTACTCATTCACCAGGGTCCCTTTCTCATTTCACTGCAATGTGGTAATGGGATGAGCTCTGACAACATGCAAAAGTCAGGATGCCCAACATCCCCAGTGAGGTAAAAGCTCCCTTTCAATCTGTTTCAGTAAGAATCCAAGAAAATGCACTCCAAGTTATACACCAGGGGTATATATACAGTGGTACCTCAGGTTAAGTTCTCAATTTTTTATGGAGGTCCGTTCTTAACCTGAAACTGTTCTTAACCTGAAGCACCACTTTAGCTAAAGGCCTCCTGCTGCCGCTGTGGTGCTGGAGCCCGATTTCTGTTTCTCTTAACCTGAAGCACTATTTCTGGGTTAGCGGAGTGTGTAACCTGAAGGGTATGTAACCTGAAGCGTATGTAACCTGAGGTACCACTGTACAGTGGTGCCTCGCAAGATGAAATTAATTCGTTCTGCGAGTTTTTTTGTCTAGCGAATTTTTCGTCTTGCGAAGCACGAAATCCCATAGGAATGCATTCAAATTCAATTAATGCGTTCCTATGGTCAAAAAAAGTCCAATCAAAGCCAAATTTGGTACAACAAGAGTTTATTAAGTGGTCTTGAAAGTCACACATACTGTAAAGAGCATTTCAAAAATTGAAGGAACAATAAATTAAGTTTCTAAACATGACAGAAAAACATTTAAAAATCAACAAAGTGTACAGTACATTTTCTAAGACTCTGGGGGACAACTCGAAGAAGGTTCCTCTTCCACTCTTTGCTTCTTGCTGAAGAACCTGTCCATGGTCTGCTGCTTCATCCGCCTTTTCAGCACCTCCCTGAAAGACGACATGACCCTCGTATCAAAAGTGTTCGCAAGGTCACGTGTCAGGTCCTTGTCAGGGTGGTGCCGCTGTGCAAAAGTCTGCACATCTTTCCACTTCTGGCAAATGTCCCTCAGTTCTTTGGAGACCTGCTGTGGAACGTAGCCCTCCGTCGTCACAACCTCCAGGAACTCCGCTGCAAAGTCTTCAGCCACAGGAACATCAGAACTGGCAGCCTCTCCATGCCTGACCACGCTGTGGATTCCAGATCTTGTCTTGAACCGGTCAAACCAGCCTCTGCTTGCCTTGAAGACTTCTGGCTCGCCTGAGGTTCCTGGCTGTTCCCGGACGAGGTCTGCGTGCAAGGCCTTGGCCTTCTCACAAATGATGGCCTCAGTCACTGTGTCCCCTGCACGCTGCTTCTCTTCTAACCAGATGAGCAGCAACTTCTCCACCTCCTCCAGAACAGCTGGGCGGTTCTTCACGATCCTGGTGACTCCCTTGGCTGCATCAGTCGCAAGGATCTTCTCCCTCATCTTCAGGATGGTCCCGATGGTCGATGGATTCCTCCCGTACTCCCTGGCGAGGTCTGTCACACGCATTCCACCGTCGTGCTTCTGGATGATCTCCTTCTTCATTTCCAGCGTAACCTTCGCCTTCTTCCCCTCGCCGGCCTCTCCAGCAGCAGTCTTCTTGGGTCCCATGGCAGCACAGCTCCTACCTTCGCAAACCCGCCCCCCCCAAAAAAATCAGTGCTTCACATCCAAAAAATTCAAAAGCACCCAGCCACCCACCACACAGAAATTCAAACCCAGAATTTTTTTTAAAAAAAACAGCAGAGTGGCCCAATGGTCACAGAAAATCATAAAAATGCAGAAAAAACACACACAAGCTTCCAGATTCTTGCAAACCCCTCCTCAACACCAAGTCCTTGAATTCCAAACACCCCAACTCAAAATCCAAAAACCCCAAAAAAAGTTTTAAAAGTTTAACTTACCAAATGGCTGCAAAAGAAGTTTTGGAAAAGCTTCAAAAATCACCAGAGTCTTCAAAAACCTCAAAAAAGGCTACCACACCGCGTGCTATGAGTTGCTCCTCGAAGTCAAGTCGCAACTGCACCTCTTCAAGCAATGCACCCTGGGTATTAATGGTTTTAAGAAAAAGGAAACAAACTTGCAAGACGTTTTGATCTTGTGAAGCAAGCCCATAGGGAAATTCGTCTTGCGAAGCAGCTCAAAAAACGCGAAACCCTTTTGTCTAGCGAGTTTTTCGTCTTGCGAGGCATTCGTCTTGCGGGGCACCACTGTATATATCTTCTGTCTTGGTGCCAAATTTTGATAAGTCGATCCAGAGTACACAGTGAGCTGGTTCATACATACCGGTAACTTTAAACCACAGTTAAAACTCAACTATGATTTAATGTTCACCTAAGGATGGAAGCAGACCTGAGTAACAACCAGTCCTTCCCTTTTAGAGATGAGAAAGCCTTCCGTAGTAGAAGGTGCTTAAGCTGACCTGGCATGGGAAGAGGTGATGGAGGGCATAGCTGAGGAAGAAAGGGTTAACTCTTCCCTCTCCAGATGCAATTTCCAAAATTGCCCCTCTTCTGTTACAACTAGATTTGGAAACAAAGCATACTACTGGCCAGAGGCGTAGCGTGGGGGGTGCAGGGGGGGCCGGCCGCACTGGCCGCAACATCTGGGGGGGGGCGCGCTCGCACTCGCAGCTCTCTGACCCTAGGGCAGAGGGGGTGCAAATTACTTGCCTTGCTGACAACCCACGCTACGCCACTGCTACTGGCTCCAATGTAATTGTTGTGGGATGATCTTCCTGGAAATTGCAGGAAGATGAAAGGTTAACTCTTCCGCTGGTGCACTCTCCGCAAAGTGCGCCCCTGGTATTATTTTTTTTAAAAAACGGAAAATGCCTTTTTCAAGTGCAATTGCTGGTGGGACTGCGGGTGGGTAGGGTTTAGAGTGAGTGTGTGGCTGCAGGTCAAATGTGAGCGGTTGTCAATGACATTTTATCAGGTTTGCAAATATGCCCATGGTCCCAAAAAAGATTGGCCACCATTGCCAACCCGTGACTTTTGGGAGAACTCAAAAACATGCGCAATATATTGTGATATTTTGGTTGGCCTAATGCAGGCATATCCAAAGTCTGCTTCGGGGTCTAATCCGGCCCACCGGTCGGTTTAATCTGGCCCCTGTGGCAGTTTATTTCCTGGGGTAAAATCCTCAAAAAAGCTCAGCAACTTCCACCCTTAAAAAAGCTCAGCAACTTCAATTCTAAAAAAAAAACCTTTGCATATTTATTTTTTTTGTCTTAAGAAAATTATATAGACAGCAAAACGAAGAAGCCTAAATTAACATTGCCTCTTACCAATAAGAAATAATAATAACTATTACAATAATAAAAATACTAAAAATTCATTTACTTCCCCTTTTAAATTTCTATTCTGGTTACCATATATTACTATTCTATAAGAATCTATTATATCCTTTGCTGTCCCATATATTATTTTACTTCCGGAATTCAACCTAAGCCTCCCCTCCTCCCCTCTTCTTCCCATTTTAATATTTCCTCCCCCCCTCAGTTGCTTTAATAAGATAGAATAACATGAAAACTGTAAAATTATAATTACTTCTTTTGTCCTTACACACTTAACAATTATTAAAAGTTCTGCTTTAACACCATATTTCTTCATGTATTTCCCTATGCAATCCATTCTGTATAACGTTTTTGTTTGGAGCAGCCCCTGAGTCATTTTTGCCATCTCTGCAAACTCACAAATCTTAATTTGTCATTCTGTCAGTTGTGGTACTTTTTCTGTTTTCCTATATTTTGCCGTAAGTATTCTTGTGGCTGCAGTTATATACAAAAATATGTTCCTTTTGTCCTTGGGGATGTTGTTTGTTAATAGACTCAATAAGTATGACTGCTTTTTTTGAAATAGAGCTCCTGAGAATCTCCTCATTTATCTCATTCCAAAATTGTCTTACCACCTTGCATCCCCACCATCAACAACTTTGGTTGGTCCTTATGGCTCCTCACTTAATCAAATCTGGCCCTCTTTGAAAATTTTGGACACCGCTGGCCTAATGGTATTTATTTATGTATTATTTATTAAATTTGTATACCCCGCCCTTCTTCCATAGATCTCAGGGCATCTCAAAACATAAAAATACAACATAAAAACACAAAATACATAATAAAAGCAAGAACAAACAAACAAAACACAAACACAAACACACAAACCAACCCCCCCCCCAAGTATTGGAAATACTAATATTTCACTATTATATCATTAGACCATTGCTTGGCTGGTTGACCATTCTTGATATATGGCTTAAGGTGCCTTATGTGAAATATTTTTTAAAACCAATATGTTTAAGAGAGGGACAGCAAACTCCAGGATTGGGGTAGTGATGGGTTTGTTTCTTTTTCATTCAGAGAAGGGGAATAATGAGAGAATTCTTATATTTATTAGGAAAGGTCTACAGAGAGTAAACTAAATGTAAAAAACAATTGGAGAAAAAAACTTTGCATCCAACCCATGAGGATTTCTCTAAATGTTTTCTCCTTTTTTTGCAATTTTTGAATGCAATTTCTTTTTTCATTAATGGAGAATGGAAAAAAATGCAGTATAATTTTTCATTAAAGCACTAGTTCTCACTCTTGTTCTTTTATTTTTAAGTTGCTTTGGGTTGCCCTGTGTAAGATAAAGTGACTAAGAAATTCAGTAAATAATAATAATAATAATAATAATAATAATAATAATAATAATTATTTAAGGAAACATAAAAATAAAAGACACCTGTATGCTGTTTGTAATTGTTGTTCTGTGAAACACTCACTACATTTATCTGTAGAAATGAACTCCTGCTCCAGGCTGTCCCCCTAAGTCCAAGATTTTTAAATGAACCAGAATTTGACCCAGAACCCGCACTCACGTTTGAAACACAAATTCCAAACCCTGGCACAGGATCGCAAAATCCTCATACCTTCTACTGCAACCAAAAGACACTTTTTTGAAGCCTAGCAGCATGGAGGAAATTTTCAATAGGGTGCAGCTAACGTGTGTGTGTGGGGGGGGGGTTAATGCTTCCCAGTTATGACTCCTGAACTCATCCTTTGCTTAATGCAATTGATTTTGAAAGAAGCCAGTAGAAGCTTCCTTATCTCTGAAAGCTGTTACTCAGGTCTGCTTCCACTCTTAGGAACCATAACTGTGGTTTAAAGTTATGTGTGAACCAGTTCACTGTGTATTCTACATTAATTTATCAGTATTTGCCACTGTTGAAGAACCAGGCAAAACATATTTGGCAACTTAAACTGTTGCTTATGCACAGCAGCTTGCAAAGCTATGCATTTTTCTGTTTTCCAATCAACTTTGTATTTTATTATTCTGCTCAAAAGTTATATGCTATGCACAACAATATATTGAGCAAAATTTGCAATGGGTAAACTAAAGTTCCCAGGATTCTTGGTATGTGTGAATAGGCTTTAAATGTTGGTGTGTCTACACAGCCTGAAATTAGGGATTTATTTTCAACACAGGTGCAAGAAGGCACAGCTCCTGAGCTTATAGGAGTGCTCAGTGCTCTAGATAGACAAGAAAAACATGGTCTTATATGAGCTACTGATGCTCCACCATGCTTTCAGCTACTCAGTTGTGTCTTCCTGTTGATAAAAGCAGATTAGGAATGAGAAACCAAAGCTGAACACCCACCCACTATGTGTGTCTTGTCCAGCTTGGTGTGTCTAAGGGGTGCTTTGCTTCGGGGAGTGAGAGATGGTGGTGTTATGTATATGTTATACTGAATGGTTCACTCCACAAAATTGTTTCTTGGGTTGCAGCCGCGGGCCCAGTGGGATGTGATCCGGATGATACAGAGTAATCGGCCGATTCTCCGAATGAAAGAGAGGCGAGTCTGCTTCCATAGAACGGGAGATGAGTGCTTGCTTCAGGGGGAGCTTCTGCCGGCTGCAAGCCTCTCCCACCAGGTGGTGCTGAAGGAGATCGCGGAGGAGCAGGGATCGAGGGAGAGGACCACCGCCGCTGGAGAAGAGGAAACTGCTCTCTAGTTCGGTGACTTTGGGAAAAACTGTCTCCAGGTAAAGCATTTATTTTCTGCTCAGGTTCCCCACTCCTTGCCCAAACAGCGGCTAAGCTAGCGCAGCAGGCAAGTTGCTATGGCGGCGTTTCCACGTTTGGACGCCCAGCTCCTTTCTTGGTCCGTCTCCGGATCAGCGTTTTGGCCCGGGCATGTCCCGCTTCCCCCGCTGCCGCCGCCTTGAACGCAAAGCGAAAGCAGCGCTGCCATTGGTCGATCCGTGCAAAAACAACAGGGGCTGCGGGGAGACCCAGAGCGGCTCCGAGGGAGAGGGGGAATCGGGAGCGGTTAGTGCCAGCAGCTCTCACCCCGCAGTCCTGGCATCGCCCCCAAGAGACATTGTGGGGGAGCACCGACAGCCCCCGGCGCAGCTCCTGGTAAGGACGCAGCTGCTTCTAGAGATCTCGCGGAGCCGTTTTTCCGGGGTGACAGGAGGAGAGAGACCCTCTCTGCCCTTCCGCGTTTGGGCATTAGGGGAGGGAACTCGAGGAGGCGACTCGAAAAGGCCGCGGGGATCGTCTGGAAGGGAAGGGGCCAAAATCTGGAACGCGGCTGCTATAGAAGGAACAAGAGGGATCTATCTGTTCAGGGGGGTGAGAGGGAGGGGATCATTTTGATCCCCATTGGTTAGAGCAGGAACCGGGGAATCTGTTCTCGAGGTCTGAATGAGGAGAGGGCCGAGTCGTGCATTGCTTTGATGGCTTCAGGAGGAAGCAGAGTCCAGGATGGGGACCGCAAGGGATTCTGTCGCACTTCTTGACAGAGGAATAGCCTCCCGCTCAGGGAAAGGACTTTGCCCTGCCTTGGAGTCGGGCTGAGAATTTTCAGTGTCAACACACGGTCCTGGAAAATGCAAAGGCATTTATAAAGAGTGTAGGATCTCTGACCATGCACAGAATATACTTCCTTCTCCTTTACATAAACTTAGGCTCTTTAATGTGTTTGGAGGCAAAGAACTTCCACATGGGAGAAGGCCATCAGCTAGGAGAGTCCAAACACCTTTTTGCAGGGTTTTTTCTCCCAGAAATAAAGTCGTTTTGACTGGTAGCTGGTATTAGGACAGTAGGTTTGGAGATTGAAGGTCCTAGTCAGCAGCTTGTCTAACAGTCTCTGCTTCTCCTCAGCTCCTTGTTTAGAGCAACCTGTTAATGCTCTGTGAGCGTTGCCACATGGAACCATGGGCAGGAAACGGCTAATCACAGACTCCTTCCAAGTGGTGAAGAAGAGGAAAAGAGACAGTAAGGAAACAAAGAAGGCTCAGAGCCCACTCCATGGTGAGTATTGCTAGGAAGGGATGCGTGAATTTCAGCAGCACCTGGTGCGACACCAAAATTAAGCGCCCCTCACCTCTCTTGCTTCATTTTAAATCATACTTTCAGCGTTCCCTGTGGCACCCCCAAGTCTCCGTGCCCAGTGCAACCGATTTGGTCATGCTCCCGTAAATCCTTTTTCTTCTTTGGCGTAGCCGAGTAAGATTGTCTTCCATGAACACAATCTAAACAGTGAGTCCGTAAGTGACTGTGAGGCCAATTCTGGATCCACACATCCTTCCACAATGGAAACATAGGTTTCTAGGCGGGAGTTGATCATGGTGAGGGTTTGCCAAATGTGTCTTCCTCTTACTGTGTTTCTCCCTTTCATCCTGAATTCAAGCATCTTCAAAGTCCATGACACCTTTGGTAAAGGCTGTTCTCCAATTGGAGCACTCACAGGCCAGTGTTTCCCAATTGTCAGTTTTTATACTACGTTTTTAAAAAATTGCCTTGAGGGTGTCTTTAAACCTCTTTTTTTGATCACCAGCATTACACTTTCCATTTTAAGTTCGGAATGGAGTAGTTGCTTTGGAAGACGATAATCAGGCGTCCGCACATGACCAGTCCAATGCAGTTGATGCTGAAGAATCATTGCTTCAGCACTGGTGATCTTTGCTTCTTCCAGTACACCGGCATTAGTTCACCTGTCTTCCCAAGTGATGTGTCAAATTTTTTGGAGATACTGTTACCATTTGCCGATCGCCATGGGAGTTTTATGGGTTTGTGTTTGGTATGGGTTTTTGGAAGATGCTTGTGCGTGAATTTGTTTCACGTGTGTAGATCAGTGCACGCTGACCAAAGCACAGTCTTCGCAGTAAGGCTCTATCTTATCTGCTGCAGCCTTCATCCGCCTTCACAGCCGATGTAACTTGCCACTTGTTATCTGCCGCCTGCTCTGTTGTTGAGGACTTCTTGGATCATTCTTTGTCTAGCTCCTCCCCTTTGACCTTGCCACCTTGGGTGACCTTGTTGGGAGTACGAGACTCCCGACGGCTTCACTCACAAGGGTCATAGGCATGTGCAAGCCCACTCACCACGACAAGGTGATACCTCTGCTACCAATAGGTAGATAATCTGAACGGGGGGGGGGGGAGGGTGAAAATCCAGCAGCTTTAGGTGGGGAGTAGATGGATGCCCATTGGAGTGGCCCTTGAGATTTGCAAGACATCAGTTCTTGCAAACTCTTTCCCTGCATGGTCTTGCTTTGGTCGTCTCCTAGGTTGTTTGTTGGATCTGCACATAACTCAATACCACGGTTATGCAAGTAAGGGTTAATCAGTAATAGACTTGCCACTTGCTTAGCTAGCAAGTTGCTATAGGACAGTGGTGATGAATTATTGCACAGGATTGCTGTGAAAGTGAAGTATTTGAAAAATCATTTAGCAGAAAGTAAAAGGCACGCGAGTGGCGCTGTGGGTTAAACCACAGAGCCTAGGACTTGCCGATCAGAAGTTCGGCGGTTCGAATCCCGCGACGGGGTGATCTCCCGTTGCTCGGTCTCTGCTCTTGCCAACCTAGCAGTTCAAAAGCACGTCAAACTGCAAGTAGATAAATAGGTACTGCTCCAGCGGAAAGGTAAATGGCGTTTCCGTGCGCTGCTCTGGTTCACCAGAAGCGGCTTAGTCATGCTGGCCACACGCCGGCTCCCTCAGCCAATAAAGCGAGATGAGCGCTGCAACCCCAGAGTCGGTCACGACTGGACCTAATGTTCAGGGGGCCCTTTACCTTTACCTTAAAATTATATGAAACATATACCGGTATTCCCAGAAGGTGGGGAACCCTCTACAGAAGAGGAGCATTCTCAATGAGCAATGGATTAATTATGTTAGTGTTGTTTCCTTCAGTCAGCACTTGTTGTGTGTGTTCATATTTACATGAGATCGAAGTGCGGGTGAAGAGATGCCAAAAAATCACAGGCAAAGTTATACGGGTTGTAGAGCAAGCCAGAGATAACTAATGTAATGGTGTTGGCTAAAGAATTATGTTAACCCTTTCCTGCACAGTCATTTCATACAAGGGCTCTCCATAATGCAGTGATAATCATCCATTTCTCTCTGATCAGACGCAGTGACAGTCCAGGCAGTCCAAGATGCTGCACATCCAGACCAGCTGGAGACACTAAAGCAATTTGACCTCAGCTGGCAGTACGGCCCCTGTGCAGGTAAGAACTTCCAATCATGCTGCTACTACAACTGAGCTAAAGTACACATCACTACAATGAAAGCATAGGTTTTCCCTGCCTCCCTCCATGCACAATTTTAGATATACCTCCATGGGGCAGGGACCAGTCTCCCTATGCTCTGTTAAAGTGTTACATTATAATTAGTGGCAGCATACCAGGAAAAGGGGTCTCCTAGTTAATTCTCAAGTTCATCTAGCGGCAGTAGACTTGCAAGGAAGGTGGTTGAAGATCGCTGGTGTTGAAGAGGCCACTTTGAGAGACCTTTTTTTCCCTGACAGGAATCACCCGTTTGCAGCGCTGGGAGAGGGCAGAGTTACTGGGTCTCAACCCCCCTGCTATGGTGCGGGAATTGCTAGAGAAGCACAACAAGGACCCTCTCGTTACATACAGGTTAGTATAGAAAAGCTGCTCTGTCCTTCTCAGGCACTGGATGGAAGCATCTATTCTAGGATAATGAGATCTGGAAGAGGAAGACTATTGAGGTTGGGCTTGGTGGTGCAAGGCCATGGCAGTGCTAAGCAGATCACATGATAATTTGGCTAAGCTCTGGGCATCTTTTATTCACAACTGTATGAATGAGGAGTAACCGTATCACAAGAGGTAATACACAAAATGAACTGGGCAAATGGAAGTATGAGCTCAGCAAAGGTCAAGTAAAATCCAGAACTCACCTATCAGGGATTAGAAAGGGATAAGTAGCCAAGAACAAGCAGTTCTCCTTTATTTGCAGCTTCCGCCAGGGTGTTTGGTAGACTGTCCTGGCCATTTCATGGTAGGAAGTCCTAGTGGCCAAGACTGTCATGAAGCAGAGGCGCTTACGAAGTTGACATTTGGCAGTCAGCTTGCATGTTGTGTGAGAACCTTGCCGAAGAATGAGATTTTTGCTTCACCTTTGCTGTACTTCCAACCCACAGCATTTACTACGACTCCATTTGAAGCACTGAAGCCTTAGTATGTATTTACAGTTTACTTGCTTTAGTAAGCACCGAGTAGCTTACATGGGGCTTCCTTGTCTCGCATCCAGACATGACTTTGGTCCATCATTCTTATGCTCACTAGAGTCTCCGAAAGCAGCTCAGGGCGCAACTTTAAGGGGGCAATGAAAATTTTAAAGGGTTAAAAAGGCTTACATGTAAGAAATGTGGACACATTCAGTAGCAGGTATTCCCACTTATCCTTTCCGCCACTTCCTTCCTATGTATTCCTTTTCCCACTCGCCACCTTCTCTCTGGCCAATGACTTCCTAGAATTGAAAGCTGAGAGCTGCGGCCTCCCCACAGATCATTTGCTTATACTGACTGTAAAACATGCACCATTGCTGCTGTTGTGCTGCCCATGCCTGCTGTTTGGCACAGTAGGTGGAGGAGGCATGTAAGATGCCAAGTCAGGATTCTTTCAGGCAGTAACCATGTTCCATATGCTTCCCTTGCAGCCTGTGGCATGGATATTGCCTCTGAGAGGAAAATGTGATGGTATCTCAGCCTGAGAAGTCCCTGAGTTTTGAAATTATTGGATAACTCCTTCATTCCTATCATGGAGATTCTGTGTTTGGACGTAAGAACCCTAAAAAGATGCCAAGGTCTACCAGCTGGTCTCCACTTATGGGCTCTGGCCCTAATCAAAGCTTCTTAGGGAGTACTTAGATGGCTGAGGTCAAATGAAGGTGAGGATTGATTTGGATCAATATGCTGTGCTGGGGAAAAGAATCCCAAAAACTAGGTGACTAGTTCTTGGAAGCCAAGCTTAGTATGGCACTGTATCCTGTTTATTTTACTGTTGTGTGCTCTTTGCAAACTTGCTTGGTTTCTTGAATTGGCTTTCAAGTTAATTGACTGAGAAATAAAACACTTGCACATCTAACAGCTACATGTGTCAATGGGGCCACATCTGAATAGTTTGTGACACATTATTCTCTCCACCCTGCTCAAGGAAGATGTACAGACTCTTCAACCCCATCACCGCACAGAGAGATCTATTGCATACCTCCCTGCCTACTGCCCAGCTGAGTAGCACTATGAACAACTGCATGGTGTGCCCTCCCCCACAACTGAAGTGCTATTTGGCTATTCCTAGGTCTTAGCAGCTGAGCAGTGGGGATGGCTGGGCAGAAGTTGGTTGTGGAATGCTTTTGAAAGATGGAACTGCAAAGCCCAGCAGGTGCTTTTGCAGTTTGGCCAAAGGCTGGCAGCTGCTTACATGTATGGAAAGAGTGGAGTTTCTGAATTGTGAAAAAGGAAAACAACGCTTAAAGATTACTCAAATGTATTTTAGTGACATATGTGGAACATACAGAAATAGTGCTAAAATTACAAAATGATATAGAAACACAAGAAATCTCAAATGGTCCACTGAATATTTTTCAAGATAGAATTCATAATTCATGTGTGCTCTCATTTTTTTTTAATACACGTTAACTGAAGAAATCCTACAGGACTGGAGGAAGTAAAGTGCTATCAGTAATTACATCTAGGTGAGCAAGCACTAGAAGTCTTTTCTGCAGTAAACCTCCCATGCTGAACAGTGAAAGGGTCAGCTGTATTGTGCATTAACTTCACATAAATGCAGAGTGGTTACCTTCAGCTAATGCAGACTCTTAAAAAGCACCACCATGATCCATGAGTAAAAGAGGTACAGAAAAGGGACATTAACATCCCACAGACTGAAAGCACACCTGGGCTCGAAGTAGATTTTGTATATTGAGGTGAGTCTCCCATGGGAATCAATCAGTTGCCCATTTCTTGGTTAAAGTGGCTGATGGAAAACTGCCATACTATTACTATATTCCTATAGGATAATTGAATAGCTTTTTTGGTTTTGTTGCTGAAAGTTTTGGGCCTGTAGCAGAATGAAGAAATAATAAATCAGTAAAAAGAAAAGAAAACCACGCACACCTAGGCCAGATCTCAACAACGAGCCCCACGTTGGGTGAAAGATTCCTGCATTCAAGGGGTTGGACTAGATGATCCTCGTGGTCCCTTCCAACTCTTTCTCTCGTGTATTTCTGGACACATAAGTATTAGAATATCTTGTATGCAAGCAGCTAGAGCAATTTCCAATCATCAAAGGCTTTCATCTGGTAATGAAAGATAAAGCTATAGAGCTTACCCATCAGGAATGAAAAGGATCTACGACCCGCCACAGTTCCTGCTAGTTTCAATGGTTGTACCTGGTAACTGGCGGAAGGTGGGGTGGGGGGATAGAGGTGTGACTTTTGGATTGTCTGTTATCAGGTGCCAAAATGTCCAGAGCTACTTCAGATATTACTCAAAACTCTGGAAAGGGTAAAAAAGCCTTTTCCCTAGTTTAGTCAGCTAGGCTCCTGTTCCTGTAGGCATCAGCTTTATGACTAACTTGGGAGTTTGGAATGAGGTATTGCCATTTGCAGGAGGTTATGCAATCATACAGTTACAGTAGTGGAGACAGAACAAGTTGCCTATCAGTGGTTAGGTGGTGTCTTCCCCATCACACAACCTCCTTGTGGTCAGATGTCAAGAGTTGTTGTACATTAGCTGGGAGCCTAGAACAAAGTTTGGCAAACATAGTACAGGATGTGTTATGCATAAATAAACTCCAGATTCCACGCCAAGCTAATATGTAACTTGAGGAAAGAAACATGAGCATAGGGGATGGAGAATGGCAGGCATAGGCTATGCTGTAGACTGAAGGTGTGATGATACTCTTTGCTCTGAGGATTGTACCATCAAATACTGAGCTGAAGTCAGATTCCACCCCCTGTAAAAATCCAGCAGATCTACAGAAAATACATAGTCCTACAAAAGGTCTCTGAGCTAAAATGAAAGATGGGAGAAATTGATCCTCTACACCCCTGAAAGGGTTCATGGGTATGGTTGCATAGGTAAAATCTGCCATCAACATATACTGCATATGGGGGAGGGGGGCGACAACACTTAGCCACAAACACTCAAATTTAGTGAGGAACAAAGCCATGAATCATACAGAGGAAGTATCTCTCTATGTATTGAGAAGGCCTGCAAGAATCACTTTCACTACCCTCTGGTGGGAAAACACAGGAAATGGAGGCCACACTAATTCTTATGCGGCTAATCTTTCACCCCAGTTCTGAAAGAGGCTAAAGCCATGGCTGGCATCCTACATCTGGCAATTAAATCTGCATTCTGGCTCTGTGTCTTGCCTTATCCCCCACATCCCCCACTCTACTACCTGAAGTTCTGCAAAAAGAGAGAGAGTATTAAGAGGTGTCCAGCACCAAAATGAATACTCAGAGATTCTCTGCTCTGGCAATCTAAACCCCAATACTGTCTAACATAAGCTTCTTTGTTGCATGGCAAATGAATTCCTGAGATAGAGGTCCCTGCTGCTGGCTTTCCTGGTAGTGTGTGAGGATGTCCATATAGCACTGGACCTGGTCTTCATCCTAGCTGTTGCTCTTGCAGTGTGGAGGGCCAGCTACTGCTTGCAGGGCTTGTTCACGCAACTGGGTTGGACGAGTCAGTATGGATGTGATCTTGCTTAGCTGCAGGAGGGAGCCAGAGATAGCTGTGGGACAAAAAACCAAAACAGTAACAATGAACTCAATGCAGACACTTTTTCCTAATTCCTAGAAAGAGAATCCTTTCAAGTCTTCTGGAAGTATCAGGAATAGAAGACTTGTGAGAACAGCTGGCATCTCCAGCTATATTTTTTTCCTAAACACCACAAAGCCAGGTAACTCCTAAGGTCACATCTGGGCCTTGCTTTAAGGCAGTGCCCAATAATCTTGCTTCAGGGCAAGGAAAGGATCATAGTGATGGGCAATTGTGTCTAGTAACTTAGCAAGGCATGAAAAGGGAATTGGGAATGTGGAGTATAATTGGTAAGCCATGGTTCTGCGCCACTCTCTTAGTTATGTGTGAACGTAAGAGTACTTCAAGCAGGAGTAGGATGGGTGAATGATACACAAACGCGTGCTAGATTTCAGAGCAGAAGGTAGGCAAGGATCATTGAAAGCCATGGGGGGGGGGAGAGATGGGTCAGTGAAGGGAAAGACATTTCTAGATTTCCCTGTTGATCCATACCAGGGCGCAAGATGGGCAGGGTGCAGTGCTGCTCCAACCAGCTCAACACTGAGTCGCAGAATTCCTTGACGCTGCCTGTGCTCACTGTCCTGGTGTAGCTCTCAAAGAGTGGCTTAATCACCATGCTGAACTGCAGGTTGGAAGAGGTTAAGGAGCCTATGCAGCCAAGTCTCCCTGCTCCCCTTAAGCACCCAGCAGGCCACTGATGTCATGCCAAATACCTCCCCTTGCTTTCTTTCTTGCACCCTAACCTGTCCCACCCCATCCCACATGCTCGCTGGTGGATACAAGCCAGAAGCGCCAGTCCTGCAGGGTGCGCTTGCGCACATACTCTTCATAGAGTTGAGACGCCTGATCCGACTGTGGTGGCAGCACAGGAGCTCCCGTAGGTGGAAGCTGGCGCTGAAAGTCACTGCAGGGAAGAGAAAAGCCACAACTTGTTGACAGGAGTTCCCCTCTCACCTTTTAACTTGTATCCCTGATCCTATGAAAACCCCTTAAGCCAGCCCTGCAACTCACTCAATGGCAGTGCTCAGCTCTTCGATTTCGCCACGTAGTCTTTCAACTGTCTCCTGAGCTTGTCGGCGCTCTTGCTGCAGTCTTTCCACATGTGCCGCACTTTTCTGCAGGAGCATCGCTTTGCTGAACTGGGGAGGTGAGGGGGTGGAGTAAAGGCGTAAAATGGATTGGGAAGGCAAAGACCACAAGAACGGCTCCGGCAGGTTCACAAAGCAAATTGGGAGGACTGGACAAACAGCAGAGAATATGTGCCCTTCCACCCTCTGGTACAGTGGGGGATGCGTACCTTAGTGCTGCTTTGATCAGGTCCTGTCAACACCAGAGTGGCAAGAGTGTTGAAGCCGGAGCTGATGACCCTACGGCGGGCATAGTCAGCCGAGGTAAGTGTTGATCTGCGACTTCCCTGCAAGAGCCAATCAAGCCATGATTTGAGACACTGCCAGGCGACTACCCCTTTGGCTATCGTCTTTGAGAAAAGATGTCTTCTCCCACAACGCTCAAGCCAACAAGATGGGGTACAGTGGTGTGGGTATTCTTATTACCTTGGCAGTACAGCATTTGTCCACTTCCTGGGGTTTGCAGAGAGTGTTGTCCTCAGCTCTCTCCTTGGTTTTGGCACCTGAAATAATCCCAAAAATACTGGGGTAGGTGAGTTCCTCTTAAGGTGTGTATTCAATTTCTACTTTGGCACGGCATATAGACCAATCCAGTGAAAGCAGATGAGATGCTGCTAAGAAGAGAGGCCGAGTGACTTTGCACCCTCCTGAGCCAGCTTACCAGTGTCAGGGGAAGCAGCAGCAGAGGCAAGTGGAGGAGACTTCACCGTTGCCGAGAATGAGTTCAGCATATTCGCAGGGGGCTTTGGGATGCCACACACCTGTGGGAGAGGAAAAGCAGGGTTGAGAGAAAGAGAGAGCAGCCAAACAGAAAGATAGAAAAATACGCCGCCTGTCAACTCCAAGGAAGCAAAAAGCAGAACACAGATAGGAGGCCTCGCAGACGGAAGGTGGCAGAGGAGAGCATCCTTACCTGCACAGAGTTCATGACTGGAGTGAGGGGCAGTGGGGCAGGACCTAGAGATGAAAGAGATGTTCTTATTTTCCCAGCCTCTATGTATTAACCCTCAATGCATGTACAAAACTTGGCTGGCTAAAGCAGCATCACTCACTCCCTGTAACTACACAGCTTCAGTTTAGCTGCTCACCGCTAGACCAAGTTTTTGAATGTGGCAGAATTTATTTAATGAAAAGGAGCCTGCTGCTTTATGAAATCCCACCCACCACAACTGAAAATACAATTCGGGCCAATGATCTCTACTTAAATGCATGGCACCCTACCCAACAGAGAGGCCAATGAGCATCCTTGCCTCAGGGATCCCTTCCAAAACATACCTAGGCCTGGTTTCCCCATAACCATTAGCATCTCATAAAATTCCTGCATGTACCAGCCAATCTGACATCAACTGTTTGGTACCCACTTTGCCATCAGACACAGAGGATAGGACTTCTGGACCTTTATGTGTGAGTTTTAGATGGGGTAGAGAGGAAAGTTTCATAGTTACAGATTCTCTCTTCATAATGCTTGCACATTAGAAGACTCTACAGCTCTTGACAACTTTCCCCGTTCAAAAAAGCTACAAGGCACAAGAGCCTTGTTCTGAAATGGGTCAAGAAAATCTGTGCTCACTTGTAGATCTAAGAAAAATTAAAATATAATTTTAAAAAGCTAGTAAATATGCAAAGTTATATTAATGAGCTGTCATTTCACTTCTACTAATGAGTTGAAGGTTTTCTGTTTAACTATGAAGCATTTGGACGAATGTTAACATTTGTAGTTTTGCTTGATTTACCTGGTTCAAACTGCTGGCCGCATCAAAACAAAAAGCTTAACTACACTCCAGAGAAGCAAGAAGGGGATCAAAGCAGGAATCTGGGCGTAGAGGACTTTTTCTTTCCCTTTCCAAACAGCAGCTCCCAGACATCTTTACACATATGTATAGTTGCAAGTAAGAATGCCACCTTAAATCCGTCTCCAATACCTGTGGACTAACTGAACCATTTTGCCGTTCTACAGACTAGTCAGTACATAGTTTTGACACACAATTTATGCAAGGCTAAACCCTAAATCCGCTGAAGGAGATGCAGGCACTGTTACATAATGCCTATCAGCTCAAGTCAGATACAGTGGTACCTTGGTTTTTGAACTTCTCCGTTGACAAACATTTTAGTTTTTGAACGCTGGAAACCCGAAAATAAATGCTTCGGTTTTCAAACACGCCTCGGAAGTCGAACATGCCACGCAGCTTCCGTATTGAGTTTTCCATACTCAGTTCCATACTGTGTTTTCGGTTTTTGAATGTTTCAGAATTCGAACGGTCTTCTGGAATGGATTACATTCGAAAATCGAGGTACCATTGTATATAATTTTAAAATTCTGCAGTAACACAAAAACCTATCTCCCTGGACCACATATTTTATTTTACCAGTACATAAAAATGCTTTTGCTTCCAGTGATTCCCAAGTATGAAGCTAAACTCCAGCTTCAGATAATTATATCAAAATAAACACTAATAATGCATGCAGTTGTTTAAATTAGGGATTCCAAAAGTTGATCCTGGTGAGATTTGCTTCAGAAAACAACCACCAAAAAGAAAGGAGAATTCTGCAGTATGACTTAAAACTCCAAATGGATCTAGAGAAGCATTGTAGTCTAGGTCAGCAATGCCTCAATTTCCCCTGCAGAGAGCCTGTCCTTGCAGGGACATACCAGTTGCAAGCAGGCAGGGGAGCGGAGCACCGGGAAGGGTTGGCTGCTGGCTAGAGGAGGGTGCTGGAGCAATCCGTTGCAGGTGTCTGCATTTCCCATCCTTGGGTGGAGGAGCAGAGACTGGCACAGCAAAAGTGTCCCGAAATACAGACGGAGAATTTGTTTCTGATCCTGTGTGCGTGATGACAGAGAAGACCAAAGTGGTTTGAGGCTGCATGCGCAAGATGGGAGAGACAGGCGGCGGGCTGATCCTCCGTGGGGAGGTGGGGAAGAATGGCAGGAAGGTCTGCTGTCCATTCAAAGGTACAGGCGGCTCCACATCCAGTGAGATGGGAATGGGGTTGAGAGAGTCTCCGGGCGGTGGGAGATCCTTGGTCCCAGGGGCAATGAGAGGTGTATCTGGGTTGCACTGGTTCAAAGCACTAGTATCCGTTACTGCAGGAGCCTAAGAGAGGGGGGAGAAGAGAGTGCAAATCAAACACAACTCCTGAGTCCAGGCTGGAGATGGCTGCACTGAAAATCATACAAGTGGGAGAACTCCCACTGCTCAATTTTTTTTGCAATGCTGAGAAAAGGCTATTGCCTTTCCAAAATCAAAATCAAGCACAGACCAGTATCTGCAATAAGCATCAGGGGCTGCAGAAGCCCAAGTAGTTTGTAAGCTATCAGATAAATTTATTCTCCTTACCTGGTTCATGGGCTGAGAACGACAGGAAGTGATGAATTCTGTGAAAAGAAAGCAAAGATTTAAAAGGCTGGGAGGAGATAAAGAGCAACTGGTAGAAGATAACTGGCTGGTGTGTCTGAATCAACTAAGCAAGGAATCATCAGGATTTCACCATACAGGTAGTATGCTGGCTGTTTGGTCGTAATAATAAACATTCATTCATTCACATCCACCATACAAGAAGACATCAACTGGTGGTTTCGAAGAAAGATGAGACCTAAAATCCAGGATATGTCAACTGGTAGAGAAACTCAAGTCAAGAACAGGAGCAATCTGCAGGTGGGGACTGCTGATTTCAGAGTTATGTGTCGGAGTGGCAGGAATGAGACTGAAATAGGCTCAATATGTAGATGCTATACTTGCAAGTAGAAATTTTGAGATGACCAACTCGTAAGTTTAAGATTTTTCAAATTAAGAATTCATACAAGATTAATTTGCCTACTTTATTCTTCCTGTGAAAAGGGGATAAACAGTGGCTCTGAAGAATTTGTCCTGGCTGATTCAGAAAATGGGATAGGGGACAAACAATATATAAAGCACAGTATGCATGTGATTATATGGAGAATGAGTCTTCTATTAGAGCACTGGACGCCCAAAAGAGGATTTTTACGTGCATGCTGACTAATTTAAATAATGTCTAGTCTTACCAGGACGTATCATGTTTGCTCAGCAGCATTCTGCTCTGGCCTTGGGTGAACTAGAATTTCATCAATGTCAGTTTGGAAATAGTCTCCTCTCACCAGTGACAGCTTTCAGCCCACTTTGGTGACCCAGACTCAGATGTTATTTACTCTTGAGGTCACAAGTTAATCTTTCAAAACTGCTGATTAACTTGTGGGCTTAAAATAATAATAATACATGTTTCTATTTGATTTTTGGGCTTTAATGACACACTTTTCAGTTTTCTCCCTAACAGTGAGTTTAGTAAATATGCAAGCTGCAATTCTGAGGAATCCAAGGGCTCTTTTACAGATACGCACTGCAGGGAATTGCAGCTGATCAGGAGATCCTAGCAGCATGTACTCAGTAGCATTTATAAACAAACGGAATTCTTTTAAATGTGTACAGTATGGATACATAATTTAAACACAGGCTGAAGTGGTCTTAAGAAGCCATACAAAGTGCTTCAGAGGATGTCTTTCAGCTTTGAGATGCGCCACCTTACCACTAAGTAAAGGTAAAGGTACCCCTGCCCGTACGGGCCAGTCTTGACAGACTCTAGGGTTGTGCGCTCATCTCACTCTAGAGGCCGGGAGCCAGCGCTGTCCACAGACACTTCCGGGTCACGTGGCCAGCGTGACGAAGCTACTCTGGCGAGCCAGAGCCGCACGTTTAATGCCGTTTACCTTCCTGCTAGTAAGTGGTCCCTATTTATCTACTTGCACCCGAGGGTGCTTTTGAACTGCTAGGTTGGCAGGCGCTGGGACCGAGCAATGGGAGCGCACCCCGCCACAGGGATTCGAACTGCCGACCATACGATCGGCAAGTCCTAGGCGCTGAGGTTTTACCCACAGCGCCACCTGTGTCCTGTACCACTAAGTACAGCCATATAAACCTGTTGTTACCTTGAATGGGGTCCAAGTCCATAAACTCCTCCCCAAAGATGGGGTGCAGTTGGGTCAGGGTGGGCTGGATCATATCTGCATTTCCCTGGTGAGCTGAAGACACAAAATGAGAAATAATATCACTCGCTTGCTACTTTGTTCCATAGCAATTGTTCTCTGGTTCACAAGCAAGGGACTGGCTCTCACATGGAGATACTTCAAAACCTCTCTCCACCCTTTAGAGGCATCTGTACTAGCCTCTGGGGACAGTGGAGAAAACTTAAAGGGTTTCTTGATAGAAAGGGACAGATCCAGAGATAGATGGAATGAGCACAAAGCAAGGCCTCTCACCAAGGCCACGGAGGTTGGGGCCACCATAAGGGTTGCGGCTAGAAATGAAGGTGTCCAGAAGTGCATCCAGGTCATGCAAGGGGTCGAGGTCCATGGGGCATGCATCTGTTCCTTCCGTTTTCAGCTCTGCCCTTGGAACATCATCAGCTACTTCCTGTCCAGAATGGGAGAGAAAGACCTGTGAACTCTAACTTTAGGCAAACTCAAATGAGGGGCTGGAATACTGAATGGCTGCAGACAACCCCCAAGCTTTTTTAATTCCACCCTCTGCCATGGGGAAAGGGGAATCTGGAGGGTGCAGTATAGGAACAAGGCATTAAAATAGCACCTGAGCTGAACCATAGACGGGTTTATCCATCTTCTTTGAAGCCTATAACAAAATGCACAGAATGTTTAGGATTAGGCCACTGAAAGTACTACTTAGTAATACTTAGCTAGAGAAAAAACATAGGTGGCTAAATAAAATCCTATCTGGCTCATTACTGCCCTGGACACATTTGGGAGGAAGGGCTAGGTATAATGTACTATTATTATTACTACTACTGCTACAACAACAATGAACACCGGAGGCCTCAGAAAGCCATCGCAGACCACAATAATCACACAGGGATAGCTGGGTGACCAGTGTGTGTCTTTGTGGAAGTGAGAGAGAGGACAAGAGAATGAGAGCCTTTGGCAGCTGCGGAAATGAGTCTATAGGCCAAGGCACCCATCAGAGTAAGATAAAAACGTAGCCTCGCCCATCTAGTACCAGATCACCTCATAACCACCAGATCCAGTCTATTATAGCCTGGCAAGAAGCATCTAGAAAATCCACCTTCTTACAATGGAGTACCAAGGTGCTTCTGGATTGGCTACCTGATTTCCTTGGTTGACACTAAAAAGGACTGTATGAGCTTGGGTGGAACATGTCATCTAGGGGTGAAGGGGAGCAATATGAAGTACAACACATCTTGCTGGAGAAGACCCTTACCTGGGTATAGGAAAACAACCTCCATTTGTGATATTCCCTGATGACAACCCCAATTTGGCGTTTCCAGTACTTTCCTTCCATGATGACAGCCTGCCAAATAAAGGTGCAGCCAGGGGTCACTTACAGAAATGTGTAATCTGTCTTCTTTGTACGTTCTTAAGTAAAAAAGGCCCAAGTAACCTTTGCTCACCTCAGGCTTGCGGTGCACATCTACATCACTGCACTCTAGTGGGGTCACAAAACTGCACACTGGGTTCTGCCGCTTCTCCACATCTGCATCCAGAATGAAATAGCAGTAAAGGGGCTGTAATCTGCAGTACAGCTTCAAGCAGGACCAAACAGAGAAAATACTTGCTGGCTGGCTGGCAGTCGCTCCCATTTCAGCATCCACTAAATAAGGCAGTAGAGCTGAAGAGCTTTAAATCCATAAGCAATTAATATGTGACTTTTGCTAGCATAAAGCTTTGCAAACTTGCAATACATAATTCTGTGTGAAACAGTCTCCTTGGTTGAGAAAGTCATGGAAAACACGTGTAGGGATGGAGGAAGAACCCATTTTTTGTGAATTTATACACAGAATTTGGTGGTTCCCACCTAATCTGCCCATATTGGATCACCTTTTATATGGTTGGTTTGTTGTTGTTGTTGTTGTGTTTTAAATGCCTTCTTCCAGGCTACTTACACTGCAGATACCAGGCCCTCCAGATGGCATTATTGAGTCGAATCTTGTCACGCTGTAGCAGTTTCAGCCCTTTGAAGGTTTTCCATTTGGGAGAGACAAGTTTCTCACTACAAATGAGAAAGCCAAAAAAAACCACCTCTTGTAATACCGAGTATATCTGGCTTTCAAGGGGAAACAGGGCCAGGCAACACCCAAAGAAGAAGGCAGCTCAAAACACACTGAACAGGAACATCTCTTTAATAAGCTTGACTATTCTATAGCCACAGTTTATTACTAATCTGTGCCAATAAAACTAAATTCTGCACTCAAAACTATAAACTGTAAACTACTCAGATGTCTACAAATGTTCACCTTTTGCACAGACTGACCCAATATGCCTGCTTTATTCTAAACCTCTCACTGGATGTTGATTCCTCCTCAACTTTTTAGAGCAAACTGTGGGAGAAGGAGAAAAATGAACAGGTTAGAAGTAGCATATGCTGATAAGTGTAGAACATAATTATAGAGGTGATAAGAAGCTGTGTTGATTACAGAAGCTCTGCCCACAGAACTACATGGCTCTCTATGTATACTGCCTTCCTGTTTTTCTGATGAAGCTCCTCAACAAAGGACAAAATCTTGCTTTTAAAAAGTACGCTATAGATACCAGCCTTGGGGTGGAATTCCATGTGGCAATTATGACAGAAGAAAAAATAGCCCTGGCTTTAGGTAGCAGATCTGGAAATAACCCCCACTCCCAGCCTTACTATAAGGGGTCTTCCCCATTCATTATTGTTGCACAACCCCATCTACGAAGAGTCAGTGAGTGCTGGACAACTATTTCCTGGACAGAACCTGTGGTAATTCAATTATTCTGAAGAAATGCAGCATAATTTAAAACACATCCAGTTAAATGATTTGTGTTTTGCTATTAATAACCAATTTGTTAGTGAGTGTATCTCTACAACAGAGAAATATAGTATTGACTTGAGTAATCCAAATGATTAAAAACATCTTGGAAGGTTAATTCAGTGGTTTATTTCTTCCACTGCTAAAGTAAAACTGTGCCTCATCTGTATGTTCTTATGAAGGAGAAGAAATTATAATGAGCCAGCATCTCCTTAGGAATACAGGCAGACACTGGCAGCTTGCATTCCACCCACGCACCCTGTTTAATCAGTAGCAACACACACTCATATTCTGCCCTTCAGAAGTTCACTTGAAGGTGCACAAACATCCCACATGAAAATCCTCACACTAAGCGTATTGGACCACATTCTCAGGCCACCCTATTGGACTCTGCCCCATTACATTTCAAACATGGCAGCTGTTTCACTGAACAGTTGTGTAAAAGAACAAACAAGATACTGTTCAGAACCCATGCCCCTTTGCTATTCTGCCACAACAGCTTCTTATTCAAAATTGCACCTGAATGAATAATCCCAGGCAGATAGATCAGTCACAGTTCTAATGCATAGCTGTGAAAAAGATTCAATATATGATTCTCTGTTACTACTGAGCAAAATGTAATGTCTATTTCACTGGCTGGGGGCAGAGGCTTGCACTGCCAGCTGAAACCAGTGGGCTCAGGTATATGGTAAACTGAGCTTTTGACAAAGTTAATATCAAAAAGGACTCTGTTGCGGGGATTTCTTCAGGCATTCAAACTCCTCATACTACCTTTGTCCTTTTGCTTAGTCCAAGATGACATCTCATAATGTTGTGGGAGATTAACTAGAAAATACCTAAAGGAGTCAACGTCTGAAATGTCATAATGCTGGAAGTCAAAGAACAGACCCAAAAAACCCAGTTCTGCGGATCTATTCGAGTTTACTAGGTTGCTGAAAATGCTGGAACACTTTTTTTCTTGATTTAAAGCTGCTTCATAGATATATATTTACAAGGAGATGATCTCAATGGCAGAAGCAGTAATTTTGCAGCAAATATATTGGTTGGGAAGCTAGTCTGCAACATACTGCTGAATGTGCAACTCTGGTAAGAATACAACTTTTATATGAAAGGACTACAGCTATTTAATTCAAAACTCTATATGCTAACATCAAGGCCAGACATTCCTGGGAAAGGGATACTGGTTAAAACAGTGTGGTACTTTTTATTTTAATTATTTTTAGAACTAGGAGAAATCCCAAAGGTCAAGACCAGTGCAGGATAGGCTGTTTGGCACCAAGAACCAGAAAAGAGAGTTGTTGTTTTACCATCACATGTCCAAAATGGTCTATGCAATCATGTCAAATGTTACTTTAAAAAAGAAACACTAGAATTTCTAAACTTTTAAGAGGCACACAGCCAGCAATCAAGTGTTCTGGGTGCCATATGCAGCAAGCAGACTGCAAGTTTTTGATCCCTAATCTAGTCCAAGTTATGCCCTGAAGCACAGTAATGTAAAACATTCCAGACAGTTGCCCACCCAGCCTTTCTTTGAAAGTTTCCAACGAAGCAAATTTCATTATCTCCCTAAGCAGCCTGTTTCATTGCTCAAGTTTCTTTCCTACTTCACAGAAATGTTGGGGGGGGGGAACCAATTAAAAAAATTCAGGGCATGTATTAATTTTCAACGTAGTACAGCACAGGTAACAATAATTAAAACTAGACTGTGCAAAACAAGCCAATTAGTTCCTTAACATAAATCATTAAAATTCTGCACAAGAGTTCACATTAAAATTCTATTAGGAAGCTAAGGGGAGCACAGGAAGAAATACATGTCCATTTCTCACTTTAATACTCATCCACTACACTCTGTCAAATAGAATTTCTATTATTTAAGACTTTCTCTCCTTTCCACACATTAAAGGAGTCTGACCTGAGAGCTGATTAAAGATTAAAGGACTTGACTGCTGAATGAACAAGTCAACTGGGGTATGAGATACACTGAAAATGGGGTAGATAAAAACCAAAGTAATATGTATGGGTCAAAAGCACTGTCTAAGCAGCAAGATGTGCTTTTCTGACATGATTTTCTGGGAAGACTAAAGTTAGTATCAATTCCGCTCCTCTATGCTGTGCTTATATGAACATATTCCCATATGCCACTAGAGATGCTACTGGGCACCTTGCAAATACAGTAAAATAAGTAGCAGTGCAATCCTCTGCACTTTTTCTCAGAAGTAACTCCTACTGAGTTCAATGAGACTTATTCATTGATTCTAATCCCTTGTGTGTAGAACTGCAACCAGAGTGAGTGAGTAAAGAAAGAAAGAAAGAAAGAAAGAAAGAAAGAATACTGTGCCAGAAAGCAAGTGGTAGTAGAATGCTGGAGAACCAGGCCCAACTCTATGTCATATCTAGGCCCCCTGCTTTCTTTTTTAACTACAAAACCGGATTTGTTGGTTTCAACAGATGTATGCGTTTCTGACTCTAAAATGTCAGTTTCATTCCTTGACTACTCTGTTCTCACACGTGATGCCTGAGAACCTCCCTACCATAAGTGAAAGTTCTTAAAGTGGAAGGAAAGGTTGCAGGGGAGCACTTCTTAACTGGCAGCTACAAATCTAGATTTATACACTCATTTAGATTTTAACTTGGCATGGCAGACACGACAAAGGCAAGCTGCGCCTTTGAAATGCCTTCTTGGGTGAAAATGCCCTTGATGTCTGTAGTTACAAGGAATCCGAGGCTTTTACTTAACGATGCCAAGCTACCTGCAGATGGATTCTCTTATTAGTCTCGTTTATCTGCATGCATAGTAGTATATCTTGCGTATGAATGGCAGGCTAATTGGTCGTGCTGCAGTTCCCACAGCAGGCACTCTGTAATCCCAAGGCATAGTCTGGTTCCCTGAATGCATCCCGAGAGGCAAGGGCCGGAGGCAAGAAAGGAAGCCACCAAGCGGGCCCTTCTCTATCCCTCCTTACTGTGTCTCTCCACATTTCCCCCCAGAGACACACGGCCCGCTGTGCCCCGTTGGCTGCCCTGCCCGCCCCGCCCATACCTGTAGGCGAGCGTCATGCACTCGAAGAGCTTCGTGAGCGAAGGGTCGATGCTGAGGGCTCCGCTGCTTCGAGGCCCGTAGCGGTAGCACAGGCACGCGGCCTCGTCCACCGTGTCGAAGTCGTAAGCGGCGGTGGCCAGCTGGGCCCCGTCACCTGCCTTCCCGGCCGCGGTCTTCGGCGCGGAGCCGGCCCTTCTCGCTCGCTCCGCCGCGCTCGGCGGGGCGCCTTGGCCTGGCTGGCTCAGAGCCGCCTCGGGGTCCGGGTCCGGGTCGGCGTGGGGCTCCGACACCATGAAGTGGCCGCTGTGGATGATCTGCGGACGCGACATCCTCCCAGGCGGAGGCCTCGCTGCCTCCCTCGCCGTCTCCCGGGGCATCTTTAGCACGCGAGCGGCGCCGCCGCCGCCGCCATGGCAACGAGGGGTCGCCGTCGATGCAAACCCCAGCCGGGAAAGAGTCGCGACAGGTGCCAAAATGCCGCCGTCGCACTGGAGGAACAAAAGAGAACGCGGACTCTACCTCTTCCCAGCAGCTGCCCTGCCGTAGGCTCCCATAGCAACAAGGAAAGAGAGTTCTGCGCATGTGCTCTAGTCCCCGCCCCCTTGCCGTGGCCGCAGGGCATGATGGTTGCGGTAGTTTTGTTTCAACATCCACCTAGCGGCGAGAACGAGAGTTACTCGCTAGCCAGCATAGACTTCACTGGGTAGAGTGACATACAGGGATCTACTTCCGGTATTTTAGACTTGCTTTAACATTTAACAGTGCAGCTCTTCTGCCTACAAGTCAGTAAACGCAGGGCTTCTGTGCGCAACTTTTCTGGAGTGCAGCTGATAGGGGCACAATCCAATTAACATGCCACTGATACTGAAACCCGAGACATGTTTTATCTGGTGGACTTTGGCCTGGAAATTTAAGGCAGCCTCAGCCCTGCTTCCACCCTTCATTCAGTGACTCTACATTGCAAGGCTGCTGAAAGCCATGCTCCTCTGTAATATTGGACTGTACTAGCAGTGGCAGGGCACTCATTTCCACGCGAAGTAAGGCCTGAATTAAAGCATCAGCTGCTGTCTCTCTGAATACTTTCTGGTTCTGCTTCTCAGTAAATAACTACGCTGAAATCTTGAGTCTCACCGTCAATTACCAAGGGCAGCTCTCACTTTCAGCTGGAGACAAAAAAATATATACATCCAGCTTCCCCATATCTGACAATGAGACAAGCTACTCTATTAAGTTCCTAGCTCTGTTCTTTTTAGCAGGCATGAGATGGCGGCGACGTAAAATTACGCAACGACGCCATGGCGCAAGCAGGAAGCGGACCGAAAGGGGTGCTGGTAACTGTAGTTTCTCCCCACCCTCCGCTAGAGGTTCTGATGCTTACATGTAATGAAACCAGGCTCGCCAATTCTCCCTGGGATTCGTCAGCGCTTGGAGAAGTTGGGGCGAGTGTGACCATGTGTTTTGCTGTCTGCACACTCTACTGGTCACATGGCGAGCTGCGCCCTCATTCTGCATAGGTAAAACTCAGCTCACCGCATGATCGAGGGGCCCACGGAAAACTGATTCTGCAAACAGCCCTATGTTGTGGGATGCTTTATTGACCCGTTGTTCCCTAACGCAAATGGCCAGTGGCTAAAATGACCAGCTATTACCATGCAGCCACACTGTCTTTAACAGAGCCCCACAGCTGTGTGGATACTGAGTAGCCTAGCCAGAGGAAAAACTGTCTCCCGTTTCCCTCCCTCAGGTAGGCGAGTTTGTGGTCACAGATTAGGTCCCAAGCATTAGGACACACATTTCAAAGAAAAGGACAAGACCAGAGTTCCAGCAAGTGGAAAGTTAACCAACTCTTTTATTCCCAAGCAGAGTGAAGCTGGCAATGGCACAGTGGTTGTGTATGTGTGTGCAAAAGTAAACAGGGGCCATTTCTTCCCCGGTTAGGATCACAGTGAGATACTACTTCCCTGGCCCCACCTCATAAAGCAGGGATGTGGGGAGCCCAGAGCCCTCCTCATGTGCTGGACTACTACTCTCATCATCTCTGACCATTCACCATGCTGGCAGGGCTGGAGATAGTTAAGAGCCCAGCGACATCTTGGGAGGCCACAGGGACCCCCGCGGCTTTAACAAAGGGTAGCGTTATCAAAAGTGAGTTGAAGGAAGAAGCAGAAGTGCCCTGCAGTATAAATCTTGGAGCTGTGCAGTCTTCAAGGCCATTTAGAGGTCTGAAATAAGTGGTTGGACAGAGCCCCACAAGAGCGCTGGTTGCCCCCCAGTGCAGTTCCATGGCTATGGAAAGAGATGGAGAGCCTGTGAAGCACTATAGTCTCTTAAAGGGATGGTCTCCCTTCCTCCTCTTTCCTGCCCTTCTCCCAGGCAGCTTTAAATTGCCACTTCCCACACCAGCTGCCAATAGTGCTTCAGGCAGAGGAAAGAAGCCCCCAACAATAGGAAGTGAACCTGTTTGGCCTTCAGGGCTCCATTTATCACTCCACTTATGAACAGAAGAAAGGGAGAAATGCCACAGCAAGGGTTTCACCCTGAGTTGGGGTCCATGTCTACGCTGGCCTGGCGAACCATCCGCCGGGACCGGGAGCAGGGCAAGGAAGAACAGAGGGCAGTGCTTTCCTCAGGTTTGGATTCCTGAGGAGAAGGGGACTGGAGCTTGTCTGGTCCTTCGGGATCTGTGTGTCCCTCAAACTCCTTGGCCCGGCTCACCACCAGGGCAGCATCAGCCAGCTGAGCCACAGAGAGCCGGTGTTGTAAAGCGGGCCTGCGGCCAAATGGGACAGGGCCCTCCATGCGCTGGACAACTTTGCGCACCCTGCCTGGTGCCGGGTAGTATGAAAGCTGCTTGCAGACATGGCGACGTCCCCGGTGAGCCCTCCGCCCACGTCGCCTGGCCCTGCGACCCTGAGCCTCCTCTTCCTCTGGCAGTGGCGCCTTTGCTGTAGAGTCTGTTCCTGACCCTGAAGTCTCTTCATTTTGGGGAAATTGCTCAAAGGTCACTGTCTTCTTCTTTTCATCATGAAGAAATACCTGTTGGAGGAAGAAGAGGTAGATTGAATGAGGGCCAGCAATTACAAAGGATTTTTCTTCATCCTGCCTCTACCATCCATCTTCGCATTAGCTGAGGTTTCAGATCCACTGATTTATGCATTGCCATTTTTGTTTCCCTTGTATGCCTTGAGGCTCCATTATAAGTTCCCTTACTCTTTCCACATGCCTCTCTCTGGAAGCATGCCCTTACATGACCCTCTTACCTCTTCCTCAGCAGCACACTCTGGTACAGAGATGTGGCATTCTGGGCTGTCCATTTCACTGATGCTGCGCATGACAGCATAGAGATTGATGCGTTCCCGTCTGAGTGTGGCTGGCTTCTCTGGCACTCTCATCGTAGCCAGGTGTCTTCGCACTTCCTCAGCTCCTGAGTCATCCGATGCCCCAGGTTCTTCTGTGGCCTGAAGACTGAGCCTGGGACTATCAGGAGCGTCCACAGGATGGTGAGGCTCTTCAGGAGGTTCCCGCAAAGGACGAAAGCAATACTGGGGGGTTGTCACTGGCTCCTCTGGTTCTTCTTCTGAGCTTAAAGTCTCATAGTATGGGCTTCCTGAAGGATCACTGCTGGCATCACTTATATCTGGAGAACCTTCTGAGTGGGCATCTCCTGCCTTTTGTTCCCATAGGCTGCTGTGTCGGCTGCGTAGTAACATGAGGTGAACAATGTAAGAGATTATTCAGCAAGGAATGCTAAATAAAGAGCCAAATAAAGAATGGACTTTGAATCCAGTCAGTTACAGTGAGAAGCATTAATTACACATATTAAAGATAATCACAATGTCTATTTAATTTTTGCTGCACTATTAGTGTGAGACAATTTTGCTATCAGTGCTTCCCTGTTTAAGATTAAATATTGTGTGCATAACAATACGAAACAGCCCTTTTTAACTGGAAGAAGTGCTTTGGAGTGGAAGTTGGAAATGGAGCAGTTGGCATGGATGTCGGATCTTTTCCTTGCCACTCTTTGGCACCCCCGTCATTTTTTTCCACACGGAATCTTTCCTGTTTGCCTTTGCACACAGGTGCTTAGAATCCTAGGGAGGGGAGATCTTCTCTGATACCAATAGCCCCACTGCTGTTGAATGTAACACGTAGTTTGGCCCTTGGACAATAACAACAGACCATCTGCTGTGGTCTGATCAGGCTGGTCAGCTGCAGCTCCCATCAGTCTCCCTTGCCCTCCCCACATACATACACAGTGACCAGACCTGCTCTCCCTCCCCTTGGATTTACCTTGCGTCCAGAATGCCCTGATAAAGCTCCAGCTGTCTCATGAATCCTGGATTGGGGTGGACAATTGGGCGTCGTTCCCGTACATGGGAAAGGGCCTGCTCAAGTGACCACCCGTACTCCTTCATGGCATATGCAATCACTGTTGAGCCAGAGCGGCTCACGCCCATCTTGCAGTGCACCAACACCCGAGAGCCTTGCGCCCTGTGGGGAATGAATATTTGCTATAAGCAGGGCTACAGCATCACCCAGGACAGTCATGAAATTCAGCATCCAGTTGCTGTACCCTCAGCCAAGAGTAGGATACCCCAGCTTCTTGGCCTAACTCAACACTTTCCAAGGCACAGATTAGTTATATTATGCTGAGGCCACTCTGCTGTGATCATGATGAATCCAAGTGAGTGAATATCATTGCTGCTTGGAAAACATTATGGTTGTTCAACAGTCAGTGTGGTGTAGTGGTTAGAGTAGTGGACTAGGACCTGGGAGACCAGGGTTTAAATCCCCACTTGGCCAGGAAGCAAGCTCACTGTGGCCAGTCACCATCTCTTAGCCTAACCTACCTCACAGGGTCGTTGTGAAGATAAACTGGGGGAAAGGAAAACAGTATGTGCTACCCTGAGACCTTTGGAGGAAAGGTGAGATATAAATGTAGTAATAAAAATAAATGAAGCAGAGATATAGCTAGGGCAAGGATGGGGAACTTCTGCCCCTCCATATGGTGCTGAAGTCTTAACCCCCATCATTCCTGGCCATTAGCCATGCTGATGGGAGTTGCAGTCCAACATCATGTAGAGTGGGGTCACAGTTTCCTGAATGCTGAGCTAAGGCAACAATGGGAATTTCCAGATATTGTTTCCAGCAGTGGTGACTGTAGCTCTGAACTATGAATCCTCCAATATGGGAGGAGATGGCTGGATTCAGCTGCTTGCGCTTCCAAACGAGTAACTGGCTGTGTCAAATCTGACAGAGATCAAAAGCTAGGAACTGATGGCATCGTACTTCTTAATGAAGCAGAGGGTGCATTGGGGCAACCCAGTCTGATGGGATTATCATCATCATGATGGGCTGTGCCAAATTCTCACCTGCAAAATATTCTGGGGTGAAAGGAAGAATGGGTTGACAGTCCTACCTGGTATCACAGGCCCTCTCAAACAACAGCTGACATTTCATTCAGGGAGGTGGGGGCTTTTTGTGACAAGAGCCCTCCTCTTCTACCTCAGCCCTTGGATTCCCACTGAAAAGCCCATTTCTGTGCCTGCAATCCCATTGACTAGATGGGGACCATGTTGGTTAGCCTAGCTTGCAATACACGAGTGCTGCAGCTGAAATCACAACTACCATCTTGGTGTCCACTTCTCACCAGGCAGCTGAAATGAAGTTGTAGGTTTCCTTCCAGTGTGGCAACAGCTGTGAGGTTTCCTCATCGTAGAGCCGGACATTCATGTACGTAAAGTGCTCTGGGAAGAAGTTGTCGATCTCACGGGTGACATTAAGGATGTGGCTAACCCTGTAAGGCAAGGCAAGGAGTAATCAACAGAGAATGTGAGCAGCTCTTTTCCACCATGTTTTTAGCATGGCCTCAACTAACTAAACCACGTCCCATTTCCTAAACATCCCCCACTGCAGTTGCTCAGTATCTCAGAGTCGGGTTGGAATGCGTAGTAGAAATCCCTTCTGACTAGAAGGCAAGTTTACATGGAGAGGTGTAAATGGTCATCTCAGTGTCCAAGGAATCCAGATCAGATGAAGTTCCCGAAGGTACTAGTCTTGCTCTCCGAGCAGCATCTTTTGGTGACATACCTGTTCCTCTGAAGCTCCTCAAAGTTGGCTGCATTCCATTCAGAGCCCTGGGACAAAAAGGAACAACACCATGCACAGAGCTCAGTCCCAGGCGAGTGCAAATAGTTCACAAACATTCAGCCATCCTGCAATTGCTCATTAAATACTCAAAACCGAACACATTTAGCCAAATCATGTGGTAGAGTGCCTCCTAGCTTATACCATTGCAGACTGGGCAGGTGAAGGAACTGAGGTTTCGAATATGTCCCCAACAGGAAAAATTGCCAGCATGTAGAAAGATAGCAGAGAGTCATCTCCCTGATGTGCTTGGTTGTGATTTTTATGTGAGGGAGTAACTGTGAACCGTCCTGAGACCTACAGGTATAGGGCGGTATACTAATTTAATAGCGCCTGTCCAGTTTCTTAGGTCAGCTTCCAAGGCTGTTCTGTATGTTCCACCACCTGTTGAGGCTAGACTGATGGCCCCCAAAGATGGAGCCTTTTCAGTGCAAACCATCCATTTAGGATTGCAGCCTTAGCTGCTCGCTGTGATCTTCAACTTTGTATGAAGTAAAGAACATAAATCTGCTGCCCCATGCTATCTCTCAAGAAGGCCCTGTAGATAGTATAAGGGAGAGGCTTTACAGGGTGCTTTGCTTCCTCTTATGGTGGAAGGGAAGGCAAGGCCGGGAGGCCTCAAAATAACAGCAAGGCTTCCATCTTCCTGCCATTCCAGGAAAGATTTTGAGGACTCTTAAGTTGAGAGGAGGGACTGCTATTTTTAGGGGCTTGGAGCTCCAGTCTGCTGGCATCATGGATCCCTTTCCTGTACTTCCTCACCAAGTAGAGATAGTCAAAAATCCTGGAGGGCCGATCCATCTGAGCCATAATGAGAAGCATTTCATTGTCAATAAACTCTTTATAGTCGTTCAGGCTCCGACCGGCTCTCCGCTCCAGTTCTGTACGGATCTGCAGGAAGAGAGGGAGGGAGCTTGTGAGTGCCTGAGGTCGCTTTTGAGCCTGGCTGCTTTTTAATGACATGCCCATTCCTTGTCCCTCACCCATCACTCCAACCCCTATACATACCCCTGCTTTCCCACATTCCCTTCCCAGTCCGTTTTACATATCTTGCTCCCATACCCTCTCTCTCTCTCTCTCACACACACACACACACACACACACCCTCACACATGTCTCAATTTCCTCACATTCTCTCTCCCCCGCCCCCTCCTCCCTCACCCCCTTGGCCCAACATCCCACCTCCTTGGAGGTGATGTTCTCCAGGTCAGTGGTGGCCATCACCTCACGCAGCTTGGCCCGGATCATCCGCTCTGTCATCTCCTGTGCTGTCGGCCTGAGGCACAGAGACGGAGGGTCGGCAAAGCTCTTGGCTCGCCAGACTCTGCCCCAGACACCATGGCACGCCTAGAGCATCCCTCCCCCATTGGCAGTAGGGTTACAAATCTTGACACCATGCCAAAGCTTTGCATTTCCCTAGATAGCTTTTACGCATTTGTAAACGTGCTCGTTCATTTATTGCATGTATATCCTGAGCTTCCTCTGGGGGCCTTAAGGATTACTCCCCCCCCCCACCTCAATTTTATCCTCACAAGTTGCTGTGAGGTAGGTTAGGCTCTGACTGACCCAATATCACCCTGTGAACTCAATGGCTAGGTGAGAATGTTAACCTGGGTCTCTCTCAAGTCCTACTTTGCTACCCAAACCACTCCACTCCACTGCACCACAAAAAGTGATGCTACGTGACCTGAACTGGGGGTGGGATTCTGCTCTGATCTGTGTCTCTGATCAGCATCTCCCTCCCTCCCTTATTATTACAAAAAACAAAAACAAAACAAAAACAAGGACCCTTCCCTTTCATGACCTACAGAAGAAGAACTTTCTGCACAGTAGTCCCTAAAACTGGCTAGCAGGGCCACCTGAAATGTCTGTGCTTTGGACTACTGCATGGTATCGAGTTCCACCTTGGAACCACTGCAGCTCTGCTGACTACATCATTCACAGCCTATAACCAGCCCTAGGAGGGGAAGGGCAATCACTGACTGGTCAGAGAAGGCTGCAGGAGAAGTGGGTCGCACAGATTCCAAGTCGGACATGGCTAGCCATTCATTAATGCAGCTCTGCTCCGAGTTCACAGCCTTCTGATACCACTCGGTCCAGCTCAACGCACTGCCTCCTGGGAAATGGTTGTTGCAGACGGCTTCGCTGCATGCCTTGTGCAGCACTTGCAGCGCTGACCTGAGAGCAGAGATGACAATCAGACATCAGAGATGCACTAAAAAAATCCTCTGAAGGCTACCACTGCAATCAGAGAAATGCACATCTCTCTTCCCATTTTCCTCCATAATGCCCCTCTCCCAGCCTACCAAAAGCAATAGCGGCAACTATATCCTTGTTCCCCACATTCATCCTTTTCCCACACATGTCCTTGCGCTTTTCACCCTACCTGATAGCCTTGCTTACCACATGGTCTGGACTGAAATGGGCTTAAAGATACGGGTTTGCCCCCCAGACGTCACACTGAAGCCCCTGGGGAAAGAGAAGGGGAGAGCAGTGTCACAAGTAACTTGGGAGTGCTCCACCTGAGATGCAGATATACGGAAAGAGGCAAATAACAATGCAGTACTTGGCATGGTTGTGAAACTAGTATGAGATCTTCCATGGTGCCAGGTTCCATTTGTAAGCAAAAAAGAGAATCTGATCCTTTTCTGCTCTTGAGATCTAAAAGTCAGGATGATGTTGCTTCTTGCCTTGTGCAATGGCAACAACCTTAATCTACGCATTCTAGAAAGGATGGCGCCAGCTGAAGTCAATATTTTAGGTACGCTTCATCTGCACTACAGCTGTATTTCCCAAATTTGGGTTGCCAACTGTTTTTGGACTACAACTCCCATCATTCCTACCTAGCAGGACCAGTGGTCAGAGACGATGGGAGCTGTAGTCTAAAAACAGCTGGAGACCCAAGTTTGGGAAACACTAACCTAAGGCTTTAACTACAAAGTTGAAGGTTTTCATTTAAAGCCTAGGTCTGTGTCCCTGGATTGTAATGCTTATCTCTGCATCACTGTGGGACAGGCACATTTTGCAAGGGAGGTGTGAGGATAAATACTTTCTAAAACCTTGTTCACCTGAAAATGACCTAAAATACAGCCACTAGTGAAGATGGAACACAGTCAATAGGACTGGCTGTTGGACTCCAGGCTGGCCCTAGTCAAAGGAGTTCTCTTTGAGTTGCCTGCTGAGAAATGCGACCGGTGCATAATATTCATGGCAGATTTGATCCCATAACCCTGACTTTAATAAATTCTGGTCTGGGCCAGACACGGTGAATATGAAGTCTATGGGCACGCTCCAGTGGAGAGTTAAGTGGCTTAAGCTTGCGGCGGGTTGCGAACAGTTGGCCGTACCATTAGCCGGGGCGGTGGATTGCCTCAGGCAGCAGACTTAGATTGCCACTGAAGGGTGGCAAACTGTCTGCTTTTTATTTATCTATTTTTTCTTTGGAAGGTACAATTTGGATTTATGTATTTTTTTTTGCCTGAACCCCCAACATACATTGGGTTGGCCCTGAACCCTAGTTAGCCCTCCATCATCATAATCTAGTTACAGGTAGGTAGCCGTGGTGATCTGCCATAGTGGAAACAAAATGAAAAAATTCCTTCCAGTAGCACCTTAGAGACCAACTAAGTTTGTTATTAGTATGAGCTTTCGTGTGCATGCACACTTCTGCAGATACACTCAATGTATCTGAAGGTGCTACTGGTCTCTAAGGTGCTACTGGATGGAATTTTTAAAAATTTGTTATCATCATCATCATAATTTATTTATACCCCGCCCATCAGATTAAAAACAGAATAAAACATCAAACATTTAAAACTTCCCTAAACACGGCTAATTAAGGCCCAGAGGTCCATCTCTTTGCTCTTTTATCCCAAAATATGGCCACTCAAGGCCTTTGTGCCTCAAGCTCAACCACCTTCAACTGCCTGAAGCTCTCCTGCTAACTCAGATGACTCTGCCTTTTACCCCCTTTTGCCCCTTATGCCTTGAACTGTTCTCTGGGAAACCTGTGTGAAGTAGACCTTCTTGGATTTCCTTCAAAACATACCTTTCCTGTGAAAAGTTTGGCATGAACACACATACCCTAGTCCTCTTCCATCATGGAACCAAACACAAGTATGACTCACTGAAATAAAGCTGTGCTCATTAGTGGTGCTACATGGCTATTATTAACAACAACAACAACCATAAGATGAGACACAGCATGGGGCAGGCTCTCAAGGAGACTTTTTAAGAAAAAGAGACCATGCAGAAAAGAATGGTTGGTTTCCACTTAATACAGGAGGGAGAGACAACAAAAAAACCAAACCCTCCCATAGCTATTCAGGACGTAAGTGGCTTGTAGTCTGTGGAGACCATTTTAAAGTCAGATGAGAGAGCAGGCATTGTTGGTGAAACTGGGCGAGGAGAAAAATAAACACATACCAAAAAAATGGCCTCTCACTATCTCAGTCTGTTTGAGTATCCTAGTTTGTTTGCAAAGCACAAAGCTTATATGAGGATTACTATTACATGGAGCATTGTGGGTGCCTGGTGGGGTTAGGTCTGTCTCTTACCCATCGCCATCAAGGAAGACCTGAGTGTCACTCCAAAGCGGAAGCACCATCCCCAGCGTGCAGGCAGCCGAGCTGGGAGGCAAAGAGAAAAGAGATCAGGTAGCTACTGAAGGGGTTATTCTAGTCCATGGGTAGGCAAACTAAGGCCCAGGGACTGGATCTGGCCCAATCGCCTTCTCAATCCGGTCCGCAGATGGTCCAGGAATCAGTGTGTTTTTACCTGAGTAGAATGTGTGCTTTTATTTAAAATGCATCTCTGGGTTATTTGTGGGGCATAGGAATTCGTTCACCCCCCCCCTCCAATATAGTCCGGCCCCCCACAAGGTGTGAGGGACAGTGGACCGGCCCCCCGCTGAAAAAGTTTGCTGACCCCTGTTATAGTCCCTGTGCTTGTCCTACAAACCTTCCCCATTCACCCCATCTGCACTCGCCTCTTAACCTGCTTTTTCAATAGCTTGATCAGCATTGTAAAAATCACTGATAGCAAAGCCAAGCCAGCATTCCAGAGCTGTGACAGAGGTGCTTGGCGAACTGCACTGCTATCTTCCCTTCAGCTCCTTGATTTGGACGTCTTCCTGCGGCATGCTCGAGTGCCTGTGCCCTTACTGAATACATAAACAAAGGTTCTTCTGGAGCACAGACACTGGGAATGGGGTGGAGAGGAAAGACTGGGTGAAGGGTTGCCAAACCAGTTCGACCAGGGAGTAAAATACATTAAGGAGTTTAGATACACACACACAGTGAAGGACAGAAAGAAAGCACTCTGAAGCAAAGATGCTTTCGATAAGGGTTTTGAACAAACATCATGCAGAGAGAAAAGGGGTTGTGTTCTTCCAAGTGCATTTTCTTGGAAGCATGCCCCATTAATTTCAACGGTACTTGCCTTTGGCTAATGGTAATTTGGAACACAACCTTAGTTATTGAAGCAGAGAATGTTGCCTGTTCCCTATGCATGTTTGTTCAGAAGTAAGATCCACCGCGTTCAATGGGACTTACTTTCAAGGAAGTAGTGTGCATCAGCCTGTAGTCTAAGAGACTTTCAGCACAATCCTAGTCGTATCTACTCGGAACGAAAGTCCTATATAATTAAATGGGGCTTATTCTCAGGCAAGTGGGTCAAGGATAGCAGCCTTATTGGGTATCTCATTTTGGTCCAAGCCTTGACGAAAGACATCATGAAGAGATACAAGGCAGGACAGTATAGACTGCTAGAAGTTTTCTAGCTTAGAAGTGCCTGGGCCCCACCCCTTCTGTATCTTCGTGCTCCTTCCCTTGTCCTCTCACCCTTCTTCAGGGAAGTCAACTCCCAGCAGCACCATCTCACTCTTGCTCTCCACCTCTGCTGCTGACACAACCAGCAAGTACCGGATCCGGTGAGCTCGAGCCGACTCCAGCCTCACAGCCTGGAGGAGGGAAACAAACATACAGTCCTTGTAAGACTGTCCTTGTGTGTGTCACCTCCACACATATGACAGTAAGATTCCACCACAACTGTTGGTGGTGCATTTGGCAGATGCAGGGATAGTTCTTTGTTTAGCACCACCAGCAACTTCTGAAAAAAATTCCATGATTCCTGAGGCCAGTGCCATAGCTAAGTATCATATTGTTACATGCGTGGAAATAACATAAGATAGCAACTTGGGATAATCCAAGTAGGCCTAAGGAGTGCCCCTTGTTTCTTGTCAGTAGTCATTTGTGCACTTTTCGGTATGAGAAAAAAGGTTTTGAGGAGAAACTCCATTTACATTTATCCAGAAATAAGTGCGTCACATTTTCATCTCTGAGCCCAAGAGCCCTGGCACTGAGGTTCTCAAAGCTATTAAATCATCCACTGAAAATCATATTATACAAGGCTTTTAGCACAAAATCATTAGGAAAATAGAATGGGAGTTTCAGAAAAAGGCCCCACACCCCTAGATTAAGTGAATGCAGTTTGGCATCGTGTGGTAGGATCAGAGGGAAGAGCCTCTGGGCCTAAGTGTTATGGGAGTGTTTTTCATATTTTTCTGCACACTTTCCACATTGGCAAATGCCATATATCTTCAGTAGTTTTGCCAAGGGGTTTGGGGCATGTTCTAGGAAGACACACACAGAGAGGGGGCAGGGAGTGTTATTGTGGACCACTAGACAAGCATATGAGACCTCAGTATTGACTTGCCTGAACTGAGAGTATACTGGACAGATGCACGTTTATTTATTTAATTCTCCATTTTCCACACTGCAAGGGAAGATCCGCAGTGGGGAGCAAGCTATCTTTTAGGGCAGCTTGTCTGCTGCTACTGAACTTCTGAATGAGCCACGTCTGCTAAGCTCCCGAGAACATCAGCAGCTACCAGAAAGCAGCATGAGAACCGCTGCCTTCAGGAACTGCCCCAGGTACTTGGAGGCTGTTGTGACTCACTCTCTAGAAAAGAAAGAAAACCCAGCACATGCTACTTTGGAAATCTCCCAGCAGAGTCCCCAAAGCCAAAGCCGGGATCAGACTCGGCAGAGACGCCAGCTCTGGCTGTCTGCCCAAGAGAGCAAAAGCCCCGCAGGCCATAAATGGGGAAGTGGCTGCAGCTCCCAGCTGAATGTCTGCCTGAAAACCACATTCCTCAAGGAGAGGAATCCCTCGCTGCCCTGCTCTGTGCCTCCACAAGCGTGGACAATGAGGCTCTCAGAAGCCAGGCCTCTCTAGCACAGAGTTTTGCAGCAGGAAGGCAAAGCGGAATCAGTTTATCACAGGACTCCCAGGCAAGAAGCAACACAGATTCTAGAATCGCGCTAAGAGGAGGAGAAAGGTGAAGATCAAGGTCAAGAGGAAGGAGTTAATAGTCGGGTGTCCACTCCACAGACCAGCTGAACTAGCCTGGGAAGCAATCTGGGTCACTAAGGCGTTCTCACTGAGGCAGTAAACTTGTGCCCTTTCAGGCTTCAGGTGCGATCCCACGATGGAAGGATTCAGTCATGTGAATCCCACCCACAGCCTGAAGTGATACTGTCTAGACACAGGTTTACTGCCTCTTAGAACTAGGCCGGAGCCTGAGGGCACACACCTCCCTTTTCTGAAATATTGTCTACAGAAAATAGCCCTCTTTCATTTCAGAACAGTTGTCTCTTGTGGCACGGCTTGCCTAACCAGGCCTGTAGGACAGCAGCAAGGCACACTGGGTACAGCTGGTGGTTCTGGACAGGAGGGCAGGAAAGCACTTATGCCATTAAGGAAAGGAATCCCACTAACATACATTTAAAGCACAGCTATACCATCTTAATTGTCACAACTTCCCATGGAAGCTGCAATAAATAAAACAAATGCTCTGTGGTGATGAGGATGTTATTGTATTTGTTTGTTACTGTGCTATGTATTTTTTGTGTTTTTATATTGTAAATCACTCTGTGATCCTCGGATGGGGGGTGATATAGAAATTTAATAAGTAATAAACAAATAGTTTACCAATCACAGACCTATAGTAAACAGCACCAACCTACAGGGCTCTTTGGGGTGGGTGAAGCCATGTGCTTTAATTGTAATCTGTGGGTGTTACTACAGAAGGTCAACTCTGGTAGATAAGATCATTTGATGAACAGAATGAACCTTAAACTGGCCTGGCTTGGCAGCAGAAAGCTGGAATATTTTTTGTTCCAATAGTAAGCAATGCTGAGCCAGGCAGAGAAGGGAATTTGCCCTGAGTGTTGGGCCTTGGCAGGGCTGAGTGGGTGGAAATGGAGACCGTGCTGATTCCAGAACTGGAGGAGGGAAAAGGGCAAAGGCCCTGCCCCAAGCAAACTCTTTTACAAGGCAGTAAAAACACTGAACTCCATAACTGTCTGCTCCAGACTCTTTATCCGAAGAGGCACATTTTGTGGTCAGGCCAATTGCTTTCCTGTCTCTTCTCATCCACACTCTGCCGTATCTCCCTGCCCTCACAGTCTCACCAGCCGGATGCTGTCTTCTGGCCGCATCAACCCCACCATTTGCTGTAAGTGCTGCTCCTGTTGTTCAGCCGCGGCATTCTCACTCTTAGGCTTGTGGTCCAGGGGGGTGGCTGGGCCTTCCTGCACGGACTCCAGCTTTTCGTCTTCCTGCAGGAGCAAAGCAGCTCCTTTGACCATGACGAAGCTGTGGCTGAAAAGGGAAAGAAACGGAGATAGGTAGAAAAACCCTCTTGCTCCAGAGGAGAGCTTGCCCCATTAAATCCTTCCTCATTCCAAGGGGGAATGTAAGAAGCTGCCTTACCCTGACAATGATCCATTGAATTGAGCCTTTTCTACACTGTTCAGCAGCAGATCTCTAGAGTTTTAGGCTGGGAATCTCTCCCAGTCCTACCTGGAGACGCCTGGGACTGAACCAGAGACCTTCTGTATAAAAGGAGGTGCTCTTCCACTGAATACGGCCCTTCCCCATGAACGCTTGGAAGCATTTGCAATTACAGAACAGTCACAAAATCTGAAGTAGTCCAAGAGAGGCAGGCCTAGCCATCAAGGCAAACTAAGTAGGTTGTGCTAGCTAGAAGCCTTAAGGCCTATTAAATGTATACAGAGGTGGCAGAATATTGAAAAATCACATCAGATTTTAAAATAAAATGTTGAAAAACGTTGACTCTAAGGAATAGATAAGCAATATTAGCTATACTCAGCTGGAATACAAGCAAGCATTTTAGAAATTGCAAGCTCTTTTTTTTAAAAAAATGTCAACATTGATTTATTACCTACTTTTATATAAAAAAAGTATAAGGCATTCCCCCCAAGAGTGCCCTTAGCCTTTTCAAAATATATATTTTAAACTATTTGCCAAATCTCTGCTTTTCTCACACTTTTTAAACAGAGATGTGTGCTCTAAAAATTACCACCAACCCCTGACAAATTAGACAGAAAGGCTATGACACTCCCTACATGCTACACACTAACGTGTTTAACAGTGCTCCCATCATTTTTTTAAAAGCAGAGATTATCTAGGGGAAGCAATTTAGAGTGGAGAAGCAGTAGGGGGAGTGGGCAGTAGCCGTTCCCCCAGCCATTATTTCTCTGTTCACCTCACCCCCCCGTCCCACCTCAGTGCAGAGTTCAAAGGTGTTTGAAAAGATGGCAAGTTCCGTTACAGAGGACGAGGGAATTAGATCCTTCCAGTTCACCAGAATTAGAGATCTTTCCAGTATACTGTACATTTATATTTAATGCACAGTATCCTCCCATGTATTCGTTTGGTGCACATTTTCCATTGCAAGATAATTTATCCGATTCCTCACTCTTCTTTGCAAGGTTTTTTCCCCTCTTTTCAGAGCAACAAACATGCAGTTGTTATGCTTTTGCTGCACACAATCTTGTCTCAAGATTGCACTTCTCTTGGGGAAATGTAATTCTTCCCTCCAATGCAATTGGGACTGCGGTGTACAATTTGGTTTTGCAAATGTCATGGGATATTAATGAGGAACACAACTCTCTCCTCCTCCTCACCGCCAAACACCCACATCAGTTGGTTGCTGTGGCTCAGGCATTGATAATCTTGAGTTTGGATTACTGCAGTGTGCTTTATGTGGGGCTGCCCTTAGCTTGCCCTGCAAGCTGCAACTGGTGCAAAATGCAGCAATTAGACAACGCACCAGGATGACTTACCACATGCATATTACATCACTCCTAAAGGAGCTGCATTAACTGCCATTTAGCCACTGACCCATGTTTAAGGTTTTGCTTTTGACCTATACTGCCTTAACAGTTTGGGACCGATTACCTGAAGGATCCCCTTCTCCTTCTTGCTCATTACAATCAGCTATGGCACACTTTTTATGTGTGTTTGGCAGTAACCAAGAAGGGTCTTCTCTGTGCAGGCACCCTCTCTCCCTTCAGCTTAAAAAGGCACCAGAATATGCTCCTAAATGTTTGCTGCTTTTTGATTCCAGAGTATGGTATCACGATTTGAATTTACTCTGGGTCACTGTTGTCTTTTTAACCTGTAGCTTTTTTAATGGTTTAATTTGTTATGATGTCTTTTCTAGTACGTCACTTTGAATGCTTCATGAAAAACAGGTAAAAATAAATCAACAATTTTTTCCTGTTTGAACTCCTACACTATATTTTTCTAGTACAGGGGCTCTTGGTGCAACACTAGTTGTTTTTTTAAAGTTAGAAGAAGCAGCAATGCTCCACCTTCCTGCACCGCCACTACCCACTGCACTGTTTTGGAATATTTATACTCTCTTCCTTCTGCATTTCTTCACAATGTAGCTCCAACATTGGAACCATCTTTTAAAAAATAAGTTGCAAAGTGCAACTTCCCCCCACCCTAATGCCTTAAGGTACTGGTACTGGGTTCCTGCTACTGGGAGTAACATACTAAACCCAAAACTTTTTTTAATAAATTGTGGGAAAAAGCCCAGAAGCTGGTTTGGGAGGACCCTGGTCTTTTTGTTTGTATGTATGTGTGAAGAGACAGGATTACAAAGGATAGCTCCTTACCGTCGCTGCAGCTGTCTCTTCCGAGGAACATCTTCATCCTGCAAGGGAATTCCAGGTAGATCAGTCACTTCTGATCCAGAGCAAAGAAGAAGAAATCTCCGGCCTCCAGATTAAACAATGTTCTAAGTTTCCACACATGTGGCACCAATCTCCTAGACACGGTCATTTCCACCAAGGGCTGTCCCAAGGCATTTTGCTTCCTGAGCCAAAGGGGCAAAATGCTGCTCCCCTTATTCCATATGGAGAAGCCAACCAGGCCCTTGAATATCACCTGAACAGTGGAGATGGGGCAGCATCCTCCCTTGGACCTGAGGGCAGCAGGCTGGTTTGGGAGCTGCAAGGCAGATCACATGGCACACTCAGCTCTGTTTGCTCTGCACTCCTCAGCAAATGCTGCCCAAAACAGCCATCTTATTCTGCCTAATGGTAGGGGTGGTCTTCCAGAGGTAAGCAGGTCCACACAGAGCAGGGGGCCCTCAGAGGGCTTTTTTTCAGCCGGAACTCTCCGGAACTCAGTCCCGGCACCTCTCAGGTGGGCACCATTGCCATTCTAAGAGAATGAGGGAGGTGTTCATGGAGAGTTCCAGAACCTCTTTTTCTAGAAGAATGGCACTGACTCCTCAGAGGGCTAAGCTGGCTGGGGAACCCTGCCAGACTTGCACTGTCATGCCTCCTAGCCAACTGTGGGCTCCTACCCCAGGCCTCAGACAAGCTCTGCGTGGGCCTGGGGATAAAACAGTTTGGCCCAGTTAAATCACTGAGGCTTTTACCTTGGTGGGACTTGGGAGTGATAGCAGGCTGCCTTTCTTTTAAGTGATGAATAAGTTTATTTGTCTAGACCATAAAGCCGTAACATACAGCAATGCACAAACATTGTAAATGCAGGCTATAAAACCATAAAATATTCTACCATTTATTATTAAAATCATCTACCTCATGCACAGCTGAAATGTTTTAAGCTCATGCTTGCCAACACAAAAGGCATACAAAGAAAGCACGGCTGGAGAGCACAGGTTTAAGGGCTTCTCCACACTTGCCTTCCCTCTGCTCTTTTCCAGGGACAGTCAGTGCTTCAAAGGTACATGTCCAAGCAACTTTTTTTTTCCTCCAGAGCTCTCCCTGCAAAAACCTGCTCTTTAGTATTCAGTCGGAGCACATGTCAATCTGCAGAAAACCAGAATTGACATTTGCTCTGATTTCAGAGGGAAAGCTCTGTGGCAAATAAGAAGAAAAAAAGAAACACACTTGGACACAGAGCTTTAAAGCACAGACTTGTGCCTGGAAAGAGTGGGGCAAAAGGTAAGTGTGGATAAGGCCCAAGTTCTGGTGGGCTGCACCCATGGCTGGGGCAGGTGGCTGGCGCCTTCCATAGCAACTTCAGAGCGATTCCTTTATACCAGAAGAACCAAATCACCTCACAATTGCGTTTGCGCTGTTGGCTCTGCCATGGAAAAACCCAGCATGACATAATGTTCCTGTTCCAAGCAGTCCCTTCTGTGCCACAAGCACAGAACTGTTATGCCACCTCTGATCCCGAACATCAACAGGACTCTGTATTTTACAGGCCCCAACCGACAGCCTGACTTTGTGCATTGGTGTTTGTTTTGGATCATTTTTTATTATTTCAGAAGAGAGAAGGACCGAGTCTAAGCACTGAAGCCTAAGGTCTTGGAAGCCTTGCTCAGCCTTCAGAAATCTGCAATTTCACAAGCAGGTTCCCAATTTATCTCAGCACCAAAAGGGCTAGAGATGTTCTCTTTTTATGAGGGGGGGGGAGTAAAAGAAAGAACCCCAAATGTCTCATCATGCAGCTAATCAAATACTAAGGTTGCATGCTACAATTAGACACAGAATGCAGAGATCATCCCCCTTCACAGAAGCTGGCTTGGTTCTCAACCATATTTGAAAGAGATGTTGAAGTAGCTAGCCTTTCATTATGGGCCTACAAGTCAGGGCTGGATCTGGGACCTATGGGCAACAGATTCCAGAAGGGTGCCATTTTCCTACCTCCAATTTCTTGTCTTCATGTCATTAAAAAAAACACTTCAGAACTGAACAGAAGGTCACCATATTGATTTTCACTTCAGGTGGAAAACCAGGGCTGGCTCTACAGTGAATATGGGATTCTGCCATAAAAGGGATGCTTTTGTAAACCTGCTGGTTCTTGGCCTATATAAGAAGCTAGAACACTTGCTGAAGACAAAGGTGACCAATTAATAACAATCATAGAATTGTAGAGTCGGAAGGGACCCTGAGGATCATCTAGTCGCCAGTATTATTATCGCTGCACTGTAGATGGTGGGGCTGAGGCCAAAAGAGAGTGGCTTGTCCAAAGCTACAAAATGAGTTCCCTGCTAAGGCAAGGGTCAAACCAAGGACTTTGCAGCTCAAGCTGTTAGCTACTACACTAATTCTTAGCATTCTGCACCAAGCCTGGACATCTTATGCCCCACTAAGCTGAGTGTTCCCTGCGGACCACATCTATAGGCTGAGAGGTGCTCTCCACCATGTGTTTTGTAGGTCCATAACCCATATAAAAGGGACGTGGGTGGCGCTGTGGGTTAAACCACAGAGCCTAGGACTTGCTGATCAGAAGGTTGGTGGTTTGAATCCCCGCGATGGGGTGAGCTCCCGTTGCTTGGTCCCTGCTCCTGCCAACCTAGCAGTTTGAAAGCACGTCAAAGTGCAAGTAGATCAATAGGTACCACTCGGGTGGGAAGGTAAACGGTGTTTCTGTGCGCTGCTCTGGCTCACCAGAAGCAGCTTAGTCATGCTGGCCACATGACCTGGAAGCTGTATGCTGGCTCCCTCAGCCAATAAAGCAAGATGAGCGCCACAACCCCAGAGTCGGTCACGACTGGACCTAATGGTCAGGGGTCCCTTTACCTTTATCCCATATAAGCAAGAAACTAGAAGATTTATCAAGCCTTGTGCGTTTCACAATCTGCGATTGGTGGTCTGTGTTTGCCCTGGTGGATCACAAGCTGTGCAGACCTGCACAATGTCACAGTTTCACAGCTGAGGGCTGGTGGGTGGGTGGGTGGGTGGGAATCCAGCTTGGAAATACACAGTGTGGTTCCATTTTAGGACACTGCTAGTCTCCCGTCGCCTTGGAATGGTTGCAAATATTTTCCTGGAGCGGCCTTGAATTCAGGCTCTTGCATAACCTTATCTATGTGATTCCCAGTCTGTTGGCAATTTCCTGTGACATTTTTAAGCATGGAAAAAAACACAAACCTTGTCCCTGCCACTTCCTAATTGCCAGCTCCTTGCACAATGTCTAATTACGCTTGAAATGCAATCAGCCCAGCAAACTGCCAAGCTTGGGGTGTGAGAACTCTGGAGCTAGGCACCCCAGTGCAAAGTGACACAGAGGTATCCCAGGGTTGGTGTTCTGGGGTGGGGAAATCTTGCTTTTCTGAGGCTATTATGCAAGGGATATTTTTTGCTGCCTTCCACGGGCCCCTGACGTTGCAATCTGCAAGGAACCGGCAGGAAGTGGCAAGTTGTGAAACTCCCTGACAAGTCACTTATTAATGCCCAGTTCTTCTGCACAGGATCCTGAGCTGTCAAGAGCTGATTAGAGGAAGAAAGGGGGAAGGAGTAAGGACTGGGGAAAGCATATCTGTGGGGACCCAAGCAAGGAAAGGCAATTGACCACTGTGGCATGCGTTTGACAGGCTTCCTTACATGGAGAATTGAGAGAGAGAGTTGATCAGGGAGGGAAAGAATCCCACAACAAGGCACCCTGTGTGGGGCAGAGAAGCTCAGGCCAGAGGAGCTGAAGGGGCGTTTCACAGCTGGCCCGTTCTCTACAGCAGTCGCAATGAGGAGGGACTGTGAAGCTCCAACATTTTGGCTTCACGCAGCCAGATTATTCCACTCTATATGAACCCCACATTCCACTCACCCACCCACCCATCCAGGAAGGCTACGACTTGTGCAAGCACCCAGCCCAAGGAAGGTGCTGATAAAATGCCTCCACCATACCTTTCTGTGGATGCCACATACTCAAGATCATGCCTTTGTATGCCTCTCCCGCTCCATTAGGCAAACCAGAACTGTTTACAATAAGGTTACCAGATTTCCCCGTTTCCCGGGGACAGTCCCCAGATTTACAAATCAGTTCCCTGACTAAATCCACTGAATTTGACTGAAGTTGAAACGTTGTCCCCAGATTCATTGAAAAAAATCTGGTGACCTTAGTTCTACCAGCACAGAGGTAGTTGCTTCTGCTTGGATATTTTAATACTACTCCGTAAGAGGTGTTAACATAGGAAGCTGCCTTAGACCAAATTAGACCATTGGCCCACCTAGTTCAATATTATCTCTACATGGTCTGGCAGCGCCTCTTCAGGGTGTCAGGCAGGGGACATTCCCAGTCCTGCCTGGAAACTCTGGGAATCGAACCTGCAGGCAGAGCAGATGCAGTCTAGAACATAAGAAGAGCCTGCTGGATCAGGCCCAAGGCCCATTTAATCCAGCATCCTGTTCTCAGAGTGGTTAAACCAGATGCCTGCACGACAGCAACAGCAGCTGAGGTTTCCAGCAACTGGTATTCAGAAGGATGGAGGCAGAACATAGCCATCATGAGGATCTACAGGCCTTCCCCTACAAATGATGGATTTAAAAAGAAAAAAAAACCCATCCTTTTGACACTCTGTGACTTACACTGAATGCAAATATGACAGAACAGCTAAGTGGGGTTCGTGTTTCAGGTTGAGACTGGCCCACCTGGAGTGGCAAAGGTGGTAAACACGAGTCCCTGCTGCAGCAGGTAAAGAAATCCTACACATAAGAGTGGCAGACCGTCGTTTTCTTTCCCTATCCCACTGGTGCTACTGCTTCACCCCAGGGAGCTCCCTCTACTGGGAAGAAGAGGAGTAGAGACGCGGGGAAATCTCTTGCCTGATCTTTGGCGCTTGGGCCCCCTTCTCTGCGCAATACCGCCCCCCACCCCGCGCAAGCCAGTCCTTCTTCCAACAGCGCCCCTGCAGGAAGGTGCGAGAACAAACGGCCAGATCTTTCGGGGCCAAAATGGTGCAAGGTGCAGTCGCTTGCACAGCTCAGCATACGGCTTGCAATGGGAGAGAGGGGTGGCGAGAACGGGGCACACGATGGCGCAGCACGCGAAACAGCACCCCTCGCCAGCCCCAGAAAGGGGATGATGGATCGCAGCCGTGCCTAAAAGAAGAGCCGCTGCTGTGTGGGTCCCGTCGGGGGATCAGGGTGGGGTTCTCTTGGGGCGGCTTGAGGCTTGGGCTAGAAGCGGCGTGCGAGCTCACCTTGCTGCCGGTGGGTGTCGAGTGGCCGCTCCCCGACGGGGAGCGACAGACGGTCACCAGCGCCATGCGCGGCTTGCTGCGCCCTTCCTCCGCTCCCTGCGCGCGGGGAGCCGACGGGGAAAGATCGTGCCACTCGGCGCCGCTGCCGCTGCCGCCGCTGCAGACAGCCTCCAGGGGGCGGGCGTGCCCAGCCTTCCGCGCACTCCCTGGGTCAGGCCAGGGTGGGACCTGCCGTCCGTAAACTTTCTTCTCCTGCACCCGGCCGCCTTAACCAGGAAGCTCAAGGATGCTGCGCGGCGGAATCGCGCACGTCCTTGGCGGGAGGCTCTTAAAGGAACCAGCCCCAAGACGCGGGAGGGTTTTCCCCAGCCGGGAGCGGAGGTGGGAGGAGCGTCGGGCTGCCCAGGGCTCGCTTCCCCAAGCCGCAGTGGCACCCTTCCATCACAGGGGCCAAGGCTCAGCCCCGGCACCTATTCTGAGTGCTGCTAGGCTTGCGTATGGTGGGAAGCGGGGTAACAAGCGCCTCTGAGCAGAGGTGCCAACTTGAATGAAATATGGGGGGTAAGCCCCGACCCACATAATCGATCACATGGCACGCACAGTATTTGAATGGCAAAGCCCATCAACTTTTTTGGGGGGGGAGGGGGCGCTCAAATATTTTATAAAGGGGGGCGGCGAAGGGACCACAGCGGCCCCTAGGAGTTGGCTCTTATGCTTCTGAGGATGTGCAGAGGTTGCTGCAGCTGTGGGAGGGCGGCGGGCACCGTGTTTGTTCGTTTGTTTTCATGCATGCAGAGTTAAAATCTCAGCTAACACCAGAGTCGGAGCTTAAAATGGAAACCTAACGCCTTGCCGCTGCTGCCAGCCCCCCCCCCCCCGCATATTACTACAATGACTCAGCAGGTGGTCGAGCGAAAAGCCGAACATCAGAGGCTGGAGAAGCAGCACAGCGCCCCCCCCCCACACACATCAGGCACGACGGCCGCCTGGAGCCCACTGCCACCCCCGCTGCATATCGGGATCCAAAAAGCAGCCTTCCTAATCCATAGCACAGCTACCCACAAGCACAGCCCTGCAAACACCGCCAGCTGCTGATACCGCCGGGCCAGGCTATCGAAGGTAAAAGTAAAATCTGTTCAGAACTCAGCAGTGCTGAAATTCTAAATGTTTCGGATATTGCGGAAGGCTGCCAGCAGACGACCTAGATAGACACCCAGCTCTTCCCCCTAAAAGCTCAAATTGCTAACCAGTTCTCATTGGAAGCAGTTTTGATCCAAAGCATTTCAAGCAACTAGCCATTTGTAAGGGGAATGCTTTTAAAAAAAATCAAGGAAATGATCATATATTTTAAAACATTAAAGTGCAAGTTGCATAGTGCACACTAGTTTCCACAGTTAAACCTCCAAGAACCATAGAACTGGAAGGGGCCACAAGGGTCATCTAGTCCAACCCCCTCCAGTGCCGGAATCTTCTGCCCACACCCTTGAGATGAAGAGTCTCATGCTCTACCGACTGAGAGATTTGTTAAGTGTAGAAGACATAGCAGGAACTGCAGCTAATTCCTGGGGCTTTTTGTTGTTGATGCTTAATGTAAGCTGCTTCGTGAACATAATGGAATTGTTTGCTTTGCATTTGATCTTTAAACACACAGAACCAATGAAAGGGCGGACAACCACTTCACTTTCCTACCTGCCCAAGACCCAGCAGGTGGAAAGGAGCGTGGGCAGGTGGGTCAGCGGTGTGAAAAGCAGCAGCATCTCTTGTTGCTTTGGAGCCTTTGAAAGGAGTAGGCAGGATTTCCAGGTTCACTGCGGGCAGCCCTAATCTCGGCACACTCAGCCTACCCACCCCCTCGATTCCCCAAGCCAGCCAGCCAGCCCCAGGCACACAGTTACAATACAGCCTATATGACACAGTGCTGCAATTTGGACCCAAAATAACTGCAGGCCGTTATGAAGCTGTTTTATAGCAAATTGGGCTATTGGCACGTCTAGGTCAGTTGTATGGCTTGCACTCTCTGGCAGCACCTCCTTAAGGGTTTCAGATTGGGAAGCCGTTTCCCAGCCCCAGCTGGAGACACCAGGGGTTGAACCCGGGATCTTTGGTTGCAGAGCATGTGCTGCACTACCACTGGGTACAGCTCTTCCCCCAAAATGCAGCTGGTTAAGGCAGAGCAGCTCTCGGGAGCCCCTTGCACACCTTCCGAACTGGCAGGGGAGACTTGGCAACTGAAACCAGCCAAAGCAATTTTAACAGTACCATTGCCACCTGCTCTGTTTAAGGTCACTATGCTATCATGTGGCAGCCATGGTTCTTCAGTGTACAATCATCGTGCCTGGCTTCCTAAATTGCACCATGCAGAAGATTGAGCAAGGGGGGTGCGGGGGAGGGAGAGAGAGAGAGATAGAGACAAATTGCAGTTCTATGTATGCACACTAGATGGGGATATGCATTGTGTCAGGCAAGGCCAACAGGGATTTATACAAAGCGCAGTGTATGTATATATTTGCACTTGGGCAGTCCAAAACTATGATGCTATGTTGGCTGAGCAGACATATAATTTCAGTGGCTCAGAGAACAAATCCACTGGCTTCTTTGAGGCAAGATGGAAGCTGCCGGTTTGATTAAAGTTAAGAAAGGACATGTAGGGACAAGGAGTGGCAGAGATGTGTTGACGAAGAGCAATGGGGAAGAGTATTGGTGCAAAATGATGCACATGGTCTAGATGGTGCAAGGGCTGTGTACTATTGGCAGCAAGGGAGGAAGCAAAGGTGGAGGGTAGAGGATTGCTAGACTCTGCCAAGGAACTAAGCTAGTTGTTGCTTTACTGTCACTGGGGCATTGGACTAACAGGGCAATGAGGGCAAAGGAAGTGTGTAGATTTCACTTAATGATTTAAACTGAACACTTTCTGAGTACAGTTGTAAGAAAAAGGATGGTACTACTCTATGACTTCAAGATCGTATTATCCTCCCTCCCTCTCTCACCCCCCACCTGCCCTCTCTGCTATTGCTCCCACCAAATTGGGAATTAATAGCAACGTAGCCTGTTGAAGAACCTAAAGCAGCTTGTAAACCTTATCGTTTACCAAAATAGACACAGACTGTCACCAACATATGGAGTCCCATTAGTGTATTGAGGGAGCAAAGTTTGCTCATGATACTAAATTGTTCTGGGTTGTCAAAACAAAACAAGGGATTGCAAGGAGTTCCAAAAGAATTCCTCCAAACTGGGTGAACTTAAAATAGCAAACACAATTCAATGTAAGTAAAATAAATCCTCATTTGACATATATAGTAATGGGGTCTGAACTGGCAGTGACTGACCAGGGCTGCACACACACTATATACCTTTAAAGGACATTCAAAGCACATTCCCCCTCAAATGTATTCTGGGTACTGTAGTTCACCTCTCAGAAGGTTACAGTTCCGTCACATTGAACAAACTACAGTGCCCAGAATTCTGGGGACAATATGTTCTGAACGTGCTTTAAGGGTGCAGTTTGTATGCAGCCTAGGAAAGACCTTGTGGTCATAGTGAATATCTTGGTGAAAATGATGTCAACAGTTCATGTGGCAGCTGTGAAAAAGGCGAATCCCAAGCTAGGGATCATTAGGAATGAAATAATGCTGGTATAATGTTTTTATGTTTCAAACTATCAGGGTTTTTTGTGAGTATACTAATTAGCATGTTTCCTAATTTTCATAAGGAGAGCCGCAGAAATCCTAGCAGGTTCTGGAGCCAAGTTTTATGTTTATGTCACAGCCATGCAACCCGAGACCAAGATGGAAGAAAACGGAAGAACGTCACAGCAGAGCGGTGCTGGTTTCTTAGTTTTATTTAGTAGTTCCTGCTGCCCAGAGCCCCCTGTGCCTGGTTCCCAGACGACAGGAGAAAGCCGCTCAGGAGTGGGCACAGCTGTTCCCTTTAGACCCACTGGGTTCAGTTTCTTAAAAAAAAAAATAACCACATACCTCCCACTCCCCTTCTTGTATATATCTTCAGAGATATAAATAAAATAAATTAAAAATAAGGGGGGCAGGGAGAGCAGCAGCTCGCAATGAGGAGGAAAATAAAACGCGGGACTGAAAATTATTCACCACACGGCAGCCTGGTTTCAGGTCTCACCGCCAAACATCAGCGCATCAAGCTCCAGGCTTCCCCACCGCCTTCTATTGCCACTTCCGCAATTTGGTCCCGTCCTCAACAGGCCCAAACCCTTGCAAGGAAAGAGAAAGCAGCACATTCACCATCAGTCTCAGAAAAATCTCATGCCGAGGTGATAAAAATTTCCTCAACGTCTCTCCCCCCCCCGCCCCACATCCCGTCTCCTTCTTATTTGTTGCTGCTCCTCTTCTCCAACCTGCCTCTCTGTGCTGTAGAAAACATTTCCTCAGTGAAGGTTGAGGATATAAAGCAAATTTTTAAAAAAAATCTTACAGGAAATAATACCAGAGGATGGAACCGAGTGAGTCCCAGGAAATGCAGAAGGTGCTGTCTTCTCACATCCAGCCTGACCCTCAACTGGGAAGGGGCAAAGCATGAAACCCACCCCACCCCCAGAGGTTAAAAATACAATGACGGCAAGGACAGCTAGGCTGGGCGGTGTGAGGCTTGAGGGAGGCTAGGACGCTACTTCTCCGTCAGAGAGAGCTGGAGGATGCGCTGCAGCTCCTCGTCCTCCTCGCGGCGTTGGCGCTCCCTCTCCTCCTGCTCCCTCGAAGACAGCTCCATGGCCAAGCGCAGCTGCTCGTCAAAGCTGGGGTAGGGCGGGGGCAAGGCCGAGGAGCCACCCCCATTGGTGCTGAGAGGTGGGCTGCTCTCGGGAGGAGGAGCGCCACCGTTGCCACCTCCAGACTCCACTGGGCTCAGGCCTGGCCCCGCCTGAAGGAACATGCTCTCCTGGATAGCCCTGGGAGGACACAGAACGAGGAGGCATCAGCAAACAGGGCAGCAAGATATGGCTACTTGGTCATGCTTTTCAGGCCTGGTTCAGGCAAGCTTGCTCAAGCTGCTCTCAGATATGTCCCAACACCCCCAGCCCAATCTGGGCTTCCTCCGTTCCCACACAACTGCCCAGAGCCTGCTGGATGCTAGTAAAAAATAAAGAAATGGGCTGGCCTTTGGCTCAGTCTGGTTCCCAGTGTGCCTGATAGCTTTCTGGTGCTCTCTGCATCAATACAGTTCACAGGTTAAAAACAGTGCTTTTTGTGTAATTGTAATACACCTATTTTCACACTGAGGGTGCTTCAAAGTGACCTGTTTACTGAACATCCATGCCCATTTGTTAGCCAACCTTGTCTAATCTCCCTGCTGTCTAAAGGTTTGCAAGGAGGCTGGATGATGTTATCTCAAAGCAAGTGTTATCTCACACTTTCCAGGGCATTTCCACATCATTTTCCATTATATTACATCAGAGATAACCTGACAGCTGGTTTGCCCAAAATGGCCTGGAAGGCTTAATTCATGGCCAAATTCAAAGCCCTGGTGGGCCTAATTAGGCCTTTGGGCCACTGTGGCTTTAGCTGGTGGGGATACTCAACCCTCCAAAGTTGACCTTACTTCATGGAAAGGCTCATCTTGTGATTACGGGACTCTTCAGGCCCCAAGCCCAACACTTCAAATTGCTCTCAGAAATGAACCAGTGGCCAGTACAGTTGTTTAAATGTTGGTGATACGTTTGAAACACCTGGGCCCATTTCACAGTCTAGTAGTTGTATTTTGCATTAATTACAGTTTCTGGGCAGTTTTCAAAGGTACTCCCATGTAGAATTTATTTCAGTAATCAAGCCTTGAAGTTACCAGGGAATGGAAACCCAAAGTATAGGCTACGCCCTTGCCCAGGGCAGAGCCACAAGCTGGTGCACTTGTCTCAAGGTGCTCTGTCCCACTTGGGCCTCTAGTGAGAAAGTGGGGTGTAGAAGCCCCCTAAACCGTAAGCATGATTCTTCAGAGTATAATCCTACGCAGAACAGACTGAATAGCATTCTCTGGACATAGGCATTAGGTAACCATCAACAAATTTTCCATCTTATCTGGATTGGATAAACAGTCACCTAGCCTTTGAAAGGCTTGTGTTTTTTCTTCCTGTTGTCCCCAGATTGTTGCGTTGCATCACAACTGTGGGTGGGTTCCCTGCTGGGCAGCAACTCAGGAAATGTAGGAGAAAGGGGAAGAGCCTACTGCTTGTAGTGAAGAAAAGGCCTCACTGCCTGCACAGGCCACACCATGACCCAGGGGTTTCCCCCCTGTTTGTTCCCTGGTTTTCACTCCTTATGCATTTCTATGCCCTACAAGAAGCCTGAAGGATCTCCCGTGATGCAGTCTATGTGTGCTCTTACCTACACTGCTATACTCTACATCTCAGCAAAGGGCTTGCATCAGTTCTGGATCAGTGCAGGGAATGTTCACACCTATTCTCTCAAAACAGCTGTCGTTTACTGCAGAGATTACTGCCAGGGCAATTTTGCATGAGTAGTCTGTTTCAGTGACGAGAATAAAGCATCTTGTGGTACTGTAAAGACTGTGGCCATTTTGCATCATGAACTTTTTGAGGGCTAAAACCCATTTTGTTAGATGGAGTGGCTGCCAAAGTGGGAACCTACCCACAAAGTAGAGAGTGAACCTTTCTTTCCACAAGGTGAGGTCAACCTCCCCACCACAAGCAATACAAAAGACAGCAGCAGGTTTGCCACAATACTAGCAGAGCACAAATAAAACTGCATTCATTTGATTGTATCTGGTGGACCCACTCAGAGCAGATGTGACTCTTTCTCAACAAGGATCTGCTGGGGTGACTAGGCATAGCAAGCTGAAGCAGGTAAATAAAGACCAAAAGAAAGACAAATATGTTAGTTAACTAGCCACTCCTGGTCTTCATCAAGTCCAAGTTTCACTGCAACAAACTTGGTGATGAATTTCAGCTAATGGCTGAAGTGATCTGAAAGCACCTAAGGCCACCTCTTTGCTGAAGGTGTGAGCCTGGTCAGTGCCTGGGAGACCACCTGGGAACCATCTGTATGCTGGAAGAAAGGTGGGATATAAATGTAAGAAAAATTCAAGAACACGCCCTCCCCCCCCGGCCTGGTCTCACACAAGAATTGCCATTTGAAACTTTGTGGTCTGCTTGTACTTTTAAGGAGGGGACCTCAAGGTCTGTTTCAATAAGTTCTGGGAGACTGAAATGCTCCTCTTGCCTTGGCTTCTGTGACTATTTTCATGTCTGATTTGTGTCTGTTTATTCCTTCATGTCACAACTGAGCAGTCTGACCCATGTAAACAACGGCATTGTCAGCAGATGACAGCGTACGTCACATGAGAAGATGCACAGGCCAATGAACCCTTAATGGAATGGCTGATGTTATTTGGTCCTGAGATAGCGTTTGAGTAGACACAGGGGCTGTCTGCACTGCCTGAATAGTAGGAGTAAACTAAACTGCAGTGTTGACAACACAGAAGAAACAAACTAAATTCCTGCATTGCAGGGGGTTGGACTAGATGACCCATGTGGTCCCTTCCAACCCCACAATTCTAAAATTCTGTTATCTCAGAAGTTACTGCTGGGAGTAAATTCCTGCTGCTTGAGAGCATAGGTGCAAATGTGCCTTGAGTCTTCTCTCAACTGCTGAATTTTAAGGAGCTCTGTGCTTGTAGAGCAATGGGTGGTTTACTCATACCAAAAAACTTCCTTCAGGCTCTCTCAGCCTTCTCAGTTCTGTTGGCACCGTTCTCCAATTGGTGCCGGAAAGCGGGTGGTGCTTGCTTTCCACCCACTGGCAGACTGCAATTGTTCAAGAGATTTTCAAATTATTATTAGAAATAAGAACTGGCACCGTTGCAAAAACCCACAGAGGAATCTTACAGCTGAATGTGAAATATCACAAGCGCCTCCCAAAAAAGCCCCCATCCATGCCCCCAGAAGGATATAAAGCTGTACATCAAGACAGCCTTATTTTCCTCACGCGGAAGAAGATCCACGTGACAGATCAACAATCACACTTCATACTAGGCAGAGTGGCCAAATGCATGAGAGAGTAAGGTGAGAGGAGGTGGTAGGAAAACCAGCTAGGTCCACACAACACCCACAACTAAGAAGGCTGAAGAGGGGAAATTTCTCCAAATACATTTGCATCTGGTTGAGCTGGAGGATTTTTACCCATCTTCAAAGTGTTTACAATCTGAACTATGCCAAGCTCAGTTTCTCGTAGCACCTATGCCAATTCCTGGGGATCTCCCAGACAGACGGGTATATTGCTTACAAGCAGGCAAACTCCATTCATGGGTGACGCACTGGAAGCTAATTCAGGCACGCCCCAATTCCTTCATTGCCATCATGTTCCCCAAGAGGGCATTCCCATTCTGCTTGGTAAGAAAGGATGAGAGAAGGGGAATGTGAGGTGACCGAGGAAGAGGCCCTGCACCCCGCTTTATAGTGGAATATGAAGGAAAACAGCTGGGGAAGAACACTGCATTCAGCCGATGGGAGAGGTCCTGTGAGGATATGGAGATCCTGCTCAGTTCTGTCTGCTTTTCCTTAAACCCCACTGAGGCAGTGAAATCCTTGAAACAGTATCTGGAAGCAGTTAGGGTGTGGATGAGGCCTGGCAAGACTGAAGCTCAATCCAGCTAAGATGGAATTGCTGCTGGTGGGTGGACCAAGTGACCACAAAGTAGGTTTTAGAAAATAATACACCTTAACGTACAGGTTGCAGAACTGAATTTGTAATACAACCTCTTCCTTCTTGCTACGGAAACACTCACCGTTCCAACTGTAGCTCCTCATCATAGGATGGAGGATTGGATCCTGGCCGTGTGTTGGTCAGAGCTTCCCAGATGGTCACCTGGTGTAACACACAAGAATGAATATGCTAAAACCGATAGCAAAGAGGCAGAATGGTTGTGTGCTCCTACTGTAGCAGGTAATAATTTGAGGCTTGGACTTGGAATAATGCTAAAATAATAAGCCATAATGCTTTGGTTAAGCCATGGACTCTCTGGGAGGTCTGAGGCAAGCCATAATCTGATGGCCTCAGGTTCCACCCCCTCACACAAACACACACACACATGCAAAAAGGAAATATATAATCACCAGTTCCTACTGGGATGTAAAAGCCTTAATGAGATCAAGGTTTGCAAAGCACTCAGTGCTACATTTATAAGTGGCAGCCAAGAATTATATCCACTCTGAGTGCCAACAACTGGGAGTTAGTTTGCTACACCACTCAATCCAACCTCTACTTGGTCCCTGCACAAGCATCCAGGCACCATGTGCCCTCCCTCCAAGAACCAGTTAGTCATGCCTGCCTGCTATAATGGACCTGTTTTCACCCCAGTGCAGGCAGGTTTCCGCCTTCCCAATCACCTGGTCTGTCTCTGTGCCAGCATCCAGGAGGCTCTGCTGAATGGCGAACTGGAGCAGGTCATCATCCTCGTCCCGCATGGGCTCTGTACGACCTGCGCCCAACATTGTATAGCCCTGGGGCACCTCAAAAACTGATGGGTCCACCTCGCAGGGGAAAGGGTACACTGGGGGAGGAAGGGAGAACAATGGTTAGCACGCTGGCCAACGGACTACGCAACTTCTGCAATGTCCTGTGTCACCAAAGACCGGTCCCTTCATCATTGCCTCACTTTCTCCACCCATGAAAAGGGCTCTTAAAAAGGACAAAGGACATCTCCCTAGGGCCTAAGGCAAGCAGCAAATGGGCTGGGCCTCTTTAACAAAAAGTCCCTCCTGATGGTCACTACTTTGCAGGAGAGACTCAACACGCACCGGAAATTTAGGTTTGCACAACTGAAGTGGGTTGAAGGGCTCTGTTGCCCTTGCACACAAAAAATGCTGTTTTAAAAAGAATCCAGCGTTTTTGCAGTTTGGGAAGGGGTAGGGAAGTGCACTGAAAATTGCAGGGTGAGCAAATGACTAACAGGAAGCCATACCAACAGCCTGCAAGCAAATCAGGATGAATGTGGGACGAATGCTTGTTGGGGCATAGCTGGCCCACAAACCAATCAGAATGAATGCTCAATAAAAACCAGATACAATCTAACCTCCGTGTAAGCTTTGCGCAAGCAAATCCGGGTAAAAGTTGAATACACAGGTTGTCTGCATGAGCCTAAAGGTGGCAACAACCAGGCATAGCTCCCACTTTCTCAGGCACATCAATGGGAAACAAAAGGAACATGGCTGTGCTAGCATTCTTGAAGCGGAAAGACTTGATGTTTTTAAAAAATGACGATAAACATATTGAGCCAATACGTCCATTTTTAAAATGTGATGGTCAGTAGCGGGATCATGGAGAAGGATGTGTCAGTTCTAGAAAGCATGCTTTCCCTTCCACAGAGGAGTCACCCGTTTTTCAGTCACTCAGACATCTTACACTTTCACATCTCCTTCTTAACCCGGTTGTCTCCCAGTTCTGCAATGTGGGCTCACGGCCACTGCACCCTAATGCTCCCTCCTTCTCCCAGCCTGCGGGAACATCCTCCACCTCTTCCACTCTTCTCCCCCCTCCAAGGTTTAGATTAGCTGTTGGAAGTCCTGACCCTGGCTCCCACCCCATCCTGCTCCTCCTACCTTTGGTGTTGTTGGCTGCCTCTGCCCCAGCAGTTGGCTCCTCGGTGCTCTCTGGGGTGTGGGTGGGAGTACAGATTCGCACTGAGCTCAGCGGCTCATCACAGCCGCACAAGTTACTAAAAGTGATCCGGGCATTCAGCACGTGGAAGAGGGGGATTTCTGGGAAAAAGAAAGAAAATGTACAATGGAAGGTTGGTAAACCTCTATTTTCAAGCTTCTCACTGATTTCCCTCATGACCACTCCCCTCTCTAGGACATTATCCCTTTCCCCACAACAAAGGCTGAGGGTTTCTCCAAATTGGGGACTGCACTATAAAATAGTATGATACAGCTTTAAATATAAACATTCATGGCTCCCCCCAATAATTCTGGGAGCTGTAATTTGTTAAGGATTCTGAGAGTTATTAGGAGATCCTTATTCCCTTCACAGACCTGCAATTCCCAGAGTTCCCTGGGAAGAGGGGCTGATTGTTAAACCACTCTGATAATTTTGGCTTTGTGAAGAGAAGAGGGAACTCTTTAACAATTCACAGAACCCTCAAACTACAGTTCCCAGGATTCCTGGGGGGGGGGGACAACCCATGCCTGCTCAAAGTGGTATGATATTGCTTTAAATTTAAAGTGCAGATGGATCTAGGTTTTTCTTTTCTGTAGGTGTATTCTGCAATAATAGTGCATTGGTGGTGCATTTATAGCAGACATCATTCTGCTTTATTAGTTGTTCTGAGATGTTTCCCCAAAGTTATTGCATTATTGCCCTCTGGAGGGGCGCTCTTGCACCCACCCAAGAACATTTGAGGTATGAAACGTTACTGGATTTCACCAATTTGAAATGAAGCAGTATGTCCGCTCTGAAACCTTTGCAGGCACAAATGACACTGAAAGCAAGGTTGTGTATGAACTACCCCAATACCTTCATGAGCACAAATCATTATGGATGTACAACAGAAAGAATGTCTGGAGAGGCGTAGCCCCACAGCTTCATTCTCTGCCTTCCTTTTTCTCTCTTCCCCTCTTGATCTGCCTCCCGTCAGCTTGTCTCCATGCCCCCCACCCCACCCTGAGTAGATAATGCCCCCCCCCAACCAGCCAGGCTTCACACCTCTCACCGATTTTGACAGGGAAGCCAGGAGGTAACTTGAGGGTGATGAAGTCACGCAGCTTGGCAAAGTGGGCGTTGCTGATAGCCATCAGGTCAATTATGGGCGTCACCTGCTCCACCAGGGAGAGGGGATGGTCCTCGCAGAGCCACAGAGTGGCCTTGAACCTGTCACACAAGGAGCATGTTAGTCTTCCTGGAGATTCCTCCAGCTCCCTGCCCCCAACATCTGCCCACGGAGAGACTGGACCTGCAACTCCCCTACACGGACATGCTTTTATTTCCTCCACCTTTTGTTTCTTACCTTTCTCTGGAAAAATGAGTACCTTTTGTAAGAGTTAAGTGCCAGCTGTCATGTCCTGACATCTTCTTCCATTTCTGACCCCACCCCACCAATCCATGCAGTATCCCCCATCCTTCTCACCTCTGCACCTTGTTGGACATCTCAATAGGGCGGCCAATATTGCGGGACTCCAGGTTGAAGTTGGGGTCAAAGTATTCCTCAGGAGTAATAGACGTTGGGTTGGTTGGACTGGCTGACTGCAGCACAGGAGCCTGCAAAAGTGAGGATCAGGGTCTGGATCTGGACAGGAACTAGAACACCAACACTTTGGAGCCACACAATCCCTTCCCTGGCATATCCCCCTTGTGATCTGCTTCCCCACCTCATGTACCCTTAGGCTAAATTGGTGTGGCTGGGCCAGCATCTCCCTTCCCCATATACGGACAGGATCTGACCTGGTCACTCACCCCATTCTGGGCAGCATGCTGCTGGGCGATTCCCAGGAAGGACTGGAATGGAGTCTTAGAACCTGGAAGACAAAAGGAGGATGTCTAAGTGAATGAGTCCTCTCCAAAGAACCTACCACCACCTCCACCACTTTAGTGCAATTTATCTGTTATCTTATTTTTATTTATCTGAAATAGTTTTAGAGCGCCTTTACCCAGCAATGTTCAAGGCGGCTAGTAACATTAGAACGACAAAATCCAAGGAAAATGCAGCAAAACAGTCATTGATAAGCGATAAAAGAGGAAGAGGCAGCAGATTAAAAAAGAAAGTGACCTGCCTGGGAGGTTAAGGTCAGCAGCTCGACAGACCAAATGCCTGCCAAGAAAGGAAGATCTTTGCATTATGGCAAAAGGCCTTCTGGGAGAGGTCAAGGTGGGTCTCTCTCGACAGAGTTGCAGGGTGTAGGTGGCTACAGAAAAGGTCCTCTCTATTATGACCACAGATACCGATATCCATGAACTGAATGATTTTTACATTATGGGGGAAGATCTACACAAGGATTGCCAGATGCATCATGGAACCACCAGCACCATGGAATCACTAGGCTCCTCTACCTGCCATAGCCACTAAGGCTAGCCCATCTACCGCCTGACATCCTCCTTCTCAGACTCCTTCTCCATGAAAGTGGGTGCCTTCCATAGGCCTGCATGGCCCAAGTGGTCCCTCCAGACTCCTACAGTTATGCTGTGTACATATTCCCATTTACTCTGCCTCTCCCACCAGTGGTTTGGAAAGCTGTCTACACAGGACAACAGCCAAAATCCATATCTATCCTGTTGCTTCTTAGGCAGCGGAATCAGGGAGGAATGAAGTGGCAGCAATATTCGCTCGGTGCACTTGTGCAATTTTTAATTCTTGCTTAGCCACGGTTCAGCTGAGCGTAACATATAGACCAGGCCAATATTCAGTATACGCTGCTGCCATTTTTGTTCTCTTAACCACCAGGTGAAGCCTGTAAATGGGAGGAGCACATCATGACTATTGAGGACAAGTCACATGTGGTCAAAGGGCAGGCAGGAGCCGCCAAACAGCAAGTGCAGCACACAATTAATCAGAGTTCTGGGAATTGTAGGGTAAAATAATCCCTAGCAGCATGAAGGGTCATTGGATGAGTCAACACACCGAGTCACAACTGGAGGCAGTTCAACATCTGCTTTTACCTTTGTTGCGTGTCTTGTCCTGGTCTGACAGGTGCTCAGTACGGGTTTTGGTGACAAGCTCCACGTTGCTGGCACTGTAAACCTGGAAAAAGGACAAAGAGACCGTTGGTATCACCTGGTCCCATCCAACACAAGCCCTGATTCCTCAAAGCAGTGAAGCTAAGCTAAACTTTGCTGAATTTTTCAGATTTACACACATAAGGAACAGGAATGGGGGAAGAATTGTACCTTGGCTTCATAGCCGCTGATGTTTTCCATCTTCTCAGAGCGCCAGCCCCAGATGCCAGACTTGTTCCTGGAAAGGAAAGCCCTCAGGTCAAGAGCGATAGAGTTTGCCATTGCAGACCTCAGCTGCCCCCCACCACAATGCAGCCTAAAGATATCCATTTCTTCAAATGCCACCACTGCTACAATGGAGCTTCATCTCTTCCAACTCTTTTCAGACTTGGAATGCCCTCATACTCTTCAGCCTAAAAGATAACCATCTCATCAAATGTCACTTTCTCTCTCTCACACACCTCTACCTTCACCTCTCCCGACCCTGCCCTTGAAAGACTTGGACTAGGGAGCTGCAAGTGGAGGTCTCTCCTCTGAGGGGAGATGAGGCATATGTGATAACAGGGCTGCAGACATCTATGGCAGTAGAAGATGGGGCCTTGGTCCCCCTCTTTTCTCGCAAAACTAGTTGATGCTCAAGAGCCTGGGCAGACTTCATCCTTCCCAGCTTTGGTCTCATGGGCCTCATCCTGTACCAGAAAAAGAGCCCTGCAGCTGGATCACATCCATGGTCCCTCTAGTCTAGCATCCCATTTCCCACAATGACCAATCAGATGCCTCTGGGAAGCCAGCAAGCGTGATGCCATTAGCCCTCTCCCGCTACTGTCCCCTGACAATTCCGGTATTCTGAGCAGCATGCGGCTGCCTCTGGTCCTGGAGGCAGCATATAGTCATTGGGGTTAACAACCAGCGACAGCAGCAGCAGCACACGGTTCACACAGACCCATACGCTACCCTTCCCCCTGCCCCAGCTCACCGCTCAAAGGCAATGTTCTTGGTATCCAGGTGGGTGGAGACGATGGGCGAAGTGAGCCGGCTGGCCACGTGCTCCTCGGAAGGCTGCATGGCAGCCAGCATCAGCTCCGGCTCATGCAAGGCTAGAGACAACGTTTCAGTGTACACCACCTGCTTGTCGTGGTCAACCTCCATCACCACAGCATTCTCATCTGGCCAATGAGGGGAAGGAGAAAAGAGGGTGGAGGACCAACAGAGAGAAAAGCAGTCAGTATCATAGCCCCCCCCCACCTCGCCAAGCACGCACCCATCTCCCCAGAAAAGAGATATTCTGACCTTCGCCTTTAAAGATGTAGCTGCGGCGGCCCCGCTGCCAGGTCATGTGCTCAAAGCCCAGCAAGGTGGTGTCAACCCGCAAGTTTTCCCCACGCTTCCACACCCGGTACACGTCACTTGGGCATATCTTGGAGACCAGGGGCACTGGTGACGGAGAGGAAGAGAGGGAGCAGAGGGAGAGGGAACATTGCTTAGCATCATTTACTTGTTTGCCACATTTGTACCTCACCCACAGAAACACAGGGAGCTGCCTTATACTGATCCATCTGGTCCACTAGCTCATCTAATACCGGTCCATCAATTTCTGTGTTGTCTACATCGACTAGCAGCAGCTCTTCAGGGTTTCAGGATGGGAGGCCTATCCCAGCCCTACATAGAAATGCCTGACTGAACCTGGGATCTTCTGTGTGAAAAGCAGGTGCTCTCCCACTGAGCTACAGCCCTTCAGAGAGGCACCATTGCCTCTGTGTGGAAGGTCAAACTGAGAGACAGCAACATGCTCCAAAGTACCCAATGAGTCTCATGGCTGAGAGGTACTTCTTGCCCTCTCTGCCTGGCATCACCTCATTCCTTCAGAGTGTCACACTTCTAATCTCTGGAGCACGACTAGGACACCACATGTCAATAGCATGGATTCTGCTCCTTGGTGAAGCCACGGCACCCACCACAGAGAAAGGAGAATGCTTCCTTCTTCCTCAAAATGTTGTCTATGTTTCTGAGCTCAGGAGGTTTTCTGAGCTGCATCATTTCCCCAGGCCAAACTCCTCCCTTATTGGATAGCTCTCTCTTGTCACCTGCTCGGGCTTTTGTGGACCACTCCCAGAAGTGAAGCACTGACTTACCCCAGCTGGTAAACTCCCACTTCATCTCCACGTAGAAATCAGGAGCCTGTGGAGATGGAGAACCAAAGTGAGGGGGCAGAGCACTGCAAGTGAGAGAAGGGGCAGCGAGAACAGCCAATCCCTGTTCTCTAAAGGGACTACATTTTGCTGTGACCATAATCTTATTAAGAGTCACACTTTGCCAATGGGAGTTCAATTAGATCTAGCAACTGCTGGCTAGAAAACCCAAGAGTGCTTTTGAGCATCCCAGGGGGTTTAAAGGAGAAGAGGGTTGATGCTTCTGGGATGCAGAGTAACTGCTACCGTTGTCATCTTGAAACCATGCTGTTCAAATGCTTCATCTTCCAAGCCCCTTCGCAAGGGAATGTGGGAGGGACAAGAGTGTTTCCCTTCTTGAAGTATGCATTAGAAGAACATAGGAATGGTTAAATTGCAATGGTTCTGTGCCCACACAAAAGTGAGGGACTTAATGCTGGTGCTCTATGGAAGAAGTATACAGAGAGAGGGTTGTGGCTTTTAATTAACACAAACACAACCAGAGTTTTAGAAAGAAAAGGAGATTCCAATAAGATCCTAAGAGAGGGCAGATTTGGCAATATTTCTTTCTCCCTTTGCCAGGGGTCCTGACAAGAGTACAGGTTGGGCACCCCTATAATAAAATCTGTAGACACTGATAAATGTCTAACCCCCTGCTTGGCAGGGGGTTGGACTCGATGGCCCTTGTGGTCTCTTCCAACTCTATGATTCTATGATTCTATGATTCTAAATACACAAGGACTGGGAGTTGAAGTTGACTGGGAGTTGACAGTACATACTCTGCGCAGTTTGTTGAGCAATTCTGGGATGCCACCTAGGCGCTGTGTGGCCCGCTGGTAATCGCGATACTGGAGCACCAGCTGCACCATCTCTGGGTCCCCTGTGCTTACTGCCTCCTGCAGGACTAGAGAGGCAGAGGGGAAAAAAATCAGTATTTCGCTTCTTGGCCCCACTCACTGTGCCCATCATCTCTCAAGTCCAAACGAGTTTCTCCTCTATCCTCATTCCCAACCAGGAGCAGACAGCCTATTGATCTGCCAAAAGGACATGTCTGGCTGCCAAGGGCACAGGTATCATGCCAATCAGTGCTCAGTTCCCAGGGAAACTTCTACAATCCTAGGCAGGGCAAAGCAAGGCTCCACAAACTTAAGCCAGAGAAGCAAGAATAGGTGCCTTAAACAAAAGTGCCGGGAAGAGTTCTGCCTTCAAATCACACATATTACTCCTGTACTGGCCTAGGCACTGGACTCTGGCTTTCATTCGTGTTGCTTACCCCTCAAAACCACAGCCCTCATGTCTCAGGTCTTTCATTTCTCAATTGCTGTCTTCCCTTGCTCAGCTTTCACAACAACCCTTTCAACACATTCCTTCTATTTCCCCCTTGCCTAGGATATAAGGAGATGCTTCAATATGAATGACTGTTATTGAGCCCAGTATTAGGCAGCAGCACTGCAAGGTCTCAAGCAGGAGGCGTTTCACAGTCGTGCAGCCTGATGATCCTGATGAACATGTGGCTCTCCAAGTTTTGTTGGACTCCATCTCCCATCAGCCTACAGCCAGCGTGGGAGTTGTAAGTGCAACAAAAACTGGAGGGCTACAGGTTCCTCACCCCAGCTTTAAGCGGAGGAGACAGAAATTGAAACGGACCAACATGGGGCACATCCCCTTGCCCACTGAACCTTCATACCTGTCCAGCCGTTGGCATTCTCCTGGCCCACACTGGCATTGTGTCGCAACAGCACCCGGACGGATTCCAGGTTCCCCAGGCACACGGCCAGCTCCAGGGGCGTTCGGCCTCGTGGGTCCAGCATCTCAATATCGTGCTGCAAAAGAGCCACAGGATTAAAGAGCTAGGTGGACATTCCTTTACAAGAGAACAAGGGCTGAGGCTTTCTCTGTGCTGGGGCTCATTCCTGGAAACAGTTTTCAGTGCTAGGACTCAGCAGGGTTTTAATGCCCTTGCACCAGTATCTCTTGCAAAAGAGGAAAATTCACTCAGAGCTCGTACCCAGATAATGCTGTCCCTGACCTACAAGGACATCCAGGATACTAGGATAGAATTCACATATCCTATAGAATATCCGACCCAAGGGACCATGACGCATCATATCCACTGGCCAGAATAGAAGAGCCGGCCTTGTTGCTTAATCTAAGCTTGCGCATGCTGATATTCAGATATTCAAAAGCCTTGATAGGACTGCAGAAGTGAAGGGCAGCACATTAGGGCTACAGTCCAGTTGCCCTCCAAGGAAGACTATCATGGCAAGGAGACCAACCTGGCCCCAACCACCAGCCAGAGAACCATCAGGCTACATGGAACTCACCTTCTCCCTTCCCACTCAGCTCCAACTCGCCCCAGGACTGTAGAAGCAAAAGGGAGAAGTTTGAAGCGCTTGCCCCACCCATTGGTCAAAGGAGCTGGAGCCAACAATTCCTATTCAAGTGAACATCAGCAAGGGAAGGTTACCTACCCTGGCCTCCACTGAGCATAAATGCCCTCTCTTATAGCTCACCACTTTGTTCTGGCCTGGAAGGACTGATCTCTCTCCCACTCCACTTCCCTTTCCTTGTGTGTCTCGTCTTTTCAGTTTGCAAGCCTGCTGGCAGGGCCTGACTCTGTTTTTGAACCACTTTGGGAGACTCTTGATTGCTTGAAAAGTGGGGGGAAATCTAAGTATGTATGGAAATCAATTAATGTTGTGTCTTGGCTTCCTGATGAAAGGACCTTCTTTGCAATGGCAAATGCTGCCTTGTTCCAAGATGCAATTAGAAGGGGCCATTCACCACAAAGGCCTTTGTCCCCACATGATAGAACAGAATAGGGACTAGCCCAGCTATATTGTGAAACAACCTGTTTTGTTTTTAATTGTAAGAAGAGTGCACTCAAGTGCTACAGAAGGAGAGTACACGGCTTATGAATTAAAGAAAAGAAACAAAAAGCAAACAAACCCACAAGTAAATACGCTTTTGAGGGATGGATAATAAAAATAGTTCAGGAGACAGGGCTGCTGTAGTGCTTTGTGCAGATGTCATGGGCACCTTCCTTATGCTGAGGGTAGTGTAATCGCTTCAAGCACTGGGGCTAAGAATCACATTTTTTAACAGCTGATTACCAGCAATTCACCAACAATGGGAGTGCTTGCTGCAGAGAGGTCTGGCTGGTTCTATCATAGCTCCAGAATCCTTCTGTGTTACCTGGAACAGCCCAGAGTCTCTTATATCCTACATAAGCTGGGCCTATTTTCACTGCACTTGCAGACTAGTTGACCACAAGAGTATATTTGAAAATAGTCAGAATGTGATTTCTTCTACCACCAAGTTAAGTCATGTGCAGGGTGGCTGAGCATCCTAAAGCATCTGCAAAAAAGATGTAACAGCAGCCGATACCTTCAGAAATTCAGGATGTTACAAATCTGCCCACCCTGCCAAGCCATTCCCTTGCCTAGGCTTCATCCACTCAAAGCTCCATCCACCCAACACCCACTCTGAAAGTCATAATTTGATGGAAGCACCACAATATTCAGAAAGAATTTGCCTCTGAATGTCAGCTGCTGGATACAAGCAACAGCAGAACACTGTTGACCTCAGGCCTTGCTTGTAAAATTTTCAGATGCATTTGGCTGACCACTGCTGGAAACAGAATGCTGGACTAGATGGAGACCCCTGACTTTCTCCAAGACTGCAGACTGAGTACAAAGCAAAGGTGGAGCATGAGCTCTACACACCAAACCACTTCTTTGACCTCACATTTGATACTGCAACATCCATTTTACAGAAGGAGAACTGGTGAGACTGAGAGACAAGTGACCTAGCCAAATTGAACACAAGGCAGAGCCCCAAACCCTCCACACCATTTCTTTCCAAAGAAATATCTGCCCTGACCCAACTTTTGTTGCGATGCCACTGTATGCCATACTCTGAATCGTTCCTCTCCCACCTTTCCCAGATTGCCCATGATTTTTTAGAAACAAGATAAAAGCAAATTCAGATACTTTGTCACTCAAGGGGTAATTAACTCATGGAATTCACTGCTGTGAGGTATGTTGATGGCCACTAGCTTAAGTTAGTTTCAAAAAGGATTTGATAAATGCACAGAGGACAGGTCTGTCAACAGCTACTAGCCTCAACCACCAAATTAAATAGAACCTCCCTTTTCAAAGGTAACATACCTCTGAGTATCAGCTGTTAGGGACTGACAACAAGAGAAGGCCATCACCGGAGTGCCCTATGTAATTAGATTCCAGAAACATCCGGCTGACCAAACCTCTGCCCCAAATTCCTTTCTTTTTGAGATCCTCCCAAAAGTCACCCCCCTAGATCTATGTCAGTTCATTCCCCGTTTCCCCCTTCCAAAACAAGAAATGGGAATCATCATTATCTCAGGTACCATCAATTATCTCCAGCCCAGTCTTCTTTTAAGCCATGCTCCCTGGTCTGCATTTCTCCCAGTTCCAAATCAGTTGCCAGGCAGAACTCTTCCTGTCAGTCTTCTCCCATACAGGTATTCTAATGACTCTGTTCTCTTGGTTCTAGCTCTAGGTGGGAAAACCAAGAGTTTTTTAAAGAATAGATGCTCAGTCTAGTCCTGTACTCAGCTGTGGTCCATAGGGGCAGGCAGGCAGGAAGGAAACCCTGTGAATTTCCCCTCTCCAATGCAACAGGGTGCTAGAGCTGGCACTTGCTTGAAGGCTCTGATAATTGAATTGAATTGAATTTTTAAAAGAGACCCATACCAGCTGTGCACATGCACATCAATCTTTAAGGATTATTTTGCCTTTCTCCCTTTTTCTCTTTTCCAAAATGGTGGCTATCAGTGCACTAAACATGAAGCCACCACAGGAAGGTTGTTTTTTTAAAAAACAAACAAAACAAAACACTAGGCCTCGATTGCTAGAGGATGTTATGGGACCGAGTATCACGGCACCCTTCAGATCCAACTGAGTTTGCTGATCCCTCGCGTGTCTTGCCCTCATGTGCCCAAATCACTATGAGGGGGCCTAAGACGAAGGAGCAGTGGATTCTGGGATTCCAAACAGATGGCCTCAAATGAGGATTGCTGTTTGCTTCAAAGCTTCAACTGCCAAGTCTGATGAGGAATTATGAGGTTGGGGATTCCCAGCCCAAAAGAATCATCAAACATCTATACAGCTATTCTGAAACCACCAGTTCGGCTGGGGTGAGGAGGGAAGAGTTACAATCTAGAGGTACAAAGAGAAGGAATGGAGAGAGGGGACCAGGAGCATTACAAAGGTGGGGGAAAGGTGATGATGCTATCACGACTGGGGGGTCAAGAGATGCCCCTTGGGCAGTTTTCCTGCTTGTGTGTGTGGTGTGGCTGGGAAGGGGGGGGGGAGTTAACTGGATGTGGCAGGTTTAACAGGATGCAGATGGAACAAACCTAGGTTAGCAGCAGTCAGATATAGTAGGTGCCAGTATCTGGCCCTTGTTCATTCTCCCTCCCAGTGGCATCAGCAGCAGCAGGGCTACCAACGGGTGGGGGGGGGGGGGAGCGAAGGGCTGGGACCATCTTGGAAGGATCCCGCATCACATCCCCCTCCCTGGCTGCCACATCTCCAACTCCGGCTGGAAGGGGCGACCTGGAATGCGGGGTTAAGGAAGGAAGGAGTCCTAGGAAATTGGGGGGGGTGTTGAGGGGCTCCCCCGTACCTGTCCCTTGCGCAGCTCGCTGTCCAGCGCCTGGTGCCGGTTGTGCCAGACGAGCAGGTGCAGGGGGAAGGCGTCTGTGATGCGGGCCATCCCGTCACCATGTCCCCGCGCCCGGCCGGGTCTCTGCTCCGATCCCTCTCTGCCCGAGGCCTTTCCGGGTGGTGGCGGCGGCGGCGGCGCTTTCCCTCCTGCTCGGTTTTGCGCTGGGCCCCGCTGCGACGGTGGCGGCGGCTGCGCTCCCGGGAGGAGAGGCAGGCAGGCAGGCGGAGAGGGAGGGACGGCGGGGCGCACGCGCGGCCTGGCCGGGGTTCGCTCGCTGCGGCTCCCGGGGCCGACCCAGAGCCAGGGAGCGGCGGGGCTGGGGGAGAAGGGGCGGGCCTGCGGGGCGCAGGGAGGAGACAGCGGCGGCAGGGGCGCGGAAAGCTGGCCCAGGCACTTTTCCGGCCTCGCTCGCTCCCCGCTCCAGCCCACGCGAGAGGGCCACGCTCTGGGCGTCGAGGACAGGCAACACCCCTTGCGTCACCACCGGCAGCGGGAGGGAGCGGAGCCGGCCGCCTTGGGCAGCCTGCCTCCCTCGTCAGCCGCCAGGGGAAGCGGGCGGAGGCGAAATTGCAGCCCCCGGCAGCAGGAGCCACGGCCTCCTCGGGATCCTCAGTCCCCAGAAGGGTGGGCGATTGGGCCGGCTTGGCTCCGCTTGCTTGCTGGGGGCGGACGGGAAGGCTGAGGCTGCAGTCAGATATCCATTCACCCGAGAGGAACTGGAAGGGATCCCAAGGGTCATCTAGTCCAGCCCCCTGCAGTGCAGGAATCTCAGCTAGATCATACGTGACTGGTGGCCATCCAAGCTCTGCTTAAAAACCTCCCGAGGAAGGCGAGTCTACCACCTCACCTGGAGTCCGAACACCTTTTACTGTCCGCAAGTTCTTCCTCGTGTTTAGTCAAAATCTCCTTTCTTGCAACTTGAATCCATTGGTTTGGGGCCTATTAAGCTCTGCCGAGTCTACTTCTGAGTAGAGATATATGTAGGATCATGTTCAGGTAGAGAGCCTTCTTCCCCTTGCATCTTTTATTATTCAGGGAAATAAGAATCGCACCAGGAGGCGTTGCGGGTGGCTTCTGGTTAGTGGCGAGCTGAAACCTGGAGCTGCCTCCTACGCTGTTTGCCTTGCCAGGGCTCGGCTGTGAAATGTGGTTCAATAAACTAGTGCACCTAAGCATATGCAGAGTGCACCTTTCTCTACTGAGTAGGAACAACCAGGACTCCAGCCAAGCTTCTTGAACCTCACACAACTCATTCTAGAAATTAAATTCTATCCTACCAGTCCTAAATATGGACTATCCGCTGCTTTTTATTTAAAGTTGTTTTGTGTATGCATCTTTCAAGCCAGAAGGATATAGGACTGGGAAATCATTTCTAAAAACACATTCCTAGACATGCACATTCAGAAATGAGTCCCTCTGTGTTTAGTGGGTATTAGGTCACAGGTATTGGTCATCCAATATACCCCCTGGGAGTAAATCTTATTCAGCTCAGTGACGCTTAATTCTGAGTAGACATGGATATGATTATTGCACTAACAGTCTTTCAGGAATGGCTCCCTCAGGTTTTCACATGCAGGACCTGCTCTCTACCTGCTTGGGGAAGTGTTGCCTTGTTACAGACTTGTTCAGTGGTTGAAGTAACAAAGTAGTTGGCACCCAGTTAAACCTGAAGTTGTTTTCACCTGTCATGGAGTAAACAGGCCTTCCATGACTAGGCCTAGAAAAATGTAGCACAGGAAGTGTAGAGGAGGCACCTTTAAAACAGCAAGGCAACCTTTCCTTTGGAAAGGTTACTATTCCTTCTCAAGAGTCAAGAAACGTGCTCTGTGAATCATAAACCCTCCATCTCCAGTCATACACCCCAGCCTGTCTTTCTCTCCATTTTTGACAGAGAGGGGTTCCATTGGCTTTTAAGAGTTATGTGATGGGCAAAAATTCAACAGGGCAGCTTACTCCAACATGGCTTCCTTTAGATTGTGAAAAGCTCCCCATTACACTTCTGCCTCAAACAGATGCTATTAAATATTGTTAAGAGGGATGGGGAAATGGAATTCCACTGGCCATGAAGGTCTTTTATGGAGAGAAAAGTATTCCAGCTGTTGTGCTAAGCTCCAGCCCAGCTGTGCTCAGTTTGTTTTGGTAAGTTCATTGAGACTCTTGTATCAGAAACAAGCAAGTCTTGTGGCACCTTCAAGAATGATTTGTTGTGGCAGAAGCTTTCATGAACTAGCACGCACGACATCAGATGCATGAAGTGTTATCCTCAGTTGACAGATAATATATACATGCACATAGCTGTAGAGGGGGAAATGTAAACAGAGGGTCCAAGAGGCTATAAAATGCAAAGGGTTGCAGCAGGTCTGTGACGTTTTTGTGCAGAGCTCAAATGTCTACAAGATAAGCACAGACTGGTGTACTCTCAGCAGCAGTCACTATAATCCTATTGATCTTTCTTTGCTGTTTATTGATGCTAGTGTTTTTAAGGTGTGTTGTTTTTTTCTTTTTGAGAGTTTTTGTAGTTCATGAAACCCTCCATATGGGTTCTATGGGAAGAGTGGGGCATGAATCATTTACTATGCAATGCTAATTCAGCACTTCCATAGCATGTTTGCAGGGGAGAACCACAGTCCCCATTAGGTCCAAATTGAAAAGAACTGAATTTGATGATAAATTCTAATTTAGCTATTTTATGCTGGAGTATCCCTTAGAAACCTTTTTTTTTTTTTTTTGGTGAAGCATGGCAATATTGAGGATATCAGAAATGTTCTCCCACCACTTTGTTTATACTATGGGGACAGCCGAAGGACTTGGTTTGTTAGTGATGCACTATATTACGTTGGAGCTCGAGACCCATAGGAGAGAGTTGGTAGGTCACCTATTATAATGCAAGAATTTCTTGACATATTTGTGTGCTTCCTACCATAGATTCCTAAATGGATGCTTCAGTTTAGAGCAGGGGTGAGGAAACTTTGCTCCTCCAGATGTTACTGAACTATAGTTCCCATCAGCCTTGACTAATGGCCATGCTGACTGGGGCTGATGGGATATGTAGTTTAGCAACACCTGGAGGACCAAAAATTTCTCCTCCTTGCTCTAGAGAAAGGAAACGGAGCACCCATAACTCCATGGAAAACACACAATCTGCATGCCTATGGTCCCAGCTTCAGTCTCCAGTCTAAATGGTCTTGGGGCTGGATTCTGCCATAGACCAGCCTTCCCCAACCTGGTGAGCTACAGCTCCCACTATCTGTGACAATTGGTCTTGTTGACTGGGGCTAATGGAGGCTGTATTCTTAAAACACCTGGATTGGATACCAGCTTTGGGAAAGCTGGAGTAGACAACCCTGAGCCAACAGCCCAACTCAGTCTACATCAGCGACACGTTTTACGCATTCTGGTGCCGAGAGCCACAGAAGAGCCTGCGTTTTTCTAAGCTTTGTGGGTTTTGGATTTTTTTTATTATAAAAACAGTCTTTTTATCCCACTCATTAAAATCACATTCAAAAATCGGCAAAAAATCCATAATAATAACCCAGAGAGACAAACCAGAGATCAATATTTACAAACACTGCAGGGAAAGGGGGGGCTCCCGCTCTACCCCTCCCCCTCCCAGGGCCAATCGCCTTGGGAGGAATGTGGGAGCCATGTAGCAGAACAGGCAAAAACTCATCACATGAGGCGGAGTGGGGGGGGGCATGCAGCAGAGGCAATCGCATGCGCTTGGGGCATGACACCATGGGGATGAGAGACCTGATCCCCAACTGAAAGCCATCTACCCTTAACCCCTCTGTTAAACCGCAGATGGAGGGAAGAGGAGGAGGAGGAGGAGGGGTACAGGGTCAATTCAACCTGATATTTCTCCCCATCCTGTGGGAGAAACCGTAACACTGCTAGGGGAAGGGGAGGTGGTGGGTGGGGGGAGCTGTTAATACAGAGGGATACTGGAAGGGAGGGGCAGAATGGGCCTAGTTTTTTCCACACCCAGCCAGGCCCCCCCTTGGCACAAAGATATTTACAGAATCCTTCAGACACTTGGGACTTGGCACAGGGCCTCATCCAGGCCGAGCTTCCAGTGACCGCACCCCCCACTCCCCCCACTCCAGGCTCAGCCCAGAGAGGCCCTGAGAGCAGAGGGGCCAGGCAGCTCAGAAATCTCTTTTGGCATGAAACCTGCTGCCCCTCCCCTCTTTCCACAGCAAAGCAAGATGGGCATTTGGCAGTAGAGACAGCAGAGCAAGAGGCAGTTCTCATCCCACTCCAAGGAGAAGATTCAGAGGCAATAGTACAGAGACTGGGCAAGCCAAACGCAAGGAGCTTGTCCAGATTCGGCCCCAGGGAGTACGACTTTTTGCAGACTCCACGGGGCCAACTGGGAAGGGCACAACAATAATCTTGAAATTTGGCACAGTTGATAAGAGAATGCCTGGGAGAGCAGGGTGGCAAGAGGCAGAGGGCAGGCCACAACTCTGAGGCGGCAGCAAGAGCAGCAGCAGCAGCCGCTGCCCCAGGTCAGGAATTCAGGATTTGGAATGGCAATTGGCGGGACCAGAAGAGGGTGGTAGGGAAGGATTCAGGATGTGAACTCAGGGACGAAGGGAAGAGAACAGAACAGGAGCAAGCCTTCATTTTTTTGTTAGACATTTTCGTTACAGTGTAAGCGTTTCAAGGCAATTCCTTATCACACTCTAGAGTGCAAACACAGCCAATGCTGAAGGGGATTGCTTATGGCACAGTGGCTGCCTAGCCGATATTCTGTGAGTGACGGGTGGCGGGAAATACACTCTTTTGAGCTATCCCATCTACGCCAGAACCAGGGCGCCCTTTCTGCACGGGGCCTGCTGTGGAACCGTATGCCAGAGCCTGGCGCTGGAAAGAAAAGGGGCTGGGAACACGGGTTGTTGTGCCGGTGCGTCTCTTCCCCTCAGCTGGTGTGAAGGGACTCGCTCACCTGAGAGGACATGCCCTGCCAGCCACTCCATGGGGAGCAAGGCCTAAGCCAGCAGGCTCTCTCGTGAGTGCTCTAGCGCATGTCTGGCAGCCACAGGGGAAGAAGCAGGGAGGACACAAGATGTGTGGCACACCTCAGGGCATCTCCTTCCATTGGTCCTATTTAGAGGCAGGGCTTTAATCCCAGCTTTCCTTTGTGGGGGGCAGGAGGGGTGGGGTAGACGCTCATCCACCTTGCCAACCAGGCTCCTTCCCCTCAAATGGGTATTGGTCCCCCTGTGCTGGGGGATGGGGAGAGGGAAGTCTGTCCCACACCTTCTGGATGCCCCACCCCCTCACTATAATACCCCAGGGGGCTGGGGTGGACATCACAATGATCAGCGAAAGGAGACAGGAGAGAGGGTGGGGATGGTGGACAAACCCAGCCAAATAAATTAAGGATGGGAGAGGAAGTCAAGGAGGGTCAGAGGCCGTTGGTGCTGCTGCTGCTGCGCTGGAGCAGAGGGACCTTGCTGAGCTCCACCACCGGAGAGCGCGGCTTGTGTTTCATTTTGGGCACCCTCTGCAGCAGCTGCTGGGCTTCCTGGTAGGCTTCGCGCAGCTCCTTCTTCCATTGCACCAACTCCGGATCGCTCTGGAAGAGGAAAGGCAAGGGATTAGCATGAGGGCCCCCTAGAATACAAAGGAGACAGCTCTCAAGGCAGCAGCCATTATTTTGCTCAGGGCAGGAGAGGGTATCAATCGCCTTGGACCTTACAATCGGCTTGGGAGTGGTGCTGCCATAACTGGTTGGTGCCCAGTTGGCACTTACTCAGGCAGGGCCTTCTGAGCGGTGGCTCCGGGTTTATGGAATACCCTCCCAGGTGAGATGCATCCATCTGCCTCATTATTAAGGTCTGGGAGCAACTTAAAAACATTCCTGTTTAACCAGGCCTATGGCGGCTGGAAGATACTGTTCTTGGCAACCCCTTGACATCATTAGCTGTGCAATCATGTGATTGTTTTTAAATGTTCTAAATGTTGTCAGAAAACAACCACCAGACTAAAATTCTGGAAGCTGTGTACAAATGGTTAATGCTTTCAGGCATTATTTCCTAATGGCACCTCTCTGTGCCAGCCCATTAGCACCAATACTTTCTCTCTGTAGAGAAGGAATAGGAAGACAGAGGTAAAGACTTTCTCAGCACAGCCCCTGATCATAAGGAGCATCTTGTTATTCACCTAAGATGCTTTTCTCCTGCATGGACCAACACCCAGCCAAAAGGCTGTTTAATTCCCACATATATTACTTGTGTTGATTTCCTCTTATGCATCACAACTGCTCAGTCACATTTGCCTGTCGCTTGGCTTGCGCATAAAAGCCAGATCTCAGGGGAACAATATAGGGCAGACTGCCAAAGCCCCTATGACTACTCATACTGGACCAGAGAGGGCTTAAAGAGGTGCTTGCCTGTATATGGGGTCATGTGGGAGTGAGACAATGGATGCAGCCGATGATTAACCTTCCCTTAATTCAAAATATGGCCTTTGTTAAAAACATATAGATTCCTGAGTACTATAGATCTATCAACAGTGCAGCATGAGAGGGAGGAGAGGTGCCTTTGAAAGGTCAAGGCAGAGGCACCCAATTTTGGGGATGCTGGCTAGGCTGCCTGCAGTAGGACCATCACAGCGACAGTGAGGGACACCTCAGCAAAAATGCAGGCTTTAAAAAATAGCACAAATTCAATCGTCAATTTATTTCAGGTCTAGGTATGTGTGTGTATCCACTCTTGAGGATGGATTTGGCCCGTGGGTTAGCTACCCCGCTATACAAACTTGCCTGGGGAAAAGAAAACCCCACTGAATTAGTGGGGCCAACTTCAGAGTAGGCAAGTTTAGGATTGCACTGCAGATGGGTTTTCCAGCAAAGGGATAAATTTCTTGCACCCACGCAAAGTCCTTGCCTCCCAATACAATAACACACGCTACTCCAACTCCTCTAGGCTTGAACAAGTTCTAAGAGAATTATGCAGCTTCAGCTATATTCTGTACATCTGATGAATACATATAATTATTCTGGTTGTAGAGAAATTTCTTCCCCTTTTGATGCAAAGCACACACCGCCCTATTTATAGTCTTCTAAAACGTGAACTAGCTTTCTTAACTGAACAGGACATTCCCCCTCCCCATAGATTGAGAAGGGGCTCCCCCTCCTCCAGTAGCCTGTAGGGGACCTCGTGACCATAGAATTCAAGAAATCACAGAACAGGAAGGGAACACAGGCCATCGAGTTAAATAGGGAGAACAGGACGCACAACTGTTTTACACTTCCTGTTTCTGCTCTGTCATCGCACTCTTATCTCCTCTTTTGGCTCTCCTAAGCTCCCCACACTTGCTCACCCCCTTGTGAGGGTAGACTTGAAAAGATCTGTTTCAGATTTGAATGAGAAACAAACACAAGAGCTACAAGATACTTGTGCCTCTGATTCATCCTACACCTGAGGGTTCAAATTTGATTCAACTGCAAGAAAGGACCATCCACCCTTCCCCTGATCTCATCTGACCAGAACAACCTACCAAATCAAGAATACAACTTCAGAAAGGTGTTGGCCTAATACCTCCAAGTGACTAAAACAAGCTGCAAACTTCAAGCCCCCTTCACTATCGATCTACCCTAGCAGGATGAAGGCACCGTGGGTGTTTCCTGTGTCAGAGAAATTTGTCATTTGCCCACCTTGAATGGAGTTGCTCTCTTCTTGAAGGGGCAAGCACACAATTTTTTAGTGCTTCTGGTACCCTAAGCAGCTAGAAGACCTTTTACCAGCTGCACATAGTATAACAGCTATGGTTGTTCCTGGACCAGGAGAGCTTAATCACAGGCACGATTGACTTCAAGGCTGAATTACTGCTGCAATGTACTCTATGTGGACCTTCCCATGTGCTTGATCCAGAAATTGCAGTTAATGCAGAATGCTGCAGCATGGCTGCTGACTGGAGGGAGATCCTGCCATCATATTACACTTCTGTTCTGAGATCTGCACTGGTTGCTGATTTGTTACCATTCAAGGTGTTACTATTTATATATAAAGCCTTTAACAGCTTGGGAATACAGTGGTACCTCTGGTTACGAACTTAATTCGTTCTGCAGGTCCGTTCTTAACCTGAAACCGTTCTTAACCTGAGGTACCACATTAGCTAATGGGGCCTCCCGCTGCCGCCGCCATGTGATTTCTGTTCTCATCCTGAGGTAAAGTTCTTAACCCAAGGTACTACTTCCGGGTTAGCGGAGTCTGTAACCCGAAGTGTTTGTAACCTGAGGTGTCTGTAACCTGAGGTACCACTGTAGTCTACTTTGCTTCAATCTGTGGAACTGGCACCATTACAGGTGTCACAAAAAGCCCTTTGTAAGAAATTGCTCTTTCAGTGTGGCAGTACTCAACCCTTTGGAACTCCCTGCTTATTGATATCAGGCTGCATTCTTTTCAGCGCCTACTTAACACAGTTTTGTTTAGGCAAGCCCAGCCAAACATGTAGAATGTGACCTCAGCAGGATTTTTATTAATGCCAGGTACAGAAATAAGACCATGAACTAGTGTAGCATAAAAAGGTAAAGGTAAAGGACCCCGACAGTTAAGTCCAGTCGCAAACGACTCTGGGGTTGTGGCACTCATCTCACTTTACTGGCTGAGGGAGCCAGCGTACAGCTTCCAGGTCATGTGGCCAGCATGACTAAGCCGCTTCTGGCGAACCAGAGCAGTGCACGGAAATGCCGTTTACCTTCCTGCCAGAGCGGTACCTATTTATTTACTTGCACTTTGACGTGCTTTCGAACTGCTGGGTTGGCAGGAGCTGGGACCAAGCAACGGAAGCTCAGCCCGTTGTGGGGATTCGAACCACTGACCTTCCAATTGGCAAGCCCTAGGGCTCAGTGGTTTAGAGTTAGACCACAGTGCCGTGAAATCAGGAAGCCTCAGGTTGTAATCTTGCCTCCGCCGTGTATTCACTGGGTGGGGTTTTGCAAGCAAAGTTCTCTCTCAGCTTCAGCCCCCGCCCCCCATTTGCACTATGGGGACAACAATGGTCCCCTGTCTTACAAAGGCCTTGTAAGAATCACTGAGATAATGTACGTGAAACACTTCAAACAGTCAACATGTGCTATATTATCCTAAGTCCTGTCCAGTCATCAAACCATGCCAAGGGAAACTGGGGGCTGCCCATCACCAATTTTTGGCAACCTCTGGACTTTCTTCTAGGAGAGGCAATGTGAGGAAAAACTCACGTCACACTGCAGGACAAACTGCTTGCCACCCCGGATCTTTAGGAGGATGCACTTTCGATCCTTTATCTGTGTCTCCTCAACAGTCTGGATCTCTTCCATGGTGAGCAGCGACTGCTGTTGTAGGGTCCAAAACATCTTTGGTCAAAGAAAGAGCCACTTATATAACCCCAGGTTAAACATGCATTCTACATCCCTCCACATAATCCCATCCCCCAGGAACTGCAATCAATGCCTAATCCTACCCCCCCCCCAACTCATATGAGACAAACCTAGGCTCTCACACTTGTATATAGCAAGACTCTCCACTCTCCACCCTCACCCCAAACCTGCCATTATCCCCTCCCCTCCTTCCTTGGAGGAAAGATCTCCTCTTACCGGGGATTCTCCTTCTCCACGCCACTCCAACCGATTTGGGAAGAGGTAGAAGTACCGCCTCTGCCACTGCGTGAGGAAAGGGTTCCCCAGTTTTGACATGTAGCCATGCATGATGCAGTCCTTGCCCAGGGCATAATCTGTGTACGGAATGGCAAAGAGAAGAGAATCAAGGACAGGCAAAAACAAAACAAAAACCCCCACAAGAAACAAAACAAGGAGACACCAAAGGGAACAGTTCAGGGGGAAACAACCCAAGTCATCCAGCCATGTCTTCTCTCCATAGTGGGTGTTGCAGCAAAGAGTGTCCAAAAGCAGGTGCCCTGCAAACTGGATGCTGGGTGGCAATGGCGGCTGAGGAGGACTTGGTCATGGAGCAGAGCTAGCCTGGATGAGGAAACCCACTGCCACTTGTCCTACCAGCCCTGGGTCTCACCTTCCTCGTGGCCCAACTGCTTGTTCTTGGCTCTTTTGCGAGCCTCCAGCTTGTCAGTCTCGGCGTTGACTGTGTCAAAGACGGTCTCTGTCACCTCCTGCTGCCAACGCTCCGAGATGGTGAGTGGAAAGTTGCGATAGAGCTCCTGGTCACTGTCCAACAGCTGGAATGAGAAGTGAGCCACGTTGCCCTTGTTTCCAGGGTAACAGGCACAGTCCCCCTGCTCTGAATATCAGCTGCCAGGGAAACCACAGCAAGAGAGGGCTACTGCCCTCGTCCCCCCCTTGTGGGCTTCTAAGAGGCCTATCCGACTGGGAAGCAGCATGCAGAACTATAGGCCTTTGGTCTGATCCAGCAGCATTCTTCTATTGTGGAGGTTTGGGATGAGTCCCACTTCTTCCTTTCTATCTTAAGTATTTGACATGGATATTCTCTCCGGCTCTGCCTTCTACACTTCTCCACCTTCCCAGACTTACATCGCCTCTTCTAGGCACTAAAACTGAAACCCACCAGGTTTTCCCTAATCACTTCCCAGCTGATCTCAGCTCTCTCCAGTTCTCTCCCAACCAACTCAGACACAACACCTATCCTATCCTGCCTGCAGAGGTGGGGGGAACCATTATGCAGCTCAGGATCCCACCACCTAAAAGAGGTCTCCCCTCCAGAACAAGCCCAGGTCCTGCATTCATCATCTGAGGGCATTCTGTGTGTGCTCCCCCCAAGAGGGGCAGAGAGGGTGGTGACACAAGAACGGGCCTTTTCAATGGTGGCTCCCTGGTTGTGGAATGCTCTCCCAAGGGAAGCAAGCTTGGCACCATCATTGTTTGCCTTTAGGTGCCAGTTTTATTTACCCAGCCCCTCAAGCCTTCATTTGGAGGTTATTTAGTTATGTCTGTTGCCTCTTTTTTTGGTCTTCCTTTTAGTGGGGTACATGCTTCGTATATTTATCTATGAATGCACATTGTAAAGTTCTTTATTGCCGTGTGTGTGTGTGATTTCTGTTCTTTACTTTGCAACTCGCTTTGGCTTAAAGTCAAGTAACTTTTCTCAGTCCGGTAAACCCCTCTACACAAAATTCTGCTTGCCCTCGTACCTAAGGCATTTGGAGAACCACTGGATTGTTAGACATGTCTCAAAACACTCCCAGAGTTTGCTGTTCAGAACAGTAGATTTAGGTTCTAGGGGATGCAGCAATCGTATGACAAACTTCTTCCACATATAAGGAATAGTTTGGCTAACGCTGAACATCCCCGTCTTATGTGCTATTTACTTTGTGGACTTCATTACCAAAGATGACATGCTGGCCACTACCCAAGTAGCTCTTCAAAGGTTTAAACACACGCATGGCTGTTCGCCAGGATAAATGAAACCTCTATGTTCAGAGGCAGCATAGCTCCAACTACTGGAGGCGAGTGGGGGGGGAGAGAAGGGGTGTTTATCTCCATCATGCTCTGCTTGTGAGCTTCCCAGTGGTCTGTGGCTGGCCTTAGTGTCGGAGACAAGGTGCTGAACTAGATGGACTGAAGCCAACATATCAGTCCAGTAACATTCATTTGTCAAATCAATCCAGTAACATTCATTTGTCTGCATTATCCTATTCCCTAGTAGCAGAACATAGTATTGCATCCTACAATGCAGTTCCACCCATTAGCGCTGCTGCTGAAGCCCTCACCGTGTATTTGTAATTAAACCTGCTCTGAGAGCCACGTTTGGAAGAAAAATGGGAGATGCATTTATTATTATTATTATTATTTATTAAAGTAGAGGTATGTTCAAACCAAAGAGCAGAGGAGGAAGCTGCAGCTGCCCTAGCAGAGAGTAGGTTAAGGGCTGCCCCCCACATACCTTGATGCCTTTGGTGTCCTCTTCATCAAATGAGCCAATGTCAAAAGCGTCAGCTGCATTCACCTCCCCGCGTGGTGGGATCAAGGGGGGCGGATACTGTGAAGACATGGGGGGGGGGAGTCAACTGAGGAGCAGAGGAGAGTTGCTTATCCCTTACAATTCCTTCCTTCCCTGATGGCCATCTTCAACTACCTAAAGGGCTGTCACACTGAAGAGGGAACAAGCTTGCTCTCTTCTGCTCTCGAGACTAGGTCCTGAAGCAGTGGATTCAGTTACAAGAAAGGAGACTCCGACTAAACTTCAGGAAGAGCTTTATGACAGTAAGAGCTGTTCAACAGTGGAACAGACTCTCACGGGAGGTTGTGGACTCTCCTTCATTGGAAGTTTTTAAGCAGAGGTTGGGTGGCCATCTGTCATGGATGCTTTATTGGAGATTCCTGTATTGCAGGGGGTTGGACTAGATGACCCCTGGGGTCCCTTCCAACTCTATGATTCATGATGACCGAGCAGAGTCTTTATCCCCAGCAACTCTACTGTCTTCCCAACTGCCCTGCTCACCTTTTGGAGGAAAACCATCTGCCAGTCTAGACCCTGGAAGAAGGGACTCTCCTTCACCTCAAGCGCCCTGTTGGAAAGACGGTTGCAGATTACATAGAGTTCTCCCTTTAACCACTGAATAGTTAGGGCAGGGGTAGCCAATGCAGTGCCCACCAGACGGTATGAACTATTACATCCTTCAGCCCCAGCTAGTTTGGTCAATGGGGAGGGAGGCTGGGTGCTGTTCATTACTATCTCTTGTCAGCTACCTGAGTTAGGGGCTAGAGAAAAGCTTGGGAACAGCAGCTTCTTCATGAACAGTCACATAGAACTGGAATGCTGCCTTTATGTTCATCTAACAGCTGAGCCATTTCCTTTGAAGGAAAACTTGTTTTGTTTAAAAGGACATCAGGATTTAGCTTGGCCTAACCACATCTGCAGCTCTTGACTTTTACCACCTAGATTAACTCAGCCTGGTGTGCCTTCTTTGCCCACCGCCAAAAACCCAACAACCCTGAGCTGTTCTGTTTTGTTACAGCAAACAAAGGACAAGAGAGACATTGAGCAACTTAAAGGTTGCTGTTCTGTTTTGTTACAGCAAACAAAGGACAAGAGAGACATCGAGCAACTTAAAGGTAGGGCTGTGCAAATGCTGCAATTTTGCAGGTGCTCAGAAGAAGGGCACATCTGAACTTCTCAGAAAGCTGGATTCTGTGCCCAGAATCCAGCTTTCTGAAAAGTTCAGATCTCATTTTTAAGGCAGGCAAGTCTGTAGTCCTAATGGTTTTGAATATATATTTGAAAGTATGTGAGCTATGCTTACTAAAAACTCAGAACCTAGAGAAAGATGATCAGAGGTTCAGGGGCGGGCAGCTTCAGTCCTCTGTATGGCTTATTGCCTCTCCATGGAAAAAGAAAACCAGAGCAAATTCTGCAAAAATAGCAAAAGCTCAGAAGAAACTGTGATTGATAAGAGAAAATGTGCAAACCTCTTATATACAAGTCAAAGAACACAGCTCTTGTTGACACAGAACTTGGATTGCCTAGCCACAGAACGCTGTTAACACGAAGTCTGCACATCACACCTTAGAGGCTAAGTGACTCATCGTAGCACAAACGTTTATAGGAAAGAGCCGACTTCATCAGATGCAGGATGTAAACAAAGCTGATTTGTCCCTACATGAGACACGTCAGTTTCTGGGTTATATATATTCATCACAAGAGTTGAGAATAGCCTATTCTGGGGCAGGATTGTTTAATTTGCTCCATTATTATTTTATGAAAGGGTGAATCAGCAAGTACCTAGGCAGGGACTCCCATCCGCCATTCTCCCTACAACAGATATTGTATATGCAAGTGAGTAATAACGATTCATAGCTCTGAAAAGACCTGAAAAGTGTTGTGATAGAAAATTTTATGTTTTGAGAAAAATCAAAACTAGGCTAACAAAATCCGAAATAATGGAGAATAAAAGACAGCAGGGGGGAGAGACAGACTGCTCTGGTGCAGGGTAACATGAGGCGCACATTTTGCACATAGCAGCCAATTAGGTCCCCAGATGCGGCTTCCAAGATTGCTTCTCTGCAACCATTAAAAGCCATAAACTGGATTTTTTAAAGCAAGCAAACTCTGTGATTCTTTGAATTCCAGATCCTATCTTAGGTCTTGCACTGAACAGGGTACTACATGGAAAGCCCAGAGCATTGCCGACCAAGGAATAACGTTGCCGGAGCATTCCTTAGCTCCCGCAGTACATCCTCTGCTTCAAGGTCATCTAAATTTGAGTTATCAGATTGTGGCTTCAATCTGAACCTGAGGAACAGGGCAAGCAGGGAGCCTGGGAAAGCTAAGCTAACAGCAGGATGTTAAGCCTGTCCCATAAATACTTTTTAAAAATGGAAGGCACTTCTTGGTCTCATAGTGTGATATATATATGTATTTTAAACCTGCCCTTGTTGTGGCAACCAGAGCACCTGGAAATAGCATGCTTGTCCATTTCCCCAGGTTGTTTTTTTTCAAACGAGAAGGGCTGAAGTATTCTTAGCTGTGTTCCAAACAACAAAACTCCACTCCACTGATAATTCTGAAAGCATTCTTTGTATAAGAAGGTTGGGCAACTTAATCCCCTCAGCCAACCAATGGCCTCCCAGATGCGCTTGGGCTACAGTTTCCCCTGACTGCTGACCAACCAGTCCAGCAACAACTGGAGGGCCACAGGAATCTCACTCCCCACCAACATCCCTGCCCTACAGCCCATCCAGGCGCTTCAGCTGTTCCCCCTGGAGACTCACCCGCGGCCCATGCAACCCAGCCGACGGTTCACATCTCTCTGCAGCAGCCCCTCCAGCAGAGAGCGCAGCTCAGGTGAGAAGGAGTCTGGGAGCTCCACAGCCTGTGGGAACGAGAAGGGCAGAATTATTCTCATTATTAATTCTTACATTTGCACACCGCCCTACACCCGCAGGTCTCAGGGCGGTTACAACATAAAACCACAATATAAAAACACAATATACATAGTGTTTACAAAAACAACCCCTTGCCCATCACATTTTAAAAGGGCACTGGATGTTAATCATGGAAATGGGGATGGGAAGGATCTGGAGTAAGAAAGATCCTGCCAGGGTTTAAGAACCTGTGGCCCTCTGGATACTGTTGGACTCCAACTCCCATCAGCCTCAGCCAGCATGGCCTATGTTCAGGGATAATGGGAACTGCAGTCCAGCAACATTGGGAGGAGGTGCCACAGTTTCCTCATCCCTATTGTACAGGAAGAATGTCCTTTGGTATCTAGGGGCATCATTCCCACTAATCTGTCCCCATGGCTCAAAGCTGTGCAGAACGATTGGGTCAGTTTATTTCATTCATTATGACAGAAGGGACAGGCCCTCCTAGTCCTGGAGCCCACAGAGAATCCTCAGGAAAGACAACTTTCATCCAGTGGCAACAGAATCACACTCCTGGCAAGAGGTGTAGGAGAGAGAGGCAGTGGGCTAAAGGACTCCTTAGTTGTCATCAGAAGAAAAGGTGTTTTAATATCAAATGCCAACCCAGCTGTGAAACATTCTCTCTCTCTCTCTCTCTCTCTCTCTCTCTCTCACACACACACACACACACACACACACACAGAGCGGCATACCTAGCAACTCGGGTGCCTGGTGCGGGGGCGTATTCTGCAGCTGGGGGCGGGACGAGCATCTCCAACGCTTGGAACCTCTCCGCCACCTCCCCCTCAGCTGTAGGATGGCTGAGGGAAAGGCAGTAGGCAGAGGCTAGTCCCACGCTGCCGTTTCAGGCAGCGCGGAACCTGCAGGCGCCTAAGCCACCACGTCACGCCTAAAAAGTTTCATGAGCCCATTTTTTTAAAAAAAAACTCATTTTTGTCAAAACCCCCCCCCGTGATGATACCCGGGGTGAACCGCACCCCCTGCGCCCCCTTCCTCCACCGCTGCAAGCACGGATCTGAAAATAGCTATCTTAATTGCCCACCTATTTTAAGTTTGCCCACAAGCACAATTTCTCCACAACTTGCCTTGCACGATAAAAGTGACTTGGCTATTCCAAACATCCAAAGCTGCCTCTTATGCACCTTAAACCCCATTCGGCTCCCTCCCATCTCACCATGAGGCCTCAAAAAGCCTGTCAAACAGTTAGGCAGCTGATGCATCGAAACCTGAGTCTGTCATGATGATCAATATTGCCTCCCTCTTCCCCTCGCTGTTGGCATTACCCGGTTCTACTGTGTGCAAAAAGGGCTGTGGGAGGGATCCTACACCCTCACGGAAATCTAGGGTGATACACATGAGCTCTGCTGGAAGAAGAATCGAAATCTAGGACTTTCTAGAAACAGCAGCTGCAGCAGCAGTCCTCAGAACCACCCATAAACTTTTGCTAAATGAAGAGGGAACCCCACCCCTGCCACACACTTTGTATAAGTCATGCCCTGAATTAACCTCAACAGCAAATAGTTGCAGCCACACCACAGCTGTACACCAAAGGCATGGAGGAAGGGCCTTTTCCCGACAGCCGCACCCTGGACTGGCACAAAGCATTTTTATGCCCAGCCCAGAAATTTCTAATGGCACCTTTGCCTGAGACTGCTTAGCAGCCTGACACCTTGGCAAGAGTTGTGCCGCTTGCCTTGCCAAACAGTAATTGTTGAGTTCAACCAAACTGCATCTGCTTACAGTCTCTGCACGTTCTCTAGGGAAGGGAATTTCTTTGTGATTTCTCTGTGCGGTGCTAAAAATAGAAGGTCCCTGATCTATTCATGTTCTTCAGACAGTAGCATAACTTACAGTGATAGTGGGAAATTTAATTCTGCATACCCATTTCCCTCCTTCCCTCACACAAACGCGCACACTGAGCCACCAAGCTAACCAAACAGAGGGCGCTGGAACTCACGGAAATGGACCCGGTCTGATGTGTAGGGATATTTGACTTCGAGAGAGAATAATGGGGGTTCGGCACAGGAAAAACCTCATGTCAAAATGCTGAATCTATTTGGGAAGATGTGCTAAGTACACATGAAACTGGCAAGTTGACATGTAGTATAGGTCAGCCAGGCTCTACAAAGCATGGGCATAACTCCGATAACTGGCAAAGGGAAGTTCTGAGATTTCGGAGACCCGAAGGGCAGGAGGGGAATAATTCAGCACCTGGAAGCTTTGGGATCCAGGCCAATCCCTGACTGAGCTTGACGACATTTCCTTACCATAGTGAGCGTCATGCGGTCGATCTCGTGCTTGTCTTTAGTCTTGTGTTGCCGAAAGGGGCTATGCCTGAGAAGAAGAGCCAGGAGAGCATCAGGAGGAGACTCAGGCCTCACAGGTACCCCCTAACACTTCTTTATTAATTAATTAATTAATTAAATTTGTATAGCGCCCAATACCTGTAGATCTCAGTGTGATTTTTTTCCAATTCTTGCCATTCCCATCGCAATCAATCCAACCCAGCACCCTCTGGATTCAACCACGGCTCCCTCTGCCAGCTAGGCCTCCTTCCCACCCCCATCCCTGCAAACTCATCTCCACCTTGGCTCTCCCCCACTTACCCCCTCAGTAGTTTGAAGAGCATGCAGCCTAGAGAGAACCAGTCAGCACTGCTGTCATAGGCAACGCCCTTCTGCAGCACCTCTGGCGCCATGTACCCATGTGTGCCACTGCAGGGGTGGAGGGAAACTGAGAGTTACAAAAGACAGCACAGCACCTGCCGAGGGGGGGGGGGCGCTCAGCAGGGACAGATCAATGGGTAAGGAATCCTTTTCAAAAAATAAACACACAGGAAAAATAAACACCCAGGCCAGTGGCAAATAGAGCTACGTACACTTACGAAATACACACATTTACGTGGGAGAAGCATTCGCTTATGAATCTGGGTACGCATGTGCTTGTAAATGGAGGCAGGTACTAATTCCTCCTTACAATGCCCCTTTAAACCACAGTTGTGGCCTGTAGGAATTGTCTCCCCACAAAATACGAGTGGTTCCAAGCAGAAAAAGTTAGAGTGGGGCCATTTTCCTTGCAACACCGGCATCTCCCAAGAATTGGGACTGAACTAGCTCATTCTATCCTACACACCCCAGAATCAGAAAGGCCCTTTGCAGAGGAATCCACTACCGGAATCTGAGGCCTGTAATCCGTAGGTTCCAGTTTTGTGGTCCATATTTTGGGTCTCCATTACTGGACAGAGGCCTTAGGGCAAATGAGTGGATGTTGAACAAGTGATATTGTGATCCCCAGATAATACAGGAATTAACACCTATAGAAAGCTAGAGGAAGCAACAGTGGAGGAACTTCCAGTAGCTCACCCTGCAGCTGGGGGAGAAGGGGGAAAGGTGTTCTGACATTTATCAAGACCCACAATTCCTGGGACGGGAGCAGTTTTAGGTCCAGATACAGAGAACGGAGCTGCTGGCCGAGGATTAGATTCCTGTCTGATACTCACACGCTGGCATGAGGCTTCTTCTTGGAGAAATCACAGGCGAGCCCCAGATCCGAAATACGCACATGGCCAAACTCATCTAGCAAGATGTTGGCTGGCTGCAGGGGGAACAAGAGCAGCAAAGAATGGCAGCTAGGGGGAAGAGAGGATTTGCTGGGGAAAGTAGGGGAGAGAATAAACCCTCCTCCTTCATCCTTTGGCCTGGGCCTCTGCAGCAGCACCGATGAAGCAGAGGGAGCAATTCCTGCAGCGGGTATGCTTAATTTTGAAGAGCAGCATAGTGAGGTCATGATACGGAAAAGACAAGCAACCTCGCAAGATCCTGCCCTGCTTTGGATCAACCTGCAACAGTGACGAGTGGGTTGTCAAAAGGAGCTTTGATAACCCACAGTACCAAATCCCAAGGCATTTTGAGTGGGAGTGCACTTCCATCAAGGCAACAATCTCCCTCAGTAAAATAAAAAACACTTTCAAGCCTCACATTTTCTGAAAGAGATGTTAGAACTTGAGATCCCAATATTCCCCAGTGAGGAATGCTGCCACCCTGAACGACTCATGGCACACAGCACAGTCCTGGCTTCTACGGCGGAGGAGGAGGCAGCACGGCTCTGGGTAAGAGGCAGCTGCCACGAAGTCAGAGTGCACTAGAGAACTCTCTTTTCGGTGGGTGCGGGTGCAACACCGAGGGACCCCACGCTGAAGGCAGAAATTGCCTCTCTTTGTGGAAAGAGAAGCCTATGGTGAGGTTTTTCTCTCTCCATTTTAAAACCAGGTTTGTAGACTTCTTTGAATTTTATTCTCTTAACCTGGTGTAGCTCGGCTTGGCATAGTTGTTAGCAGGTGGGGGGGGGGGAGTTCAAATCCCAACCCACACAGCCATGAAGCTTGCTGGGTGACCTTGGGCCAGTCTGTCTGTCTGTCTGTCTGTCTGTCTGTCTCTCTCTCTCTCCCCTACCTCACAGGGTTGCTGTGAGGGTAAAATGGGGAGCAGGGTGGGGGAAGGAAGCATGTAAGCCCCCTAGAGCTCCTTGGAGGGAAGGCAGGGAATAAATGCTGCAATTAATTAATTAATTGTTTGACGACACCCATTGCCTCAAAAGGGCTGCGTAGCCCTGGCAGGCGACATACAAACATCTAGATATAGGATGTTGAACGATGCAGCATTCGGGGGGGGGGGGGCATTTGCTCACCTTGAGGTCGCGATACACCACGAAGCGGTTGTGCATGTGTTCCAGCCCCAGGATGATCTCTGCTGCGTAGAAGCGCATCTCTGCCTCGGAGAAGACCCCATGCTGGGAGAGGTGGTAATGTAGGTCACCCCCTGCAGGAAACGGAGCAGACAGCCATGTGAGGCACACAACCTGAGTATCGGGGGAGGGGCGTAGTGGTGAGGCAGGGATGCCTCTGTGTGTGGATCCCTTCGAGAAGCATGTGAGGGGAGGGGAGGGGGAGAGGCAGAGGCTCTCTACAGGCTGGGTTCTGGCTCTCACCATTCATGAGGTCCAGGATGAAGCTGAGCTTGTCAGGTGTTTGGAAGGCATACGACATGCACACGATGAAGGGGCAATCCTGGCAGAGACACGAGGAACCAAGTCACAGCAGGGAAAAAAGAGAGGGGGGAAAAATACAGAAATGAATCACCAAGTCTGCATGCACATGTGCATGAACGAGTTCCCTCGCTCTACGTTCTGCTCACGCCCGGAATCCACAGGCCTTCCTGAAAGCTCCACGTTTCCCTTCTGCGCTCTCAGAATCATGCCTCGCACATGCATGCTTCCTACCACAGTTCCCCTACACACAGAAGCACGCTTGCATCTGATAACCGTGGGGGAACAGATTGCTCAACAGGGCCCTCGGCCTCTTGCCTCACACGTCGCCACTGCCTCCTTCCCTCTGCCAGCTCTTCCATTAACCCCTCGCTCCCGCCCCCCATTTTCTGCCGTGGGTTTTCCACCGACTCCTACACAGCCGTCACGTCACCTGTCGGCTCCTTTGCCCCGCCTCCCCCACCCACGCATACTTGTCACAAACCCCTATGGTGGTCTCCCCTGTCTTCCCCCATGCCCCTTGTGCACGGCGCCCCCGCCCTGCCCCTCTCTCTTCCCCTCCTTTCCTCCTCCTGCCGTTGCGCACATTGAACTGCCTCCCCTCCCCTTCCGTGCGCATAATAATTTGCTGCGCTGCCTACACACATCCCAGCCGTGCTGCTAGTTTACTGCAGGCATCACACTCCCAGCCACATGCTCAATGCCACCTCCAGCACACTTCATCACCGTCATCCCTCCCCCCTGCCTTTAATTACCAGTGTGTGCTTCAAAATACCTGCCATGTCTATACCGGCATTATCATAGCTTTGATTGCAAGCACAATACAGGAACCCAAGCATTCGCTTCTGCCCACTTGACAGATCTCTTTCCCCTCCCTCTTGGACTGGGCAGACTCCGGGTCTTGCCTACTCTCTGCCTCCCAACCCCCAGCTGCTCAATGTAGCCAGACTCACCCCGGTGCTGACAAGCGAGAGCATGATGCGCTCGTTCAGGGCCAGTGTCTCCCCCTGCTTCATCTTAATGCGCTTCTTATCCAGACATTTCATGGCGTACCTGTCAAAGGAGAAAGAAGAGGCTATAACCCTGCGGTGTTGCTCTCGCCAGGTCTTGCTGCTTCCCAGGGAATCGCCCCTGCCGATATCCCTCCACGCAGAACAGCCTGTGCGCCTCCTTTGTGGAAACCTACCAAACTCATTCACTTGGCACTTCCTTAATTACACCCATCACGACCCCCATCTGAGTCCTGAGTCACCTGCTATGACTAAACTCCCCCTAACACTTCTTTGGTTTCCCACAGAGGAGATTTACCACAGGTGTCCCTGGGATGTCTGCTAATGTTCACTGTGCTCCCCCTATATGAGAAGAGCCTTCCTTTGTGGGGGACAGGGGTGGGTGGACTCTCCTGCACTTGGGGTATTGAAACAAAGGCTGAACTGCCAAGTATGCCTGTTAGTAGATTCTGCATTGTAAGGTTCTTGGGTTGAGCTGGGGACCTTGATGAGATGGCTTCTTTTCAACACTAACATTTGATGGGCTAGATCCAAAACAAGACAGACAAGCCCAGTTCCCATTGGAATCAGTGGGACTTCACCCAGGGCTTGTCCACACTTCCCTGCCTAAAGAGCACAGGTCTGAGCAATTTTCCATTTGCCCAGGAAAACTTGGTTCTTTAGCGCTGAATTGGAGCAAACATTAATCCGCAGAAAACCTGATTCATCCAGGTTTTTTTGGCGTTTGCTCCAATTCAGCACTAAAGATCAGGTTTTCCTGGGTGAAAGCAGCGGGACAAGCGAAGTCTGGATAAGCCCTAAGTCATGACTAATTTTTTCACATTTATGTCAATGGGGCTTCAATGCAATAGACTTACTCTGGATCTAGCCCTATGATTCTCTGAACCTGCCACCCCCTAAGCAATAAACACCTGGATTAAACCCGTCCTTATTGTATCTGACCCACTTTTTAATGATATCTGCTTCCTCTCTTGTTTGACTGGGTGCTAGTTTTCCTCTATGAATGCTGCTGCTGTTTTCATTATATTGTTTTAAGATGACACTCAACGGCTTTGCTCCATTTTGCTGTTAGCTACCTCAAAACCTCAGTAAATAAAGAATAAAATATGAGACACTGACTCCATGAAGGCAGAAACTGTGTTTCCTAACATTTCATACGTGCACTGGAAGAATCTGAGTTTAGCGCAGGCACCAATCTGGTACCCCAGAAAATAAAGGCAAGTTGAGGAAAGGCCCTTGGGAAGCTATGTTTGCATTTGGGGCTCAGACAGTGAGTAGAAGCCTACTTATGCTGGTTACAGGGAGAAGCAGGACTGGCTGGGAGCTGAGATATCAGAGGGTACCATCCTGGTTCTCCAGTACCAACATGGCCATTACAAACCAAAAGAGAATGATGGATAATATCATTTTTCATTTCCATGTGCAAATACTTCATATAGCTTCATAGCAATGATGTGGAGCAAAGCTAGGCTAAAAGACAATGGCCAAAGGCCACATGGCAACCCCCTTTGTCTCCTTAACCAACCTTGGGCTCCCAGATAATTGTTGGAATAACAATTTGACAAACCAATCTTGCAACATTACATTTTGCCCGTGTCTGCTTTCCGGCAGCCGTAGACCTCGCCAAAGCCGCCACGCCCAATGATCCGGTGGACGCTGAAGTCATTCATGGTCAGCTGGGTCCCACAAGGCAGAGAGCATGAACAAACATGATGGGGGGGGGGAGAAAGGAGACCAAGACCAAGAACGTTAACATGTTGCTGGCACCACCTTTACCCTTTCAGGGGTCTGGGTCTACCCGTCATAGAAAGGAATGGCCTTCCACAGGCACTCCTCTCACCCACAGTGACCTTTCCTCATATCCTGCTTTCAAATTATGATCCAAGGTTATTTTGTGTCACATGTCGGTATCGCTAGGAAAGCTTTCCCCAGCCTGAGGTTCTCCAGATGGGGCTGTGCCGGCTGAGGCTAATGGGAATTGTACGGAGGATCCCATTTTAGGGGTAGTTGCTCTTGGATTATTGGGGAGCCAGAACTGGGCTTGCTTCTCAAGCTCTCATGACGGACAAGAAACCCTCAAATTCTCTCATCTCATTTACCCAGTGAAGACGATCGTAATCCTGGTTTTCTCTGAAGCTACTAAATCGGTGAACTTCCTGAGACAGGGATTAGTCCCCCACACACCACCAACCTCCCATCAACTACACAACCAGCAACTTTGCAAATCCTATACACTTTGCCATTCTGCAACAATGTGGCTGCAGGCAGGTCCATGCTTAGTGTCTTTTGACAGCTCTTTTTTTATCGCCGCAGCTCTCAGGAATGCCCTCCCTCCTCAGGCACTCACATGGATGTTGAGCTCCACATTCTTCCACTGGGAGAAGCGTGTGAACTTGTCACTAAAACAGAACAGACGGGAGAAGAAATGAGAGAAAGAACACACAGGCCCTGGAAGACAAACCCTGGGTATCACCACTTTCAAAGGATCCCTCCTCAAATCCCAGTGCCAGAACTCTTTCAAGTCCAATAACACCCCCCGGCCCCTTAACAGAGGCTCCTATACCCCAGTATTATGGGAAGGAAGCAGTGGGTTTAGGGAGGGGAAAGGGAAAATACAGGGAACATTCACATACATATAACTTCCATCCTGCCTTCAAGACAACCCTGCGCAGGCTTAACTTAAGAGCCTTCTTTCCATCTACAGAACACGCTCCTGCTTCGCTTGATTCTAGGCATTTTGGCTCAGAAGGAAGTTCCATGGTGCTCAAAGGGGCTTACTTCCAAGAAAATCTGCAAACTTCAAAGGCACTGTCTCATCTTCTTTCAAGCTTCGCCATGCACAAGGGGGAAGGGGAATGGAATGGAGTACGTTGGAAAAGGTGTGGCTGGCACCTTAAACAGGAGCACACCACGCTGCAACATGGTGCAGGTTCTGCGTGTGGACAGCCTATAGTCCTCAGCACTCACCTCTCAATGAACCTCTGGAAGATAGTCCCACGCAGACACTCGCAGATCTCCTCAATGTATGGCTGGCAGAAGAGTGGGCAGAGAGGAATGAATGCCGAAAACCTATCCATTAAAGCTTTCCACCCACTGGTCCCCGTTCTCATCCGCATGGCCGCTGCGGGACTCAGTGATGTGGAAATCCCCATGAGATCCTCAACAGCAAGTGCTGTAAGGAAATGGAGTCTGCATTTCTTTGGGTTTGGGAATGTTATAGGAAAAGAGGTCCCATCCCCCCTGCTGTGGGGACACTTGCACATGCTAGGAAGAAATTGGTTGCAATGGGCCAGAGTTCATGCTCCATCAGCCCCTGTCTACCGATGCAAGTGCATCCAGTCTTGGGGCAAATGAGGTTCGAGATTGGATGAGCCCAAGGGTCTAGTCGATGGGGAGGGATTTACCTGGAACAGGTCAGGCGGCACTTGCTTCTTGCTGAGGCGGCTCTGCACATATTCTGTGGCAGTCTTGGAGAAGGGCTGTGAGAGGACACAAGAAAAAGGAAATGAGTCCGGATGCATCGCTGTCCAAAGAGACATTCCATCAAGTTATTGTGCCTGCCCGGGGCACAAAGCTTGGGTTGACTTCCAGCTCTAATGCTGAGACCACCGAAGAAGCCCAGTGACAAGGAAATCAACAGGACTGGGGCACAAAGCTTGGGGAAGGCTTACAAGCTGGGTCAGGAATAGGGCTGGCAAATCTTGGACATGTTAAAGAGAGGCACTGGCTGCATTCACACAGCAGTTTACAGTGGTACCTTGGTTTAAGAACAGCTTAGTTTATGAACGACTTGGGTTAAGACCGCTGCAAACCTGGAAGTAGATGTTTTGGTTTGCGAACTTTGCCTTGGAATAAGAACATGTTTCGCTTCCTGCTGAGTGTGTTCCATTTGTAAATTGAGTCCTCCGCTGCTCTGGGAAAGCATGCCTTGGTTAAAGAATGCTTTGGTTTAAGAACGGACTTCCGGAACGGATTAAGTTCGTAAACCAAGGTAACATTGTATTCCATCTTCCCAGCATTTCCCTAACTAGCTGCTTCTAGAAATATAGTGGAATATAGCACAAGTCTGGCACTCATTTCCATGTTACTTGCTCGTTTACGTCACATGAAGGCAGAAATATAATGCAGAAATAAAACAGTTATGGAAATGTCAGGAAAACAGAATAAATTATCTCCTTTGTCCGATGCACAAGCCTGTTGCTGTTGGGTTGGCAAACACTTTTCACCTATCAGGTTTAAAAAAAAAATAAAAATTCCCTGTTTTAACAACAACAAGCAATTCAAACTACCAGTAAACACACAGAGCAAAGGTTCCCAAACTGCGGTCTGTAGACCACCATGGTCAGCAAGCTTTGAACAGGTAGTCCAAAGATGGCGGGTGTGGCAGCGATGAATGGCAGGCTCAGCAGCTGCTCCATCCTTCTGAGGAACTGGTGGTCTAACCAAAAGGTGAGTGGGAAGGAGCATAAGTGAAGGGAGGAGAAGGCACTTGAAAGGAGTAGAGAGGATTAGCAGCATGAAAGACAAGAGTGAGAGGAAGAGGAAGCAGCAAAAAAAGAGAAAGAGACAGTCAAAACGTGGGAATGAAGGTGAGCAGGAAAATCCTGACGTGAGAGGGGGAGGAAGCAATTGAAACAGGGCAGCTGGAACCCCTGTCTGTACGCTGCCACAGCATTCAGCTGTGGATTTTTTATTGTGTCAGATAAATTCATTAATAACTTGTTGCCATTCTTTCATGTCTTTATCTGATCATGTTAATGGAATTCTAGAGCAAAATGAAAGCAAGAAATAAAAGCAGCAATAAAAGTGCAATTAAAAAAATCATACAGCATCTAGCACAAGGCATGACAGTTGCTACAATTGACCAAAAAAAGTGCTGCACCAGGACTCTCAGCAATTTTGAAGCAGTCTGTGGGAATCACTGACACGGTACAGTTATGACTGTCGGCCATTCAGAATAAAATTGTTCCATTTACACATTTTATTAACTTTCTTGGTTTCCGAGCATCACTTAATGAAGGCCATTTTCGTTCTCATTTTGAATCACTCCTCTTCGCAGTTTGACATGCGGCACTGGGGGCATCAGTGTTTGCCTGCTCTTCGCACAACTTGAAAAGTGTCAGGTTACCTCAAAAACTGTCAATAGTTGGCCCAGCACTTTACACCAATAAGTGTGACTCTGTGGCTGCTTGGTTTCATCTCTCATCATGTCCCCCTGGGACTTCCTGAAGGCCTCCCTCCTGCTATGCTGCAAGGCTCACATGCACTGCCCCTACCTCCCACTAAACCCACTGTTCCCCAGCAACCTAGAATAATAGAATTATTGAGTTGGAAGAGACCCCCAAGGGCCATCTAGTCTGCCCACATTTTACCTCTGGCCCTGCCCACCAACTGGCATATGGCCCTTGGAAGGTTACCCACAAGGGAATGTGGCCCTTGGGCTGAAGTGTGATCTCCTTCCCCCCATATAAAACCATGTTTTGAAATTGGCTTAATATGCTAGCTTGTTCTGAAGATGTTAACTATGGTCTCCTGGTTCCGATAAAACGGGAAACCACGGTTAATGGTGGAAGAATCCATGGTTTGTTTGCTGCCACTGTAACGGGAGAAGCAAAGGTGCTGGTGCATTGCACAAGGTGGTGCCTTAAGCGGCTGCCTACAATTCATTAATGGGAAGGTCATCCCAGAACAGGAAAGAGCCATTTCCCATGCATGGTAGAGGAAAGTGAGGTCGTGAAAAGGAGATTAAGAGCTGGGGTGGGTAGTTCTAAGGGAGTTGTATGTGACAATTATTGAGCCAGGGAGAGTACACAGCCTGTGAGACAATGGACAATGCTGGGAGTCTGGCTCCTCCCATTGTGAGGAGTATTATCTTTTAAAGAATCTTGATCAATGGGATTGCAAAGCAAACATGATGCTTCTTGCCAAGGGGTTTTTTCAGACTCTCTCATGTGACAGCAAGCATTCGGGCCACTCACGTGAGAACAGGACAGCAGTTCCTTCATGATGTACGTGTCAAAGATCTGGCGGCTCTTAATAGCTCGATCCTCTTCGGAGTCCATCTTCTCATACTTTTTGATCTATGAAGAATGGGGCGAGGGGAGAGGTAACAAGGCTCAGCAACCTACCCACCGACTACAGACTCTGTAAGGCCCTTCAGAAGGCATAGACAGACACATGGTCGACGTGGACCATGTTTTGCACCCAAAGAACTCAAATAATGGCTGTGCTTGGAGAGAGCGCTTGCAATCTCTTCTTGCCCCCTTAATCATTTTCCACAGGGGCTGGGTGGCAGCTGACAAAATGTGCCATAGAATGCATATACAAAGTCAAAGAGACAAAAGCTGAGCTTACACCTGGGCTGGGGAACCTGTAGCCAGAAGTTGCTGGACTACAACTCCCATCATCTCTGCCCATTGGCCATGCTGGCTGAGGCGGACTGGAGACGGAGCCCAACTAAATCTGGAGGGCACCCTGTGGGCGACCTCTGAGATACAGGGAGAGCAGTGCGCTGAAATCTCACAGCAAGCATTTTTCTTTTCCTCCTTATTATTATTGTTCTCCTTTAAATCTAGTTTTATTTTAAATTATGAGAGGGCAAATGACATAAACCATACACATAAAAGGGATAATACTATAGGAAAGCATAAAGCACAGCAAAACTTTCTGGCTCCTGCCTTCTCTAATAAAATATTTTGCCCATTTTTAAGCTTCTAAGTTCTCCAGATACCCACCGCACCCCATCCCACCCATGGCAAAATGAACCTACCACACTCTGAAGAGGCAACACAGGAATTCAATATATTTGTTTTCCAGCCTGAATTGGGAGATGCAGTAGCCTTGCCTTCTGTCACCCCCCCCCCCCCAGATCCTTTCCCCCTGACCGCTTCCAGTCATGCTGCCTTGAACAAGAATTCAGATATGCTTTTTGAGAGGAGGGTCAAAAGGCCTGAAGGGGCCTCTGAACAGGTCTTCGAAAAGTCAACTCCTCAGCTCAAGACAAGTTTGGGAACCAATGTCAGAGGGGAGTCTGTGTGCCAGGCCAAGGAAGGAAATTGTGGTTTGACGGCACGGAAGGAAATAGAGCATTTTCTCCCACCACCCTCAACGCACAATCAGGGCCTCACCTCTTCATAGAATTCCACCAGTGGTTTGGCTTCCTCCACCTGGTTTAGGCAGAAGTCTCGGAACAGCAGGAAACCTAAGAAAAACACACAACTGTCAGCTGCAACGGCCAGGTGTGCCCCTGCTTCCCTTTTTCAAAGCCAGCCAGTTGGTCCCACTTGAATTAGCACCCTCAGAAAGCCAGGGCCCTGCATTCCATCCCTGACTAATCAGCAATGGTGGGAAGAGAAATTCATTGTATATGTACACAGGTATATTGCTAGGGTAGGGAACGTCTCGCCCTCTGTATATTGTGGGACATAATTTCCATCAGACTAAGCCACCATGGCCAACGATCAGGAATGATGGGAGCTGTAGTCCAAAAACATTCCCCAAACTTAGTACACTGACTCCAAATATAGAGGTTTCATTCTTCTATCATGGTGGATAGCTAGTCAAAGATCTATGCAAATTTATCCAAGTTGGCTTTTAAAGTCATCTATACCAGTGCACATTAATACCAAATCCTGATTTTTATGGACAAGGGCTTTGTGATTTTAACAGCAAATGTAAGAGAAAGAAATCAACAAGTTTGAAGCTTTTAGCATCATGCATCTTCATACCAAACAAATTTTCACCTGGTGATTTCTGCCCATTACACCACTGTCAGAGACAAAGAGTCTCTCCTTATACAAAACTAGCAGGTATAGTCATCCAATTTATTTTTTACAGAAAACTTCTAGAAAACAAGCTGGGATTTTGATATTTCTAAGAAGGCACATCTCAATCTTTTCATCTTGCAAAAAAAAGAAAGAAAGCATAACCATTTCAGTTTCATAAGCTACGTTCAATATCCCCGGGAGTTGGAATATGCCCAGTAGGTTTATACAGGAGAAGTTTCTCCCACCATTCCCAGTGCAATCCCATGCATGCCTACTCAGAAGTAAGCCCCACAAAGATCAGAAAGATCAGAAGGGTTCACATTCTTAATTTCTGCATGTCAGTCTGCTGTTAAATGCACGAGAGCAGGGTCACTTTTTTAAAAAAGAAAAAGAAAAATAACTGTTTTGCGCATGCTTGCCTTAAGTCACGTGGTCCCCCTGGGAAATAACTCATGTCTGAGTTGTATGTTAGAGAAGTCCCCAAACCGAAGGCACTTCCACATAGGAACATGAAGGAGACCTACATGTCACTCATAATAAGCAACCGAGAAGAGCTTCCCTCTGGATGCATAACTGAAGCTACACGGAACTGTGCCTGTGTGCAAATTCTTTGCAAATTTTATACAGGGTGAAGCGGCCCCTTCAGTAACCTTCAATATACATTCAAAGCAGGCATGAGTCTCATCTGTACCAGATATAGAAGGGGTTGGATAGTCTGTCTGCCTCTGGGTGTTCTTGACTACAAACTCCATGATCCTTGACCATTAGCCACCCTGGCTGGGGGGCTGATGGAAGCTGGGAGAGCAACAAAACCTGCAGAGATGCAGGTTCCCTCAGCTAACTGAAAAGGGGCAGTTGGAGGGTGGCAATCCCCACACCTGGAGAAGATTTCTCAAGCATGCTGTGCACCAGTTTCCGCCTCAACTCTGCTCCCCCCCCCCCGACACACAGTGGAGGGGCACACGGATCAAGATCCACGTCAGCTTGTGGCTGAACGGCTCCTTGGTGCTAAACCTGCTTCCCCAACCTACTTGTGCGCCATCCCCAGGTGAGAGGCAGAGGCAAGAGGCTGTGGGGAAGGCAGCAGGGGAGCCAGGAGCGGAGGGAGAGCCAGGAGGGGTGGGAGCAGAGAGGGGATGAAAGCGGGAGATATTATGAGGAAACCACAAGTGGCTGTGGGTGTGGGAGGAAGCAAGAGTGTTTCCTGTTGGGGCGGGGTGTAGTAACTGAAAAGGAGAAACAGCCTTGCAAGCAGATGCCTCCGGGGCTCAGTATGGACAACAACAGCCCAGCATCACCCAGCCTCTCCTAAACCAGCAGCAGTCACACAGCCCTTCCTAACCTGTGCTCTCCTCCTAATTTATCCAAATGTACCTCATCAGCGCCTCTAGAGCAGTGGTTCCCAGTTAGGGGTCCGGGGGTCCCCAGGGGGTCCGCAGCCCCATCCCTTGCCTCCCCACCTCAACTATTTTTTTTGTCATTTTTGCGTGGTAGTATCCCAAATTTTATAGTCTGTTTTTTTTAATTATACCTAAAGTCCTTTGCTTATGAGGCCTACACCACATTTTGTTCAAAAAATTGCTTTGCAGAGGTAACTACCATGGAGTCATCAAAATTGTCAAAAGTAAGGGGTCCGTGGCTTGGCTTTTGAAAAACAGGGGGTCCTCCGTAATTAGCTAATTGGGAACCAGTGCTCTAGAGTATTCTGTTTTGTTTTGGTTTTTTTAAAGGAGTAAGTGGCAGGGTGTGGAATTTTATTTTCCTTCTTCCTGGCAGGCTTCTGTGCCTTCAGCAAGATGACAGGCAGAAATTCAGCAGCGAAAGTGTGGTGTTGTCCCCTCTCCCCACCAGCCTGTACATTTCAATCTATGAGGGAGAAAAAGCTACATGAGCTGCATTTTTACTTCTCACACAGCTGCTAACAGCGCAGGGGCCTTGCCAGAAAAAGCTGACACTCTTACTTTCTAAAAGGCTTCTTGAAGAGCTGCATGGAAGGGGAATTCCACCAGGTCCAGATTCTCTGCTGGAGTAATTACACTTCTTCATTCAGATACTCAAGAGAGGCATTGTCAAGGGTGGGGGCAGCAGGGCCTGTGAGGGGTGGCCTAGCAATATACTGTGGCCTAGGAAGAAGCCTGAGGGCCAGAAAGATGGGCCTACAGGGCCACATTCAAATGCAAGGTCTGCAGCTCCACCCCCTTCCTGGAGGCAGAACCTTCTCACATGTGAGCCAGTCCAGAAGCTTTGAACCCTCTTCTCTTCCAATATCCCTCAAGTGAAGCAATTGTCCTGCAAACAACTAATGGAAGATGGAACGGGGAACCGTCGCAGGCCGCACAAGAGGAAGCAGAATTTCCTCATCGACCTCAGCAATACCCCCTTCCCCAATTCATTTGTACAGATCTCAGCTCAGCTGCTCACAGATCTCAGCTCAGGCTTGAGAACAAGGCGAGGGAGGGGGAAGAGACAGTAGATTACAATCTACTGGGAGATCTCTGGGTGACCTGCAGTAGATCCTCAGGGGTTCTGACTCCCAATTCTTGAGCAACTAGCAAGAACAAAATGACCCGTCCACCCCCCATAATCAAAATTAGGCTGCTGAAATGAAGAAAGCTAACTGAGACTGGACATTTGCCCAAAATGGTGCTGAAAACAAATTCCTGGGCTCCAAATGTGCTCAGTGGCACCCTTTGTTCATTAATTCTAACTCTGGGTATCTTGCACCTGGCCTGGGTTGGTCAATCTTGGAAATTCTGGTAGAGGCGAAAGTGGATTGACCAAAGTCTGCCCACCCCTGCTCTACAGCACCAGCCTGGGATGCAGAGTTGACCAGACCCAAGGCAGGACAGGGACTTATTAACTTTGGATAATTTGGACAAGATAATTTGAGCTGGCACAGCTTCTGCCGCCTTTGCAGAGCTTTGCGCTTTCAAAAAAAAAATCCTCATTAATAGATACAGGATCACTGGCTTTCTTTGCATTGGGCCGCCCTAGAGAAGGAGAAGACTTGTTAACTCCTGATCTGAATGAAGAAGGTGACTGGCCTTTCCAAGGGCTGGATGGTAAGGACAAATTCAGGGGCCAAGCGTTCCCCAACTCCTGTGAAGGAGCAAGTGACAAAAGAAGTTGCACCTGCAGCACCGGCCCCTGCGGCCAAAGCACAGCAGCACTTTTCAGGCCAGAAGCTGGATTCCTAAGGGGAAGGACAAGACTGAGTATGCAGCAAGTAGCTTCCATCACAACTCCGCAGATATCCAATCCCACCACAGCCTTTTTAAAAAGGAGGCCCTCCTTCTGCCCCCCTATTCTTCTCACTGGCGCTGACTCCTGGCTAACCGGAGCACAGGCAAGCTGGTCTTGCCTGAACTCATGACCCCGCAGAGGCTCTGCTACTCACCAATCTTCTGAGAAAATATCTTGTCAAAGGTCACCTCACCCCGGTCTTCCAAGTATTTCTGCATAACACTGCGGATACTGCCAAGAGAAAAGGCACGTGAGGGAAGTTAACAAGGGTGAAGCTTCTCAGCTCGGCCTATTCCCTCAAAGCAGGGGGTGGGGAGATTGTGACCTTCCATATGCTGCCGGACTCCAGTTCCCATCATCCTTGACCGCTGGCTACGCTGGCTGGGCCTGATAGGAGTCCAACCACATGTGGAGGGACAAAGGTTTGCCGTCCCTGCCCTGAAAACAACAAGGGCAGGATCCAGCTAAGCTGTTGCATGTGCAGAATGAGGTCCACTTGTGCAGCAGACTTTCCCCTCCTCTCTTCCTGCTGCGCCCCCTAAATCTGCTCTAGAGGGTCGGAGGAGGAACCAAGAACATGTTTAGAAAGTGGGGTGGTGGTGTGGAGAGGGGGTAAAGTCTTATTATATGAGCAGTTTTGTAGTACCTTAAAGGATAGCAAATGTAGTATTTAAGGTGCTACAATACCCTTTGTTGTTTTTGCTGCAAAAAACCCCCCCATTATTATCACAGGAAGCCTGCAGATAAAAGACACTTATCTCAAGAGATTTTGGGTCAGTAAGGATCCAGCACTGGATAGCCGACATTTCATTCATGAATTAAGACCAACCAGCTGTTTAAAGGAGACTGTGTTTTTATCTGGGGCTAAGTGGAGCCAGGTACAGGAAGATTACAAAGGCAGTCAGTCATTCTAGCAGGTGAACGAACAGAGGTCTGTTTCTTGTCTTAAAGAAGAGCCGGTGCTCTTAGAATGGCATCTGCATCTGGGCAATTTGGAAGAGAAGCCAATCTAAAAGTCTAAACAGAAAATGAAGGTTCATCAAAAAGCGGGAGGGACAGGAGGACGGTGGTCTGAGTGTGGAGGGACAGGCTCCTGGCTAGAGAAGCAGAGGAAATAATACCTTGGATCTTGGAAGCATTGTTCTGAATACATTCTGGTTTTTTTAGTCGCTGTGTTTGTTTTGTCCTTCTGGGTGGTTAATTTTAAAGTGACCAAGAAAGACACACAGAGAGAGAGAGAGAGAGAGAGAGAGAGAGAGAGAGAATGCTAGGCAAATAATTAGGAAAGAGCACCTTTTGGGTTGAAAATGAACCTGAAATTCCAAGGTCCCAAAGTACAATGACTAATCTCAAAGATGAGTTGGCAAGACCCGGTAGCTGGCAGCCTGGAAAATGCTATAGACGGTCTGGCCATGAGACAGGGGTTCATGCTGGGTTAATGTATTACAAAGAACTGGAACTCTCTTTCGGAGTCGTGTGCCATTTTTCAGAGCTGGGCTATGACCTGGCTTCTCCTGTGGATATTTAGCTGGTTAAGCAGCACACATAGCCCTTCTATGGAGAAAATTTTAATTGATTCAGCGTAAGCAGCCAAGAGGAAGCTCCTGAGTATGAGGGCCACTGCAGGGTAAGGGCAACAGTCTCCCTCTAGCCCAGCATTCTGTTGTCACAGTGGCCAGCCACATGCCAGTAGGAACACCTCAAGAAGGTCCTGGGCACAAGAGCATTCTTTCCACGTGGGATTCCAAGCACACTGCCTCTGACAACAGAGGCAGAAATCCTAATCCTAAATGCATTTATTTGGAAATGCCACCGAATCACTTTCAACCATTTTCTCCTGACCATGTTCACCTGGAAGGAAGAAGCCCCATTGACTTCAAGGGGGTTTGCTCCCCAGAAAGCATGCTTCAATTTGCAGCACGGGTACCTTTCGAGATGGAAGCTTGTGTAAGAAGTACTTGTCAGATGATGGAAGACGCAGATTACCGTATCACTTGACAAGTGTACTGAGTCAGCATTCCCAACACCCACAATCCACATACTGACTGTACAGATCCTCATTGCAGGTTAGAATGAATGAGAAGCAGTGCGGGTGGCACAATAATGGTGAAAATGCTGTGACTCTGGCACCAACATTCTGTGATAGTTTGCACCACTTGCATGAGATACTTGGTAAGTCAGACAGGACCAATTAATGCAGTGTTTCTCAAACTTGGGTCCTCAGCTGCTGTTGGACTACAACTTCCATCATCCCTAGCTAGCAGGACCAGTGGTCAGGGATGATGGGAGCTGTAGTCCAATAATGGCTGAGGTCCCAAGTCTGTTGGTCAATTGGTAAAGCTTTCCTTAGACTAGCATTCCTCAACCTGCTGCCCTCCTGGTGATGCTGGACTTGCAAACTCCCATCATCCTCAACCAGCATGGCCAAGGGACAGAGATGATGGGAGTTTGGACCCCAGGGTCTGAAGGGTCACAGGTCCCCCACCCCTTTCTTATGAAAAAGTAACTTTGGGAAGAAGAGAAGGTTTAGAGAACTGGAATCACTGCTTAACCCTTTTCCTGCCCACCGTTTTTCCACAGAAACCCGCCCCCCACTATCCCCACTTTGGTACGGAAAGAATTATGCAGCCCTTCCACTTTGTATAGGCTGGGGAAGGCTATCTTGGACTATTCCATTTCAGGTTGCAGGTGAGAGGGTGGGGGTGGGTGACATTTTGAATGCTCCCAGATGGGAATGAAAAACTCCTCAGAGAAAACCGAGCCCAATAAGACTGCATCCTTTCGCCCTGACATGCACACTGCTTTTTCTAGTTTTACATGTGGAACATTTTTCAGACACTCAACTCACTCCTGGCCCGCCTGGAAGTGTTACCGTCTGCAGTGGGGGGGGGAGAGGGAACGGGGAGGGGGGTGACATTGCTTGAGTGTGCTGACTAAATAAACAGCCCTTCATCTGGGTACCTTTTAAATATCTGAATGGAGGACAAAGAGATCTGGATGCTTAGCCTAGAGAGGCCACTGCATCCTCCCTGAATGGCAATGGAGAGGTGCCCAATGTGGTCTGCAGCAGGAACAACCATAGTTGCTGCTGTTGCAGTCCATGTATTAAATGGGGTGCTGGGCTGGCTCTGAATGGGGCTTCTGGGAATTAGTAGTATTATAGGAGCTATGGGAGCTTAATGTAAGGGGTGCCTCTGAAGGGGAGAGTGTGATCGGGCTGAAGAGACACTTTCCCATTGTGAAGGGCAGATTTTCCCCCCTTGGATTCTGCGAAGTAAATATCAGGGCGCTGAGAAACAGGACCTACTTCAACCATTTAGACTGAATGTGTCTTTCCCCCACCCCCCAGAAACTCCTGCTCCTGAAACTAGTGAGCCATGGGGGATGGGGGAGAGATCCCCATGCCTAAGACAGACGCGTCTTGGAAGGATGATGGATGGCTGTGTTTTCTGGTGCCTGCTGCTGTTATGGGCCTGGGATAATGTGTCTCAAGCATCTCCATAACAACCATCTCCAGGGGGCAGGTCCAGTTGAATGATAGCATTAATATCATTACATAAAATGCCTTGTGCAGAAAAGGAATTCACACTCATTATCTGGTTATTCTCACAGTGTCCTGGTAAGGTAGGCAAGTCATTCCTTTTATAGCAGCAGCTAAGCGGAGACTTGAACTTGGGACTCATAGCATCAAACCAAGTAGCCCAACATCATCCCCTCTGGAAGTTGCCTGACTCCAACTCCCACCAGCCCCAGCCAGCATGGCCACATATGCTGGGACTTGTAGCCCTATCACAATCTGGAGGGCACTAGGTTGACTACCTTTGCTCCATGGAAAAGCAGCACATCTATATAGGCCAGGCTTCTAAAAAGCAACTAGCATGGTCACTTGTGGCAAACAAGCATCTGTTCTAGGCAACCAGGAAAGGAAGGTTAAAAAAAAAAGGGGTTAAGCCACAAGCCTGTATGTGCATTTCAGTCTGCAGAGGGGGGTGGGGGAACAATCCTGAGCTTGTAAATTTTGTGTTGTTTACAAGACCGATTCCAAAAATTCAGTCACTGAAGTTAACCTCGGTCAGATAAGGTCTGAGAGAACTGGTCCTAGTGCCCTCTTTTTCCTGCCTCAGTTTTCCCCCTTAGGAAAAAAAGAGAGCATTAGTTAACAACCGGGAAGGCCTATGGAGAATGTCAGCTCCCTCGAGTTCCTCTTGCACAGAGACTTAATGAGAGGCAGTTAGTACTATAAATAATCAGCCAGCTGTTGACAATGCTCTTGTTCGCTTAAAGGCCATTGGGGAGGAAGTGGGAAGTTGCCTGCTAGTATCCCTGGGCATCTGAGATGGTTTATTATTATTTTTTTCTGTATGCTCTTGTAGATTGTCAGGCTAGAGAGAGCCTGACTTCAGGGAACACTGACTGGCTTCATATCCAAGCGCAGAAAAAGGAAATGAATGCACAGAAAAAAATAGTTTGGTTCCCTTAACAGGAAAAACAACACTGTCGTGCAGCAACCAGCAAAGGAGAAACTTCCTCCCCACCCCCCTTTTTTAATCCCCTGCCCTTTTACCAAAGCTGAATTCTCCCCTCTCACAAATGTCACAACCACCTTGGCTCCGACACATTCCTAGTTCCGCTATAAAACCTGCACAAAAAGGCAGAGCTTGTAGTGGGTGCTGTGGCGGGTCAGCAGGACGCAGGTCACCCTGATTCTCCTATGTGCTGCAGTTTCTTACTTTGCAGCAGACCCAAATAGCCTATTGCGACCAAAGGTGACGTCATTTCCTGGCAGACAAACCAGAGAGACAGGTCTTCTTTGAAGCTGGGCCTTGACTTTGGCAGGAGGAGGGACACGAGAGGCTGCACCAGCGGGGAGGTTGCTCGGGCAGGAAGTTTAGTGTGTTGAAGCCTATCGGAGAAAACCGATGGGAGTGATTTAAAGTCAGGGTGCTCCATAATAGGGGTTGTGGGAGGCCTCCTATCCCTGTCCCACAATTCTGCTCTGCATGATATGGAAGAGGAATGGGAGGACCTGTGGTCCTCCAGATGTGGATGGAGTACAACTGTCAACACCCCAGGCCACTGGCCATGCCGGCTAGGGCCACTGGAGTCCAACGATGTGTGGAGAGTGACAGATTAGCGACCCCTGAGCAACCTCAGCTCAACTCTCCACTTTGGCATGAAGTTCAAAGAGTGGCGATGGTTAGTCAAACACACACACAACCTAAACCATCCCACATACAATGTGTGTGGCCCTCAGCTCCTTTGGAGAGAAGTATGGCGCAATGTACCGTAATAAACAAAACCTTAGACATCTTATTCCCCCAAGATCTTGAATGGGCAGCAGTTCCGAGTTTCATTACCTCCACTCCCTCTTGGAATGTCTGTGTAGAATCTATAAAAGACATTCCAGGAGGGAGTAGACAGAGTCTTCCAGATCTTCAGGATCATGTCTCCAGTACCCTGCCACAGTGAGCTTGGTTGGTGGGAAGCAGAGACTCAAATCTCATCGGATAGCAAGTCGCTGTATCTCAAATTTAATCTACCTTCAAAGGGTGGCTGTGAAGATAAAATGCTGCCTCTGAACTACGTACAGGACAGGTAAGACACAAATTGCTGGACTTCAGGCATGTGACTCAGACTTTCTTATTTCAGCAAGCATTTTAAGGTAGGGTTTGGGTTTATGTTTGGTTTTATGGTGATTTTTTTTTTACTGTTTTATTCTCTGTATGGTTTATTTTTATGTATGCCTTCTAGAAATGCTAATAATGAAGTGGCATATAAATGCCATAAATTAATGTAACAGATGTAACAGAATGTTCCTGCTTTTGCAGTAATGAACGAGGATGCAGCCCCTTCAGCAACTTTCAGGGGTGCTGTTCCAGATGTGGTGGGGTTGCAAAACCCAGGTTTGCACTTGGCCTGCATCTCCTGCCCTTTTCTTCCTTTTAAAAAACTCATCCCTCCCCCTTTAACTGACTTGCTGTGCACACTGCAAAATGCAATGCTGATAAGCATCAGAAACCCACCATCTTAAATACATATAAGCTAGCCAATGCAAATGGCTATGGAAATTTGGGCCATGGGTTTGTGCCTCAAGTTCTTTAAGTACCCAACAGCACCCCTGCCAATTTTGCTGATGTTCCTCTCTTTACAACAGGGATGGGGTGGTGTGCTCTTCCAGATGTTGCTGGACTACAACTCCCAGACCATTGGCTGTGCCAGCTGGAATTGATGGGATTTAGAGTACATCAACATCTGGGGGCACTAGGTTCCTCACCACTGCTCTAGAATCTCCATCCTTCTATTGTTCCAATCCTGGACAACTTCCTGAGGATGTATCTGCATTTTTGTCCCAATTCCAATAGACAGCCCATGAAAAAAAATGGAGGCACCACCTAGGCTCCAAGGGTGTGATTTGTATGTCCCTTATGTTTCAAGACAGACACACACACGGAAGCTGTTAGGTCAACCACCAGCAAAGCAACAATGATGAAAGATAACGTATGCTAGGGCCACACTGCTTGTGGTTTCTGTTAAGTCTCACCTTCCTATGGAGCGTCTGAGAGTGAATGCTCTGTCTCTGAGAAGCAAGATAATGTGATTTGTGAACAGGACTATGTATGCTGTGCCAAGACGATATCATGCAAGGCAAGGAAATAAATTATACTTGGGCACCCAAATCTTGCTTTTCATTTTTTTAAAAAAGCAAGTTTCTTGTATTTTTGATCTACAACAGTATATGCGTGCAAGGCCACAGGGAGGATGAGTCAAATTTCTAGTGGTCAAGAGGTGGGGATTCTGTGCCCTGCACTGCTTCCCTGCACCGCCTCCCATGACTGCTAGGAACAGAGCAAATTATGCAAAAAATAAATATGCAAATATATTGACTTGCATATTTTAATGTAAAACACACACTCTGCTCATGACCCAAACCCAGTTTCCTCCTCCACGTGTTTTCTATTGGGCTGTACCAAAAGATCTACATGTTATTATGCATTCAGATTAGGGGAACTAAGAATTTCTTCAGCTTCTGCCTGAATTAACCTCTTCTGGAATTACCCTGTTCTCCTCCTGCTCCAAATCAGCTTCCCGGGCAAAATTTATGGGGCCACACTTTAGAAGTTCCCCAGCAAGGTTCCCACAGTGAGATGTGCAGAAGAGATGTATCTGATCCTTCCTAGCTAATGGGAAGAAGTCTCCAAGGCATGTTTTCAGCAGATGTCTTGAATCCAAACAAATGAAATTCTGTACATATCCTTGACACTCCTCCCCATGCTTTCCTTACCATTCCAGCTACCTTATTTCTGCCTATCAGTAAGCTATCAATAAGGCCCCTGTGCTGTGATCACAGCAAGACCTCCATGTACGCCTCTTAATCCTTAGGCTTCTTCTAGGGCATAGTCTTGCTTCCCTAATTGGCAATCTGACCCCTTAGCTCTCCCCAGCTCAATTTCCTAAAAGCCAAATTTCACAGTATCTCCTTTGTGTAGATATATTGTCAATATTGCCTTTCACTCCCCTACTCCCTCTCCTGCCCCCCAAATAGATGGCTATTGAGCTGGGAGAATTGAAGGCCTCCCTGGTGTACTTTGAGGAAGAGGAAAGGAGGAGAAGGCAGTAGCAGTTACACTGTCATCACAAGTGGTGCAGAAAGAGATGAGGGAGGGGCAGAAGGGCAAACGATGGCTTAAATTCTGCCACCCCAAGACAGTTCTCTTAAACTGGACTCAGGGATGTGACTCGGGCAGGCAGGGGGTTGCCAGTGAGCAACTATTAGCTGAGATGTGATGCAAGTGAAGGGGCTGCTCTCTGGACCGTCACTATGCATCCCAAAATTATTTCCTCCAAAGGCTATGGAACTTCACCCAAAGTTCCCATGTGGGCACTTCCATACTGAAACCAGCAACCGTGTGGGGGGAAAAGAGCACAGAGGCTGCTGGGGCTTTCAGGCATTGCCATGGTAACACATCTGCATCATCCTCTGAAAGGGCCGCTTGCCATTTCTTGCGGAAAGGGGCCCTTTGGAGCTTTCTCAGAGACCCTCTGTCCTGCCTTCAGTGGCAGGGGAGCAGTTCTGCTTGAACAGACTTCTCCTACAATGGGGACAACCCAAGGTTATTGGCTAGAACAGGGAAGGGTAGGGTAAGCCAGATATCACATGGGAGGTGGAAGGGAAGAAAGAAGAGTGAGGAAGGCCTCCATCTGCCCATGTGCTGAAGGTGCAGGATGCTTGTCAGGCCCCACCCTGTTGCCCTTGGTAACTGCTGCCAGGAAGCAGAGTTAAGGGTTGGTTGGCCGAAACCAAAGCACCTTTGACCCACCTGGATGACCAGTCAGATTTTTTGACTTAATGCTCCCACTTGTGTCTCCCAGCAAGAAAATGCCCTTACATGAAGCAGAGCCCCTGCCTAACACATTTCCCCTTATCTGCACGATGGTGACCTTGCACTGCATTTGCGCACACTTGCAACGTTGTTTGTGCAGCCCCAGTTCCTGCTTGAACTCAGGGCAGCTGCAAGGTGGGCAAAGACCTGGGCACTATCTAACAGCACACTACCAAGACACAGCGTTGGATTGCACAGGTCTGTACACACAGATTTTCAAAAACAAACCAACCACCCACCCAAAACAGAAGACAGTGGTTAGGGCATCTTGAGGCCGACTCCAGGCACTGCCAGAGCCAAGCTGTATGCTCCTCATAACACCCAGCAACACAGTTGCTGGACTGCTCAGAAAAAAGCACTATATAGGCATATATACAGCCTGATTTACTAGCCTGCTTTTCTGCTGCGGTTAACACAATTGTATATTACACATACACAAAGAGAATCACTATGTGTGTTTGTGTTGAGGTGGGTGGAATTGTGACGTGTGGGTAGGAAAAAACAGAGAAGGAGGGGGTTTGCTACTGCAAGAGGTGCTGGGGGAATGATCTCCAAGGATCTGAGCAGCCGAATGAAGAATCAGGAAGCAGAGACAGGACACCCTGACAATCCATCATCATGCCCACACTATATCAACACAACCACGTACACGGAAAGACGCCGCTTTAGCGAGCCCTCTTTCCACCCCGCTACATGGACGGGGTAGATCACGGTCCCTGCTGCTTGGGCCAAGGGCAAGTCGGCTCGGTGCATTTCAGAAGAGCGAAGCTCAGTCATATACCGACCCATTTATGCGCTCGCTCGCGTACACAAACACCCAGCGCCCATCCTAAGCCCGGCGCGCCTCGCGCGGGGCCCCGGCGCCGCACCTGCCCCCTCCGCCTGCCCCCCTTGCCGGGCTCACCTCGGCTCAGGTAGCACGATCTTCTTGCTGGCCCGGGCTGCCGGAGTGGATTTACTTTTCTCCATAGCCATCAAGTAGCTCACATCGGCGAGCACAGCCTCCAAGTCGGCCATCTTGCCAGGAAATATTTCTTCTGCTTTCCTTTTTCACAATCAATTCTCTTATTATTCCAGCGGCCTCTGCGGCTCCCTCGCCGCCGCCTCCTCCCGGTCGGGGTGTGTGTGTGTGTGTGTGTGCGTGTGTGTGGCCGCCTGTGCTAGGGGGAGGGGAGGGAGAGCGAGGGGGGGGAGGCGAAGAGAGGGGATCTGGCCCCCCAACCCCTCTTACAAACAGACCCACATGATGCCCGTGCAGAGAAGCGGCGGCCCTTCCTCAGTTCCTGGGCTGCGGCTTGGCCCCGCTGCCCTCCGCTCCTGGCTTGCCTTCCTCCTCCAGGGCTGGCGGGCTCTCTCGGTGTGTGTCCTGAGTGTGTGTGTGTGTCTTGTGTGCGTCTTGTGTGTGTTGCGCGCGCGCGTGCAGGGAGGGCTGCCGCGGCCGCTGCTGTTGCTCCCGCTGCCTGTCAACGCGGAGCGGCGGCGGCGCGGGGTGGGGGGTGGCGGCGGCTTGCTGCCTTTATCTGTCAGCGCTTTTCTTCTTCCTCTGATTGCGATCCAAGGCGGAGAAGCAGCGTCGCGCAAGTGCCCGAGGCAAGCGCAGCCGAGGAGCTCTCGAGCTTCACGCGCTGATTCAATGCGGGGCGCTTAAGGCGGGAGCCGAGCGGATCCGAAACTCGCACACGCTCTCCTTCTTCTTCTTCTTCCTCCTCCTGCTGCTGCTGCTGTTGCCGCCCGTAGGTGGTTTTGTTTCTCCGCAGGGGGAAAGGACCTCCGGGGCCCGCCGCGCAGCTTCTGGCTTCCCCTCTCCGCTCGCCCCAGGGCCAGCTTAAAGCAACAGCCGCCCCTCGAGGGAAGCCTGCTTTGTACATAGACACACACAGAGAGAAGAAAGTTAGTCGCCCGAGGCCGCCCTCTGGAGGCCCAGGGGAGACTTGCAGCTGGCTTGGCGCAGGCCGGGTGTCTTTCAGACCCTTTCGATTCAAGCGCGGCCCCAGGCAATACGCTGCGGCGGGCGCTCAAATCGAGGAGCGCTCGGAGGCCTAACGGGCCATGATTTCACCCGGCCGTTGCCTTAGCACGTCCGGTAGTATCCCGCATAAAATATTGGCCACAACAATAATACCTTGCAACCCGTTTCGCAGAATTTTGACATCCACGTTTGGCCTCTGGTCTCTCAAGGACATCCTGAAGGTCTGCGTGACCCCTTGAAGGCTAACGAAAAAATTAGTACAGTATTTAAGGCGCTACAAGACTCCTGCTTGCTTTTGCTGCAAGAGACTGACGTGGCTACCCTTCTGAAAATATTCAGCATTGAAATTCAGGAGCAGACATTCTCAAGACCAAAAGACTGTCCTTTGCTTTTCTGACAGGTACAAATTTGGGAGATAAAGACCTACAATAAGTAAGTTCTTGTGTGTGCACTGTAGGCTAGAGAGAAGAGTACACATTAAAAATACAATATGTAGTTAATCCCAGCCAGAGGGCTAAGGAATGGTCAGAGTTCTACTCTCTTAAAGTTTCCACAATAAGAGTTTTCTTCAGTTTTCTTCATGCTGGCAAACTGGTATGGTCCTAAGTATGTTGAGTTGGAATAGTTCATTTTCCCCTGTGTGTTAAGTTTCAGTTGTGAGTAGAAGCACCAGATTTTGTGACCGTATAGATTTTTGCCTTGGCCTGCGGCAAAGATTTTCCATGCCTGACGTGTGCCCAAATTGTGTCCCTTCAGATGGTGCTGAAGTTCAGCTCCCACCATCCCTGATCAATGGCCATGCTGGCTGAAACTGATGGGAGTTAGGAGTTCAGCGTCTAGAAGGCCACTGGTTCCCTTCTAGGTGGCTGCTGCTTTACTTGAACACTTAAGAAGCTTTCCTTAAGATTCAACCAAGGCCTACATCCTTTCATTGGGCCTTGCATACTAGGGCTTTGACACCTGTCTGGAAGGTAGATACAGTAGAACAAATTACACAAAACATTCTCCTGCCAAATGCTTATTTAAAAACCTCCCGGGTGAAAAATCAAGCTGTTCTTATTCTATTAGTATTCCTATCTCTATTGGGAAGTTAGGTTGACTTCATTCAAAATATGTGGTTTCAGTTTGCCTGACGTGACTAGGGGTTGAATAATACGTGAGGTTCATCACCATGACTGCAAAAGCAAGCAACAGCCTTGACTGCTGGGTGGAAATGGGCTGTCATACACACGAGAATGTTCATACCCTTAAATGCAGTTATTTTCCATGGAGTTAATTCACCTGGTCAGTAGCCAGTCAAATGTACAAAAATCAATTGATGGAGATGCCTGAGTAAACCAGGCCTACCTTGTCCTGCCTCCCTCTCCCTGCACACCTATTACAGTACAGGGTTTTCTCACAGCCATTAAATCCTGCTGTTAGGCTCCAGAAAGTGGTTCATCCAGTTCTTCTATATGAACTGTTTTCCTCGTTGTGATTAATACCGTTTCCACACTGAAGTGCCGTTTATTAGTTTGAGCACACAGGTTGCAATGTTATTTCCTTAAACAACCCTACCTCTCTAGCTACCTTTTTGTTTTCAGCTTTGCATAGCTGAGTGCCTACAAGGAGAGAGACAAGGCACATGTCTAGTCAACTGAAACATGTGCCCTTCTTATTAATGCACTCACTCTGAAGGGGAAGCTACGGTGGCAAAGCACCATTACTAAATAAAACAGCAGAGACATTTAGCAGAAATAGTGTGTAGGTGGTAAAATGGAGTCACTGCTATAGATTTCTACAGGTGCTCAGTGAAACCTTGATAAGTGTGAACATGGATTGACCAGGAATAAATGTTGGGGTATATATGGAGCTATTCTCCTGGAATGCCAGTTTCCAGACACTTCTTCCCATACAGCATCTGGGATCTTCTAATTCCTTATTTCCTGTTTCCTGGGGGTCATCCATAGTTATTTCTGCAGGGAGTTCCAGATACTGCACAGCGTTTCCAGCAACTCTATAGCTTTGCAGTGATTCCTTGCGATTAATGACGTTATAACTCTCATGAGAACCAGTTTGATTGGGAACCCCAATCTGTGGTGGATCCCTGCCTCCTGCAGCTTTCTAGTAAAAAGGTTTTAGACATTGATACTTTCTAAGCTTTTGGGGGACTGGATCTTATAGCACCATGATAGGCCATCTGTCATGGGATATGTCTTGAGTGTCCCTTAGCTTCTTCCATATTATTTTGTTTTTTTTAAATAATTTTTTAAAATTAATTTTAACATATAAATTATAAAATGTACCACAAAACCTATCACTTATACAATCCTTTTGGACTTCCATCAGCACCTCTGATGATCCACTGTTTTAACCACTTCTTATGCATTTCTTAACTTTATATTGCCTTTACATCTCTTAACAAATCATCCTCCCCCTTGTCCATTTTTACAATACTTCTAATAATACTCCTCACAAAACTTCTTGCAACCCTACAAACGTCATTCTTCCATATTATTTTGTTATGGTGTCTGCCAAAACACAATACCACATCCCAGGGAAAGGAACCCTTCTTGGGCTTGGGCAAAGTAAACATATCCTCATGCTCCACATTTCCCTGAAAGCCACATAAATATAAGATTCACACGTCTCACCTGATTTTTCGGCCTCCTCTCCCTTTTCTCTTTGTAATCTGCTTGCAATCAACAAATTTGCTTTGCATGCATCTGCCCTATTTCTTTTGCAGTCTCAGTCAAAGTGTTCAGATGCACATTAATCTCTCTCAGCTGTCCCTTCCATTGGAGTCATTAATTGCTTTCATGTTTCTTTTACTATTTCCCTCATGAAGAACAACCAAGCTGCACATTCACTGCAAGTTGTAGTCTCTTTCCTTTTACCTCTGAGCAACAGCAGCTTGAGCAGGCAACGTATTGGACTTGGCCTTAGACAAAGACTCCGTGTTCAGCCTGTCTTTCTCCTGCAGGTGGAAAAAATAGGAGAAATCCACCCGTTTTTGACAAGTTTGTTTTACTGACATTCCTTTATTTCAGAGACACATGCCCTGGGGAGATTAATTCCCTGAAGCTCCTGAATGATGGAAATGGTTCCAGGCACTGGAGCTCTGGAGTCAAACAGCCATTTTCTGCCTTGCTAAGCCACGTCCCCTTCTGAAAGCTGAAGATTTAGTTTTAAATGGTACCTAGTAATATCAGTATTTTTTTAGAACCCATAAATCTTGTCCTTTTGTTTTAGCCTTCAGGATGATATCCAATGAAGTTGTAGTGTAGATACTTGCCCATTGATTTCAGTGAATGTCTATTCAGAGTATAACTTTAGTCAACTAGCACCCTCAACATTTAAGTGGTGAGTTCATTAATGAAAATGCATTTTATGTTTATTCTGGAAAAAATGTAGGTCCTGTTCTTTCTTGAATAAACCTTATCTCAGTTAAAAACGTTTCCAATGTTTCTCTGGGGATTCAGAAGTTGCAGCCAAGGCCCTCCTTCTGTAACTGGGTAATATTTGAACATGCAAATAGGGAAGTTCTTGCATTAACTGCAAAAATGGCAGTTCACCTTCTGTCAGTGCTGCTGAAGTGAACTAAAAATGTATGTCACAAACAGAAATTGCCTTCTGCAGAAAGGCCTTTGTTATCTTGTACTACAAAATAATAGCAGAAATAATACATTTCTGAGTGCAACTGTTATGTTCCTGAAATATTTGATAAAATAGTTGCAGAAAGGCCTTTGTTATCTTGTACTACAGAATAATAGCAGAAATAATACATTTCTGAGTGCAACTGTTATGTTCCTGAAATATTTGATAAAATAGTAAGAACCACAATGAATAAAGTGCCAGTATGAAAATGGGCTAGCTTATTCTTGTTCTTGTATAGTAAATCATCACTAAGTGTTAGGGGTTGGCAGAACAAGACCAGGGACTCAGCTATATAGCTGCAAATAAAATGTTTTAAGTGTGTTGTAAAGTACAATATACAAATGTCACAATAGATGGCGATGATGAGCTATGACAAATTCAAAATATTTTTCCAAAACATTTTTTTAAAAAACATTTTCACAGCATTTTTTATGTGTGTGTAGATTCCACCCAGGATTTGGGTCCAAGGCACTGTTGTAATACTCTCCAGAGAACAACTCTAAAGAAAAGTTGTTAGTTATTCAAGATTGCCTTGAACAACAATTTTCTTTTCAGATATGATGTGCAGAAATAAGCAGAATATGAAACACTAGGATCTACATCAGTGATGACCAAACTTGGCCCTCCAGCTGTTTTGGGACCACAGTTCCCATCATCCCTGACCACTGGTCCTGTTAGCTAGGGATGATGGGAGTTGTAGTCCCAAAACAGCTGGAGTGCCAAGTTTGGCCATTACTGATCTACATAGTATCTCTGGCTTCTCTTTTATCTTTTTCTACCAAGGAGCACAGTTATTACTCCATAGGGAGAAACAAAGAAATTAGCGGCCCATTCAGTAATGTCACTCACTCATGGCTTCCTGCAAAGAACCTTAGAATCTGTAGTTTGTTTAGGGTGCTGAGAGTTGTTAAGAGACCCCCCCCCCCAGAGATACAATTCTCTGCACCCTTAACTAACTATAGTTCCCAGGATTCTTTGCAGAAAGCCATGACTGTTGTAGTGGTATAAGAGCGCTTTAAATGTATAGTGTGAATGCAACCTAAGACAAGCTATTTATCCTCACCTGTAGGTTTACACAGGAGCGTGTGCCTTTGAAAAGTCAGCAAGGTCCTCATTGCCCATTCTCCATGGTGCCATAGAATATAGTGGATGTCTTCTATTGCATAATTCTGTACACTTACGGAGCTAATGGTACAGTTTTGTACATCTGCTTCTGATGTTTTGAACTGGCTGAACTGCTAGGCTCCAATCTTAACTTCACATGCATGCAACTGGTGTGTGTTTTTAAACATCTCTTTCTCCCTCCTTTTGGAATAAATTGTTTTTTGGAAAGCCACCATCATCATCATTATAGCTTCTGCACCCAAATAACTCCCATACCATCACCTGTGAGGTTAATGATTGAGTGCATTTTTTCTTTGCACAAGTATTTATTGTTTGTTATGCTCTACCTCTGTCTCAGTAAGCATACAATCTTCTTATTTTTTTTTAACCAGAGGGCCTAGTAACAAGGCTTTCCTCTCACTGAGGTCTATAAATGTGTCTTTGTTCCTGGCATTCTGCACTCAAGCATAAAAAGACCCTCTCATCACAAGGCTCAAAAAAACACCAGTCTTTTAACTTTTGTACTGAGCCTTAGAGTTGCTGGATCTTCTTCCAAATTGTGCTCCCCCCCTTTCTCTCTGCTGCTCCCCTCAAAGGTTGCCTCCCTCTCAGTGTCATTGGCTGATCTGCTCTGATGTCACAATGGCTCTGTATTAACAAGAGTCATGGCCCCTTTAGCTACTAATCAACTTAGGTGCTGTGCTGCTGCAAAGCTCAATTCTAGCTAAGAAGATCCCTAGAGACTTTAGCATCTGAATTCTAATATCTACAAAAAATAATATGCATATTGGAAGTAAATACCATAAGAGCTATTTTTTTAATCCCTTTTCATTTTTCCTGTACTGTATAACAATAAAAAAATTACAATCTATAGAAGCCCTGTTTGTTTGGTGTTACTATATTCATCAAGAGAATGTGAAGAGTGATGCATTGCTCTATCTCAACCAATCAAGTCTCTCCAGGAAGGTTCTTGTGAATCTGGTGTTGCAGTCCCAGTTTTTGGCCATGAAATGAGGGTTTATTAATCCGGGATCCATGAATGGGCTTCAGAGGATCCATAAACTGGGCACACACATACACACAAGATTTTTCCAATGCATACATAAATTGTATGCAAAACTTTGTGTGTGTTTATGTGCACAGCTTTCTTCAGATTCTTGAAGGGGTCTGTGATCCCAAAAAAGGTAAAGAACCTCTACCACAGAATGAACCCATAACTCTGTCCTATGAAATCATCTTTCCTATTTGTTTGTCTCATCATTGCCTGTACTTTGAATGGAATGAGATTCAAACCCAATGTACACCTGCATACAAAGATCTCTACTTAAAACAGCTGCAGAAGCTTCCTGGAGCAAGGCTGGGTGGTTCTTTGTGATTTTAAGTCACTATTTTTCCTTTAAAGAGCAGTTTTTAAAATCCTATAGTAAGGGAGAAACACTTGTGAATATAATCAGATGAGGTCATTTTGTATTCAGGAAAGGTGATACAAACCGTCAGCACCTCGTTTTGTTCAAGAATAATATAAAATGCTTTGAAAGCTCAAAATATATTAAAAATTTAAGAAATTGTCCAGTAGCACCTCAGAGACCAACTAAGTTTGTTCTTGGTATAAGCTTTTGTGTGCATGCACACTTCTTCAGATACCGTGCATGCACACAAAAGCTTATACCAAGAACAAACTTAGTTGGTCTCTAAGGTACTACTGAACAATTTCTTTATTTTTTTATATATATATTTTGACTGCGTCAGACCAACACCTACCTGAATCTAGCTTTGAAAGCTGCAGTTCTGGCAGTGTCCTTAAAGTCATCTTAAAGATTTCTGAACTGTTTTCTAACTCCCCCACCACAAGATACACATTGCAAGAGGATTTCATTTTAAAACACTGTTCAGTTTCAAAGCCAAAAGAGTATTCTCAGATGCCTTAAAAGAGTAAAACAGCAATTCTATGCACCCATTTACATGAGATACAGTGGGATTTGTTGTTGTTGTTGTTGTTTAGTCGTTTAGTCGTGTCCAACTCTTCGTGACCCTATGGACCAGAGCAGACCAGAACAGTGGGATTTACTTTCAAGTAAACATGCATAGGATTTCACAGTACTTCATGAATGGCATCATTACTTCTGGTAAGCCAGACCTTACCCTTTCAGCAGATGCAAGCCTGTTTGCTGGCTTATAAAAAATCCTGCACTAATCAATTAACCTGAAAGGTACCACAGGACTCCACTGTGACCTACTGCTTCACATCTTCCAAGTGCATGTACTTCCCCTGCTTTTATTTATATCAATAATACTGAAAATAAATAAAATAGAGGCCTATTTCTGAGCCATTCAGACTTTGAGATCAGAGCAGCACACACATTTGGGAGACTTAGCGTGGATAATTCCAGGGTACGTTTCCAAGGAGGATTCTGTGAGGCATTTACATTCCAGTCCTTGGAATTATTACTCTCCCCTACCTTTGCTCTTGCAGCTCTGTTTTTCATCAGCAGGCCACTACACAGTATAGTAAATGTCTGTTGCTCCAGCAGGAAAACCTAAAAATAACATTGCTTCAACGAACATTTTATCTGAATACAACAAGAAAGGTTTAATGAAGTTTAGAGTTGCCATATATCTGGATTTTCCTGAAGATATACGAAATACTGCAGTCGGCAGCAGTGTCCAGGTGGAAATTGGGTAAATGTCCAGGAAAATCCGGATGTTCAGTGGCAGCCCAAAAAGCTCAACAACTTAGGCCAAACAGCAACAAAAGCTCAACAGCTTTTCTGTCCAGATTTTCACTGTTTGAAATATGGCAGTCCTGATGTAGTTAGGCTTCTGATCCTACACCCATATATGCACAGACTAAGTGACGGAAAGGGGCCACAAAGTTAACAAAGTCTACCCACTCCTACTCCAGAGCAGAATTCACTATAATTTGGAATTGTTCACACCAGCTCATTCATCTAGGGCCAGGAGGAGGAAGAGCAACTACTGTTGATCATCCTCGCCCAAGTGAGACCAGCACCGCCATACAACAGAAACCGCTCTCCACCCTGGGGCAGGAGACCAATTTTTCCTGCGGAGGAGAAGCCGGCAAAATGCCATATATGTGGCCAGGAAATAATATGTTTAAAGTGATGTAAGTACTGTAGGGCTCCAGGGGAAGCCAACACACATTTCCTTATTAGGCCCTGCATAACTAGGACAGTGGTTTTCAAACTTTCTGCCTTGACTTTCCATATCAAAAGACTACTGTAGAATTCAGCCAGGTCATCATGGAAACCCTGTGTGTTGTAGAGGATATTATAGGGTGCGCACACACACATGCTGAGCACCAGCGGGACCCTTTTGGTTCAGACGATGCCACTCCTCCCAAATTTAGCTTTGGGGTAGGAGTTGGGAGCGATGGGAAAGCTGCATTTCGGAAGATAGGAATCTGCTTTCTACCAAGTCAGCCTCTTCAGCCACCTAGCACAATCCACTACACTGACTAGCACCAGCTCTTTGCAAGAGGCTCTTCCCCCATCACCCACTGCCTGATATTTTCAGGACAGCAGCAAGGAACCTTTGGTCCTCCAGATGTTGCTGCACTACAAATCCCATCAGCCCAGCAAGCTGGCCAATGGCCAGGGTTGCTGGGCATTGTAGTTCAGCAGCATCTGGAGGACCAGCGGTTCCCCATGCCTGCTTTTGGAGAAGGTCCAAGGACTGAACCTGGGACTCTTGCCTGCACAGCATGTGCTGTATCACCTACTGAACTCTATGGCCTTTTCACTTTCAGGTAAATTTGTCTGTTGGTACTGATCTCATGGAGGAAGCTTCTGAACAGCTTCTTGAGAAGTCTTGCTAGAAAATCTCTGAACCAGAGGTTATGAACTAACCAAATGACAGTGGAAGGCAGGGAGTGGAATTTCTGTCCTGCTGGATGTATCCCCTTGCTGTATATTTAAAGTATCCTGAACTGGAAAGGAATATTACCTGCTAGGCAGAAATAGAAGGGATCTGAGTAGGGGAGAGGCCCTATATCAGGGGTCTGCAACCCGCGGCTCCGGAGCCGCATATGGCTCTTTTACACCTTTGCCGCGGCTCCGGGGCGGATACTAGCGAGGGGAGGAGGCGCATTGTGCGCCCCGACACTCCCCACTGTGGCAAGTGCTGTACTGGCTGTGACGTCGCATGGGGGCGGTGCGTGCGTTAGTCACGCACCGTCCAGACGTCACCTTCCCGCCCACTGTCAGATCGGAGGGCAGCGATGCGCATGCAATGGTTTTGCGGCTCCCAGTTTTTTCCCCCTTCGGAAACGGGTCCAAGTGGCTCTTTTTGTCTTAAAGGTTGCAGACCCCTGCCCTATACTGTAATCATGTAGCAACTTCCCCTCAATTCTGGTCTACACTGTTAAAGCTATTGCCTTACTGTGAGATACAAATTACTTTGGGTCTTCAGAGTTGTAGAGGCAAAATTCATTACGAGCAACAGATAAAATCTGACAAATCTTTGAAGCATTTTACATACTATTGACAAAAGAAGAAACAAGTCTGAAGCAAAGGTGATGTAGATAAGGTGCTATTTTTTTTTAATCAAATAACAATTGTTTTGGTTTTGAACAGTGTTCCTTGGCAAGGAAATGACTGGGCAACTTTTTAAGCTGCAACCTCTCTTGGGTTCAGTTCTTTGGGCCTGCAGACAACGTGTGCACTGTTACTTCACTTCAGCTCTGTGGGGCAGAAGATAAGCTTGACTGAGAATTCAGTGGAAGATAGAACTAGGATCTTTATGACAACTTGATTGGGTTATTTCTGAAGCTGCCATTCTGACTTTTTCTAGAAAATGGCTAGCCGCCCTTCTCTGGATCAAAAACCCATCTCTCCAGTCACACAGCTGCTTGTTGAACACCAGGTACCTCTTTGAGAGAAGATAGCTTAAAGCCTTCAGTCCCCTGCATGCTTGAGGATGTTTGCATGGATAGATGGCTTGACACACTCCACTTAGCTTTTATTAATGGGATCACTATGACCTTAGTGGCAGGGAAAACATTTGGTGAGTGTAGCTTCCACTTTTGAAAAGCAGCATTGTGGATGAAAACAACAACCCTCTGGAACCTCCTAGAATAGCTATTCAAGATCACTTGAATTATGTGGTTTATTATTACATTGTAACACCACATAGGAGGGCTAGGAATGGAGAAAACACAGAATAGAGATCTTTTGAAACAGCTTATTAAAAATTAGAACCAAGCTGGTTCAGGATTTCAGGCTTAGTTCCAATAAAGACTATTGGGTTCAGGTTGGAAAATTGCTGCTAAGCTTCAGTTTAACTTGTGAGTCATCAACATAATACGAATGCCCAAGATTTTGTGACCATTTCCATATGTTAAGTTGGAAGCCAACAACAGAGTAAAACAGCAAAATTCAATCCCGTCTCCGACACTCAAGTCAAAATGTGCAAGTCAAAATCCAGATTTGTCAGCCAAATTCCACAAGTTAGTCACAAGCAGAAGTGTTTTGCAGATGAAGCCCACTAGTAATAACTCATACTTAATTTCTTAAAACACAAAATAGCAGTCAATATCAGGAGCTGTAAGTTTGGCTCATGCCATCCATGGTGAGTCAGGTATATGACTGGTTTTTGAGCCTTTTAGCAGACTCTCCATGTGTGTGTTTCTGTGCATGCACATAACAAATTAATCTTTACCAACAAAGTGCCATTCAAAACCCGCAGTGTCTTCAGAGTACCTCTGTTAAAGACATCAATAAGTGGGGCAAGCAGAAGTCAAGGCAAAGTTGTAGGAGGTTAAGGGATGACGAAAGACAGCAGGACAATAAGGAAAATGAAACAACATTTACAGCTAACTGAACAGAACAGTCCTTTAGGACAGCGGGCTCTAGGTCAGGAATCAGAGACTGCATTTTATAAGGAGGGTCATGGGATTGTGACCAAGTCCCAGTGAGGTCCTTAATTCTCTTGTCCTGGATGCTTTTATAGATGCGGTATCATTTTAAATCATCCCTCTATCTAGGTAGAACTAGAATTTTTTATTTTTTTTTAAATGGCAGCTAGGATATTCAGGCCTCCAGTGCACATTAGAACTTTAGTCTGGTTTGATATATGAGCTTAGATCAGGGGTCAGCAAACTTTTTCATCAGGGGGCCAGTCCATTGTCCCTCAGACCTTGTGGGGACGGATGGACTATATTTTGAAAAATATAAATACTCTGCAAGCCAGTCCTGCAGCTGCCTCCGGACCTGGAGGAAGGTACTCTGCACGCGCTCAGGAGCGTGTTTCGGTGCCCCCCGTTCACCGGCCTTGTTGACGAGCAGCAGCCGCTCCGTCAGCCCGTCCCTGCAGAGCTCCCAGGTGGCGTGCACTATGTGCTGCGGCCCATGCATGTGGAGCGCCGGGCAGGTGGCACGCAGCTCACCCTCCAGCTGTTCCGGCGCGGCCGCCGAGCGCACCACCAGCAGGTGTGCTGAGCCGGGCACCAGGCGCGGGGCCAGCAGGCACGCCAAGCTCTGGCTGAAGCCCACGATGCGCCCGTCATGATGCCCATGGTGCAGCCCAGACCTGCTGCCCACCCGCCAGCCTCTCCGTCCATGGCTGCGCCTGGTTTACCTCAGCATGTGGGTGGCGAGGCTTCGGATTGGCTGCAGGAACTTCTTGCAGCCAATCTGCAGCTGTGCCAGCGTGGGGGAAGTCAGTCCCAGTGCGGTGAGGCATCTGCAGCTTCTTTTCAAGGAAATGCCATGCTGTACCAGTTTTGCTCAGCACAGGGCCTGACCAAACGGGCGGCAGGTTCCGTGGGCTGGATTTATGAGCCTGGTGGGCTGTATCCGGGCTCCGGACCGTAGTTTACTGACCCCTGGCTTAGACCAACAGAAAACAGCCTTTGCTGAAGGGTTTCCAAATTCTCCCAAGGGGCTTTCTCTGCTTTGTAACAATTAGAGAAGTAATATTGGGTTAAACCTCATCTGAAAAATGGTTTTTGCGGAAATGGGGACTCAAAGCTGACCACCTTATGGAAAAGTAAGAGACAATACTAATACTACAAACGTACTCCGGAAAGCCCATTTCAAGATCTGACCCCCTTTTCCCACTGTTTAATTTTCCCCACCACAATTTAATTTCCCCATCCCACAGATTTAAAGCTTTCTCATGTTACGTATGTTACATCATAGGGCATTTGTAAATGTAAAATTATGCAACAATCCCCTCTCTGCCTGTAAAGCCTTGTACCAACTCACTCTACAGTTTGAGCAACTAAAATATTCTCTTAGCTACCTACAAGAAGGTTCAAGCTTGAGTAGTAAATCTATGTGGATAGAAATCTAACAGATGGTGTATGTCTATACTATCTAGTAACTTAGATCCCAAGCTATTTGCCATGCACACACAAGGTAAGTCCCATTGAATTTGCTCCCAGGTAGAGAGGATTGTCGGCTTAATTATTTTCCCTCACTGGCTTGATTCAGGCATCTTAGGATACTTCGGTGGAAGAACAAAACAAAGCTAACAAATGACTAGTAAGTAAATACATAAATAAGGTAATAAAGTAAATAGAGCAAATTAACATTGTTTTAATATAGAACCTCAATACCATTCTACACCTGACCCAGGTAAGATGTTCCTGGTGTGCTCACACAGGGTGGCCAACTTTTGATATCATGGCTTTACTAATTAGGCCAGGAAAATACTGGCCAACTGGTACCAATAACTACATGGTGAACAGCATGAATATTTGAAGGGGAGATGCACATTTGCAAATAAATATGTAGAGACATATGGCCAAGCACAGCCCCCTGGTATATGGATTTATTTTTCATCCTCCAGTGACCTGGCTGTGCCAGCGTTTGCAGGGTTGTTCACCTCTTGCACTGAATGTGCTTACATGTTGTCTATAAAGGTAAAGGTAAAGGGACCCCTGCCCGAACGGGCCAGTCGTGTCCGACTCTGGGGTTGCGCGCCCATCTCGCTTAAGAGGCCGGGGGCCAGCGGTGTCCAAAGACACTTCCGGGTCACGTGGCCAGTGTGACAACCTGCATCTGGCGAGCCAGCACAGCACACGGAAACACTGTTTACCTTCCCGCTAATAAGCGGTCCCTATTTATCTACTTGCACCCGGGGGTGCTTTCGAACTGCTAGGTTGGCAGGCGCTGGGACTGAGCAACGGGAGCGCACCCCGCCGCGGGGATTCGAACCGCCAACCTGAGGTTTTACCCACAGCGACTGTACTCATGTTGGTTTTTAAAATACATTGCTATTTTGCAGATACACCAAAACATACCCATGAGCGAGGGTGCAGGAGCCTTCTGTATTTTACATCAGGATGCTTCAAAATTCAAAATCTAGAACATTGTGGACATTTAAGTGTGAATCTTATGATCTGATCTTTCCTTAAAAACTTCCTCAGAGAACACTCAACTTCTTCCAGACCAAGCACACAGATTAAGAGGTACACAGTACACATCCTTCTCTTGTGATACGGGGACCCCAAACATCAATTAATCTAAATCAAAAATATTTTGCCCACCTCATGGTTTGTGGATATACACAAATAAATTGTCTGCAGAGTATCAGAACATCCAAAAGCTGCCGTTGGCTCAAGTAGCAATTTTCTGGTTTTAATCAATCCATGAATGAGGAAGAGGGTGGTATGGATTTAGGAAATTGGACTCTAGGGAGATGTTTAAAGGCCCCAAATATGGAGATTACAAATTAAGCTCAGCAGATGGTACTTTTCCTCCAAGAGGGAGGAAGCAATTTGTAGCCACAAACATTGCCCAAATTTGAGGCTTTAAGTTAAACGGTGGCAACATACACCACCAATGCTTGCTTTTGAAGGGTGATGGTTGGGGTGGGGGGAGCTGGGGCAATAGAAAGCACAGTTTAAATGCTGCTAAAGAGAGAGAAATTAACATTTTCACAAACAGAAATATAAAGATTTTTTAAAATCAAAGGGAATTAATTTACTATTAATCTCGACTATTTGTGCTCTATTATCTGACAGTTGTGCAACCAATGAGAAACAGTTTTTCAAAGTAGCAAAGATGCTGGTGCTTATAAAATAGTGCCTTATATGGAGTCGGAAAACTGGCCAATTTAGGCCAGAGCTGGTGGTGGATCTGCTAGGCCATACACAGACGTCTTACTTCTAGAGATCCTTTTAATTGGGAGATTAAATCTGGGGCTGCTCAAGACAGTCCAAATGCATCACTGCATGACAGCTGCAGACTTTGATGTTTGCTTCCACCTTCTAACATTTCTTTCGGTTTCAGTTATAAAGGATATACCATTAGTATTAACTTTTGACAGAATGAACACAAAGTATACCTCATTTCCTAAGAGAAGCTTGCAAACCAACCTGCAGAAGACACTTTGTTAATTCAATTTCTTACAAAGACTCTTTAGTTGGCTTTCATATACATACGCTAAGGAAGTGACATGTTTAACACTCTTTTACAGATCTGAGAGTATGAGCTCACATGATCTTTGCTTTCCTTATAGGCCAGCATATTTTATGCTGCATTTCCTGCATTCTCTCAGTCACTTGTTAGACTGTCAGGGCATCTTCAACAAGTGCCCCAAACGCTATTCAGTAAAGGGCTCCAACAAGTTGGCCTTGCTATTATGAACTTTTTGTCTTCATGAACTAGATTTACCTGATTTGTTTTCAGCTAGCAGCTGTCATATACGTCTGCTAGATTAGCACTTGCTCCTATCAGAAGCCAATACGTAGAATGAAAACTTCTGTTTTTATTTGACAGCTTTATCCTATATCCTCAACACTACAGTGTTCCCAGGGCAGCTTATAATTAGAGATCTTTCCCCCATCCCCCAGGTATCTACAGTACTCATTTTCCCGAGCCTTTTCCGATTTTTCCAACGTGTTTTGAAAATTGAGTCCAGCAATTTTGGCCACAGTGCCCTGAAGTTACATTTATACCAACAAGTTGTAGTATGTGAGCCAGAAGGGACTGGATAAATAGTTCAGATATCATAGAATCTTGGAGTTGGAAGGGATCCAAGGGTCATCTAGTCTAACCCCCTGCAATGCAGGAATCTCAGCTAAAGCATCCATGACAGATGGCCATCCAACCTGTTTAAAAATCTCCAAGGAAGGAGAGTCCACCACCTCTCATTGTTGATATTCATATAGTTTGAAGAGTACCAATATATTTAGTAATATTATGAAAGTATAAGGCCAGATATAGATGCTATAGCCTGTTAAAAATAAATGTCTGATTTTTTTTAAAAAAAAATTGGATAGCCCCTCACAACAGCCCTGAGATCTACAGGTACAGGGTGGTCTACAAATAGAATTAATTAACAAGAACAGCCAACTTAAATGACCTTGATACACCTGTACCTTGCATACAAAACAGATAAGAACTTTATGTATTACTTTTACATTATGATAAAAACATACTCTCGTTTAGGAAAGGATTACGTTGTATCTCAGGTAGGAGCAATGCAAGAAGCCAGTAAAATTAAAAAGCTGACAGGGAAAGGGATTGGAGAAAATAAAGCACTAATTGGGCATGAGAGGAAAATGTAACAAATTGTGAATACAAAAGAATGCCAGAAGATTGGGATGAATATCAGTATTTGGGCGGTGGCTGTGCCTTACAAATTTGCTTAGCCAGATGTACCCAATGTGCTAGGTAAGAGTGCAAAACTAATAGCAAAATACATGATTCCTGGAAGATGGCGTTGGGAGTTTGAATCATGCGGCTATTGCAATGGAATTCTACCTCAATGTTATTTTGCTCAGTTTTTGTTATTCTGCTCTACAAGGAAATAAAGTTTCACGCCTTAGTTATCTCATAAACTTATCTTGAAACTCAATTACCATCTTGAAGTGCAACAATATCACTATCTTTTACAAATTACCAATGAGCTTACAGCCCAAAATGTCATTACAATGTTCCATCTAAGACCAAACAAGCTTAAGGGCTTCAACTATAGTAATGGGTCCTTTGACCTAGAATTGTGTGGTGGTCCTGGAAACACTCCTCTATTTGATATAAGCAGGGCTATTTATATGCTGCAATACTCTTGGCATGCAGAAAATGGTAGACAATGCAGAATTTAGCATAATTTTTAAAGAAAACTTCCTAGTCCTCGTGACTTTTAAGGTATGCTTGAAAATGTAGGGGTAATGCTTGCCAAAGTCTTAAAGCAGTATTTCCAAGGGTTGAGAATAGGGCTTCAAGTACCCAGTTTAGTTCAATGTCCATCTCCCATGTCTACCTAAGTTGGCATAATTATATCTTTTTTTAAAAAACCTACAAAGCTATGCAAAATGAACAAGGTTGTATAGCTGATGCAAGTTAAGAGAATTCAGTTTTTCTGGACACAGAATTTGGATTGCCTGAGTACAAAATTTTAATAGCATGGGATACACAAGTCCCTATATATAGGGAGGATAAATTACCCACTGGGTTCTCTCATTCAGACTGTAGTTGCCCTTGGATTTGAGCTCACATTGCAATCAATATGCAGACCCGCATGTTTTTTCTTGAAATTTTTATTCCAAAATCCACCCCATGAAACAAGGTCTCCCTTCAGAGGCTGGTATCTTCTCTTCCCCCTTTCACTTGTCTCTCATTCCTGTGGTAATATGTTTGAGGAAAGATTCTCTAAAACCATTATTGGCAAATGATTAGAAAATGAAAAAATCCCAACTAGCTCCCCTCCCTTTAGCCCCAAATATCCCCCAACCCTAAACATGTCAACCGAGAGAGCGCAAGACTTGGTTTCTTTTACCCTTAATGTTTACATTTAATTTTAAAGCACAACATTGGAGATTGACTCTAAGTTAGCAACAAAAAATATATATTTACAATTTCTTCAAAAAAACAAAAACAAAAGAACACAAAAGAACAACCAAACCCTTTTAGACAATAGTGACTTTCTTTAGGGAGATTTATTTAGGGAGCATGTTTTTGTTTTAAATCACTAAGTGATTTCATATATAATTTCTCTTTCCTTTATGTCATCACTTGCCCTCTGAGGTGGGGGCCAGTTTAGGCATTGAAGTATCACAATTTGCTTTGAAGTTTAAGCCACAGTCATTTGAGGGCCACATTTGAGAAGGCTGTAGGACAGCGAAGCCAATACCCCACCCAATCAGTCTGCTACTTGTTTTATCCCTCTTGCCGCAGGACGAGATTCTTCCCAGACTAATGCTCCTGACATGCCAACTTGCTGCATTTCAGCACTTCTCCGGCTGACCAATGCATATGGAGAGTTGTGAAGGTGCTCCCACTTTGGAAAAACAAAACAAAACACAAAATATCCAGAGCCTAGAGATCTCCGTGGGAGTTATCTGGGCTGATGCACTTGAACCTCCTATTTATGGCTATTCTCACCTTCCTCTTTTGAAAGAAAACAAAAGCAAGAGATTGATTCTACAATATTTTTTTTTCCACAGGAGCCAACACAACAAGGCAGAAGGTTTCCACTTCTAGAAGAAGATCAGTGGGCGTTTTCTGTAGAAAAATTCAATTTGCAGCAAAGCTCCTGTGTACTGAGGCACTCTGGAACTCATCACACTAGCATTGTCCTCTCGGCAAAGCAGCCTGCTCCTCATGTGGAAGTGAGGGGGAACCTCTGGGATTCAGTAGATCTAGATATTTATCCCCCACCCCCATCAGTGCAGGGGAAGCTGCTCTTCCCTGAGGCTCAGGTGCCGCAGCATTCAATGCAATCGGGCTGGGCAATTGAGAGAGCTATGGGGTGGATTCCTCCCCCTCCCTTATTGCTTCAGAAGCAGCGAGGGTGGATTGGGCTTTCCTCCAGATTCCTCCTTTCCCTTGCTGCGCAGACACTGGAGAGCTCTTTTTTGCCATGCGAGGCTCAGAGGGGGAGGCGGGGTGAAGGACAGTCTAATTTGTGCTATCGCTATGGGGAAGAGAGCAGAGTGCAAAGTGTGCATTCAAACCCTGACAAGCTCAGACAGCTGGAAGGAGTGTCCAGTCACTCGGGCAGGGGGAAATAAAATAGGGTTCCAAAATATTACCTTTCTTTCTAAAGTGCAAAAAGCTCTCTGCTGCCCAAGAGAGAAGTTCTTTGGACCGGCCATTCATTGCAAAGAAAGAGAGGCAGCTAATGGGGCATTGACCCGTCTCCCAGCTCAAGAGCCAACAGCTATGCACCTCAAGATGGAGGCATTTCTTCGTCGGCCAGCATCTCCCAAGAATGCTCGTTTCCACAGACTATGGGACAGAGACCACTTCCGCTGGTGTAAGAAATCCCACTAGGTGCCTCCCAAGCCTCCAAGCTCTGTTGCAGCTTTCCCTCTACAAATGCCGCCATATTTTCAGAGGATGAGCATGCTTGCTTAACTCCCCTTCTTGGGAAAGTTGACGGCAAGAACATGGTTCCCTCCGTATGAACACTTAGCCACCCCCGCTCTAGTCTCATGTTGGAAGGTGTCTGCAGGCTGACCTGGGGGCACATGGAGAGTCCCTTACCAGACAAGAGGCACTGCTGCTGTAGACATTACACTACTGCTCTGCGTAATCAGCCCAGAGCAGTTGCTGCCCGTTCAGCTGCTGAAGGGCAAGGAAAGAAAGCTTAGCAGAGTGTGGAAGGGCAGGAGAAGTGACTCCCAAGCCCAATGACATATTAAGAAATTGCATACCAAGACAGCAGGGAAACAAGGTGCAAAAGTGCACCTGTTCTACACCATCCAGGTCTGATCCTCCCCCCACAATCTGATGGGTAAGTATAATTGTTTTTTGTGGGATATAATGGTAGAGGGGGAAGGGTTGAGAAGAAAGGAAAGGGGCACGTCCCCCTTGAAAATGCTGCTACAAAACATCAAGTTAGAGCATGTAGCTGATGAGCAAGCACCCCACAAGAGCACCCGTCCAGCAATCTCGCCATTTCCTCAAATGCCTGGTGAGATTTTCTGGTCTGCAGAAGTCCCAAGGAGAGGAGGGACATTACAGTCACAGTCAGACAGGCATCTTCCCTGCCTGTGGATGTGGGGGAAACGGGGGAGGGGAGGAAAGGGTCTGCTCTCCAAGAGGGGTTTGTCTGGGATCTTTCCTTCTCTTCAGTCTGTGTGTGGCAAATCTCTAGCTGATTTTCTGGATCAGCTTTTCATCAGACAGGCAATAGAGGCTGTTGATTGACAGGTCTGAGATGAAGTGCTCACAGGCCTTGCGGGTGATCTGCTTGCAACCACGCAGGTCTATCAGGGTGACGTTAGAGATGCGCCGCAAGTACAGCAGGGACTGGTCTGTGAGCTTATTGCAGCCTGTGGAGAGGATGACAAGTGCCATTATTTGCATAATGCCAAGCGCCACAAAGGTGTTCAGAGAACAAATGCACTGGTATAAATACTCAGAAAATACAAAGTGTCCAGACTCTTACATTACACAAATGATTCTTCTGGTTTGCAAGTGTGATTCTTCTATTCAAACTCTGACTTAAGAGCACTTGCTTGTTTGAATACCAACACACCTCAACCTGATAAGCCTCACAACTTTTGACAGCTTAATATGAACAAGTCTGACTTTTGTATTGACAAGACACACATAGGCAGCCACTCTTTGTGAATCAGGCAACAGCGAACCATTAGACCCTTAGTAGCAGTTTCTTGTGCTAGAGACAGACAGAAAAGCTGGAACATGATTATTTCTCTTAAGGCTCATTTTCCATCTGGCATGATCTGTCAGCCTGTATTGCATATTGAGGTGGTATGTGTTTCTGCTACATAGGGATACAAGCTTCAAATATGTCACTACAAATACTTTTAAAGAAGACAGTATTGCAGTATATCCAGATCTGAATACTTGAAGATTAAGTGCAGCCTCAGATTACTATTTTGTTAACCCCACAAACAATGAGGGCTGCGTGGCGGGGGAGGCCTGTAAAAAAGGGAAATAACACCCGCCTCATCATGAGGCTGCTGGGACTAAATCCTTCATTTATCCCTCTGGTCTGGAGCAAAAACTTCTTGGATAAATTTAGATATATTTTCTCTTTCTTCCAGCAAAAGAGAAACCTCGGTGAGGCAAGAGGGCATATACAGCCTTTACATTAGGGGTAAACTTGTAAGGTGGGCGGAATTGCCCACCTGTCAAAATCCCTTGTGCAGCTGTGCCCAACAGCCAGCTGGCTGTTGGGTGGGGTGGGGTGAGGACCTCTGCACCAAGAACTGGCAAGCCCCTCACAGTGATGGAACAGACAGACAGCTGCCTGCTGGATCACTGCACAGGGCTTCCAAAGCTCCAGCTGAGGGGTGGTCAAGTCAAAGCCCACTTTCCCTTGCAAATGCACAATTGGGAGCACACCCTGGCAGCCACATCTCTACCTGCTGCACAGCTGAACCGCTGGTGGATCAAACACGGCCAACAGATCAGAGGTTTCCCACCCATTTTACACGGTCCACAGCCCTTAGTATGTCGGGGGAAACAATCAAAGATGCACAAACCTGCCATGTTGATTTCAGTGAGCGAGTTTCGCGTGGAAGACCCCACAGCTGTTAATAGGTTGGTTGACTGGTCCGTAAGGTGATTGCAGTGACTAAGATCAAGTCGTGAGAGCAGAGGCATGTGGCGAATGATGAGCCGGAGTGTGGCATCAGTTATGTCCAGCCCAGCCAACCGGAAGTCTATCATGTTACGGAGTTTGCTGCGATTGTCTTGGCCTGTAGGAAGATATGCAAGTAAGTTGGAAGGCACAGTCTCTTGTTTCTCTAGAGCATGCAAGTAGAAATTACACCCTCTGATCAGAATTGTTCCTTTTTAAGACCTGCATTGCATCCAACTCTTGTCAGCTTTCTCCCTTCCCCACGTCACTAGCAAGCACAACATACTGGTATATCCAGAAGGCAAAACATACTGGGTTTATCTGATGGAGGTGTGAGCAAGTCCCGAATCTGAGGGTCCTTGATTCCTACTGCCCACCGAAGATCAAGTGTCCTGAGAAGGGGGCAGGTGGAGGTACTGAGAGCAGACACTGCTGACCAGGAGCAGCCTGCCAAGATGAGGTCTTTGAGGCCTGTAGCACAGCAAAAGATGGAAAATATTAGTGCCTTCTACTTCAGAACAGTTATGTTTCATGCAGAGTTAACAGCATGGCACTACCCCCAATCCATCAGAGAGTAAAACAAAACCAATGATCTATTTTGAGCCCTCATTTCAGGTTAAGTAGGAGTGACTTCCCCACCCTAAGTTTAGGAGATGTATTTGGCCCCCAAGCCAATTTTTGAGGCTCGTCAAGACTCCACTGCAGAGCTTTCCAAACTTTTCATGTTGGTGACCAACTTTTTAGACATGCATCATTTTGTGAAACAGTAATTCAGTTTTACTAGCAAACCTGAGGTTAAACTAACCCCTTTCCTGCTCTGGGCAATCCACCAACCCCACGCACGCTCCTCCTCCCTCCAATGACAATAGGTAGATCACTGCCAGTTTTTTTATACTGAAAGTAGATCACAGTTTCTTGGGAGTTGGGTATGCCTGCAATAGAACTAATCTGTGCATTGAAAAGCACACAGAGCTGGAAGTTGAAGTCACTCTGCCATCTTCTGTCTTTATGCACTTTTCGGGGGGGGGGGAATGTAACCACTTTCACTACGAGTAAGCTGGGGTTCAGGTAGTGGGTGGCAGGGGGAAACTTCAAGGGTACCACTGCACTCACAGGCACCACAAAGTTGACCTGTATAGTGGAATATTCAGTTTAACTCAATAATGTTGAAACTAAAGCAAATAGTGAAGATGCACCGTCCCAGCTACCTAAAACACAAACCTGGTAGTCTGTTGATGAGCCAGGTGAGCTGTTTTCTGGAAATATTGGTCCAGCTGAGGTCAAGGCTGACTGGCTGCCTCCTGATTATGCCACCCAGTGCCAGGGGTGTGATGGACTTGTACCTGCTTAAGTCAATCTTCGTCCACAATCTCCTGTCACCACACCTAATTGAAGCACACTGTATTAGACTAGAAATACACCTTTCCACAAACTCTTTACACTTATTGGTTTCTGACCAATTATTTGTGGCAGGATCTTTTACTGAGAAGTACTTATGTAGGGACGCGGGTGGCACTGTGGGTTAGACCATAGAGCCTAGGACTTGCCGATCAGAAGGTCGGCGGTTCGAATCCCCACGACAGGGTGAGCTCCCGTTTGCTCGGTCCCTGTTCCTGCCAACCTAGCAGTTTGAAAGCATGTCAAAGTGCAAGTAGATAAAAAGGTACCGCTCTGGCGGGAAGGTAAACAGCGTTTCCATGTGCTGCTCTGGTTTGCCAGAAGCAGCTTGGTCATGCTGGCCACATGACCCAGCAGCTGTACGCTGGCTCCCTCAGCCAATAAAGCGAGATGAGCGCCGCAACCCGAGTCAGCCACGACTGGACCTAATGTTCAGGGATCCCTTTACCTTTAGTACTTATGTCTTTTGAAACCAAGGAGAGAAAACGCCCCCCTAGTCTATGATGGGTAGGTAACCCCAATTCTTTTCTCTTGGACTTAGTCAACTTCCCTCAGCCCTTCAACAGGTGTATCTGGTACAATATTGTGTTTCCTTTGAGACACTTAAATTTATTCTTTCCACAGGGATAATAGAAATATGGTTCTTGAAGATCACTGAAAAATAGTTAAAGTAACTGACTATGAAGGCTACTGCTAGATACACCTTCGAGACTATTCTTTTCCATCTATGAAGCTTTATAGAACCAAAGCACACTTTAACTGCTAGAAAACTACACATTATATATCTAACAAAGAAAATCGGAATTAAGGTAGTAGGATGTATATATGTTCACCTTCCTAATATCATCATCCTAGATCTTCTCTGTGTAAACATATTCAAGGTAGAGGGTATCCCACAAAATCTTATTTGGGAAATGAAAAACTTGCAAGACACTTTAAAGCTAATTCATTATTCGCAGTCGTAAACGAAAATCGGGTGGAAAAGAAAACTTTTGTTGATAATAAAAAACTTACAATATTTTCTAATTGATCCAAGACAAAAATTATTGCATTCCTTTGTGACTGAGAATTTATATTAAGGGATTCTACATCATCACCTTTTAAAAAATGTGTGCTTTTGAGAAGTTGTTGATGAATGAATAAAGTAATGTCTTTCTGATATGTATGTTTCTCTGACTCTCACACTTCTGGTCGGAATACACATGGGGTAAGACTGTCTTGCTGTAGGGGTAAGCAATGCCCATGTATTCTCCTTGGAGTCCTAAGCTTCTAATTCTGAAACACCTGAGATGCTATCCTATTTATTACATTTATACTTCACCCTTCCTCCCAAATGATCCCAGGGTGGCAACATTACTTCATACTTTGAAATCTGAGGGGCTCAACTACTGAGTTAAATATCTACTCCTCATAGTAGTAGGGCTCTTGCTGACCCTCGAGGGCTGGAATATTCCTCGTAAGTTATATCCAGATATGACATTTGCATATTAATATTGGCAAAAAAATTATAATCTGGCTTGTAAAAGGCTTCCTGAATTAGGAGGTTGCCATCTAAGTTTTTCTGTATCAGATTTAGGATGCCTCTGGTCTATCAGCAGAATATCCTTAAAGCTTTCAGCTTTGATTCTGTGTTCATTGCAGGTAACATGTCTTTTCTAATACAATTAATTGGCTGAGGCGGGATACTACGCTGGTAACTCTTAAGGCTAAGAGTTACATTTGTGTATATTGGCTGACTGAGAATGGCTATATCTTATCTGCTCTACCTCTCCACTGCGGAATTTTTTGAATTGGGCATGCTTCATTTTTCTGACTTTTAGCCCTTGAATCACTCTTCATCTTAGAAAGTTTTTGGGGGGTGGGGAGGCAAGGAATCTGAGGTTTTCTGCTCATGCTTGAAGACAGGTTCTCCTTAAAGATAGCAGCATTTAGGGAAACTGAAGCTGGGAGTATCTCTCCCTTTTTCAGAGATGGGCTTCTTAAGACATGGAGGGAGAAAGTATAATTCTCCCCAATTGTAAAATATGGTCATGTCCATCTGATGATTTTACATCTAATCTAGGTCCAATGGTTATATAGAATAAGTATAGAACTAGCAACTCGGGTGCACAGAGTTGCTTAAGCAAGTTCTTAGGATTTAATAGCCTCAGGACATCATTTTGATTCCTATTGGTTACACACAGCTTTACCAGAAAGGAGCAACACATGGAGTTTGGTCAGACGATACCCAAATGATGAAAGACTACTAGGATAACTATCTAAGAATGGCTGCACTAGATCAGATCAAGATCCCTCTACCCCATTTTGTTTTCAGCAGTGACTAGGCATGGGAACTCAAAAGCAAGATAAGAATGAGAAATCAAAAGCTTCTTTGTCTACAACATTTTCCTGGTACTTAGACATTATACTGGTGCTGAAGGTGGAGATTCAATTTTTAGTAACTGTTACAATCCACCAACAGCCTTGTGTAATCCTCTTTAAAAGCCACCTGAGCTTGCAACTAACACTACATCCTGTGACATGAATTCCACAAGTTTATGCACTGTATTATTAAATACAGTTGCTTTCTGCCTTCTGCCCAAATTGCCCCTTTTACATTTGCATATTACATATAAATTTGCAAGATGTAGTCCAGCACACAGAATTGGATCCAAGAGGCTCGGGGGTTTAATAAAAACATTCTGAAAAAGAGAGAACTACTATTAAAATAGGCAGTTCTGCAGTCACTTACCATTTGTACCAGGTTTTGCATACACGCATACATTCACAAAGCTCCTTGCGAGTGAGATAACGGAAGACAGACATCCACACCTCTTTTTGCATCCAGATTTCCTCACTATCTGGAGCCCTGCCTCCTTGGCCATTCAGTCTGGCTGCCCCACTCTCCTCTGCACTTTCCTCTTCCTCCTCTGCACTTTCCTCCTCCTCTTCATCCTCAGCTGCTTCTTCATCTCCACCCCGCTGGGGTGCTCTGGCTGAACTTTGGCGCATGACCACACGAGGAGAGTGCCGCAGATTAGTGGAGGAGGCAGTGATTGCCTGCAGCTTGGGCACAATGGAAGTGCCATGCATGTCTTTGGTAGGTCTTTGTAATGTGACTGTAAGATAGGAACCATGGAGCTTGGCCTTTTCTACTTCTGACAGCTCTTTCTTGCCACTAGGGTTGTTCTCTTTTTCCCGCACCACTGTGCGCTCTGTGCCTTGCAGCCGAAGTAGCTGGCGTCTCTTAAAGCGTTCATCCCGGCTGGGCCCGTGATGGTCACTAGGACCGGCCCCCGGAGAGGACCGTGTCACTATGCTTCGTGGTGACACAGGGTCATGTATTAGCTGCAGCATTGGGGTAGGCGAATGTGGTGGTGGAGTCAAAGGTTCCTCACAGCTTCGCAAAGGACGCAGAACTTTGGCTTGGACTGTGTCATCATCGCCATCATCCATTTTCCGCTTCTGCAAAGCGAGTGGCAACAAGTTACCATTGTAAAGACCAAAACAGGAGGGAGTTAAATTTTGAAATTTATATGGTAGAATGCATTCCATTTAAAAGTAAAATGCATCAGGGTGGGTGATGCTCATTATTATAAGCTCTTTTACTTTCACACTGGTGTCAGTGAAGGAAGTGAAATTTACACTCTTCGCTGTCATTCCATTTTTCCCAATAGCCAACTCTATTAAAGTGCAGGACACCAGCATTTAAAACTGTGCTTGCTCTCCATTTGCTTCTGGACACAATGTGAAGTGCTTGTTTTGGCCTATAAAGCTCTAAGCAGCTTGGGTCGCTTAAGTATACTTCACACAGAAGCCAGCTTCCCCAGACCCACTACTGAGATAAACATGGACAGCCCTGCTCTCAATCTCATCTCCAAAAAATGATACGAAAAGAACAGTGTATCCAGCTTTATTGGCATTTAGAAGGCAAGCTTAAAAACAAAACCAAACAAACAAAAAATGAACGTGCTTCTGTATCTTTAGGGCTGATAAAAGTATTTATGGGGTTGATTTAAAGGAAAGCAAGACAAAACTTTAAAATAAATTTAGCATGTCTTCATTTTCTTAGTTAATAAACACTATTACAGTCCTAACGTAAATAAGCTCTTCTAAAATAGTGATGGCAATGGCTTTACTAATTTTCCTACTTCAGAGATTTTAGGTTAGAAACATTGGATTGGAGAGTAATTCAGCTAAGTTTCACCCTGAACAGATCTATTGAAATTAACAAACCTAACTTTGAAATTAATGAACTTGACTAAGTTAGGTCCATTAATTTCACCAAGTCTATTCTGAGTAAAACTGAGTTGAATGCCACCCATTAATTCCCCTTTGTCTAGTCAATACAGTGTCCTGCTGGTGTTTGACTACAGTTCCCCGCATCCTTGACCACTGGCCACGCTGACTGGGGTTGATGGATGTTCAAAAACATATGGATCATATGCCTGATCTAGTTGGTATGTTAAAAGATCAGATAAAAGAACTGTCAATTTTCACCACTCCTGTAGACAAATGAACTTGCAGAACCCAAGGAAGAACACAAACTGGGCTAACCTACATGCCACTTTTCTCTTAAAAAAACTCTTTAGGATGATACCATTGTTGAACTTTAGTTTATGGATTAGCTACAGCAAAGGGACAGGAAACAAAGTTTACAGTGATACAGATCAAAGACAATGTTACTCTACCACTGCAGAAGATGTCTGAAAGAAATGTTTAATGCATTATTAAAATTGCAGCTCTTTCCAAGTTGTATCCCTTTGTAAACCTCAGGCTTATCCTCTTCCCTTTTAAGCAAATTTTACATAAAATGCAGCAGCTGCACACAATCTATTGACATCAGGGTCTACATATGTAATGCAATCACATTCTTGTCACTACATATGAACACAGACTTTTCTGGCATTTATAGTTAAGCTGAATTCCTAAAATAATTGTTGAAAGCCAATGGGAGCCTGCACTGACATGAATGGAAATGATCATCATCCCCACGGAGTCTCAAGTCCTTGGAGGAAGTATTCTCTATGTATGGCACCTACTGTCTCAAAGCAAAGTTTTCTGAAAGCAATATATCAGGGTAGCCATATTACTGTACAATTCTACAGATGATGACTCAAAAGTAAACTCCAATGAGTTCAATGGGGTTCACTTCCAGGCAAATAAAAATAGGACACCAGTCCTAATCATGACGGAGTTCCTCCCCACACTGGTCTCCTAAAACCAAAATGACAGAAGAACTACTTTGCTTTCTGTATCAGTAAAAAAAAGTGAACAGTGTGGTGTTTTTGAAGAGACAGATTATTGCAACAAGGTTACATGAGACGAGATAGTGGTGATGCTGTGGTTAGGAAGTTAAAGGCTGTCTTTGGCCCTTTGTTAGTACCGTGTTTTTCCATGTACCATATTGGCCTGAATATAAGCTGCCCTTTTGTTTCCAAATTCCGACCGTGAAAACTTAAAGTGCGGCATGACCTTACAAAAATTGGCTTTTACGATATCGCTATTGAAACAGATATACGGTAAAACAGAACGGGGGTGAGTGCCTGTGGAATTTTAAGGATATTGTCTCTCCCCCCCCCCAATTTTAAAGGTGCAGCTTATATTAGGGTGCGGCTTATATTCAGGCCAATACAGTATAAGACGCCACCATGCATAAAACAACCCCTATTTTCTTGAACACAAAATTAAGAAATTGGGCCTGAGCCCAGGCCACTTGCACCAGAGCCCGATCCCAGGCCACCCCACCGGAGCCAGAGCACATTCACCATCCGTGTATAAGACGACCCCCAGTTTTTGACTCAAAACAATTAGCCAAAAAGATGGACTTATATATGGAAAAATACGGTAAATTGAATCCATCTTACTTAATTTTCCTTGCTTCCCACCAGTAAAAACACACACAACCATTTTCAATAATGGGGCTAGCAAAGTAGAGAGGTGATCTGAGTATATTTTTGGATGATTTAATTAGGGTCCATTAAAAAGAATAGTGTGTGGGGAGAGTCTCCTTTCTCTTCCTTACCTAACTGGGCTATAAACTTATAGCCATTTATCTGGGAGTAAGTCCCATTGAACTTAATGGGACCTCTCAGTAGAAAATATGCCCGGCTAGTAGTCAAACAAAAAATTTAGTCTAGAAAATAATTAGGTAGCAATATACTGCATGAAAGCTTGCAATTTTACAATTACTTAAAGTACGTATATAGGTAGCAGGTTGTCAGCTTATGGGTAGGCAAAAGGTCCCAACCTACATACAGTGAGTGTACTGGGCCCGGAAAATCCTACTAGCATTCCAGAGCACCTGCAAGTGAAATTACTGGAAGTACTGTCTCTCTTCCCAGATGACTTCCTTGAAGGGCATGCCGGGCCCATACCATTTGAATCCATTCATTTGGCTATAGTATGAACTCTGTTCCAAACTGCCCTCACGTTAGCTACATTAAGGTTGAAGAAATTGGACTTTGTCACTTAGTGAAAGCTGATGGGTTATGTAGATCTAATAAAATGTCACCAAGCTGCAGAATACAAGTGAGAACACTAGATGCACACATGCACCCAACTTTGAAGAGAAGTAGCTGATGTGAGGAACGAGTCAATTGTTATACTAGACTTGAACCATGCAGTGTTTATTTGTATCAGCATCTTAATTTCCCTATTCAAGAATGTGCTGTTAGATTCAATTTTCAAACAGATGTTAAGGGAAGGGTTCAGCCAATTTCTTCACTCTGCTAAGCTATGGCTTATTTAAAAGCAGATCTCCATCACAAAACATGTAGAAGAAACAGGCCGCTGACTGCCATGGTCCAAGTTCCCCAAGGCTGGAATGAAGTGCTGCAGGGCACTATTCTAACAGAATGCCAGATCGTAATAACTCCTGTGATGGTAATAAGAGATTACCAGTCCCTTGCCCCCACCCCTGCTTGCCTTCACTGGGATGCTCTTTGCTGGGGCAGCAGGCACAACTCTATGCAGGATCTTGCAATTGTATTTCTCCCAGGGCAGTCTTGTCAGTTTCTGCCATTGATAACATGTCCACTGCTTGGTTGATGGAAGTTGATTTTGCTGCCCTTCCAGGAACTGTTTCTCCAGCAAGATGTTACAGTTCATGTGCCGATGAGCTCTCTGTAGATGCCAAGAAGGTGGCGGTGGAAAAGCTGTAAAGTGGCTCCATCATGTAGTTAACATTGTATGGGGTCACCAGTGCTCATTTCCAGGTGGAACTCTTTTACTCAACAGAAGAAGCTCTCCTAGTGCTCACCTCACACTTGTGTGGTTCCTACTAAGCCTTCCCAAAGTGCACGAGGATAAACACCCAGAATACCCAAAGAACCTTCTCTCCCCAATGCCTTAGGTACAGGCTAGGTGCAAACAGTGTGCCTCTTCGTTACCCAAGAGTAGCATGCAACACAGAAGGCATGTGCCAATGTTTGAAAATCCATTTCTTACCTGGCCTTTCTCCGACTCATCTCCCTTGTAGCACTTCGGACACTCCCAGCAGTTGGGCAATTCATCATTCAGTAGCCCTTCCCCATCCATCTGCAGAGGAAAAATACACAAAGGTGATTTCCAGCAATGCATCTGTTCCTGACACTCCTGTATTGAGATGAGTCAAGTAAACCTTCTTACCTGTAGACAACCTGGGTGAACAATCTCATTGCAGATGCAGCACTCCATTAGCTTCTTCTCAAAGTCCTGCGAATCCTCATTCTTATCTACCTCCCCACAAAGTGAACATGTAACAGAGTGAGGCAGTCTGGGCTACAAAGCAAACGAAGAGTGAAACAGGAAGTTATACCACAGGCTTGCTTCTAAGCTTCAGGGGATGGTTATCCCACTTCCCCAACCCCATTTGCCTCTATAGAATGCACTGAACGACATTAACTACTTTCCAGTGCCAACCACATTTGTTCCCAAGGCTTTTCAATCAACCTCATTAGTTGCTCTTTTGCCTTTCGAGATGTACGACAGGTTTCATCCCCTACTGTTAGAACCTTCCACAGAGATAAGCAATTTCCCCACCCAATATACCACAGGACTCACCGCCAAGCACTGCCGTAGTACACAGGACTGCTTCATACGACCAGGCCCCCCAAACTTCTTCATATCCCTGCAGTAGTGGCACATGCCACATTCACCTTGCAAGCAGGCCTTGCATTTACGACATCGCACCCGCCTTCTGCGGGCACCAGACACTATAGGAGAGACTGTAGGTCTCACAGTTGCTGGCCGTGGCGCGGGTTTCATGGTGTGTGGCTTGGTGATAGGGATGGTAGGTAATCTTAACTTTGGCCGAGCCTGAAGCTTGAGCTGTCATTGGTGGGGGGGAAAAGACAGCAAGAAATTAGGAGGCTCATATAATCAACCAAGGAAACAATAATCTGTCAGAAGAGATCCAGATGACAGATGCATGAAGTTTAAAGTCAGGAATTTGGAACAGAATAGATTGTGTATGGAAAGAATTAGGACTTTGATCTCAGAGGCACAATGTCTACATAATGAACTTGTGTTTTATCATTAACCAATTCTGGATTTGGGCAATCACATCTCCTAGAAAGTGAAGCCATGATCATGATCCTCCTGGTTTCTTTATCCTCATATTTATACTGCACTTCATTTTAATACCTGTGATTTGTGCCCAGACCTACTCTGCTACTGCCCTTATACCTTATACTGGTGTAAGGTTCTTTGGTTTAAATTATGAGGCTATTCTTGTCAACTGACAACACTTTCCAGCACAGAACTCCTCTTCCCTCCACCAAGTCTCCAAGCTATTTGAGTTAAGTCATGGATCCATTATTTACCTTATCCCTCTTTGGCCACTGGACAATAGGAATTCCAGTAAGTGCCAGTTTGGGATCGCTGTTTGCGTACTCCTCCAGCAGCAGCTATAGCAGGGTTAAGAAAATAAAAATCAGTTTTTATACTTATATGGTATTTCAGAATAATTCAGTACATTCTCTTAGTAATCCTAACAACAATTCTGGAAGGCAGATCAGTGTTCTTGTCCCCATGTTACCGATGAGGGTCAAGAGATGTGGTTTGCCTAAGGATACCTAACAGAGATTAGATTTGACCAGAGACCCCTTGCCTCATGACTCACACATTTAAAGTCATTGGGTTAGGGAAAATAAAATGATGAAACATGATCAGAAATGAAGGTCTGGGTTAAGTGTGGTCTCTTCCACAATGTAGCAAAGCCCTCCACCCAACCAGTATGTCCATGTTTATCCCAGAAGTTACACTTCTCAAAACAGCACAGAAACACAGTATTCTCAGCCATACTGTTTTCTATCTCACACATGGGCTAGATAATTTCTATGCCACCAACCAATGACCAGGTTCTAGCAAATGTGGTTGCCATCCTGAGACAGCATCTCCTCCCGCCTGGCTCTTTTAGCCTTGTTCCTGATTCTGTCGTCCACCTTACCCACCCACTCTTGACTGCCATTTCAGATGTGCTTTATTTACTTGAGGTTACTATGGTTACGTTGCTGGCATCCCCGTGTGCAGGGAGTGCAGTGTCTCTAGCTGCCAAGAGGCAAAGAACACTGCATGGGCTGGGCTCACTCTCCCTGGCACTTACCAGAGAAAGGGGATTCATATTCCCATCTGAAGCTGCCTATACAGGGAAGTTGCTTTCCAGTAGGACAGATTAATTTAAAGTCACCAAGATAGGTGTCCAATTCACAACGACAATTTAAAATGAAGTTTCCAACTGTCCAATTAATGGTTCCTAAATAAGCAATGTTAATTGGTTGCTACAAACAATTAAAAATCTGTCTACAACTAAATACAGCAAGTCTTCTTATTACCCAGGGAACGCAGTCCAAAATACCTGGTCATGCAGCATACATGCTTTTTCTGCTGCAAACTGTATCTGCTTAAAGAAATGCATTATGATAAAGAATGTTTGGCTCTCTACCAGCATGTAAGAACACCAAGCAAAATCATTTAAGATTAAATGTCCAGAGCTTTCCATAATCAAGGGCTAGTAATTAATCAGCCAGAATGTTTATTAATGCCTGACTTTTTTTCACATTTTTTAACTGGATCATTCTTTTACATAGAACAGCACCTCAATTTAAGTATAGGGCGGAGGGAGAAAGCAACTCAATGTGTTTGACTCAGGATAGATGCTAATATAATATTTATCTACCTACTGAAAAGCAAGTCCACAAAATGCAATGGGGTCTACTCTCAAGTAAATGGGTGTGGGATTGCAGTTTAAATGTTTGTTAAGTAACTGGATTTTCCAAAAAATAAAAAACTTAAATCCGGTTTAATTTAAAAAGAAGCACCACCAGTTTTTATCCACTCCGCTTTACAGCTGCTTCTCCACCCTTCAAGAGAAGGTTGTGGGTGGAAGGAAGTGGCTGTTCGGCTAGCCCAGCCGAATGTGCAGTCCCCAAGCCCCACCCTCTCCCTTACAGCGTCTACTTATGAGGAAAGGTCGGCATTTGAGGGCATGAAGACACATGCTTCACGGGGCAGAAGGGGAAACGCACTATATGCATCAGCCTGGGGCACTTTAGGGGTGGCTGCACAGACGTGCAAACTCCGGGGGTGGGAACACCCAGCTTCACCGACTCACGCGGATATTAGGAAAGAGTAGCCCCCACCCCGCCCCAAGAGTAAGAAGAAGTCTATCACTGATCCGAAGTAGAAAACGTGCCGTTCCCAAACACCCAAAGAATGCAAACCAACTTGGGAAGGGAAGACGCGGGCTCCGACCCTGTAACCGATAAAAGGGAGTCCCTGCATTCCAAGCTTGTGATCTCCTCCCATGGAAAGTACCCTTCAAACAAATGAGGAGGAACCGTGGGAGGGGAGTCCCGGGTGATCCTATCCTGCATGGATGTGGGAAGCAGCTCTCTCCCTCCCCCACCCGCCGGCGGAACCCTGCTGAAACCCCCCAGGTTCGTGTCTGCCTGACCTTGCGTGCTTCGTTCCACGGAAGGTGCCGAGAGTCTCGGAGGAAGTTTCCGAGTCCCTTTGTTTTCTATTCTGCCAAGCTGCAGGGCTTCGGTTTCGATCCTCCCCCCACTATGTAATTTTAACTCCAGCACAATCCTCCTCCTTTACACGAGCGGCTCAGGAAGCGCGATCCCAACTCCGCCAGCACCAGCGGCTGCCCGGCGCCAGCAGCATGTTCCTTCCAGAACCCTTCAGCGGAAGCTTCCTGCGCCCGCAAACAATGCTGCTGCGTCACCCACATGCAGTTCCCAGCAATGCTTTGCAACGGAAGATGGCAGAAGAGAAAGGAGACCGAGAAAACCAAGCCAGGAACAGGACGGCAAAGCCGTTCTGCTGCAGAGTTGGGAGGGGGCCGGGCCAAGCCGCTGGCTGCTTGCTGATTGGTCGAGGCGGCAGCCGAGGCAGCCTCTCTCCCCCTCCCCCACCACTACTGCAATTGGAGAATCCGGGGCCAGCACCCGAGGGCTGGCTGGGGCAGACTTTATAGAGAACAGCACAGAAAGCTTTTCACCCGCTCGGTGCGCTGCAGCTACGTCCCCGTTTTCCAGTATCCCCCACCTCGCTATGCCCTCAGAAGCAACTGCCGCTTAACGACGACGCCCTCTCAACACCCACAATGACGTTTTAACTCCGAAGAAGGCACATGCCCAAGGTGTCCATGCCGTTCCTCATCAGAGAGGTGGAAATAGATACTTCGTTGCAACATATTAACCCCCCTAGCTATTCAATCTATTTGAAATCTTAAGACCGCCTCCTCCAACCTAGACACCGCAACGTTCTATTTAAGCAAGACGTCTGAATTACCCTCTTCAATGCTGCAAGATCTCTCTCTAACACACACACACACCCAACATTTTTGTAGGTTTCAGAATTCAACGTGTTAGCAAACTTGAGACGGCAACTAGCAACGATAAGCAGGTGCTAGACCAGTCAAACAGGTATTACTAGGTGAACTGGCATAACTGACTAGTTGAGTACTATCTGGTTATAACCTCCACCTACACATTAAAAGCTGAAATAAAAGTAGTTAAGCTAGATGTCAAGTATTTGTAAAGCTTCTACCACAAATAGTAGAATGCTAGAGCAAATATGCACTAGGTTACAAGCTCTCTGGGTCTTAAAAGTGCCAGTCTCAGACGTTAAAAGTGCTCACATTCACAGCTGCAATCTTCTGTGTATCACAGCTGCCAAATGGTACATCACCTTGCACCATGCCAATATGAAATATACATATATTCTTTCATATGCCTTTCCCTTCCATTTTATCCTTAAGGCCAGTTTGGAGCAGATTTCAGAGCCTACATAAATGAAATGTATGATAGGAATAGCTGTGGAACAGTCTCCCATGAGAGGTGAAAGGCTCTCCTTTCTTAGAGGTTTTTAAGCAGAAGTTGGATGGACATCTGTTATATATGATCTAGTTGAGATTCCTGCATTGCACGGGGTTGAACTGGATGCCCTCAGGGACCCTTCCCGCTCTACAATTTTATGATTCTGTGAATCTATAAAATGGTGTCCAAGCGCATTTATCTTCAAAATGGTGTTCAAGTGCATCTACATTCAGAATCAGAGTCCAGCTCCTGTGTAATTTGCTGGCAAGATCTGAAGTTTATACATGTGTGCACTGCTTATATGTGATGATATTTGCATGTATTTATACTTTGGAATTAAATACGCAAGTACAAAGGGTACCTTACCTACAAAGGGTAATGTATGAAGTGGCCCCAAGTCTCATAAGTATTAGTAATTGATTGAGTTCAAGGGGAATTCAGTATAGAAGCTATGGAGAAGTGAAATGCCTGTACATAGTATTGCCAATGAAAATGTTCAACACTGTTCTTGCTCTAGTCTAGACATTGCTTTAGCATGCTACAGAATTGTCATAAATGCACAAGATCAAGAAAGCAATTTTTTTTTTTTACAGTCAGGTCTCAATTTTCTTACTTCCGGTGGCATTTTGAAACAGGTTGATGGGTTTCTGTAACAAAGCAAACTGAAGCAAAGTGAAAAGAAGTGAAACAGTGCTGCCATGTGAGCACACAAGCTATCTGTACTAGGCTTTTTATGACCCCAGTCAAGTTTGAGTGCTCCCTTTTCATTGGAAACCTTGGGGTTAATCACCTTTTTTCTACAGATAGGTCAGACAACATAGGCATGTACTATAGTGAAACGAAAGGTGAATAAGTGACAGCTTTTATTCCCTCCAGGGAGGTAAGCAGCTCATGGTTCTACCATTTTTAGCCTTATCTATTTCTTCCAGCAAGTCTCCAATAAAGAGAACAGCATTCAATCCTGATGCCTTTTGAGTTGGATAAAGCTGTTTTGCTAGCCCATTTGGCCAAGTAAGCCCATCTTTTCCTCAATGCCACCACACCTGATAGAGAAGCGCAAGGAGAAAGAAGAGTGTGTAAGCAGACCAAAGGAAGAAGATACTTATTAAAAAATGAAGCTGTGGATATACTGCTTGCCTTCTTCTTTCTTGAACCCTTGGACAGATAGCGATTACTGCCACTTCATCTGTCAAGTTCTTTTGTGCATACTTTTGGAAATTTTGATTTAGTGAGATGTTTATGCAAGTGTGTTAGGTGTGTGTACACCTTTCTGGTACCATGGAAACAAACAAGGTCAGGAACAAATCATAGCCAAAGAAGCCATAACAAGAGGGCCAATTTTCAAGAGAGCTTTTCAGAGCCATTTTCAAAGCACCTCATTACCATTCAGGGATTCACACAGAGAAAGCGACAAGAGGCCATAAAATTACACTGTTGATCAACGTGCATTGTTTCATATGGATAAAGCTTGGGAGGGCAAGTCTTTCTTCAACTCCTAATGGCATGAAACAACTTCGTATGGCCCAGGACCAGAAGTGAAGCACTAGCAAAAAATGTAATCCAGTTGATGACTGTGCTCACACACTACGGAGGTGGCAGAGCCCAACACACCCACAGAGCCATGCTAGATAACTTTACAATATTAACAGATGCATAAGCAGCTGATCAACTCTAATAGAGAAACTGGCCACAGCAACAAATCACTTAGGCTTGCACACGGCCCATGTAAACAAACATTGGTGGGTTGTCACAGGTGCTGGGGAAAAAGTGCTACAAACAAAAATGAGGTAACTCTTGACTTTACAACATACCTTAACATCTGCAATAAGGGCGTCCTCATCCTCTATGCCTGTGGGTACACACTTCTTGTGTAGGGGTAAAGACTCCAGCTTGTCTACAAGACAACGCAGACCTTCAAGCTCAAATTGGGTCAGATGCACCTTGTTGCCCTTATGAGGGCTGTTGCTATGAGTGTCCCAGGCTTGGCCATTGTGAGAGCCTCGACTGGACTCTGAGTCCATGGAGAGAGTTCTCTTGAGATCTGGCAAACTCCGACAGCCTTTATTTAGTTCTTCATAGTCTAGATTAGCACCATTGGCTACAGGGCTAGTGAGGACCGACCGCCTAGTGACAGGGCGGCGCGATTCCTTTTCTGCTGCTGCATCATCTTCATCCACAGTGCCTGACTCCAAGCCGCTTAACTCCATATCTGTATGTAAAGGGTAGAACAGTGATAACTGAGCAGCTCTGCCTGTGGAACAGCTTTGGAGAGAATTAAGGTGTTGCAGTATTTGTACTATTCACTCAGCCACCACAGCGGCCTGGGGAAAATGGAGTACAGCTCCCTAGCTGTTGTGCACACACTCTTGGCAAGAGTGAGCATGCAAGTGTATCAGTCAATACCCTGCTGTGTTTCAAAGTTGGGAAAATACAGCACACAGCAGCTGTGACCCATTTGCCACTTGCCTATCAATGGGGAACACAAACCACTACAAACTGTAGAAATATGTAATCTGTATTCTGGCATATTCCACCAATCTTGGAGAAAATGCTTAATTAAGAGGTTACTTTTGCTGAAGTCAGAAGGCATCAAAACAAGTGATTCTTTTTATTCTAATGTCAACCCAGATGAGAGTTTAGCTTGGAAGCAAAGTGTTTTTAGAAATTCACAGAAGAATGACAGCCAAATAACAGGGAAATAACTCTTACCCATGCTGAGTGACTCCTTCTGAAAGTCCTTGGTTAGGTGGGAACGGTTGGTGATGCAGAAGACATAGCGTTCTAGTACGTACCAGCACATTTCATAATAAAAGGGATAGCGAAATTTATTTGGAACCTGTCAATGTGTAAGAAGTGAGAAGGCTGAGTCTAGAAAATGCTACCAGTTGCACACCCTTGTAAACCATCCCATTACCATTCACTCCCTTTTAGGGAAATAAAAATACTACTTCTCCCCTCTCAATAATGAAGTTCATCAGTTAGTTTATTATTTACTGCTGAGTGAAGCACCCCCATTCCAACCAGAAAAGCTAATCAATTTCTCAAAGTTGCCAACCTTCAATTAAGTTATCTGTTTATGTCGCCTCTCTATCATCTGCCACGGATTGCTTCGGCTTCCTCAGATGCCTGACAGAGAAATACGTTCTCTCCTGATCGTCCAAACTGCTGCTGGCTACAAGGCTTACTATAGCTTTATGGGCTGATCTTGAAAACTTCATAGCCTGATACTCCATAGCTGCATGGCAATGAACAGTGGCAAAAGCAGCTGTAGAAACCTGCTGATTTGGGGAGTGAGGATTGGACTCAAACACTAGAGACTAACTGTGGGGCACTCAAATGCCAGAAACACAAAAGGTGGAATATGGTGGAATTTTCAGCCTATTGCATTGGTGATACAACCAACAAATCAAGGTGGGGGGTCTCTGTAGGCCACAAAAAACTTTACAGGGGCAATATGTGGTCCATGGGCTGATTATCCCTGCTATAGACACTCATTTAGATCTTCCCTTCCCTTCTACAAACAGAACAGCCTTTATTTATTCTTTATTTACCAAAATGTATATACTGCTTGATTGCAGTTAAACTTCTCAGTGGTTTGCAAGAAATATTAAAATTATCAATAAAAGCAGCCAAAACATTTAAAATTAACAGTAAAATAAAAGAGGTTTAAACATGTCCACATCTACGTGTCTGGATAGGCTTTCCTAAACAATTTCCTAAAAGCAGGCACTGACAAGAGTACAGTGAAGCCCCCACCTGATGTCAATAGGCACGGAATTCCAAAGTGTCGATGCCACCACACTAAAAGATAGAATTCTTACAACTGTGGAACAAATATTATGTGGCACCTGTAACAGTACCAGCTCAGACCCTGCTCTTTCTGTTGGTGAGAGCATCCCATAAATGGAACTCTGCTCGCAGGACACTCTGCCAGTGAAAGGAGATTCAGGATCCAAGCCTATATATGTTGTCAAAAATCTTTCCTCACCAAGGCTCCTAAGAAAATTACAAAGATGGGTCCTCTTATGGATTGAACAAGATAGCAGCGTCATAATAAACTGCCAGTTTTCACAGCAGAGGGGAAAAAATACTGCATATGCTCCCCAGAGATAAAAATTGCCTATTTCATTTACCAGTGAGCAAAGAAAATTCTGCGGGGAGCTAGTAGTATTGCTACTGAAATTCCTATGTTATTCAGGTTTGAAAACTTTTGGAAACCGCTTACCCGTGTGCGGTCTTCAATGCTGTAGATCCGCAGCTGCATAGGGATGTTGAAGCTGTGCAGAAAGTTACCCCCAAAGACCAGGGTGTCCATAGGAGTGTACACTGCATGGATCCAACCTGATAGCAAAAAGCCCATAAGTTAAGATTTTCTGATGTTGCATAATGGAGAACCTTGTGCTACTAAAGCTGATTTCTGTAGTATTCTAAGAGTTGTGCTTTCTGAAAAACAGGCCTGCTCTTAATCTCAGCTCCTGCTACTAAAAGCTACAAGATTCTTCCTCCTTTTCAGCAATGCGTGCCATCTTATTTTCAAAGGCAGGATCAAAAAGGAAACAATTCCAATTGACTTGGAAAAGGGAATACTGTTTTGGGGGTCTCTGATCTACTGTTTATTCTTCTCAAGTCCTTTCCCATACATAAGATTTGCCCATGTAGCTGACAGCCTCATTGGGTCTAAGGAGCAACAATAGTTAAAGCTCAAGACCACATGGCTAACAAACAAACTGCAAGAAATAACTCTTCTAATGCTTCAATGGACACATTTATTTTTGGCAACAGAAAATTAGTTTAAGCTCTGTTCACATTACCCTACCTGAGGGTATGACAAAGGTATAGCCTTGTTTGAGCTCAATACGCTGACAATTTGACACCCTGTCACCAAGAAAGATATCCCCTTGTTTTCCCGACAGCAGCCAGTTTTCATACAACTCCAGGTTCTGGGGAGTGGGTGGAATTAACCAAAAGACCTACAAGTGGAAAAAGATAGATTTAACAAACCTTCTCTTTTGAAAACCTACTGTTTGCTGAGATCCATTTGTTGCTTTGTTATATGAGCCAGACTTAAAAGAAACTCAAGAGCAGTGCTATATAAACCATGCAACAATTGGCCGACAAAGCCCACCTTCCCAAATAAAAGCACTTCACGCTTTACTCAGTAGCTTAGGTGCACTGGTGCTTACCCTGATAAATACATCAGTTGTGATGGGGGAAATTCAGCACTATCTGGCGTATATCCAAACATGCAGTGGAGGCTAACCATGGATCCTTGATTTTAAGTTCAGTTCTTGGCAGGGGTGGGAGATGGGGGAAAGAATGGGTCACTCCTTGAGACTGCAGCAAATGTTGCTGGAGCAACATGGACAAAAATAACTGAAGAGGTATATTAAACTACTTGTCCCAGAGTTGTCTCATCCTACCTTTCATCGGTGCCTTGTTGCATGCTGATTACTCTACCTAAAAACCTTCCCTCCCTAATTTTTTAGCACTCTTCCTCCAAGTAGTGGATCCTTAAGGTTAGGTTTTTGGCAAAATCTTTCAGCACTATCTGTCTTGTATGTACCACAGACTAACCTCCCCCTACATCTCTACTCTATAGCGCAGAACACATCATTTATTTTCTATATGTGCCTTCCTTGCTGCGAATGCGAACAGTTTAATGGCCAGCAGTATTCATTACCGTAAGAGGCAGCCTCAATATTTTGCATTATGTGGAAATTGCTTTTCATGTGTAGTATAGTACGCCTGGAGTGAGTGGTTAGTATTAACACACAAACTAAAATGAAACTTCAATTGCACAAACAGTGCACAGCCAACACTGCTCAAAAAAATGAGAGTCATTGCAGCAATAAGATGTGCCAAGAGCAGGCAATGCACAAATCAGAAGGTTAAAAACCCCAAATCATAATGAAGGCTGTGAGTTGGTGAATCTTTATGGCTTGCATTTTGTAGCAGTAACCACACTATGCTTTCAGTATTAAATGAATAGAACAGGAAGTTGCAATTACAATTCAGAATCAAGTAATTTATTTTCATGCCTACAGAGACAATTTCTACTTCAGCATTCAAGAGTTTTAACAAATTACCTGCCTTTTGTACTTATTTCCACCAAAGCAAAGGTTTGTTTATATAAAGTGAATGAGGACTATTTAGTAGTCACACTGACAGAATTAGAATTATTGGAGAGCTCAGCGTTGTAGTTTCCTCAAATTTCTTTAAAAAGTAAGAAGTTGTATGTACACAAACACTAACCACTCAAGTACACAGCACATGCCCTACCGAATATTATGAAATATAAGGTACCTAAACCACTTTGTTGTTTCTAAAAGTAATCCGTATGTGTAATCCTCAGCAATGCCTCAGTTTGTGAGAGAGACCAGATTAAGCTACTGATAATTTGTCTCTATGCCTTATTTGCAACAAAAACCAAGGAATACTTCTCTAAACTGGTGAAGCTAGAGAAACAAGTACCTGTTGTCTACAAAGAAGCAGAGGTGCCAAAAATTATGTTTCTGACTAGAGGGAGAAAAGGGTGGGTGGATGGAAACAAGTTTGGATAACATGGATTGTCTAGAAATGTGTGTTTAAATGTTCACAGCTTTTGAATGTTTTCACAGACAAGCTTGTAATTCTCTCTCTCTCTCTCTGTGTGTGTGTCCATGCACACACACGTTAATTAATTCCTCATATAAGGCTGGATGGAAGGCCTGTAACCACTAATGGAAGCGAAATAGGAAGAAAAGACTATATGGACTAGGAATCTTGCAAGCTCTCCTTCCCCTTCAAGATCCCTAAATTTGCTTTAAGGCTTTGGAAACCCCTAGAGCATACTGGAGGGTACACAAGGAGATGAAAGGGGGAGGAAGTTCAGTTGCCTACACAGCAATTGTTATGTGCATGCAGTGATTTAGTTGGACACAACCTCCCAAATTTTAAAGCATACCAGCGGATACAGTGAGCTCTTATATTTTCAATGTTATTTTTTTTTAAAAAAAGATTGGATGTTATTTGATTCAAAGTATGTATATCCTGCTTTTCCAGTATAATGTCCTCAAGTTTGTTTAGCAATGCAAATGATTTAATATACATCTGTTTCACTAATCACTCATACATCTCCCTTTCAATTTGCTCATGTTCCATTAGTTACATACTGTATCCACCTGGGAATCCTATTCAACAGTACAATAAGCTTAGTTGTCCTGATTCTAAAGCACAGTGACCAAACACAAGCTAATGAGCTGCATGTGGCTCCCTGGGTGGTTCAAGAAAGTGAAGCAATTAATGATACAGCAGCTCTGCAGTGGGCAAGTGTTCTAGAAGCACAACAGAACCTTTCCCATGTCTCCTTCCCCCTCCCTGCCCTTCCTTTTTTTTTTAGTCAGAAGCCAGACTGAAGGATTTCTGAACAAAGCAGACACAGCTTCATGATTCACAGGGTCCAGTGTTTTGGGATACCTCAGCAGGCAAATGAGAAACGGAATTCCAATTTCACTCAGTTAAGCATTTAAAAACTATATCCTTCTGCACAATCTCCCACACAAAACAGAGCAACTTGCTGGGATTGTCACAATACCTTCCCCCCTCTGTGGATGTGATACCACACTGAAGTGCCACCGAAGTCTACATGGAAGTCTGTATAGCAGCCCTTGACACTCATCAGACAGTACCTGAAATGAAATCAGCAATATGAAACTGCAACTCAAGTCCAATCAATCTTGCATTTCTATGCAGATGGAATAAATGCTTGGTATTAGAGTGCTTGCTGACAGTATTTTATGGGTGACTGGCACTTTGAATCAAAGCACTAATCACCCAGAATTTACACATTCAGGATGCTGACCCCCATGCCAATTGCTGTTGATCTAAATGACCACCATGGGGCACAGCTACTATTGCATCAGAACAGGGGCAACAGGGAACTACATCCCAACAATGTTGTAACAGGAACCACCTCCACTTTATTATTGCAATTCCTGATATTTTCAATCAAATAAAGATAACCTTTCGACAATATAGTGTGCAAGGCTGTTCTGTATCACTGTCATGTTAGGAAAAACAACCTTTAGGTTTCTGGCTTGGATGACTGAAAGAGTTTGGGCATTATATTAAGGAGAGGCAGCTTTAGCAGAGACCTCATTCTGAAATCTCGCCCTAGTGGATAGGTGGTTACACACAACATCTGAAACTACTTACTTCTGCACCTTGGGATACTGCATATCCAGAATAGCATTTGTTGATTCTGTCTGACTTTCCTTCAGATGCCTTGGCCACATATTATCAACCCAATCAATCAAATCCACCTGAAACCATACAGGTATTAGAGCAAAGTTTAGACAGCAGAAATACTAGGAGGATTCATTGCTACAGAACATAATTGCTAATGGCAGTCAAAATAACTTAATGAACTGAATATAAAATGCTATACTTACTTTGAGGTACATTATCAGAAATACTTACCTCATACTCTCTAGCTACAAATACAGTATTGCACTATGATCTCCATATATGTTAAATTCCTGAAGTATCAGATATGAAATGAGTACTCAGCTTATTAATGTCTCAATTAATTATGCAACCATGGCCCTGATTCTGTAATAGCTTTCCATAGCAAAGTTGTTACTGACAGAAATTTCCAGTTGGATGACCAAGATGACAATTTGGAATGAAGAAAATTGAGTAGACATCATGTGCTGGTCGACATAAGTCTGGGAAAGTCATTTCCCAAAGTGGCTGCCAGCCATCCTCCAGCAATCTTTCTCTCATGAATTATGACATCTACATCCATAAAATTTGTCAAGCTACATGTTTTGAGATGTCTCAGTTCTTCACAAGTTATATGTACATAAGTTTTATTATATTATAATGCCAATAGTAGAGGAGAAAGCAAGAATAAAGATTTAGGATTGTGCATCTCAAAATAAGCGTTGGGCCAACACAAATTATATGCCAACATCTCCAAATGAGGGTTCGCTACAAGATGACAATTGGAGGAGTGTAGTTCAGTGGTAGAGCATCTGCCTGGCATACAGAAGGTGCCAGGTTCTCTATCTGCCAGGTATGGCTCGGAGAGTTCCCTCTCTCAAACCCTGGAGAACTGTTGTCAGTCAGCATAGCAAATACCAAGCATGACAAGGTCTGACTTTGTATAAGACAACTTTCTATGTTCCTATGTTATAGTGGACACTCTCCTGGAGGTGAGGATACATCATGCTAATTCATCATCTTACTGTGGAGGAACAGGCTGACCAGGGATGCATCACCAACACCTGAGTTGACTCAGCTTTGGCCACCTGGTACTTGGGGCAACATCAGCCCAGACAGGCATAGTGGGTGCGGAGCTGTTGCTGTAGTCCACAGGAATTCACTTACCACTACTGGGAAAGCCTTCTTTCTTGGAGTGGGACTGGAGGGCCTGCAATCTGGTGTTGGGCCAAAGGCTAGGGATGCTGCTCATCAGCCTCCATAGCTGAGCTGGCCAATGGTGTATTGGGCGTGATGTTGGAGGAACCCAGAACTGTGGTTTGGGGTGACTTCAACATTCATGCTGAGGATGCCTCAAGTCTTGCTTGGGAGTGCATGGCCTTCATAGCAACCATGGGCCTGTCTCAAATGATCATCAGTGCAATGCACAGAGAAGGACATACCCTTGATTTAGTCTTTGCTTCATGCTGACTGGGGTGGTCTGGAAAAGGGGGTGGGGCATGTCATTCTCAGACCACTTCCTGGTGAGATTTGGACTTGCAGCAATGATTCTCCCCTGCAAGGGTGGGGGACCAGTTAGGGTGATCTGCCCCCCGATACGAATGGAATCTGTTGAATTCCTCACTGCTTTGGGGGTTTTCCAGTGGATAAAGTGCGTGACCCTGTTTATGTCCTAGTTTCACTAGGAAACTGAGACTTGTACAGCTATTGACACAATTGCTCTGGTGCTGTGGAGTCTGTTTTGATCCTTGATATACTAAGGAGCTGCAGATGATGAAATGGACTGGGCAAGGACTGGAGCGTAAGTGACATAAATCTCACTTTGGAGGGCTCCTAACTGGTTTACCATGTGGTTTGGGCTCCATGTGTTCGGGCTCCTAACTGGTCTACCATGAGGCAGTGAGGGCAGCAAAGACATCCTACTCCACTGCCTCAGAGTTGTTCCGTGTGGTCTGGAGGCTACTTACTTCTGAAGAGAGAGTACACCTCTGGAGTACATGGTGTCTAGCTATAACTGGATGGCTGAACACTTTGAGGATAAAGTCACTTGACTCCGTAGCAATTTAGATGCCTACTGAGATGTCCAATGTAATGTCCAGCCAGTCTTTTGGTATCAGGTCTAGTAAATGCAGGTCTAGTAAATGCAGTCAGAGGATGTGGACAGGATACTTGCAGTGATGTGCTGACCACATGCTCATTAGCTCCTTGTCCATCTTGGCTTATTAAAGCTAGCCGAGTTGGGGTGACTGAATGGGTCAGAGGCGTGGTAAATGCATCTTTGCATGATGGGAATGGTGCTGCAAGAGCATGGCTTGTGGCCATTTTGTAAAATGGCTTCTGCAGATTTATTTCCACTTGTGTACGATGTCTATCCAATGTTTCATTCCAAGCAGTGTATTCTATGTCACCCAAGTTGCAATTGCCATCAGCAATAACTTTCCTATGGAAGTTTATTACAAAGTCTAGACTACAACCATGACTAGAAGATGGAATCATGGTGAATGGCCTTGCATCTAAGTAGTTATTCAGGAATGAAAAGTTCTGCTCCAGCTGCCCTTAATGTTTACATGTTCGTAAGAATCCATTACCATTCTAAAAATAATAAGCCATTTCCCTCACATTTGCTAACTGCATAACTATGACTTACTCAAGGAGCTTGGTTTGCTCTCCCTTCTTCACATCACAAAACCTGCAACATTTATACTCAATTAGGGCAGCTAGCTGAGATACTGCTAAACACTAATTTGTATTTAAATGTGTAAGCCCTTGCAAGAACCTGTGCACTGATAGCATGCAGCTTTAAAATGTTCAAAATGACTACGCAGAACTACATTAGCCAATGTATACAGAACTTTGCTACTGAGCTAATGAAGGGACAAGATTCAAGTAATTAAGGCTTGGCTAGAAATTAGCCAGCACTACTTGAATTCTTCTCACAAAATTCACACTACTATAAAGTATCATCCTTAAAGTTAACTTACGTTGCCACATAGATGATTCATACTACACAAACTTAACTTCACTCACCACTGTAAACAGCGTCTTTATTTCTCACTAGCACTAATGATTTTATTGAAAGTATGGGTTACATCTTGGATTCCTCTCTTACATTGATGGCTATTGGTAAATATGAGGATCTAAGTCACCCTATATGATTATGAGTATTTGAAGTGTAGTGTTACAGGTACATTTAGTTAGGAACCAGAAGGTATCTGTAAAAACTAATTGGCATCAATCAGCTGACTGGAATTTACCCAAATGGATGTGAAATAATTCCCTTCTTCAAACAATTCAAATTAAAACTTATGAAGCCCCATATCTATTCAAATGAAATGGAAAAAGCAGGGTGATGTTGGCAGGGCAAGGGTCTCTGCTTACTGTATTTGGCCTCTGCACCAGGTTCTCGAGCCGTGTGTGGCTGAATTCCAGGCTGATGACATTATACAGCTTCTCTCGCTCCTCCTCTCGAGTTTCATAATAGCGTGCCCACTGTGCCATGGTCATCTCAATATCCCTTTGTGTGTTTACATCCATGACGTCCACCATCCTTCGACTCCCTATCAGGACACAGAAATATGTGGCTACTTGGGCTAGAAATTGTAGTAGGAAAGGTGGGAGGGACACCAGAGTATAGAAAAAAGATTAAAGAATGTATGGGAGGACAGGGTATAGGTTATCCGCTCAAAGCCCCCTGATTTTGAAGAAGTTTCAGCTATTTTCCCACAAAGTCAGGGTTTCTTTAATAAAAAAAATTATGTGTAACGAAAACCAAATTCCATGTCATATTTCAGATTGTTCATATGTTACACACAGCCGATACTCTGAGCTACTAAAAAACAGGAGTGCATAATTACCTACGTAGAGTCGTACATCATTCACACTGAAGTCTGGATCTGGCATCCTGTAAAATGAAAGAAAAAAAAATTAATGCAATAATCACCCAATAGCCCTTCACCATGCAATTTTATCCTGGGCACTTCGGACACGAACTACAAAAACTTCATAGGTTTGCTTCAGCCTTCAAAGAGTAAATGTGGAAACATACAAATCCTGTGCCCCCATCTTCGTTTGCTGTCATTGCAAGTGTGGCTCACTTTCTAAAGGGCAATAATTCTCAAGCAGACAGATGGGAGAGAGTGTTATACTTACTGCCTAACATGGTCTTAGCCAGTTCTAGGGCTTCTTTTCTCCAACTATAGGTGCAGCTGTTTCGGTACTGCTCTAAACTGAAAAAAAAGTGCCAGCTGCAGCCCCTTCCTGATAGCCGTACCTCAATCTGTCCACTGGCTAGCAACCTACAGATTAGACTACTGGAATGGCCTGCACAAGGGCTGGACCTCTGACTGGGAACAGTTGGTGGGAACATCTCTCACAGGTGATTAAACATCTTTGCTGGTTATTGGTCCATTTCCAAGCAGAATTTAGAGTACTAGAACATACCGTATTTTTCGGTCTATAGGACGCACTTTTTCCCCTTCAAAAATGAAGGGGAAATGTGAGTGCGTCCTATGGAGCGAAGACGCCATAGCCCCGCGACCCTCTCCTGGCTGGAGAGGTGACGCGTGGCTATGGCCGGAGCCTCTTAAGCCGCGCGCCACCTCTCCAGCCGGGAGAGCGCGCACGGGGCTAAAGAAGCCATGGAAGCTTTCCGCCGCTCCCCGACCTGCTCTTTGGGGCTGGTGGTGGGCTTCCCCCCGTCAGCCCCAAAGAGCAGGTCGAAAGGAACCTGAAGCCTGGAGAGCGAGAGGGTCGGTGCGCACCGACCCCTCTCGCTCTCCAGGCTTCCAAGGTAGCCGCCTGAAGGCGACTGAACGCACCTTAAACGGCACCTTGTTTTAGAGGGGGGAAACAAGAGGGGGGAAATTCTCCCCCTCTCTGCGCAGCGCCTCCTGCCGCTTCGCTGAAGGGGCGCTGGGCAGAGAGGGGGAGATTTTTTTTTCTTGTTCTCCCCCCTCTAAAACAAGGTGCGTCCTATTGTCCGGTGCGTCCTATGGTGCGAAAAGTACGGGTTCACATAACCCTGCCCAAGAACTGCTGTCTGGCTCTCCTAAACAGAGGCAAGGTGAGTGGTATCTGAGAGGACCTTCTTGTGGCAACCAAGCTGTGGAATTCTCACCAAGTAGGTTTGCCTGGTGCATATTTTGCTGTTGTTCAGACACCAGAACTTTTACTTTTCCCCAGAGTTTTAAACTGAGAGTTTATTTTTCTGCCATCTTTACTCAGTGTTTTATCTGCAGTTTCCCCACGCTATTGTGTGCATTTTATTGTTTTAACTCCTTGTAGTTAGTCACTGTAAGTAGCAGTAGTATTTTATATTGGACAGCAGTGTGTATATATGTAATTAAAAAACACCTTTGCAGAAGGAAAATTGCTGCAGCCATGCCAGCGTCAGTGCAAGGCAGGCTGGCATGTTTGTACCAATTACTTGTGCCAGATTATCTTGGGAGGAAAATGAAGCAAGGAAGGTGGTTGTGGTTCTTGGTATCAGTTGTGTTTTAGAAATGCTGTTAGCCACTTTGAGGACTCTAAATCTAATGAATGGACTCATAAGGACTAATGAGGACTCATAAATCTAATGAATGAATGAATGTTCTTTGAAAGCAGAACAAACCATGGCTGTATTCTGTCCCATGATTAAAGCAGCAAGAGGAACACTTTGGGTCCACAGCTTAAGTCAGTGGTTTTCAACCAGTGTGCTGTGGCACCCTGGGGTGCCTTGAATGATAGTCAGCGGTGCTGTGGGCAACACTATCCTCTGTCCCGCTTTCCTTCCCTCCTTGCGTCTCTGCCTCTCAAAAGCTTGCACAGCTGTTTGTTACAGCAGCCCTGGCTACAAGCTCCTCTGGCAAATGGTGCCTCTGGGGCTGGCCAGGGGGTGCTTCCCAGGCCCCTGTGGGGCAGTGTGAGGAGGCACCTCTCTTTGGGGAAGTGGGGGGGGGGGCAGCTCAGAGACCAGAGGCAGCAGCAGCTGCTGCCCCTGTAACTCCCAAGGAGACGGGAGAGAAGGCTGAGGGAACATTCCACAAGGGAGGGTGTTTGAAAAAGGCTGAGAGGCTTCCAGCTCCGCAGGCAAGGGGTGACATAACTGGGTTCCTGAGCCCCACAGGGGTGCCGCATAAAGAATGTAGCTGGTCAAGGGAGCCATGGACCAAAAAAGGTTGAAAACCTCTGGCTTAAGTCCTTATGGAAGGTACACGTTCGGAAGACTCACTATGCATGCTGCGAGTCAAGGACCTTGCTGCACTATCTTTCAGTGAGTCAGAAGATTATTACTGTAGTGGGGATGAAACAAGGAGGAAAATGCCAGCAAACAGGACTGGATACAATATGACTGCAGCTTCTGAGATTCAATGTTTAACCCACTGGCTGGGATGGAATCCTGAATTTGAATTAGAAGCTTCTTCAGCTATATAGGAGACGCATTCTGGGAAATTTGCTGCATACTGAGGTCAAGCTCTGCACACAAGGGACTGCTCTGAGGTAGGCTGGTACCCCACTGCTTTTTGCAGTGCTGGTCATGCTGGCTTCTTCCCTCTCACTTTCCTCCTCCCTGCCTTCTCATACATTTTTAAATTTTATTTTTCTTTGCTGCAGTGCCAGCAGTTTCTCCACCCCCTTCCTATCTTGTTCAGAAGAAGAGCTGTGGGTTTTTTTGGGGCGGGGGGCTTTTTCAGAGTGAGGCCTTCTGAGCAAGATTGCCAGGAGACTACTTGAGCTCAGTTTGTGTTGTCATCTAGAAAGACAGTTTTAAACTTAGGTTTTGGTTTTTGTTCTAAAGTTACAAGCAACTTTACATTTCCCCCCAAATTTTAAAACAGCCACTGCCGCCAGCTGATGTAGGTGTCAGGCATTCTTCTGGCCACAACACCCAGAAGGCCTCACACCTTCATCCTTTCTCAGAGAAAAGCAAGGCAGGGAAGATGTGGCAGAAGAGGTGGTAAAGAGCCATGCTGGTTGGCAGCTGGCTGCCCAAGCCAATAATTAATCAAATAAGGGGCCTGTGAGATGCCAATTAGCTATCCCTTGTGCCTACTGCCTTTGGCAATTGTCCCATTATACCTCATCATTTCACCAGTCCTGATTAGGGTTACTTTACTAGCAACAGTGAACAACTTAACTAATGGCAAACACTTTGCATCAACACTTACTTTATTCCAAGTCCATCACAATTTTTGAAGATCAATGGATCTCTTAAGCCACCACGCTGAATATATTCCACATTGAAGTCTGTCGGGAGGAGAGAAGACAACATTTGTTAAGAGAGGCTAGCAGCTGACAAGAAGGTACTGGGAAAAAGCTGTATTTTAAAAAGGGAGACAAAGTATAAAGAATGCTAGTGACACTGTCCAGAGCAATAGATTATTCACTTGCAGCCACATGACCCTTAATTTGGCAGACATCTATGAGTATTCAGATTCATGCATACATATATAATACTGGTTAATCAAAGGGTTGACATTGACACAAAAACCTTTATGTTGATTCTCCGCCCAAATTATCCACTCTAGCTTTCAGATGGTCTTATGCAAGGATTTTGGCCAATTGCTACTTCAAAGTTGAAAGGCAAAACAGTATTCCAATCCTTCTCTATTCCCTTGCTCGTTCACTTAAAGGCATTTCAATCAGCTGCGTTCCAAAGTGGTACACTTCCAAGGAGCAGATTCAGAACTATTCCAAATCTTGGCTCCTATCTACAGCTGAGGAACTGACCAATTAAAAAAAACAAAAAACATTTTTGTACAGAATTTCCCACAGTAATGCAAGTCATTAAGCGATAGCTGATGCTATTTTTCAAGGACAACATTGTCCAGCAGGTGCCTCAAGAAGGGACAACAAAGGAGATGCACAAGTAGTAAAAATGCAAAATTAGGTGCAATGAATTCTCCCAGAGTTAAGTCCTCTTGAGTTCAGAAAGGGACATTTCTAGTTCTAAAAAGCTTTTCCTTCTATATGCCATCCTCCCCTTCTACATTCACAACAGCAGTATTCACTATGCAGCCCATTCACAGGTAACCTACTGAACACAAAAAGTTTAAAACACTCACATGAATCAAATGTTCCTCAACCCCAGGGGAATCCACCTTGTATGCAGAACTGTCTTGTCTGTGGGTGGCCCCATTTTGCTGTCTGGATAGAGGTCCCATGACTAAGCCCAATATTAGAAAGGATCACAATGGGTCCGTCACAGAAAGATGCATAAAAAATGGTATCATTGCCTTTGGCTGGCCACAGTTCCTTGTGAAAATAACATCTGTACCCTACACTGCAGTGGTGGGCACAATGTCAGTAAGGATCACAAGGTATACTACTGACAGACCTCTAGGAGACCACCAGCTTCCTGCTCCCAGAATCCGAACTACATATATCTATAGTTTTTCATTTAGATGATAAATAGCTAGCAGATTTTCCCCAAGACGCCTTATTAATATCACATAATAATCAGGATCACCATTTAGTATGGATAGTGTGTTTCAGAAGTACCTATATTTCTGGTTACTGTGAGAATAAGTGACAACAATAAATGTTTCTTAAAGGGCATTGTCTTTTTACAATATAATCTTGAATATAGGACTTTTGCCTGTGGCTGACATGACTGTGGCTCCTGTTTCCTACCTGGAACCCTAAAAATTGTGATTTATTTCACAAGGCACTGTTATATTTCAAATAATGAAATGCAACTACAATAAAAGTTCTTAAAATGCATTTTTGTAATTGTTCTTCATGCTGGTCAGGCCATGGAGTTCTGCTTAAAAACAAGATTACACAAGCCTAAGGGAAGTCCACCTCACCATATTGCCATACTTTAGCGTAAAACGTGAGAGGTAGAACAATTTATTTTCAAATACTCTATGCAATCATGATGCATTTCAATTTGGTTCTTTTAAAATAGGAAGCTGGAGTTCCAATACACATGGTGCTTAAGCACATCTAGAGAGTCAAAACACACTTGTTGCTTATTACTGCAATAGAAAAAAGAGCTCACAGATATCTGAATCTTAGAAAGGTAGCTTGGCATGATGCTTACCTTTGCCTTCCATGAAGACCACAAAATCGGCATTAAATTTGTTCGTGGTAAGTTTCTCTTCGAGGTCAAATGTTCGTTTCCCCTCAATTTCATCATCTGAGATGCCATCATCCTCATAACGTCGTCTCATAGCACCACGCTGTGGAAATAGTGACAGGTGAGAACTGGAGGAGCCATTGTCTTGAACCCAACAGCTAGATGGCAGCAAGTTTCCAGAGATATGCAATGTACATGCACAACATGTGCTCGCATGTTCTTCTTGAGTATAGGTGATTAAACCAATACAACCTTCCGTAAAGAGATCCTGTTTACAATTATATTAGTTTTAAAAAACGTGCAATTACTTATCTGAATGCACTTTCTGTGTGACTTCATATTGATGTTGAATGATAGTCCTTTCCCACTACTAGAGTGAGCCAATGGCTATGTCTCAAGTTCCACCCTGATGCATGGCTCTCTGCAGTACCACTATCTACATATTAATGTGGAGGCCTGAAATGGGAAGTCTACATACATCGTGTTCCCTGCCTCAGATGTCCATGCTAATGTGTGGACAGAGAAGGTAGGGTAAAAAAAAGCCATGTGTCATCAGGGTAGGCCCAGAGGAAAGGTGGCACAGCCCTTTTATTCACACAATGCCCCTTCGAGGAAAGCATGATGGGGGTTAATGGCAACACAAGATGGTAACATCCTGGTATTATACTTCCTGCTCATATCTACAGATTTTTGATACTTCCAAAGACATTGGATTCTTTATTTCCCTTAAATTCTGCAAACACTGTACCAGAATCTGGTGGCCCCCTAAGATGTACAGGGTGAGTCTTTTAAAAGAGGCCCTGTGGAACATTTAAAGGACTCACCCTGTATTAACCAACTGCATTCCTGGAAGCACATCATTAGCTAAGTGTACCAAATCAAGCTCGGAGCTGAGAATGTAGTAAAATGAAAAATAACTATAATCCAGAAATGCCTACGTTTGCGATGAAGTCAGTCTGTTGAAGGGATGAGAAACTTATGGATCTTTAGGTTATGATGGATTACAGCTCCCATCATCCCTGATCCTTGGTCATGCTGGCAGGGACTGATGGAAGTTGAGTCCAACAAAATCTGGAGTGCCACAGCTTCTCCACCCAAGTCTATTGTCTTAGGAAGATTTGAGACATGGAAATAATTTGAGCAATTTTTAGATGAGGGTTTCCTGAAGAGGGCCTCATTTGTGTGAAGGTACAAACACTTCAACTGAAGCCATTTATTTCCTGCAAATACTCAGTCTGGACTCAACTCTGTAATATTAAAAAACAAGTGACTAATTAAGTTAAGTCATAGCTCCTCTTTCTGATATACCCAGCCTAAGCCATACTCCTGCTGAAACACTGCCTTAGGCACTACCTTCCCTCCAGCAGTGCTAGACAGATACTTTACTATGTCAGCCTTGTCCATATAGGTATGTTTCCTTATTTCTCTCTTTTTTTCAAGCTGGGCTGTAAAAGGATTTGCTCAATACGGTATTATGTTGCTACTGGACCCCCTAGTGGCCACATTTATTCACAGTGGCTGTACAGTGGTACTTCTAGTTACGAACTTAATTCATTCCGGAGGTCCATTCTTAACATGAAACCGTTCTTAACTAGAGGCATGCTTTTGCTAATGGGGCCTCTTGCTGCCGCTGGCACACAATTGCCGTTCTCATCCTGGGGCAAAGTTCTCAACTCAAGGTAACTCTTCCAGGTTAGCGGAGTTTGTAGCCTGAAGCGTTTGTCACTCAAGGTACCACTGTATTTCACATTGCTGTTACCTAGTTTTCCCTGAAACTATAAAAGCTCAACATATTAGATATTAACCAAAAGGCTAATATTCCTTGGATTCTAAAGTCCAAATTAATGGAAAAATGTAGCCATCCTGGGCAACTGGTTATTTGCACACTTGTGTTTAAATGAGCATGGATCTATTTAAATATGAATTTATGTCTCCTGCAGGATTTATCAGCTTGTTAAATCATGTTTCTAATATTGCCACACACAAATTTTATTTATTATATGTATTATATACCACCTTTCCCTCCAAGCAGTTCAAGGTGGTACACATGGTTCTCCCCATTTTATCATCACAACTCTTTGAGATAGGTTAGGCTGAGGGACAGTGACTGGCGGTAGATCACTCAATGAGATTCATGGTTAAGTAGGGATTCAAACCCTGATCTCCTAGGACAATGGGCATAGTCCAAAACTAATACTTACCCCTCACTGGTTCTCATGATATACACCTTGAAATGCAAGTTTTACTATAGTTTTTGGACGTTTTCCAGATAAAACCAGGATTAGTAATTTCACATGGCAAGAGATAAAGAGGGTGAAGCTACTTCTGTGCATAAAAAGCAAAAGTAGCTGTGATGGTCTAGACGGGGGTGCAGACACGTGGTGGAGCGGCAGAGGTGGAGAAAAGGCATCTCTCGCCCCGCACTGCTGGTCGCTTGAAGGCTGCCTTCCCTCACTTGGGCGGCAGCCCCAAGTGACTTCCGGGCAGTAGTCCCAAGCAAGGGCAGGTCTGTCTATCTATCTATCTATCTATCTATCTATTTATTTATTTATTTATTTATTTATGGCCTGCGTAAGCACAGTCACACATGAGTGGGATACATGTAAGCGCCCCCCTCCACTTTCTTACAGGATGGGGAAGTCATCCCAGTTTGAAAATCTACACAGACCAGTGCTAGAAACAGATATATGAAAGCTAGGAGCTAAATGGCACCTTAAAACTAGGTTATGGGTGCAACAATGGAATGTCTAGGCGTGCCTTTTTATAACAAGAATACAAGCTGAAAATGAATGAACTGCAGCTAAAATATTATGTTCATTTTTCACATGGTCTAGTCCTTCCCCTACCTACCCCCATAATATTCTTAAGAGGGTTTCTTCTCCAGTCTTCAGAGAGTAGCTAGAAGTGAGGAGGCAGAAAAGGGTCCTCCTTTCCTTCCACTCTGCAGTTTTAATCTGAAATCTTGGGCACAGTTTCTGCACCCGGAGCTCAGAAACTGTTCACCATTAATGATTCCCTGTCGCAAAATGCACCTAGAACAATGGGAGTTTCAAACACTCTCACAGACATATCTGAAGATGCTAAGACTGAACCAGGTACTGAGGTATTTAGCAATTCTGGCCCAGAAAAGAATTGGTCAGCTCATTCTATTTTTTACAGAATTAACTATGTCTATCTAGTATACTGCTGAGCTAAATTTCTCCTACAGGGGAAAACTGACTAACTCCTCTGTTGCATCATCAGTTCAATTATAAACTTGCTAGGCTATTTTGAAAGAGCTGGAAATGGAAGGTTAGCAACTCAAAACTGACCAGCCCATCCAGCTTCACGTCTCTGCAAGTCACTGTGGTGAATGACTATTATTCAGCCAGGAAAAAAATTGCTCCAAAAAATCCACTAAATACAAGATTGGATGCAAAAGATCTTTTGCAAATTGTTATATTCTGTTTTGCATAGTCAGACATTTACTGGTTTCACATACATGCAGTAATTTTAACAAAGCAAACAATGTGGAAACAAAAAACAAAACAAGTTACAAAGCCAAATAAGCAGTCACTCCCCTGCTTAGAAGCTATGCAGGAAATGACATGGCCATTTAAAAACTGACTTGTGAACTGTAGAAATATTAACAGTTTAATTTTAAAAAGAGACTACAGGTCCCAGTATCGCCTGTCTCCTGTGTCGCACACTGTCACTGACAGCATCAGCTTAGCTTATTGTGGCATTGAGATGAGGTGGGCAAAGCTTCATCTCCCAGTTTTCTGCTATTAAGAGCACAAGAGGCCCATCGCGAAAGGCTGACAACTACACTACATGCTTAATTTCAAGTTTATCCTGTTTATGGATTCTCCATACTAAATGAGGCAAAGGATATACTTGTTTGCCTGCAAACCTCTTGGTATGCCATCAAATGCTTCACCTTCTACAGTGCTTTGTATATACACAAAGTGAGACAGTCAGAAGATCGACTGACTTGCCCCATTCTACTGAAGGGTACATTCCTTATGATCAAAATGCTTTTACAACTTTTCTGCCTTCTTGAGACCCAAACAAGCAAAGTACTCTTAAAGAATAGAATGAAGTGAAAAGACCTCAGGTTCACATCCGATGCTGCTGTCCTGCTAGCACAATCTTGCGTGGCGAGTTTCCGCCCCCCACCAGAATAAATAAAGACACGAGACACCATAATTTAAGGTTAATTGGGCGAATTAGGCCACAACTTTATTGAATTCAGGAATGAGAGGCATTGGCTTAGGCATTGGTCCTAACGACTATCCGGCTCCAGCCCATTTGCTGGAGACACGGGGAAGGGTTAACACTATATTGGGGGAGTCTCCTGCCGAGGCACGTCGACTAGGAGCTCCCCCGGGTCACCCCTCTGGGGCGTGCCTTTGGCCCACACCTCCATAGGCTTCGGACAGGGCCACGCCCCCCGGAGTCCTTTAACGGACCACCCTTCGCTCACTGGGGGGAGGTGATGGCGTTCCTCCCCCCCCCACATCCTCTTAACCCCTTCTTACCAATGCCTACCGCCAATGCCGAGAAGTTGTGACGAGTTGCTACGAGGTAGGCGAAAAACCAAAAGGCCAGAAATTGCCAATTGGGAAAAATTCCTACCATGCCCCTTGCGGCGACAGACCGAAGTCCATAGCAAAGTCAAAGACCTACCTAAAGCCTACTTAAAGGGAGGGAGGGTGGGAAAACGTGAGGGCGAGCCGGCGAAAAGAGGGCGAGCCCCCTCCGCGCCGGCCCTAAATAGGGCAGGCCACCCCCCCAGCCAGCTGATTGGCTGGCTGGGGGGGCCAGACCCGGCCGGGATTCTCCTGCTCTCGTGGGGGCTGGAACCAGCCCCCGCTCACGTGGGGTGGGCGTGAAGCCCGCAACCCCACCTCCTGGGCAGGCCGGAAGTGGCTTTGCTTGCACAATCTTGCTTAGGCAACCCCCTGTGCAACCTCAAAATCTGCTCCAGAGGGTAGGAGAACCCTCCAGAGCAATTTTTGAGAGCATTGCAGGGAAAGGAGAGGAAGCCCTGTTGCATAAATAGACCTCTGTATACATAGAATCTAGGACTGTAGGGCTGGAAGAGACCCCAAGGCTCCTCTAGTCCAATCCCCTGCAATATATAGCATTAGAAACAACATACAGTCATACCTCGGGTTACAGACGCTTCAAGTTGCCTTTTTTTTTGGGTTACGGACCGCCGAAACCTGGAAGTACCGGAAAGGGTTACTTCTGGGTTTCGTGGTTGCGCATGAGTAGAAGCGCTAAATCGTGCTTTGCACATGCGCAGAAGCACTGAATCGCAACCCACGTGTGTGTAGATGTGCTGCTGCGGGTTGCGAACTCTGCGGGTTACAAACATGCATCCCACACGGATTACATTCGCAACCTGAGTGTCCACTGTATCTGTAAGAGTTGTACATACTAACCCAAATGACCCCTCACACATGCTTCAGTTACTTCAGAACCTATGTCAGGATTACCAGGATAAATAACATATAATCGCGCGCGCGCACACACACACACACACACACACATCCCTATTATATACCTATATTACTCTTGACATAGAGAGTAATATGGCACACACAACCTAAAGCTAGAAATTACACGCCTATATTGGGGACTTCCGGGGTGGCGCCATCGGTAATGGCGGACTCCCTCTGATCCGGAGGGACTAGCTCTGCGGGAATCGGGTCTGTTCCGCTACGGCGAAGCGGGGACCCTTGAAAAAATCACAGGCGGGTGAAGCCTGTGACCATGGGACTCGGCGGGCACCTTTTGCGCCCCCCCAATCTGCAAAGGAGCCCGATTACGGGCTCCGGAGTGAAGCGGGGAAGCGGCGCGGTGCTGAGAGTCAACTGCTTCTCAGTGGAGTGAAGCCGCACAGCCGTTGCCGGAGAGCGCTACCTTTTTCCTGTGACAATTTGGCTACAAAACAACTACCCGTGAGTAGGTTAATTTGGGAAATAAAGGAGAATAAAGACGCAATTTGATACCGAAGCGGGGAGGCATAAACAGGAAGTCTTCCTTCCGTTCTTTGTAAATAGAGTAAAGCAATGAACTTGTAAGCTAAAACCTTGTAAGACGTTTGAACAGGATTACCATTCTAACATCAAAACAACTGATTTCCCCCCTTGGCTGCAGGGGAGGAGGGGGGAAAGGTGTGAACTGTATTTCCCTGCAAAAAGAGAGAAAAGGAAGCTAAAATCCACCGCTTAAAACCTGGGAACGGGCTGCCAATGGACAATAAGAATGCCACACTGTGAAACGCGCTGTTGCTGAATAGAGGACTTTTTGACAGCTAACTCTGCAAGTGAGATACAATGTTTCTGGCTGGCTTCTCCTGGTTTTAAAGAAACTGGAAAATAACTGAAATTGAAACTGTCGTCTATTTTGTGAATCGGGGGATTAAAAAAAAAAAGGTTATTTATTTTAAGGTAACAACTTCTGACTGCTACTGCGTCCCCCTAGAGGAAGTTTAAATTGTTACAATAACAACTGGGCCGGGGGAATTTTCCACTTCAAAACAAGTTCTGGTCGTGGGACTGACCTTGGGCTCTAACTAGAGTGTTATGGCAGATGGAAAGGAGAAGATAGATTTGCCTCAGGAAAAAAAAACGAGGTCTGGTAGATCATTTTGCCCAGACGCTGGGCTGCAGCGAAGAGCATCAACATCTGGCCCCTCTGTCCCATTATCAGGGGCTGCATTTGCACAACCTAAACCTAAAGGAATGGCATCCGAGGATGTTTTAGCTCAGGCACTAGGCAAAATTAATGAATCTTTGGAAAAACTAAGTAAACAAGTAGCTGAAGCATCAATTAAAATTGATCAAAATACTACAAGTATCAACAATTTGGGACAGAAGGTAAATACTAATACAGAAACTATTGAGAAACTGCTACAGGAATCTACACTGACCCGAAAGACAGCTGAAGAAGCAAAGGAAATAGCAGTTTCTGTAGAAGAGAAGATACCACCGATACACAGGCAACTTGAAGACCACAGGTCGATATTGTCTATGATTGAATTGAAGGAGAAACAAACGAATTTGAGGATCAGGGCCGTACCTGAACTTGAGAAAGACAATCTGCCTGACTTTCTTATGAAAGAATTTGCAGACTTTTGGAACCCAGATTTGGAGAAGGAAGATTTTAAGATAGTGAGTGCTTTCAGGCTTGGAAGAGGAGGGAAGAAGAACAGGGTGAGAGACTGTTTGTTCACCCTCCGAACAAAAGAAGAGAGAGATAAAATCTTGAGTCTGCACTTCCAGAAGACTTTGGAAATACATCAGTCAAAGGTGGAGATATTTAAAGACATTCCGAAATATCTTTTGGACCTTAGGTCCAATTATAGAGATTTGGTTGCCCTGTTGAGAAGTAATGGAATCATCTTTAGGTGGGAATTTCCCCAAGGCCTATCTTTTAGCTTCAAAGGAAGAAAGATAAAAATAAGATCAGTGGACGACAAAGAAAGATTTCTGAAAGACCACGGAGAAGACCTGCAGAAAGAATCTGGAGAAGAGTTAAGAGCACTAGAAAGAGGAATATTAGACATAGCAAAACTACCTTTTGGATTAAAAGACTGCCCAGAGAAGGTGATACCACCGACAGAGCAGGAACAGGCACTTGGTGCAGTTGGAGGAAAGTAAAGTAACAACATCATGGCTCTGCAACTTTTAAGCTGGAATTGTAATGGTCTCAATTCCCCCCAGAAAAGGAAAACAGTGTTTCATTTATTAAAAAAGGAACAATTGGACTTGATTTGTCTACAGGAAACACATGTGACAAGGCTACATAGAAAAGTATTGATCAACAAAAGACTGGGCCAGGAGTTTATTTCATCGGATAAAGTTAAAAAAAGAGGAGTAGTGATTTATGCAAAGGAGAGACTATCACCAAAATTTATCTTTAAAGATGACCAAGGAAGATTTGTGGCAATTGAAATTCAAATACAAGGAGAGAAATTTTTAATAGTAGGAGTTTATGCACCAAATGAGGGGAAATCTGAATTCTTTAAAAAGTTGCATGAGACCTTGATGGACTATTTGGACTATAATGTGATTTTGATGGGAGATATGAACGGAGTGGTATCTACACTTATGGACAAGGCAGAATCCGTGACCAGGGAGAAGAGTCGGTGGAAGAAGATTGGAAGAAATTTAAAGACTATTTACAGAAATACTGCAAAATTAATGAATGTTAGAATGATGTCAGAATGAAGTTAAGTGGTTTTAGTAGCAATGTTATAAAGGTGTATGTAAAAATGGATTGTTAACAGGTGAGAATCTAAAGCTATAATATATTAAGTTAAAGGATTAAGATAAAAATAAAGAGGGAAAGGAATTGCTGAATTAATCAACTGAACTGGAATACAAAAAAGGGAGGCGAGAGGAGGTCAGGGAAACAAGTAAATGAAATGTAAGGTATGGAAAGATTGATTTGTTTTTTAAGTCTCTTTTATTTTTTCTGTATTTTGTATTTTGTATTTTTTCTTTTCTCTATTTTTCTTTTTTTTATATATGTAACCTTTTTTTGGGAAACCTTAATAAATATCATTTAAAAAAAGAAAAAAAAGAAATTACACGCCTATATTAAGACACTAGTAAGGAAGCAGTTTTCCTAAGAGAAGTTAACTGAAGGATTACCAATCATTTCCATTGCTTGTCTTGACTTTAAAAAACACCTGCATGTCATTTCTGCATTCAAGACCTGTTCCTGACTAGGTCTGATACAGTTTAATTAGGATTCATGCCACATTCTTGGGTCAGACTATCATCTTAGGTGCCAGCTTTCACACCTAGATAAAATAACAGGTGGCTAATTGAGCAGACCTGTTTAGTATACAATAACCACCAGTAATTAACTAAGCTTGAATATTGTCTAGGGCTTCAAGACAGACAGCATGACCCAAAAAATGAATGCTTCTACTGACAAAATTGTTCATTCCAAAAACTATCAAGTGCACCAGAATAGCATGGAATTGACAGGCCCATCTTAAAAAGGAAATCAAAACCCATGACATTTCCCCATGACAGTTCAATGCTTTCAAATAAGACATGAGACATACTTTGATTTTGCAAAGTGACCAATGTATGAAATCCTCTGTAAGTGAGACTAGCACAGTGTCCTGGCATTGGTCAAGGTAAATATCATGTTTTTTACCTATTTATGGAAGTACAAATCTTTGTTGTAGACACCACATCACACTGCCTAGCATACATGAAGAGTTCAGAACTCTGCTTGGATGATTCAAACAGAATTCCTCAGCACTTTTCTGTTCACTCCATTTTCTACTGAACCTTCCTCCCCCAAATCTTTAGGTTAAGATAAGATCAGTAAAGTTTTCCTATTGTGTTCTGCTTCCAGAAAGCCCACAAACGTATTTCATTACATTAGTATGGTTTTTGCATCCTTTAAGCCCAAGCTTTTAATCAAGAATTTCGAAGTCATCTTGTTTTTGTTAAGGAATCCTGGAGATTCCTTAGAGATTCAAAGAATCCCTGGATAGAGAACATTTCCTTTTTTGCTATGTGGGTGCATGTTGTGGCTGTAGAAACATAACTGGATGTAAACAAGAGACCTTTAACTAAGATCTACTTTCAGCATCACACCTGAGAAAGTTTTACAAGGGGGTCCAAAAGGCAGGGGACGCATTGGATTTCATCTGGTTTCGTCCTTTGAGAAATTTCCCCAAATTAAAAGTAAACAGGAACACACACATTAAGCACTCAAATCGTCTATGTTTCCAGATTTCTAGATCTGACCTGGGTTGTGGGCGCCAAAACAGAATGTCTAGTTGCCACTGGGTGTGTGTGTCAGCAACCCTTTTTAGTTATTATTTTGATAAAGTAAAGGTAAAGGTACCCCTGCCCGTACGGGCCAGTCGTGTCTGACTCTAGGGTTGTGCGCTCATCTCACTTAAGAGGCCGGGGGCCAGCACTGTCCGGAGACACTTCCGGGTCACGTGGCCAGCGTGACGAAGCTGCTCTGGCGAGCCAGCACCAGCGCAGCACACGGAAACGCCGTTTACCTTCCCGCTGTAAAGCAGTACCTATTTATCTACTTGCACTTAAGAGTGCTTTCGAACTGCTAGGTGCGCAGGAGCTGGGACCGAAAGACGGGAGCTCACCCCGCCGTGGGGATTCGAACCGCCGACCATGCGATCGGCAAGCCCTAGGCGCTGAGGTTTTACTCACAGAGCCACCCGCGTCCCAACCCATTATTTTGATAAGGGTGAACTAATATGCAGTTTACGTAAGTGACACATTGTTAATATCACATTTTAGCAGAAATTGTTAATACATGTTTAATTTGGTTTTTACAATAAAAATATTTGTACCAAACTTCAGTTTTCAACACACTCTACTCTTCATTATTAAACTCCTTAACAAACTCCTTACCTCCTTTATTGTCTATCCTTAACATATACGTTGAGGCTTCAAAGCACATACATTTCAGTAATCTTTGAGTGCCAGCCTCGTACAAATGACACCCAGACTTGTGGAGTTGATCGCAAATGGAGAATCTTTAGGTGCAAAATGCACCTGGCGCCCTGCTAATTATGAACCCTGAGTATAAAAGATGACATTCAGCAAGAAGACTAGATATTTTTAGTGCCATAAACTTTAGGGGGCAATCCAAATCCCATTTGCACTGGACTGGAGGTAAGGGAATTGGGTGGTATCCCTCTGCCGAGACCTGCCAGCCTTTGCCTGCAAAGTGCTGCCAGCATCACTTTGATGATGTGAGGTTTCTGGCTTTGTAGGTAGACAGAACTGCTGCTGCTGGGATCCCCATCAACAGCAACCAGCAGAAAGCTCCAAAATGAGCCTACCAAGACAGCCACACTGCTGACACCAGGCCCAACTGCTGCACCAGTTCCATGCTGGCCCATTGATTTGCCTTGTTCCCACCTTCTGCCATGGCTGGTGTGTGCAACAGCGATTCAAATGCACCAGTGGTAGGTAATGTTGGTTCATTAAGCCCCTCCAGGCAGCTGTCAGTTTGGATTATGCCTTTAATTGATTAATAAATGCAAATATTCAACTCCTCATTTAATCTCAGATTATCGTTTACCCACCGATTAAATGAAAGAACAGCAAAGGAAGTCTTTAGGACTTGAAACTCTTGAAAAGTCTCCACCACTTTGACCAGCTGTTTGAGAAAACTTTATGGAAAAGAAACTTTTAGGTGGTTTCTCTTATATTTTGTATTTGATGCTAGCACATAATCTTTGTTTAAAAACAAAAGTTCTATTGTTTCCATACTAAAAGCTTCAGGCAAGTAAAGCTAGGACTCCTCAGCTGATAGAAAGTCAGTGGGTTGCATCCAGAGTGTCCCATTTGTGAAAGAGACTGAGATTCAGGAGAGGCTTCTGCTGAAGGAGAGAGGGTGACTTAAACTAATCCCCCTTTGCTCTTCAGATTGTTGTACCACCACTCACACTGTTCTTTTGAGGTTCCTTCAACCAAACTTTTCACGGAGCGTGAAGCAAAAATCACACTTCCTCTTCCTCCAGCAGCAGTGTCCTATGAGTGGAGTTCTGCTCATTGGTTGTGTTACTGAACAGAAAATATCATGCATTAGTAGTTTTTTATTCTAAAATCTAAAGACACGTCTTTCTTTTAACAGCAGTGATTAGGGTTTTCCCGAAAATTTTGAAGGACATCAATATGTGAATGCAAACTAAATTAGCTACATTTACACCAACAGAAGAAAAAAAAGGGTGGGGTCCTCAATCAGGGCAGCTGAATCTTTCAGATGGAAATGCCTATGATCAAAGTTAAAGACATGTAAGACCAGTACTTCTGACCTAGGAAGCTCTGCAAGGTCCACCAATGATTAATAAGAGACTGTATCAGTAACTAAAAATGAATACATTCACTTCACCGGTGAAAGAGAATTTCCAATTCAGTTATCAAGTAGAAATGTAAAAGAAATACAAGACAATGCAGTCTCCTGCTTCTTCTATTCCACACAAAAATCTATTGTGTATAATGGAAAGGCCATAGCTCTATTTAGCGCAGTACTTTTAAATTTGACTGGCAGTTGGGTCTCAAAACCAATTCTTCAAGATGTCTGCCTATTATTCCAAACATGTATTCACTATTTCTCATCTTAGTAAGCTCAGAACTCTGACAACTGCAATGTGTGTGTGTGTGTGTGTGTGGCATGTCTCAGTGATGTTGAGTGCAAAATTTTCTATTTCTAAACAGCACTGTTTCAGAAAATTAGTATTGTAACGTGATTAATGCATACATTTCCAGTAAAGAAGATCCAAAGAAAAGAAAATAGAAAACCAAACCTCAAAAGTGTAAATTAGGCACAAAATTGGGTATGGTTTTTTTTAAGGGGGCGGGGCGGGCGGAGTGAATTGCCAGATGGACTAGATGGCTGACATTTGCCAAGTAGAGATCCTGTTGAAAGCCCCAGAAATATATATGATTGAGCACTAGAAATATACCACCTTCCACATTAAACTATACAGCGGGGTCCGTCATAGAGCTTCAGTATGCTGATGACAACATAGTGTGCGCACGCTCAGAGGATGACCTCCAAACCATCCTAAATATCTTTGCAGATGCTTATGAAAAGCTTGGCCTATCACTCAACATCCAAAAAACCAAAGTGCTGCACCAACAAGTACAACATAACCCCTCTGCAGCACCACAAATCCAACTCAATGGTGTAACGTTGGAAAATGTTGATCACTTCTCCTACCTAGGCAATTATCTTTCCACAAGGGCCAACATTGATGCTGAAACCCAGCATTGCCTGAGCTCTGCGAGTGCGGCTTTCTCCCGATTGAGGTGCAGAGTGTTTGAGGACCAGGACATTCACAGGGAAACCAAAATGCTTGTTTACAAAGCTATTGTACTACTAACCTTCCTATATGCTTGTGAAACATGGACCACTTATAAACACCATCTCCAACTCCTCGAAAGATTCCATCAACAGTGTCTCCAAAAATTTTTACACATCACTTGGGAAGACAGGCGAACTAATATCAGTGTACTGGAGGAAGCAAAGATCACCAGTGTTGAAGCAATGATTCTTCAACATCAACTTCGTTGGGAGTGGTCATGTTGTGCGGATGCCTGATGACAGTCTTCCAAAGCAACTACTGTACTCTATTCCGAACTTAAAAATGGAAAGTGTAATGCTGGTAGTCTACATAAGAGGTTTAAAGACTGTCTCAAGACAAATCTTAAAAAATGTAGCATAAACACTGACAAATGGGAAACACTGGCCTGCGAGCGCTCCAGTTGGAGAACAGCCTTTACCAAAGGCGTCATGGGCTTTGAAGACACTCGAACTCAGGACACAAGAGAGACACTTGCTAAGAGGAAGGCATGCTTGGCAAATCCACATCGTGATCAACTCCCGCCCGGAAACCAATGTCCCCACTGTGGAAGGATGTGTGGATCCAGAATCAGCCTCCACAGTCACTTATGAACTCATTGTTCAAACTGTGTTTATGGAAGACAATCTTACTCTATGAGTGATTGTCAAAGAAGAAGAAGAAGATACAGCAGGGATGTCCAACTCCCAAGAGACTGCGATCTACTCACAAAATAAAAAACTGGCAGTGATCTACCCCTTTTTGGGGGGTTCAGGTCAAAGTCGTTGAGGTTTTTGGGGGGAGGAAAGTCAAAATTGTTGAGCTTTTTAAGGGAGGAAAGTAAAAGGTATTAACCTTTTTTAGAGGGGCAAGTCAAAAATGTTGGGTTTACTTTTGGGGGATAAGGAAAAAAATCGCCCATGGTCAACCCAAAGCTACCCGGTGGCCAACCAGTTAGACATCCCTGCTATACAGCTTGCGACTTAATTGTATAAAAATTCTAAGGATGAGGTAGGTCAGCTGTTTATATAAATCAGCCATATGATTTCTTTCTGGTGACAACACTGAAATTTGTACATTTATTGACCATTAAGAAAGACCCCTTGTGGATTGAAATGCGCCTGGCCTTCAGTATTATTGCTGGTCACATGAAGCTGAAGTTCAGACATCACTTTATATGGCTGTGTCCATTATTACTGCATTCTAGTAACTTCACTTATATCTCTTATGCATATATTGTTGGAAAAATTAAATACATTCTTTATCTTTCTTTCTTTTACTTGCACAATTTTATTTCTTAGTCTACAATTCCAGTCAAACTGGCCAGTTTGAAAGTTGTAATTACCCTTTTTCAGGTGAAACATAGCCAGCCAGCCATGTTGGTCCAATAAAAAGCACATATATAATGTTATACTTTTGCAGTCCCAAAGATTCATGAGAATATTTTTGGTAGCAGTTCAGAGAGTTTGAAGTAGGGGAGGGGAACCTTTTTGGTCCAGCAAGCAAGAGCCTTATTGGCCACTTTGACTGCTCGTAACATGAGGCGCGCTTTCTTTAATGGCGCCTCCCGCTGCTGCAGCGCAGCCGGAGCGCGACTTCTGCTCACATCCCGGGGCAAAGGTCACAACAAGGGGCATCCAGGTTAGAGGAGCGCGTAACCCGCAGCATTCGTAAGGGGGGCGGTACGTAATACGAGGGACCACTGCATTATCTGAAGAGCTGGGCACAACATTATTGTATGTAGCTAACTAGGTACATACTTTTCTATTTGAAAGCAGGTAAGTATTAAAAATGAGAGTCCAATTTTGCAGAAACTCAAAATTTATCTACATATTTGAAACCATCAGCTAGCTACAGTTACAAAGACCTCAACAAATGAACCTCAACTTTACAATAGTTCGACTATATCCATTACAACAATTTTATCTCTGCTGGCTAACCACTTAACAATATTCCTAACGCACACACAAAAGGATAGCTCCACTTGGTATTTGTGGAAGACAGTTTTTAGTTTCTGGCACAACTGAATGCTGAAATAAACCCTTCTTGAAAGTTATATGGAAAACTCGTCAACAACAAGTATAAAATCTAATCCCATCAATCGTCTACAGATACAAGTATTTTGACAGATACGATCAATATATTTTAATTTGCTTTCTCTAGCCTATCCTGGAGGTTCAGGGCAACTTAATTTCCTTTTTCTTATTTTACCACAATACTTTTTTGAATGGTTTTCAAATGCAATGCTATGAAATTTTGTAGTTCCTAGATACATGCTAAGGATTCTTACTAAAGGACAACTAGATTACCAAAGGACAACACTCACCAAAAGAAAAGCTTGCTCAGTACTATCAATGTACTTCTTTAATGCCATGGTGCAGGTTTATGCAGCGATGTCAAATTCATTCCACAATACAATTGGTGTGGTTTGACCACTAGGGCTAACAGGAGAAACCAGTATATCAAGTGAACTAAGCTGAGCACACTAAACATATTCAGAGTGCACTAAACATATTCATGAGTCCTTTGCCATGCATATGCTTTGTGGCATTGCTAAAGGACACCTCAGCAGACAAACCAATATAAAAAGGATTCCCTGAAGTTAGAATGTTTCAAAATTGCTGTACAGCCATCCCGCCCACTCTTTTTTAAAAAAGGAAATGTTTGCTACCAGATCTTATTCTCATTTCTTCTTTCCTAATATGAACCCATCTCCCATAACTTGTACAATTGTACAACTTCCATCTCTTAATTCCACTCCTCCAGCCTACACAAACCAAGCTTTACAAACCCATAAAGACTGAGCACATATAAAGACTGAGCACCACCACACACATATCATAATCACAAATATGGGTGTTGAAGGTAATATAATTTGCCTATACACAAACAATGAAAGATGCCAAGAAACAAAATGCCCGATTACATTTGTAAGCTTAAACAACCAAGACAGACTTAAATACGTTACACATCAGTAAACTAAGAGTGTCTTTGAATATCTCTCAGAAGTAATTAGGTCAAATTCCAGTTCTGTAATTTCAATAATAGCTATGATGCGTTGGTTTCAGCCAAGCACCCAAGTACTTCCAATTCAATTATTCTCCATTTACACTTCTTCCTTCCTATTTATACTGCATGGGGACGGTCATCCCATGTTCTTGAAGTAACAGATTATGTAGAATTTGGTATGGTGCAACCCTGCATAGAGTGCATTACAATAACCAATAACCAAGATTACCAATGCATGCATGGACCAATGTGAACCTATAACCCCTAACAGGGACGTCCTTATCTAGCCTACCAAAGCTGGTAGAATGTACTCTTAGCCAATGAGGATTCTTGTGACAAAGACTACAAATCTTCAAAGGGAGGGAAACATCCATAACCTTGTCAGGATTCAGTCAAGGTCTACTGGCATCCATTCAGCACACAACTGCATTTAGATATCAGCTCAGAACTTGCCACCAGATTCAGATGTAAGAGAGAAGGAGAGTCAATTGTCATGAGCCTTACACAGCTCAAGACTGCAATACAGGCAATCCTCATTTTGCATGGGGGTTACCATTCCAGACCCCCGCATACACCGGAACATGTGTAAATCTGTTCCACCCTGCCCCTTTTGGTGTCATTTTTATGACATGTGGGGGCTACTTCGAGGTTCTGTGTACAATCACGCATCATTTGGACATGCCTAAATCAGTCATTGAATGTATCTTAAGGACCACCTTTCCCCATACGAATTGATCTGGACTCTGCATTTGTCATCAGAGGCCCTTCTCTATGCCCCTCTCCACGAGAGGTTTGGAGGATGACAACATAAGAACTGACCTTTTCTGTGGTGGCTCCCCATCTATGGAATGCTCACCTGGTGTTATCACTACATGTCTTTAGGTGCCAGCCTAAAACATTTGTCTTTACCAAGACCTTAGGCCATTAAATAATCTATGGCCTGTTAAAGTTGTGGGAACAGAGGGGTTGTTGTTGTTGTTGTTGTTGTTGTTGTTGTTGTTGTTGTTGTTGTTGTTGTTATTATTATTATTATTATTATTATTATTATATTATGCTGCCTATAACTATGCTTTGTTTTATGTTTTCAATCTTATGCTCCATAAAATAGGTTTGTAATGTTGTACACTGCCCTGGGACCTTTTGATAAAGGGTAGTATATAAACTTAATAATTAATGATGATGATGATGATGATGATAATAATAATAATAATAATAAATATAATAATACTGAAGACATTGTGCTCTAAATCCCAATGGCTTTACTTAGATGTTAAATAGCATTGAGGACAAAGTACTGCACAGTGGTATCCAAGAGAATAACTGCTAGGGGGCAAACACAGTCATCCAGTACTACTCTGCAATCAAGCTGGGCAGATATGCTGAACAACACCTCCAACCCCCAAACCATAGAGCTGATCCAGAAAGATACTAAGCTTAATATCAAAAGCTGCTGAGATCAAGAAAGATTAACTGGGTTGCAACCCTACTTTCCCTCACCTCATAAAGGTCACCCATCAGTGCAATTAAGGCCAACTCAGTCCCTAAGCCAGGTTGGAACCCAGACTGGTAAGGCTAAATATAATATATTTCACACAGATACACCTGTATTTAAACCACTACTACCCTCTCAAGCAAGCACCTTCCTCTGAAATAGGGTATTTTGCAATTAGGCCCAAGTTGCCACATACCATTGGATCCAAGGCAAGATTTTTCAGGAAAGACCACACCACGACCACCACCTTCAAGCAGCCGGGCAGCACCATATCACATAACTATGCATTACTCCAGGGGACTGGATCCAGCTGACAGGCCAGATCCTTACCTTCACCCCCACAGTCCAAATCTGACAGGTGCGTGAGGATGTCCACCTGCCAGTAATCCTTCACAATTGCTTCTGGAGCACTGCTGGTCAGCTGATCCTCAGTACTTCAAAGCACAACACAGAGCTCTTTGCAAGGGCCTTGTGAAGGGCCCTGCTTTGAACTCCTGCTGATCAGGTGACTGTCTGCACTTCAGTAACCAGCCCTGTTTGGATGCACTGCTTCAAACACTTTGTCCATATCATCAGGCTCTCACAACTGAAACTGATCCCACAAAACCCCTCATATGGTATGTTGGACACTAATAGATTCTGCAGTAACAAGCACTGAAGCATTAGGTATACTATGCTCTATAAAACCTACTCTTCTCAGGAAATGAGCTGCAGCACAGTATACCATTTGAGAAGCTTCTGACTCATCCTCAAGGTAAGCTCCACAAAATACATTATGGTGAATTAGCCTTAAGGGTACAAACATGAACAACTCATCAGGTCCAAATTGGACTAAATACCCAAGCTTTCACATCAGATGTAGTCAATTAAAGCACTTTAACACCACCACAACCTGAGCTTCTGGACACAGTGTTAAATTCAAGATAGCACACCTGTGATAATCCAAAACTGCAAAACTGAAAGCACAATGGAGGCCAAATATGTGTGTCCACATTCTTGCTCAGTCACCTCCAGCTTTGCTAACCATCATCACCTCAGCCTTTGCTGTATTCAACTGTAGGAAACTTTTAGTAGACGTACTACACTCCTCTTCTGGAAGCACAATTTTAAAATTTATGACTAGCTTGAAGTGGCTACTAAATCACAAACTTTGAAATTGAGCCTATTAACATTACTGGACAATTATTTACATTTTTGTTTGTTTGTTTCTTTTAGTTAGAGCGGATATAAAAAGTTATGGATAGAAACACTATGAATAAGAGTATATACTGACCAGCCTTTTGCTATAACGGACCCGCTCTTCTTCAGGTTCCATCTCAGACTCTTCTGATGAGAGCGAGAATGAGATATCAGAACTGCTGTCTTCCTCTTCTTCCTCCTAAAGATACCAGAATAAGGAAGTAGAACAGATTAGAAATTCCACTTTAACTCTTTATTGCCTTGGTTTTATCAACAATATGAAATGTCATGAATCAAGAATGGAAAATTAACAATGACTATGAAGTAACAGGATGACTAAATTTTTAGGACCTGATTAAGCCACGGCCATTTTTTAAAACTAGGGTCAATTCAAATAAAACAAAAATCCCAAGTGGTGATATGGATATTCCACAATGGAATCAGTCTCATAGTATCCACACTTTAACATCAAGCAATACTTTCATAGTTTTGTCAAGTACCCAAGTAAATATACATGCTAGGTGGCGACAGAGTATTCTATGTGGTGTCTGCTTTTTAAATGAATTGGAAAGTCAGTAAAAGAACAAACATGCTCAGTTTGGTCAGCAAATACCTATAGGAATTTTCCCAGGAAATGTTTCAAAACAATAGAGATACCATGATTAAACACAATGGAATCAATACAGAGGGCTCAGTTTACTATATTACTGCATCCCACAACCAAGGACCCCTCTCAGCATTTGTTGAAACTGCAGTTTGGCTCTATGCGGAGAAGACAAAAGTACACAATCCATTGTTCATTTGAATACTGTAAGAGTTACCCACCATTATAGAGGCAGAATTCTGCTACTGATTATGGCATAACCTAGATCTAGTCTGACCAAATGCAGTCAGACACCAACTACAGCAGTTCAACAGCATAATGTTTTAATTGGCTAGTGTAGGCACAATATATGACAGCAAGCCATCATATATGCTGTAGTCCATTCACACCTTTACTACCACTGTATCTCAGTCAGGACATGTGTGTCACAACTATTTTATTGCTCAGTTAAGGAGAAGTTAGTGAATGGAACATTTAATTCTAGAGAAGCCTGTGTAAAGGTACTTTATGCATCAAGCAAATAAAAGAAATGATATGGATCCTGAGCATACCCCAAAATGGTGTATATAAGTTATGGTGGTACTGTTTTAGTGGTAGACGCTTTACAAGACTGGGTCTGCAGTCAATCACCAGAAAACAGTCATTTCAGCACCCACTTAACATTTGCATGGGCTAAGCAAGTAGTATAAGATACAGACCACAACATAACTTGATTTCAAGCCAATACAAAATTGCCTAAATGGTCTCTGTTTACATTTTCAAGTACAGTAAGCCTGCAACTTACGAGGGGTTACATTCTGGGAATTATGCCTAAAGCCAAAATCATGTACAGTATAGTCAAAACACACTGAGTTCAATGACATGTGGGACTGCCAAAGTCAATTTCCTGGAACCCGGCCCCCTTTTAATTTTTATTTAATATTTTTGCCACACGCATAAAGCTGAATGTGCACAAGTTAAATGCGCGTAAGTTGCGGGCTTCCTGTATACAGTAGCAGGAGGGTTTTGGGTGGGGTAAGTGAAACTCAGAAGCTCCTACTTGCCACCTCCTATTCCAAATCAGCCTTGTGTGTGCCTCACTCTTTCCAAACAGCCTCAAAAGTCCCAAAGTCAGTAAAACGCAGAGGATCGGCACCCCACATGCCAGTTCAACTCCATTCCAGCAGAAGAGAGACACAAATCAGAGCAAGCAGAAACTCTTGTCTGCATTTTAAGCACTAGAATATCACTCATTGTTTGTAGTGACATAAACGCAATGAGGCACCCTGGCTCGCACAGGGCAAGAGGGAAAGAACGAGATACTGTATAGGACTGTTTGCAAAACAAAATAATAGAAATATCGCTATATCTTACCAGGTCTCTGGTTTTCCTTTGCCCCTTCCTAGGGCAGGAGAAAAGAGAAGCCGGAAAGTCAATTAATTCCCAAGTGCATTACTCTTCGACCCTGAAGGCTGGAGAACGTTAGCATCCAAAATGGGCTATAAGCCCCTCAGAAAGAAGGGACCCCGATCCCACTGTTGGGGGAAAGGGGGCGTCATCAGGTAGGCTCTGGAGGGCGCTCAGTTCCTCAGCTCCTCTCAGCGAGGCCAGCCTTGGGCGGGAGGGGTTGCCCTGAGAACTACAGTCTCTCTTCACCCTACCCTCCAAGTTGGGAACCCAGAGCCATAACTCCTCAGGAGGGAAAGCAACTCTCTCTCCAGCTCCTGCCCTTACAGAAAGTCTCCCCCACCTCCATCCAGTCATGAAACAAATCAGCTCTCAGTCGCTGTTCTTGGGCTGCAGGTCGTGGACCCCTGTGCCCCAAATCCAGACCAGTCTCACCTACATGTCCAGCCTTCCCAGTCCCACAACTTGCCTTTCTAGGGCATCCACACACCCCTCAGCTCAGCCCACTCGGCTCACCTCAGATGCCCCCACCCAGCCCAGCCCAGCCCCCCGCTCCACCCGGGCTCAGTAACGCCGGCCCCACGCGAAGCTCCTCGCGCATTCCCCGAACTCGAACCCGAGCCCAAGCCCTAACACCCCCCTGGGACGCGACCGCAGCCTCTCAAGGCGCTGGGCCAGCAAGCACCGCCGCGCCGCCTCTTGGGGCCAAGGAGCTGCGACCCAGCACCGCGCAGCTGGGCCCCCCAAGCCACCGGCGCCCGTCCGACACCGCCACCCGATCCCTCCCCACAACCCCCAGACTCTTCCCCTCACATAGAAGCAGCCGCCGCCATTTTGAACCCGTCAGACTCTCACATACACACATACAAGGCCGCCATACTGCGCCTGCGCGGCATATCCTTCTCTCGCTGACCCCCCTCCCTAAGGGCAGGCGCCTACCATGCGCAGGCGTAATTTTCCCCACCCAGAAACAAGAGCAGCCTAACTGCGCAAGCGCGAGAGCGCAGACTGCCTCCTTTTGGCCTAGAGTCAGGCAGCGGAGACGCATGCGCCTTTGTGTGGGTTTTTTTTTTTTTTGTCACCCTTCTGGCTTGATCCGAGTCTTACGTAAAACTGTAGTTTTCTGTTGCTTTGCCTATTGGAAATACTAATACGGTTTCTGGCGCGTGCGCAGTAACGGCAGCTGTCTGCCCGGCGCTAGCGACTGTAGGCAGCGGTCCCTCTTCATGTGCTGAGAGTCAGACTGGATTAGGGCTATTGATCTCAATGGAACTAATCCAGAGTAAGAAGTTTAAGGGCTGGATTTCTTCAAAGTGTGTAGATAAAGAGGCCTCCACACTCTGTTTTGTTTTAAAGGGGACACAGGGAGTTCCCAGTTCTAGGCCCATTTAGCGATACGAGGCTTTTGGGGGGGACATGCCCTGCTCAGAGTGGCTCTGCAGGTAACGGCGGGCATCAAACATCCCAAGGCTTTGTCTTTGTGTCGGCTGCAAATAGCAGATCGGCTGCAAGAATAGTTGCTTTATCTTTTAATTTTTTTTTTTTTGCAGGGGATGGAATGTCCTCTTATCTTTTCTGGAAACGGCATCCCCACCCACCAAGCCCACAATTGCCAGAGGCTATGTTTATGCCTCTGTTTCGGACAAGGGAGTGAGTGACTTAAAAAAATTGGGTATCTGGTTTGGAGACCTGTCCGGTTTGCTGAGACTGAAGTTTTTAAACGAATCTCGCAGCAGTTCAGTTGGGCTGACCACGTGTAGGGATGTTTAGGACAGGATAGTAAAAAACACCTTCCCCGCCTTCCTCCGAGCTCACTCTGTTGCATCTAACATAACCTGCCGTGAGAATATTCTTTTTCGGCGTCACGCCGCGGTGGTAAACAGTAAAGTGGTGCAGAAAAGGGATACAGTACTCTTATTTTCCAGAAACCGCGCGGAAAGCCCCCAAAAAAACTGAATCAAAGGGCCATGCACACTGTCAACTACGTAAATATCACAAACCAAATGCATCCTGGCGGCTGGCTGTTGCCAGTATATAATTACTTCAGCGTCAGTTAATGTTGAGATAAATTTCCTCAAAGGTGTGAAGTTAACCTAATCTTTTGGAGGATTTCCCCCCGGCAGAAGTCAAGGGAGGGGCTGTTCAGTTTGGATTAAATCAGGCTTTTGTTAGTTTGATTAGATTACGTTTACGAAACGTAAAATATGTTGAAAAGCACAGGGGCGTGCATCTAAATTTTGAAGAAGACTTGAGTGTACATTAGTTTATACAATAAATAGAGTTCGGTAAAACAGCAAATTATGACGACGGAGCAAACCTCATCCTATGTGTATCTAAGTAGCAGCACGTCCCGGTGGAACTTGCTCTGGAGTAAAAGATTTTTTTAAAAAAACCAAAAACTTTTAGGCTTGTGCAGATTGCACCCTACTTAAACTATGATACGCGCTATTGTTTAGTATCCCGATTTTGATCGGAATCCGTAGATTTCTGTGAAAAACATGACGGCTCGGGGTTTCAGTGTGGTTGAAATGCATGAATTGACAGACGATGCCTGCGGTAATATAGAATTAACACCTCCCTCCCAACCGCAACAGAAGAAACTTTCTGTCGAAACCAACCAATGCGTTTAGGACTGTGATATAATCAATCAAATCTCATGCCCACTTAGAAAACGAGGGTCCTCGTTCGTTTTGAAACATTGTTTAGGTTGATCATATATCAGAATTGTTTAAAATTAACCTGGAATGTATGTCTAACTACATTTGGTTGTCTGTGCAATTCACAAATAAAGAAATTAAACGGACAGATCTCAACAGTGCCCTGTTCTTTGTGTAGAATTTCAGGTTGATGAGAAGGGCTCTTAGCATCACAAGAATGTTTAATTTGACTCTCCTTACAGTTAGTATTCTGCGAAACAATTGCCAGATTAGTATAAACCCATTTTTGCTTTTGCCTTTAGTATCTTGGGTTCAGTGAAACTTGTAAGAAACTGGAGATAGAGAAGAGGTTAACTTTTTTTTTTAAAGTTTATACTGCAATCAATGTATTAATTTTTAAGATTCCCTTAAACAGTTTTTGGTCATTTTTGTTTTCAGATTCTACATTTCTTTGCCACTGCTTGACTTTCAAAGGCGAATTCAGCTCTTAGGTGTGGCTACAGCCAAATGAGCTTAAATGCATCAAAGGAGGCACTCCTTGGTTCTCCAGTCTGACAGGTTATGTAAAAACCTGATCCATCTTTCTGTTTCCCATTTTGTCTCCAATACCTATGCCTTTTTTTTTTAAGCCCATCTGGCAGTGTTTTAGATGGATGTTGCTTCAAGTTAACATATTGCATCTATAGTGCTTAGCTTTTTCTCTTTTTAAAAAGAGTAAATAATGCTGGGTTTTAAGACTGCCTATCTCGTACACTGGGACGTGGGTGGTGCTGTGGGTAAAACCTCAGCGCCTAGGGCTTGCTGATCGCATGGTCGGCGGTTCGAATCCCCGCGGTGGGGTGAGCTCCCGTCGTTCGGTCCCAGCTCCTGCCCACCTAGCAGTTCGAAAGCACTCTTAAGTGCAAGTAGATAAATAGGTACCGCTTTATAGCAGGAAGGTAAACGGCGTTTCTGTGTGCTGCGCTGGTGCCGGCTCGCCAGAGCAGCTTCGTCACGCTGGCCACGTGACCCGGAAGTGTGTCCGGACAGCACTGGCCCCCGGCCTCTTAAGTGAGATGGGCGCACAACCCTAGAGTCAGACACGACTGGCCCGTACGGGCAGGGGTACCTTTACCTTTTTATCTTGTACACTGGGCCATCCAGCTCAGCCTACACTGACTAGCAGTGACTCTCCAGGCTTTCAAACAGAGATCTATTCTAGCCCCACCTGGAGATGCAGGTGAGTGAAATGGGGACCTTCTGCAAGCTACACAGAATCTCAGCCACTGAGCTCTGGACCTTCCCAAGCTGTAGTGCTGTTTCATTTAAAAATTTCTCTGCCTTATTCCACAGGAATGTGGGGATGACTAGGTCAGTTTACCAGAAACAAAGGACATTGTGCACATGCTCAGATATAATGTTATGGGTCTCCAGGGGACAAGGATCCCCTAAAATTCCTGGGTGCCAGGTCCTCCCCATAATTTATGGCATTAAGTAAATGTGGGGTTTGATCAATGGATTTAGCAAGGCCTAAAAGATTAACATAAATCAAGCCAGCTTCCTCAGGAGATTGGCTGAGAGAGGTGCTATCAGAGAACAAAGACAGGTGATGGCGGGGTCATTACCCTGACAAAGGGTGAGCTATTCAGCGTCAGACAAAGTGGAGTGGAGTTCGTCCTCCAGCTATGTGTTAGCAAGTACTGTAAAGGACAATAGCAGTTGTGTTTGGAGCGAAACTTTTTTAGGAAGAGGAAGAGGGGGCCAGAAATTCCATGAAGCACTGGCTGAAAACAGGAGCGGACTTTGGTGATCATTTGTAATATGGTGATAGAGAACTTCTCTGTTATGGATCTTCTCAGTTTTGCACTCCCTCAGCTCAGCGCCCTGTGCAGGGGAACTGCGTGCACAGCAATGCCCTCGGTCTGGTGCTGCTGGGAGAGGCTGCACCCAGAGTCTGGGGAGCATGGCTGGCTTCTGCTCTGGAACCAAGCTTGCGTAAGGTATGAAGGGAGCGACAAGAGACATCCTTGGAGTATATTGTTCTGCATTCCCTTTATAAAACTCAGGTGTACGTATTTGTGAATAAACCATATTTCTTAAAGACACAACAGACTCCGCCTTGCCTTGCTCCAAAGCAACAAAAACCCTGCTGAAGCCAAGACCCTGGGAAACTTGCTCCTGCTTAGCAAAGATTGGGGTGGCCTGTAGCAATGCCAATCCAATTAACATCACTGTTTCTACCTATTCCCAGCACTAGTATTATGTTTCCGTGCACAATGCAAAGTGCTGGTGCTGACCTTTAATGCCCTAAACGGCCTCACCTGCATCGTTCAACCCGGACACTGAGGTCCAGCTTCGAGAGCCTTCTGGCAGTTCCCTCACTGCAAATTTACAGGGAACCAGGCAGAGGGCCTTCTCGGTGGTGGCGCTTGCCTTGTGGAGCACCCTCCCATCAGATATCAAGGAAATAAGCAGCTATCTGACTTTTAGAAGATATCTGAAGGCAGTCCTGTTTAGGGAAGTTTGTAATGTTTGATGTTTTATTGTGTTTTTAATATTCAGTTGGGAGCCACAGGGTATAAATAATAAATTATTATTATTATTATTATTATTATTATTATTATTATTATTATCATTTTTATTATTACTAGTATTACTCTTTGTGTGTGTCTGTATAAAATGTGCCTATGTATTTGTGCATGTGAATGCAGGGGAGCCGCATCTCGCAGTCCCATCAATGTGCATGGCTTGGAATGTAGTAATGTGGCATAGGGCGTCCTCTGTGGTGGCTTCCTGCTTGTGGAATTCGTTCCCCATGAAGATAAAGCTGTTTCCCTCACTGATGCCTTTTTTTTACCTTGAAACACATCTTCAGGCAACTCTCCATTTACAAGTGCTCTATTTGTGCACAACAACACACACACGTGCAGTGCCGGGAACCTGGAAGTGAATCCCAGAAATGGAGGGTTATATCTCCTTTTGCATGAATGGAAGCACTTTCCATGTGGTTTGTGTATGGTTCTATTCTCTCTGTCAATTAGAAATGATTGCAGCCTAACAAAATATATACTTAAGATACAGTTCCAGGCATGCAGGACCGTCTTAAGCATATCTGGCGCTGTGGTGCAAAGCTCCCTCCGGTGCCCCCCCCCATTTCCCAGAGTTTTTTTAGGAAGGATGATGCTGCCGGTGGGGCTGGAGGAGGCAGGCAGCAGCTGGAGGGCGGCTCCTCTGGCGGGGAACAGGTGGAGGCTGGATGTGGTGCGTCCTAGCTCAACTGGCTGCTTCGTGCCATGGTGGCCACGGCAGACGGAGGCTCCGGGTGCAGTGCTGCTTCGACGCAGCATGGCGGAGGCAGGCAAGGGCGGCGAGCTGATGCCGGGACGCGCCGCGTCTAGCCTCCGCCTCTTCCCTGGCACCCTCCAGAACTTGGTGCCCTGGAGCCCTGCACCACTAGCCTCTATGGGTAAGACACCCCTGCAGGCAGAGAAAAGAGTTAAATACTTTTATTTAATTTAAAAATCAGGGATAGAAGTTAATTTAAAATGTACCTTATATGACATGCCCTTCTTCCAAGGAGCTCAGAATGTCCTGCTTGGGGGCTATCTCGTTTTATTTTCAGATAAATCCAATGAAATAGCCTCATTTGACAGATTATGATTTGTCCTATGTCATCCAAAGAGCGTTGTGCCTAACTGAAGATTTGAACTGAGATCTTTTCCATTTCATTGATGTCTATAGCCTCCAACTCAGTGGTATTCCATCCTCTCTCCCCTGGGTTTGTGTGTGTGTGTGGCTATGGGTGGTTATTGTGATGAGTTTGTCTTATGACTGGAGGCTTTGCATGGCTGCCTCATCACATGATTTCAGCTGCCATGCAATGAGCTTTGACTTATTTCCACCTCAAGGTCATATTGTTGGAATGTGCTGTCCAGTACAGTAGCTGTTTCCAAAGTTCTAGCCCTAGATGCTATGGATTTTTCTGTTAAATTTATATTCAACTCTTATCCCACCCCAATCCAGTGCGTACCATTGAACAAATGTTGGTCTGAAAGCATATAAACATCCTTCTCCATTCTTCAATCATTCTGGAGCCCAGAATGTTCTCCAAAGTAGTGACTCTTGGAATGGCATACAAAAGATGAACAGGTTAAATCTGCAATGATACACTGGGCAAAGGATTTGGAGCACAACATTCAGACTGGGAATGGTTATGGAAAATGGATTTGAAATTCATGGCATGTTCTACGCTAAAAGAAAATTACATGAAAATGATGTACCGGTGGTATTTGACTCCTAGTAAGCTAGCAAAAATGTATAGAACAAGTACAAATACCTGCTGGAAATGTAAAGAAAAAGAAGTTACCTTTTATCATCTGCGGTGGTCATGCAAAGTTATAAAGACTTTCTGGGAAATGATATATAATGAATTTTTTTAAAAAAAGTTTAAAATAACTTCTGTAAAATAATCAGAAGACTTTTTATTAGGAATGGTAGGTACCGACATCCCAAAGGAACAGAAATGACACAGATGCTATTAGCCCAGAGATGGAATAAGACAAAGCCCCTACCAGAGAGGAATGGCAAATCAAGCTGAAATGGCAAAACTGATCGGAAAGCTCAGGGACGAATAATAATAATAATAATAATAATAATAATAATAATAATAATATATACCCAAAACTGGGCTCAGGGCGGCTAACAACAAATTTAAAACACTTAATTGTAAAAGTAGCATAAAATACAGTATAAAAACATTAATAACAATTCAAAATTCAGAAATCAATTTAGGGGAAATAAGTATTAGATAATCCCCAGGGCAAAAACAAAGTAGTGTACAAAAACAAAGTAGTGACTTTAAAAAACAGTAACCCAGAACAGACACACTTTTTGGTCAATATTTAGTGAAACCTTATAAGTAGCAGAGAAAACCTGTTCTTTGGGTGACTTGGAATACTATCACTCATTGTGGCCAGGTGCTTGTAGTTGTTGCCAGCTACTCTGTCTGAGGATTATAGATCCCTAAATTGACTAAAGGCAAAATCAGGTCCCAGAAAGGATGAAACAAAATGTGTGAAATTAACAACCTCTACTGCAGCTTCTCAGGAAACATAATTTTCTGGAAAGGACAGTGTTGACAATCAACAACATGGAAGACATAAGCACTTGGGTGGATATAGTGGACAACAAATTTAGAAGGTGGGAGCCAGTGTGGTGCAGTGGTTAAGAGCGGTAGATTCGTAATCTGTGGAATTGGGTTCACATCTCCGCTCCTCCACATGCAGCTGCTGGGTGACCTTGGGCCGGTCACACGTCTTTGAAGTCTCTCAGCCCCGCTTACCTCACAGAGTGTTTGTTGTCGGGGAGGAAGGGAAAGGAGAACGTTAGCTGCTTTGAGACTCCTTCGGGTAGTGATAAAGCGGGATATCAAATCCAAACTCCTCTTCTTCTTTTAAGGTTTGGTGTAAACCTGTCCTAAAAAAGCTGGTTGCAGCCTGCTTGCTACCTGTGGCATGCCAGGCACTTGACAACTCCTCCATTTGCAATCTTAGGCAGACAGCAAAAACAGGAGGCTTATTGAGTGGCTGGTAGGCTGCCTTTGGCTGGTGGGGTTTACATATTTTAGGCCTGGTATAAACACAAATGGAATATGTGGAGGGAGGTCTTTTCCTGATTCTCATGACATTTAGATCCAGAAGCTAAGACCATCTACTAATCTTCTCCACTTAAGCCAGCTGCTAAAAGCAAGCAGATATCGAGTCACTAGGTCTTGGAGGCTTGATTTTAAGCTGGTACATTCTGGTGCCCCTAAGGTTTGGGGGGCCCTGGGCAAGAAAGTCATTTGGGGCCCCTTAAAGGAATGAAAGCAAGTCAGGCATAAAATTTTACTTGATTCTTTACATGAAACTGCAATGGAAATACAATTGTATCGTAATACATTCATTGTGGTCAATTTTTAATACAACTGGAGTGGAGAATATTATGAGTTTGTGGATGCTAGACATCTCTAATTTGCTGGGTCTAGTAGCTGTTAGAATTTAATTAGAGCTAGGGTGTTAAAACTACAGTATATGCCAGACACGTATGAAGTTGTGTACGAGATACTTCTAATTCCCCTAGAATTAGCAAGTGTCCAAAGCTAATTAAGCCAGGCTATTCTCCTGTGTTGAGGTGGTAGCATGGTGGATGAGCCATCAATACGACAAAGGATCAAAAGGTGCTTGGTGTGAGATGGCAAATGAGTGGGACCTTTCCCCCAACAGATAAAGCCAAAAGTTGGGAGTAGCAGTCTTGGGAGTTATGTGACCAGGAGAAGTGAAGTAGCAGGCAGGGCATGATGTCTGATGTCTGTTTGGATCCAAGGCTGCACCTATAGGAGAAGCAAGACCCTCTTGGAGTGTTAATGCTGTGAACCCCTCCATTGTAGGCTCAGTTTGTATATACGTATAAATATACTAGATATCATAAAGACACCACAGTCTCTTATGTGCCTTGTTCCCAAAATGAAACATGGACCCTGGACAAAGCACCTGGAACCCCTGGAATTTTGCACAGCTCAGAGATTGGGGTGGTGTGCAACACTGGTGTCAGAAGTCGGGATTCGTGTTTTCTGGAAGAGGGCCCCTGAGTGAGGTATGCCTGAATCAAAATGGAGGGAGACTGTGCAAGAATACATTATCTAATACTACACTGTAAATACACAGATACAAGTCATAAACAAAAAGAAACAAATTGTTATGTCGAGGAAACCCTAAAAATCTAAAAAAATCTAAAAGCTTATTATATAATATCATGGTAGGAGGAACATATGGTAGTCAGATCACTGATAAATAATGGTATAATAATTGATCACTTAAAAGTAGATTCTCTAGTACCCTGTTTAATGAAATGAGCTGTTTTGAGCCTCCTTGGAAGCAAAGTCCTCAATCAATCCACTGTAATTGCAGCCTCTCCCAAGTTTATGTTCAACTGAAATCCTGCTGAGAATGACTGACCATAAAGGAGGCAAGCAGGATTTTGTACAAGACTTAGGGGCTCCCTAAAGTGTGGGGTGCTGGGCAGTTGCCAAACACCCCACCAAGCCTCCACTGTTGGTTCCATCCATCTGCTGACATGTTGATCTACTCTGGCTATCAGGAAAGCAGGCAAGTCCTTTTGGGTTTGCGCCTGCGTTTCTTCTTCTTCATGGTACTCAAGGCTGCTCTGGAAGCCTCTGTGAATATGTCGATGATGTTCTCATGGAAACGAGCTGAGCACTCAAGGTAGGCAACTGCATGGAGATTCCGGGCCAAAGTCTCTCCCTATAAAGGTGTGTGTGGAGGGGGAAAGAGGAGAAGAAGAGAATGTCATCAGCATCATCATCATAAATTTATATTTATACCCCAGCCACTCTGGGTGGCTCCCAACAGATTATTATTATTATTATTACTACTACTACTACGATAAAACATCAAACATTAAAAACTTCCCTAAATAGGGCTGCCTTCAGATGTCTTCTAAAAGTCAGATAGTTGCTTTTTCCCTTGACATCTGATGGGAGAGCATTCCACGGGGCAGGTGTCACTACCCAGAAGGCCCTCTGCCTGGTTCCCTGTAGCTTCACTTCTCGCAGTGAAGGAACTGCCAGAAGACCCTCAGAGCTGGACCTCAGTGTCTGGGCTGAACAATGCGGATAGAGATGCTCCTTCAGGTATACTGGGCCGAGGCCATTTAGGGCTTTAAAGGTCAGCACCAACACTTTGAATTGTACGTCACAGATCTTGTTAGGGAAAGGGAGGAGAGCGAAGACCCTACCAAAAGGAAAATAAGGTGTGGTCCATGACATTTTACTTCCTGAAACAGAAAATCCACACTGAATCCCAGAGTAAGAAATTTTCTGCCCTTTTGTGACAAGACAAAAGCTGGTGCCTGGATTTGACCATCTCAGTGGTGGGGCTGCTCCTGCTCAATAAACTTCTATTAGGAAGAAATTCCTTTGCATTGCAAACACATACTTTAACTAATATTTGGTTGCAACTCCTCATTACCAGCACCTGGCAAGGATGGGGCTCTGGCAAGAATGACCATGTGGGCAGAAGTAAAAACAACAACATGTCTGCTGTGTCCCAGAGACATGTCTGTGGGATTCATATTGTTTAGTGTGGAAGTCCATCGGTGCTGACTCTTGCCCGTGTGAGGCTGGTGCAGAGGAGCTATCTGCTGATTGTATTACCTTCTGATATGTGATGGGCTCTAGATGGTCCTGATGCAACCTCCTTAGCAGAACCTTGTCCTTTCTTAGGTCTGTCTTGCATCCAACAAGCAGGAGTGGAATCCCTCTGCAGAAATGGTTCACTTCAGGGTACCACTAAAAGGGGACACACACACACACACACAGAGAGAGAGAGAGAGAGAGAGAGAGAGAGAAAGTAACATGGTGGTGAGGGGCTGGATCCTGATATATAAATGAGCAGAGAAATTAATAGAGGTTTTTCTGAAGAACCACAACATAAAATGTTTAGTTTGTTCACTATATTAACAAAAATGAATTGTTTCCTTAAATAAGGCACCCACATCTGCTAAATGATGCCTTTCCTATTTACTACTTCCCCTCTTTCAATGCTTCAGGAATGCTGTAGTGACCTTCTCTGGTAATGTTTGTGTGTGTGCATGCCAACTTGGCATACCAATTTGATTATACCACACACACACAGGAAATTTGTGTCCTTAATCGATGCTAGGGTACAACTGGACGCCATTTTGAATCAAGATGGTGGACTGCAGCTTTCAAGACGACACTGATTTTTTTTGTATATTAAAATTCCTGAGCAATGTTGGGTGCAAATCTGCAGATTATATCTACATCTATCTATCATATCACATTATTCTTATATCACCTGTTCCATAGACTCCAGAGGCAGCTATTCTTACCGAGTTCATAGATAGCCTTGACTTAGTTACTGCATAGCCTTTTTTTTACCTTTGTGAGGATGTTGTTGAAGCTGGCAGGGCTGGTGACATCATAGCACATGATAACTGCATGAGCCCCATTATAGGAGAGGGGGCGGAGCCTGTCGTAATCGTCCTGCCCTAGGTGGAGTGGAGACAAAGTTGTATGCATTGCTTTCACCTCTATAGCGCAATATGCAAATGCTCCTTGCCGAAGACAAATGCTTTTTAATAAATATCCCCCTTTCATGTTGCATTTCACTGTCCAAAATATTAACAACTATGTTGGTGTAATTTTGGGAGGGGGGGGGAATGGGTGAAATTGCACTAAATGCTTGGGCCGTGTTCTGAACTGCACATCCTCTATGACTGGGTTCTGCTTAGAGAAGGAGCCAGGTGGTTAGAAACGGTCCAAGGATAAATGCCTAAAGCACAACTCGCCCACCGTCCCTTTCTCTAAGGAACATGTGTATGTGCAGTGGGGTGGTGTTGGTGGTATAAAGCCAAGACTGCTTTTGCTAGCAGTGTGAGGTGTTCACTGCTCAGTGCAAAGCATAAATGTCGTGAAACTGAAGGTTACATGCTATAGCATGGTGAGCTAGCATGGTGAGCTAGCATGGCAAAGTGCTAGTGGATCTCTCTGTCTATTTGTATCTTTGAAATGTTTATTTCTAAGACCAGAATAATTGTATTTTATAGTAGATTAGTTCATGATGTACCAGCATCACTTAACGTAGCTAAGCATGTTTATGCTTGTCTTGTGCCATGAGACAATAAACGCTTTATACAGTGGTACCTCGGGTTACATTCGCTTCAGGTTACATACGCTTCAGGTTACAGACTCTGCTAACCCAGAAATAGTGCTTCAGGTTAAGAACTTTGCTTCAGGATGAGAACAGAAATCGGGCTCCAGCGGCGCGGCGGCAGCAGGAGGCCCCATTAGCTAAAGTGGTGCTTCAGGTTAAGAACAGTTTCAGGTTAAGTACGGACCTCCGGAACGAATTAAGTACTTAACCTGAGGTACCACTGTACTTTGAACTGAACTGAGTGAGAAAGGAGTTGTCTTAACCGGGAACTCTGGACATGGCGGTCTACTGGAAAGCAGGAAGACTCTGAATGTTATGCTGGAATAATCTGCTGGAGCTACGCATACTCTGCCGATCACACTAGTCAAAGTGTGGTGTTGTATCAACAACAGATGGTTGGACCCGAGTCTAACAGGTTAAGGGCCAACTGGCTTCTACAAGTCCATCAGGTTAGACCTTTTTTAATCAGATGATTTCAATTCAGCCTTTCTACTGCAAGATTGCATGGTTAGCATGGAGACAGGTTCCTACTGAAAATGAAATTTTAAATGGAATGTTTGAGCCATTAACATCTGATTAATTTATATTTAAGCAAGCCAAAAAATGCCACCACTTGCATTTCCTTAGGGGAATATTGCTGCATTGCATTCTAACTTGTTAATCTTATCATCCTTATCACTTAAAAGATACCTTCATAACACTGGGCAACAATTTTTTACTTTTTGAATGTTGTCTAGATTTCTACAACTGATTTAGGGTATTTTTGCACTGCTGAATCAGGAAATGGCATCCGTTTCTCTCCATCAGGTCAGGTTTACTGTAAACTGAATGGTGGGCATTGATAAAGGTAAGTACACGTAAATTGCATGTTGCTTCACCATTTTTCAAAATTCAGGGCTTGAACTTCCGTTTCTTGGAACTCCTGGAATGCTCAGCGGCAGGGAGGTCTCTCTTCAGAGTCCAACAGTAGTCAGCCATCATGACTGTGTCCCAGCGACCCTGATACCTGGTCTCCATCTCTTTCATGTCCTGATGGAATCTCTCCCCCTGCTCGTCACTCATTGAACCCAGGTTCTCAGGAAACCGGTCCATATGTGAAAATAGGTAGTGCATCTTGACGCTCATGTTGCAGCCCAGGTTTCTGAAAGCAGTCAGCATGTTGTTGACAAGTTCTGCGTAGTTTCTGGCCTTATTTTGTTGTCAAGAAAGTTCTTCACTACCAGAACAAATGCCTTCCACGCTTCCAGTTCCACTTCGTTCATTGACTTTCCAAACTCTGAATCTCTGATGAGCTGGTGGATCTGAGGACCATCAAAGATGCCAGCTTTCAACTTCTCCATGGTCAATCCTGGAAAAGCCTGGCACAAGTAAGTGAAGCAGTCACCATCCTTGTCCAGAGCCTTGGTGAACTGCTTGATTAAGCCGAGCTTGATGTGCAGTGGTGGGAAGAGCATTCTGTCTCTGTCCACCAGAGGGTCGTTGATGACATTCCTTTCTTTGCAAGGCACCAATTCCTCCCACACAGGCCAGTCCTTCTTCGTGTAATGCTGAGCATGGTCCCTACTATCCCACATGCACAGAAAACATGGGTACTTGGTGAAGCCAGACTGTTGTCCCAACAAAAAGTTCACCATCTTCAGGTCAACACAAATAAACCACTTATGCTGATCATAACCAATTTTCTCCAGCACATACTTCACCGCTTCATAGTTCTCCTTCAGTGTAGTCGAGTGAGCCAGGGGTATAGAGGCAAACTGGTTGCCGTTGTGTAGCAGAACACATTTCAGTGATCGCTTGCTGCTGTCAATGAACAGTCTCCAATCTTTGGGTTCGTACTGTGGCACTCCAAGCTTGAGCAGAAGCTGCGCAATATCTGCACAGTACACCAAGTCCTTCTCTTCTGTGAAAAAACGGAGGTACTCTTGATGCCTGTTGCGGAGGAAGCTGATGCGAGCACTGTCAGAGAGGAGGTTTTTTCCTTCAATCTGGATGCCAACAGTTCGGCAGAGTCCTTTGACAAGCTGAGGTCGTGAACTAGATCATTCAACTTCTTTTGGGAAAATGGATGTGGAGCATCTTCTTCTTCTTCTTCTTCATGTCCTTCAACACTGGAGGCATCTTCGTTCACTAATGTCAGGAAGTTCTCCGAAGATAGGCACTGGAATTTCATCACAATGAGCTACAGGACGACGTGCTGATTGAAGATCAGGATACTTGAGGCTGCTCCGGTTCTTTCTGTTGATCCCACCAATTTAAGGAGCCGCACCAATTTATGGAAGATTTCGAGGTTTTATGATTTCAAACTGATCCCTTTTCGACATAATCACCCAGAACTATCAGACCTGAATACTTCTTGTCATTAAAATAATCATTTCCAATCAAAACAATTATTCGACATGGCATTTTACCCCCACCAACTTCTTCTAAAATGCTCCACACAAGCGTACATGTGAACAAAAACGTAAAAAAACAACATGTGGCCATAGCTCAAAAAACTTGACCTGATTGAGCAAAACCAATGTGATTTTTGGATTCAGTGCATCAGATTTGTCCTAAATCAACTGAAAAAACGCAGACAACAAATTTGTTGTTGACCAGTGTAATAAGAACATGTGCCTGAGGGCAGGGAGTGGAGTGAGGGAGGCTTTCCCTTTTGTCTTCCCTCAGAAACCTGTCTCAGATAACCTAGTTAAGCACTATCAGGACCCTGCTTGGCCACTCTGGAAATTCAGAAATTTTAAAATATGACTTCTAACAGAACAGATTTCCAGGATTCACAGGAAAGTTCTCTTCCTCATATTGGGGCTGTGTACGCACTATACTTTTAAAGCACAGCCGAAGCACATTCTTTCTTTCAAAAAGTTTCAGTCGCTGTAGTTTACCCCTTGCAAAACTACAATTTCCAGCAGCTCTAAACCAACTACAATACCTAGAATTCTTTGCGGGGGGGGGGGGATGTGCTTTCAATTAACAGGAGAGGTATTGTGTGTGCAAATTTGGTTGGACTGCCACCTACTGGAAGGAAACATTTTAGTCACAAACCAGGATCCAGTCATATACAGTACCGGCACATTCAGGTTGTGCTGTTACAGCTGATTGGGAGCTCTTGCTCAAGAAACCAACTTCTCCAAAAGATTGACATTTTTGCAAGAAGAAAAGTGACCAGAAAATGCACTGGAAAGTGGGGGTGGGTGGGGTGGTGACGCCTGCTTTGATGCAATGTTATTTAACCTCCCTACAAAGGAATCAGAACTGGTTGGCATCCATCTACCTCGGGAGACAATGGAGGGTCGAAGGCTCTTTAAATAGCCAAGGTCATCTAACCTCCCTGCAACAAATCAGGAAAATGCTCAGTAAGGTTTCCAGGAGGTTGTACCATGAAAATATGGACTTTTGGAGGTAAGTAAGTAAGTAAGTAAGTAAATAAGCCCTCCAAATATTAAGATATGTTTTATTTACACGTTTAAGTTCAACTTCTGTTCTGTTTTCTACTCTACATTTAAAAATAGAGAATTTCTTTTGAAGAAATATTCCACATACTGTATTCTTTAACCAGAGTTTTCATCCTTATTTTCCCAATGTAGTTTCCACCTAAGTGAGTAATACTTACTACCCGTGTGACATTTTGGGGAAGGGGGTTCCACCCAAGCATTTTAACAATCTATTGATACTGCCTCTTTGAACAAAAATCTCTATCAGGGAGCTTGTAGCATCTGTAACACCCCACTCAAGTTTAATTTAGGTTTAGTTTGTTTGATGTATGTATCGCTTCACACAACCAAAAGGAGTCTCATCAGCAACACAGAAAATGTAGCGTATGATCATTTAAAAGAATGCAAATACACTGAAAGCAGGGATTTTCTGGCTGCTATGACTGGCGCTCCTATTAAAGCCCTGGCCAATCACTGGAACATCCAAATGGCTTGGGCTGTCGACACAAGTGCTTTACAGAGCTCGCTTGGCACCTTGGTATGCTCCTAAGTCGGGGTCAGGGCTTATGCCCTAAGCCCTGCCCACCCCCACCCCCCAGCTAGCCCATGGTAAGAAATGTACTATTGCAAAAGGGAAAGCACATTTTGATATAATTGTACAGTGGCACCTCGGGTTAAGTACTTAATTCGTTCCGGAGGTCCGTACTTAACCTGAAACTGTTCTTAACCTGAAGCACCACTTTAGCTAATGGGGCCTGCTGCCGCCACCGTGCCGCCGGAGCCCGATTTCTGTTCTCATCCTGAAGCAAAGTTCTTAACCTGAAGCACTATTTCTGGGTTAGCGGAGTCTGTAACCTGAAGCGTATGTAACCTGAGGTGTATGTAACCTGAGGTACCACTGTATAGTTGACATAGCAAAATCAATTGTCCTTATGAAAGTGCAACCCTACTTTCCAGCTGACAGATCTCAGTGGCCACAATGAATATGCAGAAATCTGTGTCACACCTGGCTTTCTTCTGGTTGATGATGCCTATATGACTTGACAGCACACCCATTCTCAGCATAATATGACCCGATAATATGCCACCTTCCAATGTGACTGTCTGTAACCCTCCCCTTCAGCTACCCTGACGCACACACCTGCTGTATCCCAGAGACTGATATTCACTTGCTTGTCGTTGATGTGGAAGGGGGCTGAATATTTCTCAAATACTGTTGGGATGTAAACCTAGAAGAGGAAGGTGAGAAAGAGATGTTTTTGCCTTGTCTGTGGGAAAGGACCGTTTTGTATTCTATCTCCATTCCAACGTTTTTTCTTCAAGATACTATCGTGGATCCCTTTCCTCAACATTTTGCTCAAATGAGCGTTTGCTCAATGTCAGGAGCAGATGGCCTGGTGGGGCACTGCCACTCACCTGACCTCTGGTCAGCCACATTGTTGCTGCTCACTGGGAGGTGCAGAGGTGAGGTTAGTGCAGTGCAAATGCGCCTGCAGGAGCACGAGATTGTCTCTGCTTCTGTGTTTGCACCACACTGGCCTCACCCCTGCATCACCCCTCCCTTTCTACTTCCCAGTAAGCAGCATGAAAAGTCTGGCGGTGAGGTGAGCACAGCCACCCCACCCCATCCCATGCCACCATCTGCTACTGATCCATGTACTGTGTTTGCTGCCAGGTGGGCTTACCTTTTGAGAACACCAGAAGTGACTGCTCCATTAGGAAGAATGTGGCAGTGACCCATCACCCTCAGTCTGCTCTCAGTCAGTTCCCACCTGCCTCCCACCTGTGCTTACAAACAGCCAACGGGGTGGACCTGGTTATCAGATTCCTCCTCCTTAGCCTCAGGGTTGCTCAGGTGCAACTCAGCAAAGAGGAGGATGGGAGCAGAACTAGGATCAGTTGGGTCTCCCTGTCCTTGATTCTGGCCCCACCTATTTTTGGTCCTCCTGCCCAACCACCCCTAGTGGGCACCACTGGAGAATGCACACCAGACAAATTCTTTTGTATAGCAACAGTAAAGGTAAAGGGACCCCTGACCATTAGGTCCAGTAGTGGCTGACTCTGGGGTTGCGGCGCTCATCTCGTTTTATTGGCTGAGGGAGCCGGCATACAGTTTCCAGGTCATGTGGCCAGCATGACTAAGCCGCTTCTGGTGAACCAGAGCAGTGCATGGAAACACCGTTTACCTTCCTGACAGAGCGGTACTTATCTACTTGCACTTTGACGTGCTTTTGAACTGCTAGGTTGGCAAGAGCAGGGACCGAGCAATGGGAGCTCACCCCATCGTGGGGATTCGAACTGCCGACCGTCCAATCGGCAAGTCCTAGGCTCTGTGGTTTAACCCACAGCGCCACCCGCGTCCCTCTTCTTTTGTATAGCAACAGTATTGGCAACTAAATAAATGGGGTTTTTTTTGTGAAAGGAAGTTTGGTGACACTGACCAGTAGTACTCTTAGTCACAGCTTGAGTTTTCCCTACTGGAGTTGTTCCAGAGAAGTACCAGAGAAGGGTCCCATTACCCACGACTCCAAGGAGATGGTGAGAGAAACTTGCTTACCTTGTTTTTGTTGGTAGAATTTACCATGTTAGATCAGGGTTGGGGAAACTCAGGCCTGAGACCAAAGTTGACACCCCCAGCCTCTCTATCTGCCCCTTAGGACTCTCCCCAGGCCATACATAAATGTATAAAACTAATAAATTTAATTAATTAAACACACCCTTTCTCCAGACCCCACCCTGTCACCAGTCCCACTTTCCTTGGGTAGTTTTGCCAGACTGGAATGTGTCCTTAAGCCTTTTCCTTGCCTGGGTGGTTGACAGAGAGGGATGGGTGAGTGTAGCCTCCTGCACAGAGCTAGTATTTACGTTAATTGCTCCACCCACAATTGCCTCTGGCCCTGCCCATTTCTGTCATGTGGTGTCATGGACTGGTTGGACACAGAGGAGTGGTGGGAGGCTCCAGCTGGGGAACCCCCAAGGGAATTCCCAAAGGAAGAAGGCTCAGAGCCAGGGAATTGGTGTTGGGATGATGATTAGAGGTCAGAGGGAGAAGAGGGAGCAGAGTGGAAGGAGGAGGTGCCGCAAGTTGAAGTGGTAACAGGCTTTAGTGAGCAGGAAGAGGCTGTGGCAGAGAGCAGTCCGGAGGCAGGAGAGGAGGGGAGGCAAGAGGCAGAGTGGAGGCAGGCTGCTGAAGAAGCCAGGGAGTCTCCCCCTCCTGTTGCGACAATCTCCCCTCTGCCCCGGACTTCCAGAACCCACAGATGCATGAAGAGGGTGGAGCAATGAGAGACGAGACAAATGAGCTTCAGAGAGCTTGGGAATGAACCTGGGGAGGAGGGGCCTTAAAGAGTGGTGTGAAGGCAGGGACCTTTAGTCCTCGCTACTGCCTCATTGGGGCAAGACCTACTGGGAAGGGTAGCTGTGCTCACTAGGGCTGAACCATATTTATTTGAATAAAGGCTTCACTGACATTTTGTGAGACATTGCTGACCTGACCCTGACTCTTACATGTGGCCCCTGGAAGGTTACCTAGAATGGTAAAGGGACGCGGGTGGTGGTGTAGCCTAAACCACTGAGCCTCTTGGGCTTGCGGTTCGAATCCCTGTGACGGGGTGAGCTCCCGTTGCTCTGTCCTGGCTCCTGCCAACCTAGCAGTTCGAAAGCACACCAGTGCAAGTAGTTAAATAGGAACCGCTATGGCGGGAAGGTAAATGGTATTTCCATGTGCTCTGGTTACTGTCCATGTCCCGTTCCGCCAGAAGCGGTTTAGTCATGCTGGCCACATGACCTGGAAAACTGTCTGTGGACCAACGCTGGCTCCCTTGACCTGAAAGCGAGATGAGCACCGCAACTCCATAGTCACGTTTGACTGGACTTAACCGTCCAGGGGTCCTTTACCTTACTTAGAATAGAATGTAACCCTTGAGTTGAAAAAGGTTTTCCCACCACCCCTATCTTAGAGGTTCCCAGAACGATAACCTCAGGGCAGTAAAAAGAGCAACAACCCAAACCCACTTTGAAAGTTGGACAGTTTTCCTTGGACAGGATATAGTATGGCAAATCACAAGCATATTATTGGTGGTAGCAATCCTGTGGATAGACAGGGCTTACCTTGGGGAAGTCTCCTTTTGCAAAGACCATGAGCAGCGATGTCTTTCCGCAGCCTCCATCTCCTACGACAACAACTTTGATCTCAGGGATTCCTGGAGTCTCCCGGTTGGCACCTAACTGGTCTGGAGTCTCTAAGCCTCTTTGCATCTCTACCAGCCCCCAGGGCCCTACAAAGGGATATCTTTTGCAATGATCCAAGGAAACGGCAGATGAGATAACTTCTTTTCTCCGACAGTTGTATAACAGGGCTCTTCCACGCTGAGATCTGCAGGTTGACTCTTTTCTTTGCTGTACATTTAAAAATCAAGGCTCACAGCACAAGGTCAGTGGGAGAGAGTGGCCAAGGGTGAATGTGGAACAGCAGGTGTGTCTGGAATGTGAAAGGATTGGTTGGCAGAGGGTGGAGATTGTAAACAGGGACACTTTCCCAGAAGCATCCACCCTCAGGGTGATGACGAATAGAATGGAAGATAGGGAAATTCACATATCGGCAAAGTGCTTTTCAAACAGTTCACCAAGCAAGGAAACTGGGGGCATCACCCATGTATCGATTAAACGCTGTTAAATCCTGTTCATGCCCATATCTTACATACATTCATGACTACACATGTGCACAGGTATAGCACACAATGGTATACTCAACAAAATCCACAGAGGAACAGAAGTGATATAGATAAAAGCATGCACTTTGTGTAGTTGTGTACCATCACATTTGATCCTTGTTCTGATGCCAGTGTAAAAATGCATGCATACTCCGTTATGGACACACAAACACAGCCAACAGTGCATGTGCAAATTTATATACAGACACATGTGCCACCTGCACAGAGTTAATTGAATATTCAAACTTAAATCTTCACCAGTGCTTTGACGCCACATAAGTCTTTTTATCTGCTATAAATCTGAGGGAGCATCTTGCTGCTTTCTATTTCCCTAGGAGGGAACTTACTTTGGCAGGCTGGGCAGCAGTTACATACACAGGCAGGACCTATGAAGGAGTCTACGGGAATGGTGGTGTGTCCATTTCCAAATAGTTTATTCCTCTGTATGATGAAGACTGTGGCCAGAGAAGAATGGCTTCTGGTTTATACCTGCTTAGTCCTTGCCTACTACTTTGAGTTGAATATGAATGAACTGCTTTGTTCAAATTAATGGGCCATTAACCACTCACCTCCCCTGCTCTTTGTTGCTCCCAAGAAGTGTTCTCTTTCTCTCTAGGCACAGAGGCTCTGATCCTCCAACCTCTTCTCTTGAAGAAATGGAATAAAATAATGCTCTGTTTAAAAGTCACAGCCAAAGGGTGATTGCCAACTAAGTCATATTCAGAGTAGACCCACTGAAATCAATGCACGTCAGTTCCTTGAGCCTGCTGATTTCAGTGGCGCTCTTCTGACTGGGAGTAGCACAGAATATCACCAGGGTTTCAGAGGGAAGGAGGACTTCAAAAGAAAAGGCCATCAGTCAGATTGCACCCTACTTTCCATCCATAAGAAGCTTTACAAAGGTAAAGCTTTGTAAATTGACACCTGTCTATGAACACAATTACTTAATTCACTGATGAAATAAGGGTTGCTGAGCGTGGGCGTCTACAGCAGGGGTCAGCAAACTTACTGCACCTCAGGCTGGTGTCATGCTGCGGGCCGGAGGGCGGGGAAGCGTGTGCCCATACGCATGTGCACACACTATTTCTGGCATGCCTCCGGGTTGGAGGAGCACTGGAAATAGCTTGTGCGCATGTGCACCGGCCTCCTCCGACCCGGATGTGCACCGGAAATAACACTTGCGCATGCGCACAAGCTGTTTCTGGTGCTCCTCCGACCCAGAAGTGGGCAGCTGCGCAGCGCTGCGCTGGTAAGAGCAGGCGGCAGCAGCCGGTGGCGGGGGCCGCTGCGGGCCGGATAAACGAGTCCCTCGGGCCTTATTTGGCCCGCGGACCTTAGTTTGGGGACCCCTGTTCTATAGCTTTATAGGTGCATGGAAATAGTTGTGTCTGGTGAAATTTTGCCTTTGCTGCAATTCTTCAAATCATAGGTATTCTTTGAAGACTAGAACAACAAGAGAGACATTTTTACTGACCCTTGAACACCAGCTTAAGTGCACAGAAATGCAGCTGAGGAAGCTCCCTCCATTCATATCCATGGCAGATATACCTTCACTTGCTATGTTGCTGTGTGTCAGCCTGTTAAGTGTGCACGCAAGGGGGGGGAGGAATTAAAGTAACAGCACGGTACTCCTAAGGGGTGGGCAAAATAGGCTTCTGACCACAGCACATCCACTTGATATACATTTGAACCCCCTCGCCTTTGATTAGGTTCTCCACACCTTTTCCAGCATAGCCAATGGTCAGGGATGGATGGTCTGCTCAGAAACCATCTTTCTTATGCAGTTATGTATTCACTGGGAGGACAGATTATTCAGAATCAAGAAGGGTTGCCACACTGGGGCAGAGAGATGTTGCACTTCCCTTTGAAGTTACAGTTTGAGATAGCAGGAGATCCTGCCGATGGAGCTTCTCTTGCCTTGATTCTCCACCAGTTTTTTTGTCCACCCTTCTCCCTTGCCTTAAGTGGGACAGAATAGGAATGCAGCTCGTAGGAGAGGAATATGATCGAGGGGAACAATGGTGAACCTGGACAATCTTACAGCCTCTAGCCTTTGAAACAGCAACACAATATCTCCTGGTTGCAACTTGCCAAGGATAAAATCGATTCATACCAACAGTTCCTTTATAGTCACCCAAAACAATCAGGACAACCAAAGTCCAAGGTAGAATGTGCAGTGACTCACACTAGCTCAGTGTAACTTATCTGATACTAAGACTATGAGTCCTGCCCACTCACCACATATTGAACGGCAAGACCAATATTTCCTCTCTACTCATCAGCTTCAGAATGGGGAGAATACTAATCTGCTCTTCAGAGTGGCAAATGAAACCTTCAGTTGAATGGCTGTGCACTCTGGAGACATTGAGGCAACACAGTCCTAAAAAGTTTTATTAATAGCTCCCAACCGAGCTGAAGATCCTTAAGAGATTCTTTCTCTGGGATGTTGCTGCCATCATGTGGTCATAAAATTCCTTGTGCTTTTTGTTATCTTGTTATCTAAAGTCCGTAAGTTAAACCATCTGATGTTGAAAGGGCTAGTAATTTTATGTTTCTGTAACTTTCAAATATTCATATTTTATATGTAATAAAATAATTAAAATTTAGCAAAATAATGTTACTACCCCCACTCCCAATACTAATAATTCTTTTTAGGGACTGTGAACATAACAACTCAAATTTGTTTTGTATGTATGTTTAATTTTTATTCAGTTGTATTTCCTTCCTTTTTTCTTATCTGTTATTGAAGTGTATGTGCTTTCTAGAATAGAATAGAATAGAATAGAATAGAATAGAATAAAATAAAGCCCTTAACAGCTTCGGACCAGTTTACTTCAGAGTGAGTTTCCTTCTTTTGGCTAATATGGACTTAAAGGGAGGTTTGGACCACATTCTAGTCCATTGGGTGGGGTTGATTTCATAGCCTATGTCATGCTCCCATTGTTCTTAGATTGCGTCATGCGGGGTTGCGGGATTTTGGAGCAGTACTTTGTATATTGTGGATACCATCCCTTTGCCGTGTCCCTCTGCTGTCAGGAGAAGTTTTTCGAAGGTGGTCAAGGGCCCAGTGGCTGCTGATTTTACTACTGGATTGTTTAAGAAGGCGTGTAGTTGGTGGTGTGTTAGCCAAGATATTTGGGTGTCCCTAATTTGTCTTGTATTTCTTGTGTTGTTGTGGGTTTGTTGTTTTTGTAGAAGTCTTCTAGACAATAATTTCCTGGTACCCTCCTACCTCTCTCTCTTGGTGTCGGCAGTGGCTGTGGCTGTGGCAGTAAGCTGGTGCTCGGCTGTGTGGGGACGATTCCTTTTTGCTTTTTGCTTTCTGTTTTCTGTTTGGTTCCAGAGGCCTCAGAGCTCTGCTGGGCTGTCAGTGGGGTGCTCCCGGTCCCAGTGCACTCAAGGCCACCGGAGGGGAGCTAGGGACTCCCCACAGCCTCCCTGGTTGTTGTGTTGGGCACCCCTGGTCCCCCCCCCCCAATTGCGGTGGTAGCAGTGTTGGCAGTGTGGGGACCAGCCAGCCAATGCTGTTGGTGCAGGTCGTCCTCAGGAGCTCTGTGCAGCTCTGGCGTTGGCCATCTTGCCTCGCCGGATGTCCCCATTGTCTCTTCAGGTTGCGTTTTCTACAGATCTGTTACATCATGTAAGCTACTTTGAAGAGTTCTGCTCATAAAAGTTGTCCATACATATTTTTAGATAAACAAAATAAAGTCTCTGCAGCAATAAATACGATCACATTTAAAGTGCTTCAACTGGTGTACCTGACGAACACAGATTTTCCCCTGGAAACTGTATAAAACAGAGCCACATGATGGCAGCAAAGGCTTGAGCATGACTGATTTCATCAGAGCTCTAGGTATACTATGGGGATCCAGACATCTCTCCCGAAGGCAACACTTCAGCTGCGGAGGTATCCCATTTTCTCAGCAGTGAAATTGCAATATTTTCAGGACTATGAGCACTCTGCCATTATTATTTATTATTTATTGAATTTATATACCGTCCTGTACCCGGAGGTCTCAGGGTGGTTCACAGAATAAAATCAAAATATAAAACCACAAAATACATAATTAAAATAAAAACAACAACCCAATAACACACACCCCAAACCACATTTTAAAAGGGCATAGGATCCTCACAACATTTAAAGTAAGACAAGTAACAAACCTGGACAGGAGCCACTCGTTGGAAAGACCATGACCTCTGAAATGTTCACAGCAATACTTATTGGCAACCAAATTGGTCAGGTGCCTTTCTGATACAAAGACAAAAATAGTTTTGAAATAAGAGTGGGAAGGGAAATGCCATAATCCCATGCCCTTGCACAAGAAAAGCTGAACACTGTTACCCGCAGAAACTATGCAAATTAAAATACTTAAAAATACTCCAGGAAGTAATAATGAAGGTATTCCAGGAAGTAGTTTATTGGCAGATAGATACATAGATGGACAGATAGAGAATCTCTGCAGTGACCTCGGTGGCTTTTGGTCCCATTTATTACCAGATGCTTCTGGACAATCTATGTGGGCAAGAGTGGCAGGCAGTGAC